TCAATAGTAATTAACTAATCTAATAAACTGTTATAATTCTTTTAGATTTTTAGATTAAGATTAATCCTGTATAACTTACATTTTTACTTACTTAGTATAGATTTCTTTTATAAATATTTAATATTTTAGAAACTCTGTCTTCTGTATATAAAATTTATACTTTTTCAGCTTGTATTATAACTAATATAGATATAATTTATATAAAACTAGTCTTACATGTCTTATATATTCTTTCTCAGTCTTTAAGAAGATTAATATGTTATTTAAATAAGTAATTATAAATCTGTCAAGATATTCTTCAAGAACTTTATTAATATATTATTAAAATAATGCTGGTGCGTTGGTAAGCCTAAATAGTATAATCAAGTATTCAAAGTATTTATACTTTGTTCTAAACATGGTCTTCCATTCTTTATCTTTTATAATATATATACGATAATATGCATCCGTAATATTAAGTTTAGTAAATTACTTTGTTTTTTATATCTTATCTTAGATTTCTGAAATTAAAGATAACGGGTGCTGATCCTTGATTATAATAGCATTCAATGGCTGATAATCCACATATAGCTGTAAACTACTGTCTTTTTTTGGTATAAATAGGACTCTATATCCTGCTGGTGATTTTGAAGGCCTGATGTTATCTTTAGCCAGCTAGTTATCAATATATTCTTATAGTGTCTGTGATTTCTTTTTAGATATTGGATAAATCTTTCTATATACTGATAACTTTCTTTTCTTTATAGATATAGTATGGTCATGCTTTTTATACTGAGGTAATTCAGATTGCTCTAGCTGTTTAAACAAGTCCTTAAATCTCTTATACTATAATGGAATCTGCGCGTTATTCTTGACTGCAGCTAGAAGTTCCTATAAATCTTCTAGTCCCTGGACAGTCATCTTAATCTTTATATTATAGCTGTTAATGCTGTACTCGCGGTATTTTTTTATTATTATTAGTACTTATTTTAATAATTCTATGAGCTAATCTCTCTGTGATAGCTTGATTACTGTTATTATTTATGTGACTATACTTGAAGTATTATTTTTCTCTAAATTATCTTTGATACCTGGCGTGTTAAGCTTTTATAACGATCTTAACCTTTTCTTGCTAAGTTATTTAATCCTTACTTCAGCTTCTTACTGAGTAGTAGGCTATACGGATCCAGACTCCATATCTAGTCCTTGCTAGTGTTATCTTGGGCAATCATAATTTGTGAATTAGAGATTCTTAGTCTTTTAATTAATCTATAGATTATGATTTCTGAGTCATGGAATCTTTAACATAATATTATACTGTTTTAAAGATATCATATTAAAGTCTATATACTTGTAGTAATCCTTTATAGTTATAAGTATCAGTCCTGACTTGACTATTAATATAAGAGTTTCTAAATTTTCTCTGTTTAGTTCTGTGATCAGTTTAAGTTTTTCTTTCTATTATCTAAATATCTCAAGCTATTATATAAATCTTGGGTGTATGAAGTTTCCAGTTATTCTAGAATCTACCAGTACTTGGACTAGTTGATTTAATATGATTACTTGAATCTTTAAATATGGTCCTGATTTTGTGATTGCTAATTACTGTTCTGGCTAGTTAGGTTCTAATTACTGTAGATATCTTTTTGAAAATCTTAAGCCTTTTATTTTTACTGCGTAATGTATTATACACTGATTATTAAAACATGCTAGCCAATATATTAATCTGTAGTAAGAATGTCTCTAATATTCTTTATATATATAATCAAAAATATTGCATAGACAATGGCTTGCCTTAGTCCTAACCACTTCCAGTATTCTAGATTAGTAGTTGATGATGTACTTCTAATCATGGTATATTAAGCATGTGTTTGTATAGCATACAAGCCAAGGAAGTTTATTATGTTTTTAATAATCTTTACTTTTTTTAAAATAAATGTATAGATATGATTTGTTATATCAAGACTCTGTTCTAGTAATATTTATCTTCTGGCTAATCTCTGATAGCTGATAATAATAGTCTATATTATCTTATCCATATGTTAAACAAACTTTTAGATGATAAGGGCATCTCTGTAGATATTGCTTCTAAGTCTTATTTTATGATTTTTAATATTTTAAATCTTAATATAGATAATGCTGTATAATTATTTTAAGCTCTAGACAGAATTATACTGGATTCTTTAAAATCTCCTTTAAAATATGGTTTAATTAATAAATAATGTTTTCTTAATTATTTTTCTAGTTCTTCTTATCCTTATCTTACTATGATGGATAGAGTTTACTAATTTCTGATAAGGGTTTTTCAGAGGTATCAGGTATCTTGCTAAGTCTTTTCTTACTGGGTTTAAAGTCTTTAAATAATATATTATACTCTTTATCTGACAGTTCGTCCTTGTCTTAAACTATACTAGGATAGTTATTCCTTGAAACTGGCTTATAACTGTTATTATTGACTTCTATGGTTCAAATTAATAATATAGATAATTATTAATCCTCTTGTTGACTAGATGGTACTGTTGACTTATCTAGAATGGCCTGTTATCTTAACTAATCATGATGCGTTCTGTTCTCTAATAGCTGATCATGCTGAATAGTATATAGCTTTTTATTACTGAATATTTATGTTATAGATTCTGTCTAAACTTCGTGCTAAATGGCGGTGATATCATAGGCTTCTCTGCCTTGATCTTGGTTCATAGCTCTCAATTGCTTCTGAGGCTGTTGCTGTTTCTGACTACAGTTCTTTGACTGGTGACCTACTTTGTCGCAGCTAAAGTATAAGCGGTCTTGTTTGCGCTGTTCGAGTTCCTTCTTGGATACTTGAGTCTCTTGAGTCTGATGCTGTGCTGTATCCAGCTCCATGGGCTTCAGCCTGTAGGGATCTTCGTATCCCAAGCTTCTAGGTTGTGCCGACCTTCTGTTATTGGCTCGGTAACCTGGCTGGTTATTGTGTTAAGGTGTAGACCCGCTGGTTTACTGATCCTCTTGTTGTTTTATGTTGAAGTTGTATAGCTTGTTATTAATCTTTATTACTGTTTTAATCATCTTAACCAAGGTGTCCGGTTGTTCTTATTAAATAATCTTCTTTTAGATCTTTATCTTGAGTCCTTCTTTAAATTGTGAAATATAAGTGTTATCATCCTAGTCTAGGTGATTAATAACTTACTGAAACTCTGAAGTATACACAGATACTGATCCCGTTTATTTAAATTATTATAATTTTTACTCAATATTTTATATTATATTAATATTTCTGAATATCTGTTCAAGATACTATTTAAATCTGGTATAACTAGTGAAAAGTTGTTTTATATTATTGTTCTGATTATTTATCAACTTTTCTTGTTATTTATAGATATATAATTTAAACTAATTAAATACTGCTCCGGTAAGGTAGATAAATATAAAAAAGATCTTATTTTCTTTATTCTTAAGCTTTTTCTTGTTTATGTTAAGATATAAGTCTAACTAGGTCAAGAAAGCCCTGAGCTTCGCTCATTTACTGTTGAATGACTCAGGTAGTCAGACCTTGACAGATTTGACTAACAAGCAACCTTTGAGTAGCTGGTTCTTTTGTTTTAAGACTGTGATACTTTCTTGTAGCTGACCAACTATATCTATTAGTTCCTTAGTTGTCGGGCCCTGCTGCTGAGGCGCTCGTGATATATTTAATATAGTTAATATAATGATTAGTTTATTACTAGATAATACTTGTACTGACTGGTACTCAATATATTAAATCCTAGGATTACTTCTCCCTATTTTTATTAGCTTAGCTCCCGTTCCAATACGTACCTTATGAACTAAATCAAAGATAGTCAGGTTATTGACTATCTAAAGATGACTTGATCTGAACAGAAGAAGAGAAGTAAGGCTAGATAATGCCGCGCAGCTATCCGTAAGTGAGTGCAGATGAGTGTTGTTACTAAGCTCTATCAAAACGTAGGTTACTTAAAGATAATTATAATTGAGCATGAAGAATAGAACTAACTAAGTACATGAAGGAGTGTCCTTATATATCCGTCTCTTGTATACCATTCCGTATACTATTGGGTCTATCGTATACCTGCTTGGTAGTCATAGACCATGGTGGTATGTTATATACCACATGCCTGTCTGTATACCATGGTCACGTGATCCGTGCTGCCTGACGGTTCAGGTCGGGATCCTCCTTGATAAGAGCCCCCTTCCGTCCGGATGTGGCCTTCTGCCTGCCATACCCGCCTTACTAGTTGTTCAGCTAGCAGGGGTCCGTAACAAGAGTGTCCTTATATTCTATCCTTTATATACCATATCATATACTATTTAAGGTAGATCAAGGATTGATCTAATCATGTTTCTGGATTCCTGTATACCTTCTGTATACCCTCAATAGTAGATTCAATGATAGATAGTCATGTGACACAGCGCCGCTCCGGACGTTACTCAGACCGGGATTCTACTCGATAAGAGCTGCTGGTTGTCCGAGTCCTGCCTTGTCGTCACTTTTCTGCCCAACAAGTCCGCTCCGCTAGTAACCTGACTAGCAGGGGTCTGTAACAATCACGTATCTGATTATATAGATTATTATATTATCATTATTTTTATCCTGTGTAAGCAGAAGTTTTCCTAGCAGAAGTCTTTCTAGTTAGTTATTAATATTGCTTTATTTTTTCAATTTCATGTATCTAATAAAAAACAACTTCTTGATTTGATTATATAGAGAAGAATCAGTAGTAACTAATACAATCATACTTACTGATTCTTAATTATTCAAGTAATTCTTGATTATACGCTCACGGACTTGTATGTGGTATTTAACTTTAATAGTAAAAGTAATATTACTTATAGATTGATTTTAATAAAATAGATTAATAATTTCAGCCTTGTACGGCTTAAGATCAATGGTTGGACGTATTATAATTAATACCATGATTGAAAATAAAGCACTGTACGTAGAGTAATGATAAGTATCATCTAGTGGTGAGGTCAGCGGTGAGCATACTTCAACACAAAAATTCATTATTGCCTGATGGCCGCTAATGCCCGCCGTAGATCGGGCTGTTGATGGATTCGACTGTCATTCCCGCCTGGCGGATACGAGGAAAGCAGCGCCAGAGTACTTCCCAGGCGGTAGAGGTCTGGTGTGGCGGTTCCTTCATGGTCAGTATATAGAATCTAGATGATCGCAGGAGGAACCTACTACAGAATAGTGCCAGGAGGCATAAGAGAGAGGAATGATATGTGCCACCTCCACGGGCCCAAAGTACACGTTGTCCGGGTGCCCTCTCTTTTTCCATGTGTCTGTGTTCAGATCTCCGGTAACTACGCAGCAATAGCCATCATGTTCCATACAAATTTGATCCTCAGTGAGCTGGTCTCTAGTCTCAGCGACGGCCTCCACCGAGGGAAAACTGCCTACTTGGGGCCGAGTTTTCACTTTTCTAGTTAGCAGTGCTGGTTCGGCTGGAGGTTTGACTTACTCGGTATGAGTATGGCGGTTAAGAGGGTTGAGAAGACCGCATAGAGTTGGTCATCGGTGATTGCATTAACTATATCTTCCGCGATCGCCTCCCTGCCGCCGTCAGGCAGCCAGGCTAGAAATGCAGCAAGTCCTGGTTTCAGGCTGTCCTCGTGAGGGCGCCTCTGATCTGTGTAGCGGGCAATGCGATCTTTGGCAGCTGTGAGGACATTGTTTGAGACCTCAGTGGAGGGTCCTTTGGGCTGCAAGTCATCGGGTTCACATGTACGACGGGCTTTCAGGCGTGCAGAGCGTCGGAGAGGCAGATTGGATGATTGCTTTCTTTTGGGGGGACCCATAATGAGCCACTCTCGGTGGATGCACATACCCATGGTGGATGGTCTGGCTGAGAAGCAGCTAAAGCGGGAGTGACACAATGCGCCATCATTCTGCTGCTACGGGCACCCTAGGCACCCATTTGATGCCTCGTTTGCACCTGAGGTACTACCCTGATACCATACTTATGTTTAGTATTGTCACAGCTCGTTGCAAAGCCTGTACATACACTGTCAAGTGTTCTCCTGGATATCGACATAAACAATCTACTCACCCTCATCATTCTTCTTATCTTCCTTATTCTCAATTCTAGAAATCATTAATTGCGACATGGCGACGGATTTAGTCTCCAAGGTTACTCCGATCCAGAAGTCTGGGCTGAAAGGCGTCACCTAAATAGTAACCATTGGTTCAAAAAGCAACAAGCTGGTTTTTTACTTCTTTCTTAGAGACCGTCGAGATTGAGGTAGGTAGTCCCGGCAATACAGGTGTTATAAAGTATAATAATATGGTCTGATTTGTGATTAGTATCGTCTCTTAGCGTGTCCCCAATGCTTGTTGGATTTGTGTATGCAGACGGAGAGATCGTTTTGATATCGTTGATCTAAGTAGTATTCTTGAGGATAAGATGGACGATGTGGCTGAAGTACTAGAGAGGGCATAAGTGTAATTCACGTGGATGTATGCCTCTCTTTCTGTCTTCTTTCTATATCTGTTGAATCTAAATCTCGGAACAACACACGAAGTATATGAAGTTGGTGGTAATTGATAATCAGATGCATTTACTTAATTCCTCAATCCAACTCGTCTTATGGCCAGCCATATCACGCAGTTCAAAATCAAACGCGCTAATCAAAAACACAAGTGAATTAGAACTGCTTCACAGCCCTCTGAAACCGCGGTGGCTTCCTCGTAAACTTCTCCGGCGCATCTCTCGCCCCATTCTTCCAATAATCAAATTCCATCCAGGCGTTCTCCGGCATCTGCGCCTCAGTAGCCTCCAAGAACTCCCCTAGATCTGGATTCAGCGGAATAACCCCTGTCTCAATTACATATTGATCCCAGAGTTTGAGCAACTGCTTTAACCTCTCCGGTTCCTGCTCCGCCAGGTCATGAATCTCCCCGGGGTCCTTGGCCAGGTTATACAGTTGCCAGCGCTCCGGGCCCTTCGGCTTGGGAATATATACGATCTTCCAGTCGGCGAAACGTAGAGCGGCCCTGCCGCAGGTTTCCCAGCCTTGGATGAAATCTTTTTCGTGGATACGGGGATTAGTGCCCGCAGCCCAGGGGTAGAAGGATTTACCGCGCATGGGGACGATCTCACGCCCCTGGTAGGACGGAGCGGGGTGGGAAATGCCGGCCATGTCGAGGATGGATGGGGCTAGGTCCATGACGGTGGCGAATTGGTCTGTGATGGAGCCGGATTTGACGTGAGAGTCGGTGGTGATGGAGGTGGGAAAGCGGGCAAGGAAAGGCACGCGGACGCCGCCTTCGGTGGTGTAGGCTTTGTAGAGTCGGGATGGGGCGGTGGCAGCTTGGGCCCAACGAGGACCGTACCAGATGAAGGAATTGTAGTTGCCAAGGTTTTCAAGAGAGTTGTCGTAGTATTTTTGTAGGTGGGGCATGACGCCACTTTGGACCATGGGGTAGGCTTCGTAGGCGGCGCCTTCAGCGCCGTTGTCGGACATGAAACAGACGAAGGTGTTGTCGAGTTCGTCAATGGAGGCAAGGTAGTCGACGACTTTGCCGACGTTGGAGTCGATGCATTCAACCATGCCAGCGAAAACCTCCATGGCGGTGCAGGAGAGTTTCTTTTCCTCCGGGGTAAATTGATCCCAGGGTTTGGATTCGTCTTCGTCGGCGACGACGGGGTGGGCTTCAACGTCCGGACTGATCATGCCGAGGGCTTTGAGGCGTTCGAGGCGCTTGAGGCGGAGAGCGTCGGGACCATCGTCGTAGACGCCGCGGTAGTGGTCGATGTACTCGCGGGGGGCTTGGAGAGGCCAGTGTGGAGCTGTGAATGGGAGGTAGGCGAAGAAGGGACGGTCATCGCCACGGTCATGCCAGTCTTGAAGGTATTCACGCATTTTATCGCCGTAGCCGTCGGAGGAGTACCAGTCATCGGGGAGCTTCTTGACGTATTTGTCGTCTTCCATGTGTAGAGCGATGTAGCTGGCTTCGAGGAAGGTGGGGGTTTCGTCGGTGCCTTGGAGCTGGGGCTCGTATGCGTAGTGGTTGGAGCAGGCAGGGAGGTGAGCGAGAGAACGGTCAAAGCCCCGGCGGTAGGGGGAGCGCTCTGGAGTCAGGCCTAGATGCCATTTGCCCGACATGAGCGTGTGGTAGCCGGCGTCACGGAGGACTTCAGGTAGGGCAACGACGCGCTCGTTGAGGTAGCCCTCATAGCCGGGCATGCCACGCTGAGGGGCAGTACTCATCTGAGCACCCTTGGGGCCGTTCTGCCCGGAGATGTTGGTCCATTCAACCAGGTTTCCCAGGCCGGCAATGTGGTGGTCGGTTCCCGTCATGATCATGGCGCGGGTGGGACTGAGCGGTTAGTTAAGGCGGACCGATGTTGAGTAGAGGAACATACGAGCATGCAGCAGCAGCATGAAAGTCTGTGAACCGGACGCCTTCCTGGGCCAGGCGGTTAAGGTTAGGCGTACGGATCTCTCCTCCATAGCAGCCTATGTCGGAGAAGCCCAGGTCATCGGCGACAACCACGAGAAAATTGGGGCGTTTCGGGGCCATGGTGAGATGACAGACAAGAGTATGAAACTTACATGAGACTGGCAGCCTCAATGAGCGAGGACAGGGAGGGGTATTTGAATGATGGCAGCTTACCCCGTACTATGGCCATCGGCAATCGGCTGGTGGCACGCGGCTTTGGAGAGGGGCCCCGCCCTATTGGCTCCGATTAGATCGTTGCAGTGGGGCGGCGGTTTATCCGCGGGCGCAGGCCAATCAGCAGATCACGCCATCGCCCCCGCTTCTGGTGCACTCGGCTCTCGGCTACTCTGTTGGTCGGATGATCCTCCTCCACTGGCACTGTGGCAAGGACAACTTTTGGGAATGGGGGCAAGGGGCCCTTTTTTGGGCGGCTGAGATGTGCGTCTTCCAATGAGGACTTAATGACTGATCACTATGCTTGCTGCGGAGAAAGCAGCCACGTACTGCAGTTGTTCAGTGGTACCATGGTTATTGCCTAACCATGATCTTCATGGGCGTGATCTTTTACTATAGTAATATCCTATGACGAATTAGGCTTAAATCATGATAGTCTAGCAAGGTGTCATTTTGAAGTGAGAGAAGCATCTCGATCACGCACTATTCACTAATCCGCATCAAGAAACTGCAGTAATCTCTCACTAACTATTCATCCCATATCACACTGCTCAGGCCCGTGGCCGTACCAACCTCGCCGGGTTCCCCAACCTGCAAGGTAGCCACTGCTTCTCCCAGTTTGCCGGTCTGAGGGTCTCGCGTCACGATAGCAATATTCGATGAGGATTGATCGCCAATGGCAATCAGGTCTCCGGCTTTGTTTATCACAAACGTTCGCGGAACGGTGCCGTACGCAGATGTCAGTTCGTGGAAGGTGACAGTACCATTCGAGGAGTGATCCAGATTAGCCATGGAGTCATTTGGTGGGAAACCATGATCACTCCGGATCGACACATACAGAGAGCTACCGCCTTGGCGGATCTCGGATGGGGTAGCTCCCTCCGGCAGCTGGTTCTCGGCATACGGCACAAACGACTGAATCTCTTCAAAATCAAGACAATCAGACGTGTACGTGACTGTGAATGCCTTGAGATGACCATCCAGCTCATTAACAATATACAGCAGAAAACTGTCCTGCTGCCGGGTATTCAATTGGCTGGTGAGGACCGAGTGCTCGGTGGTCCAGAAGAGGCCATGTCGGGGTCCACTACCAGCAGGATAGGCGATATCAGGGCAGCGACTGTCCAACTGACCACTGGATTTGTCGATGGCGTACACGCGGACGAGGTCGGCTCCCAGGTCTGGAGAGAGGACAAATGACCCAGTCGGGTCCAGGAAAACCTGATGTGGATGAGGCGCATCTTGCTGTGGGTTCACCCCAGGCTGGGAGAGATTATAGCGGAATACCTGGAGCGCCTGCGTAGCTGAACTCAAAGGAAGGGGAAATGTGGACACAGTTGATCCAGCACTGAGAGCATTAGTATACTCTGACGAATGCTACAATGGTACATACTAATGCGCGATGGCTAGGTATTGGTCACCGTCATCTCCGCTATAAATGACACTATTCACGCCGCCACCAGGAGCCACAACAGTCGCAGTCTCCGTCAGAGTGCCATCTTGGTTGGCAGTAAGGGCGGTCAATGATCCATTGGCGGACGCATCACCGGTTTCGTCGGAGCAGTATAGAATGCGCGATTCCGAGTCGAAGGTCAGCCAGCTGGGCATAGAGCCACAGGTTTCCAACGAGGAGGCCAGAGAAAGCGAGTAGGTGTCATTGCTGCAATCCAGAGAAAGGGTGTAGACGTTGCCGTTATAGTGGGTGGCATAGAGGTTAGTCGCCGTCGCCAGAGACAGCCATGATAGGCAAGCCAGTAAACGAAGGGACCGTAGACACATGTTGAAAGATAAAAGTGTGCTGGAGCATGTCGAGCGGGTGGGAGGTAAATAAATAGTCAGTCAACACGGGCAGGCGGAATGGATCTGCATTCTGCGGGTGAGTTGTTCCAGGGACGCAAGTGTGACTGCAGGTTCCCTGCATGTACTAGGCAGTCTCTAGATGCATCGATGCTTTAGTCCAGGTAGTCTCGCTCCTTGTCACGGATCACAGCTGGCCAGCCATCGTGTAGCGAGGTTGACCAATCATCATGCGATTAGCGCTGCGGTTAGTACCAGGTACGCCGTGAGTCCCTTGCGTAATGGTCCAGACGGTGTAGCATGGCTTAGCTCATCACCAAAGCAAGTAGGGATATATTCTCCCACAAACAACCGGACGTGAAGCAGATGAGAAAGGAAGAGGCAGACAGGCGGCAGACAGGCATCAACGGCGGCCATCACCTGACCGCGTGCCTTCCCGATCGGGCTGCTTATCACCGGCGAACAAACGGTGCAAACCGCGGTTATCGGCGGGGAGGATAAGCCGACCGACGTCAGGGCCGAGGCCAACCGCGGCCTCCGCATTCCCCAGCATCCCTCGCCGGGGTTATCAACCTCACCACGGCCCTTCGTAACCACTCGGGGCTGGATCTCCTTGCAAATACCCTCATCATGCTGACTCTCCGGTCGGCACGTCTATTGCGTGCTTCACAACCGCTATCGAAGGTTCCTCGGCGATGGAGCGGTTCTATATCACAGCGCCCTGGATCGGACCGGTAGATCAATTCCATACCTCCACCTTGGACGTGCCCGATGACAAGACTGAGCTGACCAAAACAGTGTCCGCTTTCCAGGTGCAATCAATAGCAAGTTTACCACCGACATGGCCTTCATCAACCCCTCCGAGATGCCGAATATCCCTACCTACCGAGTCATGGATTCAGACGGTGTCCTGGTCGACAAGTCGCGAAAGTCCATCGATGTGCCAAAGGAGGAAATACTGTCGTGGTATAAAAACATGTTGACTGGTTGGTAACACAAGGCTCACTGCTGCTCCGATCTGACGCAACCAGTGAGTGTCATGGATGTAATAATGTTCGAGGCGCAACGACAGGGTCGGCTAAGCTTCTACATGGTATGCGCTTACCCCTCACCCGCTCTCCCAGTGCCACATTAACAATATCCTAGGTCTCCGCCGGCGAAGAAGGAATCAGCGTCGGGTCCGCCGCAGCTCTGACCCCAGACGATGTCGCATTCGCCCAGTACCGTGAAGCCGGAGTCTTCCAGCAACGAGGTTTCACTCTTAAAGACTTCATGAGCCAACTCTTCGCCAACCGCTACGACAACAGCAAAGGTCGCAACATGCCCGTCCACTATGGCTGCAACTATCCCCGAACCGTTCGTTCAATCCCCACCCCATCAACACCCAAATCTAACCCTCCCAGCACACCATCTCCTCCCCCTTAGCAACCCAAATCCCCCAAGCCTCCGGAGCCGCCTACGCCTTGAAACTCCAAGCCCTCCAAAATCCCGACACACCACCCCGCATTGTAGCCTGCTACTTTGGCGAAGGCGCCGCCAGCGAAGGCGACTTCCATGCAGGGCTCAACATCGCCGCTACTCGATCCTGCCCGGTAGTCTTCATCTGCCGCAACAACGGCTACGCCATCTCCACCCCCACCCTAGAACAATACCGCGGCGACGGGATCGCCAGTCGCGGCATCGGCTACGGGATCGACACCATCCGAGTGGACGGCAACGACATCTTCGCCGTCTACGAAGCCATGCGCGAAGCCCGCCGCATCGCCCTCCAAGACGGCGGCAAACCCGTCCTAATCGAAGCCATGAGCTACCGAGTCTCCCACCACAGCACCAGCGACGACAGCTTCGCCTATCGCGCGCGAGTCGAAGTCGAAGACTGGAAACGCCGCGACAACCCCATCATCCGACTCCGAAAATGGCTAGAAAACGAAGGCCACTGGAACGAGGACCTCGAGCGAGATACCCGAGATCAGCTCCGAAAAGCCGTCCTCAAGGAATTTGGCGAAGCCGAACGAGAGAAGAAACCCCCTCTTCGGGAAGCATTCGAGGGCGTATACGAGGAATTAACCGAGGAAGCAGAGGCGCAGAAGCAAGAGCTGAAACGGATTCTAGAAACTTATCCGGATGAATATGATCTTCATCAGTTTCAGGATGGAGTCAAGGGGTTATAAATAGATTTTTGATGGTGTTTGCAGATAGTGTTCTACTAGATGTATGTAGAGCTCAAATGACTTGACGGTTTGATGCTGTCTTAATCATCAAGGACGGATGTACATCCCTTACGTGATGGTGTTAGCATCGGTGAATGATGTGTTAAGGCTTGACTTGGTGGTCTATACACTCTATTTCGCTCCGTATTATGCGATAACCTCCATTGACATAACATTTATAGGATTTAGCATTACAATAACCAGTAACAACACGCGTGTTCATGACAGTATAGACGATAATACACGCTCTAATTCCAAGCCCGGAGAAAAAGAATGTCTCACGGCCTCAACATCTGAACAACCTATTTATATACAAGATTCTTTGATACAACTGTACAACACTCTGTTCATTATGTATGCATACACTGAATGTATTTTCCAAGTCCAAAAAGTGCAATATCCCAAAATATGCATACCGCTAGTAGGAGCCCCGATACCACCCCGTTTTCGAGCAGGTGGGCTTATCCAATCATGCCAAAATCACAAGGGTCATGCAATCAATCTGACATCAGCCATTCGGGAATCGCGTCTTCGTCTTCCGGATCTTGTGACAGTAATGATGTTTCTTCGTCGCTGTGCGTTTCCTGGCTGGTAATTCCAGGAGTAGGAGAACGCGAGTCTGCTTGTGAAGCAGCCTGGGAATAGGTGGATTCGAAAATCGTCGGAGTGGCTTTGACAAAGGATGCATCGGATGGGTGGTTTCCAACCTGTGGCGGGTACCCTAGTTCCTCTCTTTGGCTTTCTGGGAGAAGGCCTGTATTCCTAGGAGCACCTGTGAAGCCTTGGATTGAAGTTGTCTGATCTGGAATTCCAATCTTGGGCACAACAACCAGGCTGTATTGTGGAAATTCCGTCGGGTGATTCGTATGCGCCCCCCTTGGATTGTTGTCAAGGGGTAATGGCACCTCATTGGCGCTTGCTTCCGGTATAAACCCTCCACCAAGCACATCAGGCGCGGCAGACATGGATATGTCTTTATCTGAGTGCTCTTGGGTTTCTGAGAGTTCCATATTATCCATCATTGCCTCTTCAGGCTCTGGGAGAAACCCGCCGCCCAATTGTTCCACATCCTCAACGTCTTTGGGGTTCTCTTCCGTGTCACCCTCTACCATATAGCCTTTGACCCTTTCTGCAATGCGTAGTTTAAGGAGAAAGTGTCTCCACAATCGGAGTGCTTCGGCGGACTTTCTTTCTAGTTCGGCTTCCATCTTTTCACTCTCCAAACCCCCAATCACTTCTTCAAGTGCCTCTTGATATTCGCTGGCAATGACAACTCCCTGGAGTATCGCAGTTCCGTGGCGTCCACTGAAGTTGAAACCTGTAACCGCGTCCGCATAGTCAATGGCGAGAAGCTTGGCAGCGTATGCAGCATCAGGATGAGTGATGTGGACACCACCAGGAGGTACCATACTTGGTACAAATACATCCAGATTTCCATACATATTCTTGGGTATTCTCCCTCGAACCACTGGTGGGGGCTGGTATATCTGTGTCTGGCAATAAGCATACAGGGGTGTTTCGGCGATGGACTCATCCGCCTCGTCAAATGGCTCCGCTTGTGGCTTCCTCGAAGGGACACACTTCAGCGGCTGCTCGCCGGTCTTAATATCCCGTCCCAGACGGTACCAGCGATCTGCGCTCCGGAGGGCATGTACGTCGGATCGACGATACACAGGTTCCAGGACCTGGTTTTTGGTTCCTGTTTTTCCAAGGGTGACTTGTCCAATAACCCGTTTTGGAAAGACAACTTCGTTCCGACGAAGATGTCGTTCCAGGGCGTAGAATGGATGGCCCTTGAAATCTTGGATATTTCGAGGCATCGGCTCAGCAGCCATCTTTGAAGTAAGCTCGCTAATCTCCAACTCATCTCGATCTTCCAGAAAAGGCTTCTCGTAAAAGAGCAGCGCCTTGTTCCACCAATTTACATGGCTCTTGACTGATTCAATGCGCAACTTGCGAGTTTTTGCATTAAAAGCCTTTGCATACCTCCTGGTAACATCCCTGGCGGAAGCATCGTCCTCAAATGCTACCACGTAGCTCATGATATTGTATGGATCGCTTGCTGGAGGCTCAAACTTGGAAGGCTTTCCTAAGGACTTGGTAACCAAAGTATCAATAGGGATCCATTTGTTGAGTGCCTCATTCAAGGCTTCAACCCAGAAGATCGGGTGTGATGACTCTCGGATAACGTTGGGCGAACCTTGCATCTCTGCTCAGCTTCATACTAGTATTAATTGCATGCAGGGCTTACTTCTGGTAGGAGTTCTGGGGCGTTGAGGTGCGAACTGTGGACGGCCAATTCTTCGCAAATTAGAGCGCTGGGAAATTCGTGCTTCTCCAGCTGACCTACCAGGGCTGTCTGACGAAGTAGGAAGATTGTCAGGGACTACAGGCGGCGTTACATCCTTGGTCGTGCCCGAGAATGGCAATGGCTGCAGAGAACAGACAAGCCTTGCCTCCACTCCCACGGACCGTAGTAAAGCGCAAAATAATTGAGCGCCAAAGTCTCGTGAGCCTTGCAATGTTTTTGCTTGTTTTGTAAAGTCTTCCCGCGAGAGGAAGATCTCAGCGTCGCTTATAATATGTTCCTGTGGAAGTCAGAGTCTGCTTGCTGTATCCTGTTTGCGACCTACTGCTCGTTTCTTCAAAGAGTCAGGATTATCTATCCAGAAAGGGCGTTTCAGCCCCGGTGCTGTCACCTTGAACCTTCTATTGAATGCATCACTAGCTTGATTCAATCCATCAACGAAGGTTGTTGACCTGGTCTGCTGTGGCCTTTTTTCTGACGGGTGCAGTAGGCCAATAATCTGTTTCGGCAGCATCCGTTTAAGGAAGCCCTATTGATATTGTCAGATCCCAATCAGTTCCCTATAGTAATCTACAGTGCAGCCTTCTGTTGCTGCCTCCCACATTGCCCCTTAAAGCGCGTGCCATTCACCAGACAAGACAGCTGAAACGCACCTGTACTTCCTCATTGTTGCACCAGAGGTTACGTATCTGCACGTGAAGCAGAAGACAAAGCAAGTGGACCTTATGTATGTTTAATCTCAGTTGCTTCTCTGCAGCTGTGATCACCCTTCGCCGTGGGACTACTTTGCGCTTTTGATCCTCAGGCCGATCCAGAGTGACCTGGATAGACGTATCGTCGGTTTGATTATTATATGAAGTCTGGTGGATATCAACCTCTTCCCATTCCATATCCGATTCTTCGGATGATGATGGAGAATCATACACCGTCTGGACATGGTGAGCTGGTTGGGTGTCTTGTGGAGTGACTTCTCGACTCAAGGGCCGAGGGCTGGATACGGATTTTTGACCAGCAAGCTTCCTCCTCTTGCGTGGTGCATCCTCTGGCTGGGATTGTTCTCGAGCTTCAGCCTCTGCTAGCATCTCCCGGTAGACCTCGGGGATGTCATGTTCTTGGTCTTGTTGCCGCCTCCGCGGACGGCTAGAAGCTCCCGCTCTTGCGGAGCGAGTAGTGGCGGTACGCCTCGCCATGACGAACAGTTAGGTGTAGAAGACCGTTCCACGTCCAGCATCTGGCCCAAGCATCTTGGTGCCTTGGTAGGCTGTGCTCAGTTCTCACTCGGCAGGCGCGTTGATGACGCTTATTCGACACGTGATGCACTGTTTACCCTGTTTGCAGTCCGGCCCTGCGTTGTTCCGCCGTGCGGCTAAAGTGGGGCTGTCTGGGGCCCCACCGTTGAAGCCTCAAGATAGATACTAGATAGTAGTAGGTAGGTACGGAGTAGATAGGGAGTGTGATTGTAGAAATGCAGATCAGGTACATACTCATTAGAGAGATCAAAAAGATGATAGATTCTGTGTGTGACGGTGTATCCGACTTTTTCTCAGAATTTAGGCAAAGAGTTCTGAACTTCCAGGCTACAAAAATATATTTTGTAGTACCATTATTGACATGAACACATCATGAAGAGACTGGATAACAAAATAAGCAATATACAATCGAAGCCGACTTTCAACAGCCTAATTTCGTTTTCAGAGACCTGATAAGATTAGTTTGGAAGGAATTGGCAGCAGTCCCAAGTAGCGTACGGAGAAGATAGTTTTGAAAAAGCAACTTGACTCAACCGTCAGCAAATATGCTTTGACTACAGATCCTGACAGTGAGACATCCTCAAAGGCATAGATCATTAGCTACTATGCATGCAATTATGAATTACTGTTTCCAATCCCTGGAGGACATTACAAATACAAATACAAAATGAGGCCTGGATGCACATCCATTACTAATCATCATACGCCTAAAATAGAAGAACCACACGTGACCATCCTTCCGCGGCTTTGGCATCTCAGGCTCACATTCCAGCATCCCCATCTCCTATCATTAGACTAAACATCCAGCATGGGCTGGGTAGGGGTCGCAACCCTTATTGCAACAGCATGCTTCTTTTTATACTATCACCCCCCCGGGACCTGGGCTCCTGAGGCCCCAGCATCAGAGCCACCGAAGGCGTCCATCCCTGCGGCTCGCGCGACAGAGGAAACAAAAGGCAACAGTGAAGCAAAGCCCGCTCAAGAGGAAGATGACCTTGCAAAAGATTCCGAGACAACTCCCAAGGCATCTGCAACTGCGCCAGCACTCGACGTGCCCTCCTTTCAACTAGAAATCCCCGTCGACCGAGCAGCCCCTCCCCCGTCTGGCGGCGATCAAACTCAAAATGCGATGAAGCCCCCTTCTGAACAGCCAAAGATGGGCGACAACATCCTCATGCCTCCGCCTCCTCCGCCACAGCAACCGACTGCAGCGAAAACCTCCTCCCTGATGCCTCCTCCTGCCCCACCTCGTCTCCGTCCGATAGTGTCCCAGAACCAACCCTCTTCACCAGGACAATTTCCTCCACGCCCGAATACCACAAGCTCACTGCGTCCGCCACCCTCTGCTGCAGCTTCGTTGCGCGTCCCGCCCAGCCGTCTCTCAAGCAGCACATTAGCGCCAACCAAGGTGACCGCGAAACCATCGAGTTCTTCGAAACGAGCGGTTCTCGAACCGGGATACTCGCCATTGGACTGGGCCGCGCTGACATCCAACCCGAACAACAAGCTACGGGGCGAGAATCTCCCTCCGACATTGATCCGGGTGACACCGTCGATGTTGAAGACACAGAACGGGCGAAAGGGCGCGGATGCATGGACATCATACCAGGGGAAGGTTTACAACATCACACCATACATACCGTTCCACCCCGGCGGAAAGGGGGAATTGCTTCGCGGCGCAGGAAAAGACTCGGGGAAGTTATTCTTCGAGATCCATCCATGGGTGAACTGGGATGCCATCCTGGGCGAATGTCTCGTTGGGATTCTAGTTTCCGAGACTGAAGAACCCAACGAGAATAAACTGGACGCGATGGATTGATCCATTCTTTGCCTCTCATTCTGGTCATTCCTTGCTATGACCAGTGTAATCTACTATAGATGATACCCTTAGATACAATACATAGACTACATCCCTTCACATCCTCCTCTTCCCTAAAGAAAAGAAGAGAAGACTAAATTACAACTCATCCTTCCCCACCCCATCAATCCCCACCAACTCCGTCTCAAAAACCAACGTCGCACCCCCCGGAATCGGTCCTACTCCACGATCCCCATATCCGTATTCAGGCGGAATCGTCAACTTGCGCTTCTCCCCGATGCACATGTCCAGCAGTCCTTGATCCCATCTACACAAAGCTCAATTAGCATTATCCTTAAGTAACCCCTTTTCCCTCCTCCCCCCCCTGGGGGGGGGGGCTCTCAGCAAACCAAGGAAGAAGGAAAGAACAAACCCCTTAATAACCCTCCCCGACCCCAATTTAAACTTCAACGGCTGGCCACGGTTATAGCTCGCATCGAACTCGGATCCATCCGAGGCGAGGGTGCCCCGGTAGTGCATGGCGACATTATCCCCGTTTTGGGTTTTGCGGGTGCAGGAGACGGATTCGGTGACTTCGATGAGGAGGGGGGTGGCGGTGGTGAGGGTGGTGAGGGTGAGGGTTAGGAGGGGGAGGAATTTCATTTTGGTTGGTTGAGTAATTGATTGATTGATTGGGGGTTCGAGGAGAGGGAAAGTAGTGGGTTGGTGGTGGTGGTGGTGGGAGGAGGATACGTATACCGGAGGTGAAGGTGCGGAGGTAGTTGGTTGGTAGGTAGGCCGCGGAGGTTACGGTGGTTGCGGTGCGGGTGGCTGGGCTGCTAATTGGATGGATGGGAGGGGATGTGGATGAGCCGTCGGTTGTCCGTCCGGTGCGGGTATGGCGGGCTATGGGCACCCGCTACTGCTACCTACTATGTAGTAGTAGATACGGAGTAGATGGGGTGAATATGATTTTTGGTGTTAGGTATTTGTTGTGTTTTATTGGTTTGTGTCCCTGTTACTTTGGAATAGAGATATGTATCATAGAAGTGTGTGATGACTCAGGATGTAAGCGGATGACTCATAAAAAGCATGCATACTTTTCTTTGTCTTGTATTGAGTACGGATCTTCAAATGGTAGATAGATAAGCCTTGCTCTACCACGGTTGTAGATATCATCTCCATCTTGTGTCCACTATTATTTACAGTAACTGTTCGACAACCAAACTTATCTCAGAATATCCATTGTTTCAGACACAATAAAATAAGACAAAATGGCAACCTGCACAACCATCCCCGTATCCATCCCGAAAGACACCCCATTACCCAAGACTACATTCAAAGAAATCATCAGCACATTCCTCCCCACCGAGTGGCCTCACGTGGACCCAGAAACCCTGACAGTGAAATATACCACCGGCTACGCCAACACAAACTGCATAGTGTCACGACCAGTCCCAGAGAACACCACCTTTTCCGAACCCCTGAAAGTATTCTTCAAGATCCACGGCCCACTGGACGGTGAAATCGAAGTCTTCAAGCACTTAGTTCCTACTAAACACGAGGAAGCACAACTATGCTATGAGTACGGCCAATCTGGTCTCGGAGCCAAGGTATATGGATTCTTCCAAACACCGGATGGCACATTCGGGAGGATTGATGAATTCCTGGATGCACGTCCCCTGGCGCCGGAAGACGTGGAAAATGCAGAGATCAGAGGGGAGGTTGCAAGAGCACATGCTGCTTTTCATGCCATGACAACGCAATTGAAGGGAAACCCCGTTCGGGCGTATTGCGATATCGTCGTTCCAGAGCTGGGACGGTATTATAAGATGGAGAAGTTGAAGAGGTTGGCCAAGGAAGGGGGCGTCAGTATGGACGAGCTTGTTGACTATGACTTTGTGTCCAGACTACGACGAGTCATAGACAGGTTGGACACCATTGGAGCGAAGAAAGGCTGGTGCATCCACGATGTTCAACTGAGGAATACGATGGTGAAGAATAACCCTCAGCAAGGAGAAAGCAAAGTGGTTCTTATCGATTTCGAATTCGTCTTTCAGAATTACCGAGCGTTTGATATTGGGGGACACTTTCTGCAAAAGATGTTTCAGTGGTTTGATGAGGAGACCAAGATTGCCGACTGTCGACCTTATATGGAAGATGAGAAGAGGCACTTTTGTGAGGAATATGCAAAGCAGTGGAATGAGTCGACTGGGGATGAGGATACAGGAGAACAGGTATCTATGGAAGCTGAGCTGGGGGTTATCCTTGCTATCTCGTTCGAGATTCATAACATGCTGTGCTATATGGATCAGGATAATGATAAGGATCCGTTGAACCTGCTGGCATTGAACAGGATGTTTGAGGAGTTTGTTAAGCAGTATGGAACGCTTGGGTTAGGGCACTGAGCGGAATAGGAAGGCAGGCCCAAGGCTAACTTGATAGAATTCTTCATCGTCATTTTACTTGCCAAGCTCGCATTCCATTACAACTGCTGTTGGAACATCCATTCTCTCTGTCTGTTCTCCAGAGATCAGCGGTATATAGTTTTTGTTACTGGTATAGACTGCTAAACACCGTGGAGGCAAGCATCCACGCAGTCGCTTCTTTCGGAGGTCCAAAGGACCCCTCCGGCTATCTTCTCCATACGCACTTCTTATGGATTCCAGCTTAATGATTTGTCTTCCCAAACCAAGCTAACTATTCCCTCACAGACTCTGCTCTATGCAAACAAACCAATTGTGGGTGACACAAGTTGTCGTAAGCAGTTACACGCGCCGGAAATGATAAGTACCCCGCCTGGCTTTCTGAAATGCAACACTGACCTTCCACCTCTCTGCCCCTCTTCTTCTCTTGCTTTGAACGAATATTGATCTTCCAACCTCTCTGCTTCTCTCCTTCTCTTACTCTGAACGAACCCATTTTTAAACATCCAAGATTTCGACAACTACTGCACCCCCTACCCATATCATTGACCCCAACGGCAATGTGACCATAGTGCTACGAAATCCGAACGCCCCTTTCGCACGAGGGGAAGAGCCACTCAGTGAGCCACGGAACGAGAACCATTTCCGTATCCAAGTCTCCGGGGAGCGTCTAAGGCTGTGTTCTTTAGAATTCAACAAACCCCTCACCGAAGGCTGGCTGGGGTGAAACAGGTATATAAAACCCGGCCCCGTTAAGATAGCTGCCGAAGGCTGGGATATAGAGGCACTGTTGATTATTCTTCGTGTGATACATGAACAATACGATGACATCCCACAAGAGCTCTCCCTTGAGATGCTCGCCAAAGTCGCCGTCGTACTTCATTACTACGGATGCAGGGAACTTATGGTTGCATTTACGGAGACCTGGATGAAGGCCTTGGACAAAGACATCGCTGAGACTTATTGTCGAGACCTGATGTTGTGGGTCTGGGTAACCTGGTGCTTCCGCGAGCCTTCCAAATTTAGACTATCAACAGCGATTGCCATGTCATCGAGTGAAGGGTTGATAGACGGTTGGGGGCTTCCGATCCCCGAGAAAATTATCGGTAAGAGGTACTGAAACTCTACATTGTTTCATCTTTTAATAAACTCTCAGAATCAATGAATGAAGACAGACACAAGTTCATCGAGAAGCAAGTCTCGAAAGTCTATTCAGTCTTCGAGGACTTCACTTCAGGCCGCCATCGGGGGTGCAGTTCTGAGTGCCAAAGTAGGGTGATTGGAACTCTGACACGGTATATGAAAGACATGCATATACTTGACCCACGGCCTACAGCCCCTTATCAGGGACTGAATTTCAAAGGTCTCACGAATCAGATCACGTCGTGCAAGTCCCCAGAGTGGCCTAATCCGATGAAGAAGAATACGACATTCGCCCGCTATTGCGAGAACTCATGTTTCTTATCCGACTTTGGGTCTTTGACTAAATATATTCCCGGGCTCGACTTGCCCACTTTGATTAAGCAAGGATATCACTCCTAGCTTCTCATGTCAGCAATTTGTTTATTTTCTCGACGCTATCGCTGAGAAACTAGACAAGTTCACAGTTCTATTTCCTTCACAAAATTGGCCTGTCATTGGTTTTTACTTTTCACAAATAACATAACTCAATCCACTTTGTTAGTGCTTATTGCTTTAACCGAAGAAGGGGATCTGAAGGGGAGATAGAACCCCTCTAGAATGTGTAGACCCAAAACGATATGGTATCGCATCTATCTGGAGAACAGACGGAGAGGAATACGCCTGTCCCAAGAGAATGTATGTTCAGACTGTACGGAGTAGGTCTGAATCAAGTACTCCAACTTTAGGTGCTTGACAGAATCCTTTGAAGTGCTTGGTTGAGCCTTTTAAAAGGCTTTGTTAAACACTTCAAAAGTCCTTGCCAGAATCCTTTCAACGGCGCTTAACTTCTTTACTGGCGTAGCTATAAAAGATTCCTTGACCTACATGCTTGTAGAAATCCCTGTACACTTTAGCTACTAGATAAGATCCCCGAAAACATGCTAATCTGCCAAGTTCAATTTGATGCATACTAAATAAACACTACTAATTAAACCTGTACTTCATGTAGTAGGTTAATTTGGTGGTTAGGCGGTAGCCGGAAGAGCAAAAAGAAGCGGACAAAAAAGTGACTAGACTGGGGCTCGATCCCAGGACCTTATGCGTGTGAAGCATACGTGATAACCAACTACACCATCCAGCCGACTTGGTATGAGTCTTGGTTCACAGGTTTGCACTGTATACAAACTATGGATAATCATGGTGTAAATATTGTAAAGAATCTACCAGGGGGCGATGTTCGTTGATTTTTATTAGGGATAGGATATGTTCATATACAATGTATTTTCATGAAATGTATCTATATATATATATGTACAAAGAACAAAGATTTTGTTTGTGGAGGACATCAAGCCCATTTACCCAACAGGGCCATTAACAAAGATCCCAGACAGAGGAGGCCGAAGGCGGCCAGGACAATGTGGATCGGGGCTTTGCGCATCGAGGTGCTAAACATGAATTCGTGCGCGAGGAGCTCCACCAAGGCGGTGTAGATGAGAATACCGGCGGAAATGGAGTCGAAGACACCGCTGACGATCAACGTCGTGGCGCCGTCAGAGGCATAGGAATTGCGCACACCCAGACCGATTGCGATGGAGATCGGGGTGGAGATGCCGTAGCCGAGACCTAGGAGGTAAGGGGTCCATTTTTTGGACTTGGGCCAAGGGACCGTAGCCAGACGGGAGCCTAGACCCATACCTTCGAAGGTTTGGTGGAAGACGAGGACGACGTAGAGGGTGACGAATTCTGAGCCGGTGGTTGCCAGGGTCAATCCGATGAAAATGGAGTGGAAGATGATTCCGAACTCTAGAATGAAGATGGAGGTTAATTGAGCCATGTATTCCTCCAGATCGGAATGTTTCTTCCCGTGCTCGATGTCGTGGTGTTCGCGGGAGTGGCCGAGATGGTCCTCTCCTGGCATGTGGCCCTTCAAGTCCACTGATTCAGCTGGAGATGGGGAGACGGAATGCTCCATCTCCACGTGGTGGTGGTCGTCTTCTTCATCGTCATGAGCGTGGCCGTGTCCGAAACGTGCGAATCGCATGACCATTAGCTCCACGAAGAATAAGACGACAATTGTCATGAGGACAATGCCCTCGACCCATGAGTATTCTGTGATTGGGCCCGTCAGGCAGGAATCCGTTAGCGCCTCTTCTGCCGGTGCCAGAAGATGGATGAATGCCGTGGCAATAATGACACCGGAGCCAAAGTATTTGGCAATGAAGAAGGCGCATTTTGCAATTTTGGAGTCCTTGAACCCCCGGGCCATGACAGGGAACAGAGCTCCGCATGCTGAACCAATGAGGATGACAAAGATTGAAGAGATACGCAGGCCCATGCGGCCGTCGAAGTCATTGCCGGATTCACAAGAGTCCCTTGCGACCAGGGTATGAAGAGGCTCCATTATTTCCACCATATATTTATCTAATCCGCCTGTCGTTTGCCGCTGAGATGGCACGGGCCGCCCGGATACTAGGTAGGGATGATCGAGACGACGTCTGACAGGGTTCCGACCCAATGGCAGTGCAGAATGGTGTGACAGGAGGATGGCGGAAGCAAGGCACGTGGAGGAGGAATGCAATGGTCGAAATTGCTGGAGGGAGTCGTCTGCAAGGTCCTCCGCTCTTAAATTGGGATCGTGTGTGCGTCTGGTCGTTCAGTCAAGTCGACCGTCCCCAAGGTCCTTAAGGCTGGTCCACGTCAAAGACGCCGGCGATGGTTGGCGTTGCACGGTGTTGAGGACCTTGGTGGCTCGCGTGGGGGTCCAGATAACGATCGCTTAGCAGCCAATTCCGACACTGCAGAGTCACGCTCAATTAACCAACAACCCGTCCACCCAAGAACATAAAGAACTCAGGAAAATGAGAAGAGAATTGAATAACACAGAAGGAAGACCCGGACTTAAACCGAGAAAGGCCTCCATCGTGGCGGACGACTGAGACTTGGTTCCGTTCCGGGTAAGGCGCGAGGTTGCATCAAATGGGGACCTTGGAGGAAAGCGGCGGTTCATCTCAAGAGTTTTCGAATTCGTGAGGACCTTGGGGACGCTGCCCCTCCTTTGCCGTCCCTGTCATTGGTTCGGTCCGATAGGGGGCGGGGCCTTTGACGTGATTGATTCGGGCCGGAACCCTGTTGATCCGGCGCCTTTGATTTCCTATGCCTAACATTGGTTCTCTGAGGGCGGTGATGCGGGCGGAGGAATCAAGTTTGGCAGAATAACAAGGATGCTCAGCGTTGATCAAGACTATGCTCAGCGACAACCCAGACAGGAGACTGCGCAACAGGATATGAGCATGCTTCGTCACCACAGGCTGCCGAGAAATACACAATGATACTATATCCGATCCAGATCTACGACTTACAGACCAGACAGATAGACTCCGAAAGGAAGGCGGAGCAGCAGCATGATCGATGACGCCTACAATAGCCAAGCGGAGCACGTCGAATGCGTTACCACGGCTAAAGAATACACTCATGAAGATTAATATACAGGCTTTCTTCGAATCTCGAACCTCGAACCGAAACCGTTGCCATTGATTGGCTGAAAGCACAAAACATTTATCGCCGATGAGGTCGTACGTGGAAGCTAGACAAATTCTTGTCCTCGATCTTAACTGCGATCAGCTGTCCGACGTTGAGTCATTGAGTAGTCAGCTTGGCGTCTGGAACAACTAGCACTGCGACTCACGATCTGCTTACTTCGATGCTGACTGTGTGGTGGAACATATTCTTGGTTGGCATGGGCATTCCGCAGGGGTTTTACTCGTATCAGCGACACGCCAAGGTGTTGTGGGTATCATGAACTGACATCTAGCATGATGCAATGGTTCGGCGAACTTCTTTATACTCAAGATCGACTGTCTCTTGCTGGGATGAACACCGACGCGATCGTCTGGAAGTTGCTCTGAACACTATTCAGGTCCGCGCTGATATGAAACTACAGCTACCTGGGTATCAACAGACGTGAAGGCACTGGAAGGCCATTAAGTATGCCATGTCTCTTCTCAGGCTGGCCTTCTCCATGAGACTGATTGATATATTGGTCCCAGGCTGTATCCTGAATCGTTCTAGATGTTGGACCCTTTCACGCGTGCTAGCATCTACCCGTGTGGCAACTAAAGAACATCTAGCATCTACACATCGCCGACTAATATCTCGTGGGATAGTGTTGCCAACTGTGATGTCTATCGACATCTCATCCGTCAGGCTGGCGCTTATGGGGAATGGCGATGAAGCGGGGTATTAACACAACGAAGCGCCGGAGATATAAGCGCCGAGCGGGCTCAGAAGGCTGTCCGAGGCGAGAGTAGCCTCGCCACTAATTCATATCAACTTTTTTGCAGCTTCTATTAATCTGGCCGCTAGATCCTACCTGGAATTATATCCGAGTCAATATACAGCACCCATGCAGCATCATTGGACGAAATGTTTCAGTGCACAAGTATCAAAGAGATACCTTCCGAAGCGATCACAGTAGCGATATTCTGCACCCTGGCATTCGAGGCAGTCGCAATCAAGTACATCTTTGACGAAGAGTTTACATGTCATCCAACATGCATAGGTCCAAAGAACTATATCTATTCCTTCGGACGTATCGGGAACCACAATATTATCCTCACCAGACCCCATCGCATCGGACCCGTCAAGGCCGCCCATTGTGCAGCGACAGTCAGACAGCAATTCCCAAACGTACAATTCGCTCTGAGCATCGGCACCGGAGGCGGTATTCCACGTCCTCCAAGACACGATATCCGTCTAGGCGATATCGTCATCGGCATTCCAGGCGACAACCACCCCGGCATCCTCGAGTACGACTTTGGCAAATACGAACAAGACCGATTCGTGCTCAAAGCATGTGCCAACAAACCCCCATCAATCCTAATCAGCGCAGACGGATCTCTAGAAGAAGACGAGATAATGGAAAGAAGTCCACTGAGCAATGTCTTGAAAAACTTAACTGCGCGGCCTAAATATGCGCGTCCAGGCAACAAGGACATCTTATATGATGCAGTATTTCACCACATCAATAAAGGAGACGATTGCAGTGGCTGCGAAGCGTCCACTGAGAGAAAACACGTATCTCGACCCATGCGTCCTCACCACCAGCCCTATGTTCACCGCGGCCTTATTCTCTCTGGAAACGGCGTGGTCAAGGACCCGCAGGTTCGAGATCGTCTACGGCGGGGGCATGACGATGCGGTCTGCTTTGAGATGGAAGCAGCAGGAATTGTGGATGAAATTCCTTGTTTAGTTGTGCGTGGTATATGCAACTATGCCGATACGCATAAGCGGGACGCATGGCGTTATTATGCTGCGGCGGCAGCAGCAGCTTATGGCAAGGTTATTTTGCGCAAAATTGACGGATCGGATATGCGACAGAGTAGTGCTGTAGGCTTTTGGTTAGGTGTGGTGATGGGAGGAATAGGAGCAGTCTTGATTGGATTAGGGTAAGAGACCTCCTACACTATTTTGAGAGTTTGAGAAAGCTAACCGTGTCAAGATTTCTCTCAGGAAGATTCCTTTGAAGCAAATATCCCGCTCAGGTCGATTGATTGTTTCTGAAGAAGCTGCTTCCAGGTCATCTGTTGACATATCTGGGGAACCCGAATCCAGACATTGCCTGTCGCTACAGGGTAACCGTCTGATAACGCCCATCCAGCTGTTGCGCCGGATGTCGTTCTCCAATTCCCGAAAGGATAATTTTCTTCACCGCAGCCTACTCAAGAGAAAAGAACTCAAACCATATGCCACCTTCCGGTCCACTAATATCGTTTATACTGCGAGATCCCGGTGATATCACCTCCATGTAGGTCCGGAGTAGAATCTACCATTGATGTGATTAGCCAATCTGACGCCGTATCAATCAATCGACCAATCTTCATCCCGGCAGTCTCTACTCCAGACCCATAAACATCTCCATCTCATCGTAATCATCGGACAGGAAAGACATAGTACAAGCTTCGATGAAATCTACTATGTATGATACCAATAATCTGATTTACTGCAAGTCCAGATGCCAAAGTGTCGAATGCATTATCTTCACTTCACTTCACTTCCCACCACATAAATAACCCCATCTACCCCATAACCACATCTCCATCCTACAACACATAACCACCATCCAATTCCCAAACCCCCACGTAACCTTAACCATCACCTCGAAATACAATCCAAAACGGTCGCAACCTTCATCAATCTCAACCCCTCTATCCCACTACACATCCAACTCGAAGACCCCCCAACCTTCGGCCCCTGCATAACCTTCTGGAGTTTAGGGAGTCGTTGGAAGGATATCCCGATGGAACGGAGTATCGGATTGTGTTGTATAGGATGAAGGGAAAGGGTTGAGGGGGATTGCTTGGGGGAGTGAGTACTCTCACTAGTCTTATGGATGGGTGGGGGTAGAATTTGTCTTGGGTATAATGTTGAGTTCTTAGGAGAGGAAGATTGTTTTATGTATCCGATGTTGGTCGATTTGAGGGTGGGTGGGTTGGTGTATGTCTGGCTTGCGGAGGGGAGGGTTTGTTTTGGGTCCCATGTATCATACATTATCCAAGATCTCCGTATAGGACAAAGGAAGACGGGTATGGTTTGTTTTGCGTCGAAGAGCAAATTCCTGTAACTAAGCTACAAGCTTTCAGGTTTTTTTTTTTGTAATGTTTGGTAGACAAATGACATTTTGCTTGCTGGACTTGGTAGCTCTCGATGTATTCTCTAGGCCCAGAAGGCTAGTCTTTTATTAGATAGACAAATTTCGTACTCTAGAATAGATAATATAGATGAAGGATGTAGATGGACCCTTGGAATAATCTCTCTAGTGGTAAGATACTATATACTCGTTTTGTATATGCTTGTGCTTTTTCACTTTTCTCATTATTTCTGTTTTGGTTTAGGGAATTGATGTCTCTCGTCTTTCCAGGCGACTGTATTGACACAGTAGCTGTTGAGGAAGTAGTTATAAGAAATCATATAATGAAGCAAAATATCTATCTATCAGCAGATAGGAAACTAAGAAGCCAATAGGCTGTTATCATACAAAAACATGATATATCCAAACAAACACAAAAGCCGGAAGCTTATATCTTCGCCGACCTAGCAGGAGCAAAGTTCGAGCCCATCCCCTCACTAATAGACTCCACAATATCATCCACACTATTTATTATCCAAGTGTTACCCTCATCACTAGCCAACCACTTGGCTCCCTCCTCACTCTCCACATCATTCACCCACGTGCCGTCCTCCACGGCCTTTCGCAATCCAAACACATGTGAGGTCACCTGGGGACCCACACCCGTCTGTGCACGAAGACAAGACACAGCCACAATCGACGTCGCGAGTCTGCCTACATTCGCACCGGTGCTCCGCGCAGGGTCCGAGAGCAGAGCACCGTAGTTGAAGTTTAGGATGTGAACTGGCAGGTCGGGATGCGAGTCCCCTAGCTTATTGTAAAGTTTTGTCTCGAAGGGCCGGTAGATCGAGTCCCAGAGGTTCTGGCCCCTGGTGCAGATCTCGTGGATGTTGTCTTGGGTGGGTGTGCGGGTTGGGGTTTGTGATAGTTGAGAACTGATGGACTCAGGAAGACTGGCTTTGAAGGCGTTGAGACAGTTGATGGTTCGTGGGATGCCGTTGAAGCTGATGCATTTGAGACCGACTTCGCGCATGAATTCGGCGGTTGCGATGCTTTCTTTGGGGGATTGGGAGGTGCTGGCTAGTTGGAAGAGTTCGGAGAGGGATTCGGGGGAGTTCATGGTCATTGTGGTTGCTGTCTATAAAGCAGAGATATTGTTAGATATGATGTCTGATGATGTTAGCTGGGTATGGACTCACCGATAGAGCTAGCCATGATGGTTGGGAGAGGTTCTGTGATTGTGCGCTTTGCTGGATGTTCTTGTACACAGACTGGATGTTGCGCGGAGCAGGCACGGTGTTGGGGCGTGCTGCAGGGGCGTTGATTAGCGCCTTGAGGTTGTGGGATAGCTTGGACATCTTTCTTCGCTTGCTCCTGTATGCCTGTGACTTCATGGGTGTGAGGAATGAGGCGGAGCGGATCGTGGATGCCGAGGAGCTTGTCTTATCTACGGCCTCGGCTTCCAGAACTGGCCCCGATCGCTGCCGCAGGCCCGTCGGGAGCTGATTGGCCGCCACTGCATGGCGGGGTCGGAGCGGGATAACCTCTTCCGGGAGTATGGCAGAGAGAGTATCTTCCCTGTTACATGGCTATCACGTTAGATGGAATGAATTCATATGCGGAGCGAATAACAAAGTGTAGCCCTGCAAGGATGCAGAGGAGTTCTAATGGATGTGACCAGCTGCATGTTGATCTTGCAGCGGTACCATGTTCACCAGCCAAGCTTCAGCTATATTCTGAAGAAAATGAAGACTCGGTTACGGTAACTGTCTTTTCTGGAGAGGATATTCTTTCCATCTATCGCATATGAACTGTTGATCACATCAGATGTTATGTAGGCTTCATCTGGTTGCATATGTTTGACAAGGCACACCTGCATAAGAACTGCCTTCCCCGATGTTGATTGGGCATAAAGGGAACAGAATTTGTGGGTCTAGAAGACCATTGCTTAGCAGGGATGCATCCATTTTGCCTGAATGCCACCGTGAAGCTCAATGCACTAGCCTGCTTCGGGATAAGTGTGGACCTTGCATGCATTGTACTTCTGTGAGCCACCCGTTTCCTAAGATAGACGGCTGGCGCTCGGTCTTTATGCCTGACATCTATATCTGCAAGAAGTTGAAGCTAGGATCACCATATGCTTGGCTTCCACGACCGTGCGAATCATTGAATGGAACGCAAAACGGGATCCTTCCAAGCTAGCAGCAGACCAGATAGCAACCATGTCCCACATCATCAGTTTTTGGGAATCGTCTCAGTGTTGATAGAAAACGGGCCGCCGAAGATAAAAGGCCCTGTCCTGGGGATGACTTGAAGCGACCGTAGGGCAATGATGCTTAGGGCTTTGATGGCCCCTGATTGATACTATCCTCGCAGTCATGGTATGGTGACAATGCCAATTGAGTTAATGATCATACTAGAGCGATCGAGGTGTGAAATTTGGGATGACGCCCATGGTGCGAGATGAGCACCTCGATATTCCTGCGAAAACGTTCACTGGATCCACATCCAGGCCCATTTCGCCAATCGCTTATCTGCAGATGAACCACGCCCACCAGAAGGATTATCGTGCAGGCGTCTGGTATCGCAGGATCCCTAGCTCAATAACGAATGTAAATTCTGATCATCTCTCGGATCCGACGACTCCATCAATGGCGGAATTCACGACAACATTCAAGCCTTATTATTAAGGCTGGCCATGTTGCGCCGAGATTGGGCTCATATTGGCAGTTTGTTTCACTATTCTATTTTGGACCATCGGGTATTCACAGGGTTCTGGCAGGGCAAATAACCATCCAATATGTTGGGACACATGTTACACAAGCGTCGCCATCTTGGAGGTGGCTTACACTTCATCAGATGGAATGGACTCCTGAAACACCGACCGAGAAATGTCGATGCTGATTTATTTTGCTCTGGATAATTTGTGAGCCCATCGTGGAACTCAAAAAATGTATCAAAAGCACTGACCTCAATAGAGAAAGTGAGGCTTCTAAATTCAGACGGTTCTTCAATTGGTGGGTCGAGGTAGCGATCATCCGGATCCGCTGTGCCAATCAACGGCGGCAGGGATCCAGTAGCGTTAGCCAGGGTGGGTTCAAGTTGCGCCACGAGCACGTCCACGTATATGGACAAAAGCCATGTCCAATGGCGCGACCGCAAGTCCGTCGGATGTTTTTGGGGCAATGATGGCTCGGATGAGGTGGCTAGTTGCGACCAGACCGCCCTTTGACCACGACACGCCCAACTCCCACACGCGTCCCCCTCTGCTTTAATTCTCATGAACGAGAGTCCCGGCCGGTGCAAAGGGGAGGGTGGTCAGTTGGTCCTTTGTGGACGTACGCCGTAATGATGCCATTCATTCCACTGCTGTTCGTCCTGGCGAGTCTAACTTTGCTTTTTTCACGACGTAAACACAAGGCCATCGAAGGCGCAGAGCCCCGGGTGGTCGTCAAGGGTCACACATACTCTGATAGTGTGGAAGAGACTGAGCTTCAGCCTCTACCGCGAAAGAAAGTTGAGAATGTTCGAAATGCTTGTATCATTGGGGCCGGACATGTGGGTAAGGATGGGTCTTCTGCAAGAACTTAAGAGGAGTACTAATTGTCGGTCAGGTGCATTGACGGCAGCCGTGCTCGCCTCTCAAAATCCTCATGTCCAGTTCTGCGTGGTTGACAACGATGCGGCTCTCATCGCGGCCTGGAACTCTGATCGCCTCCCGGTGTTCGAGCCAGGGCTGGACGAGCTGCTGTTTGAAGAGGCGCCAGGACTCGATTTGGATGCGGCAGCTGTTACAGAGCAGTCGATTGAGAGCGTCCAACCCCGAAAACGGAAATTGGCAAACTTGACATTCTCGACAAGTGTCCACGCGGGCGTGGTCGCAGCAGACTTGATCTTCCTTTGTGCAGAAACATCGTCGACCATAACGGTGGGACATACATCCAAGAATGACAATCAATCGCTAATAGTGAGACAGATTGATGAAAAAGAGCGTCTGGACCTGTCACAGTTAGAGTATGCCATCCGAGCAATTGCCCAAGTATCAACTGGCCACAAGATTATTGTCCAAAAGAGCACAGCACCTTGTGGCGTCGTCCAACGGATGAAAAAGATCGTGAGCAGCCATCCATATGGGCAATATACATACTAACAGACGCAGTTGCGCAAATCTGCGTCCCCATCGGCCTCATTCGATGTGTTATCCAACCCCGACTTTCTTGTCCCGGGCACTGCCCTCCACGACCTTCTTTACCCTCCGCGAGTCATCATCGGCCACATTTTCTCCGAAGACATGTCTCCTGAAGCCCTGAAAGCACTTAAGCAGCTATACATTCCTTGGATCCCCGAAGAGCGCATCATCACCATGGATGCATGGTCTTCCGAACTCGGTAAAATAGCCGCGAACGCATTCCTCGCCCAGCAGATCAGCAGTCTTCACTCACTAAGTGCCATCTGCGAGTCAACCAACGCCAACATCAACCACATCACCCAGACCCTGGGACTACCGCAGCGAGTCGGCTTTGGCTTTGGCAGTTCACACCTGCAGACTGAGGTTCTCTGCCTGGTCTATCTTGCTCGCGAGCTAGGATTGCAGCAAGTTGCAGAGTACTGGCGAGCCGTCCTTCGCATGAACGATTCCCACAATCGACGCATTGCCAAGCGAGTGTTGTCGCAGTTATCCGGCGATCTCACAGAGCAAAAGATTGCGATTTTGGGATTCACCCCGAAGGAGAACAACAGCCAGTACTCCGTGGCACTGGGTCTGATCCGAGACCTGACGAGCAACGGGGTGCAAGTGAGCATCCATGACCCATTTATTCCTGCAGACCAGCTAGAGAATACGTTGCGTGTGAGCAATGCGTCTCTCGAGACTGTTACAGTCGCTGAGTCAGTGGAGGCGGCATGTGCGGGATGCAGTGCTGTTGTTCTTCATACGGACTGGGAGACATTCGGGCATGAAAAGGTCCGATGGCAGGGTATTGCAAGTCAGATGCAGAGCCCGAAGGTGTTTTTGGATCCTTATGGCGTCTTTGATCAGTTCAAGATGCAGCAATGGGGATTCAAGATGTTGCAAGTGGGTGTGAGACAGGCGGAAACGCAGTGATGACCGTTATGCTATTGTACTTTTTATGACCATGTTCTTTTGTTTATTGTGGCTTTGGCGGGCGGCGCATGTGAGAGGTCCACAGGTGTTCTTGTGATCAAGGGCATCGCGTGATTTTGTTAGTCTTGAGTGTGAGCGTTATGGTAAGCGATATAGCGATGTTGCTGATATAGGTTATAATGACTGAGCGTTGTTTTCGCTGTTCAACAAAAATGTGGCCGAATGTCAGAGTAGGGGAGTACGTGCCTTGTAATCCGGATAGATTGGTATCGTGTGAGGTGAAGACGCCCTTACAAACATCGAATATGTCTCGTACCGTGTCAACTGATTATGAGTACCTTGTTCCACCGAATGCCATTTGTGTCTCTGGAAGAGCGATACAAAACCATGGCTTACATATGCACAAGCCCGTGGTTCCGAGATTCCATGGGGAAGCACCCGCAAAACCGTTGAGGAAGCCTCGAGGCATTTTCCCGAGATGACGTCTATGGCCTGCTGCTCAATGAAAGGTGTCACTGGCTTCTCACATAGCTGACTATCGGGAAGCTGACTTACCACCCCTGTGACGATATTATAGGCAACCCGTATTTTGAGCCGATATCAATATCCCAGAATGTTTCGGAGGGAGGTGTTGGGTATGCGTCACCTATAAGCAAATGATAAAACTAGAAATCAGCAGAGTTTCCTTGTGAAGCCTTCTTCAATCACCGGAAAGAACCTCCCTGAAACCATGAAGAGAGTTCAATTCAATAGCCATATAGAATATTCAGGCTTTTAGAATATCATAGACATGACTTTTGAAACTTCCAAGAATGTAGGGGAAGTTCGTGAATAGTAAAAGTGAGCGTTGCATCTACCGAAGCTGAAGCTCCGCAGATGCGGAGGAAGAGAACCGAGATGGCTCCGGATGGCAAATCCGGGATCCCACGTAATGTATATATGGATTTCGATACGATTCACCTATAGCAAAGGTAGTACAGATGCTTTAGACTAACCACCCTTACTCCTGGGTCAAGAATCAATGAGGAACTTGCGTTAGACTCAGCCAGAGATGAGATATTGAAGAGTGCAACCTGGTAGCTGTTAATGTTAGCAACCAAAATATTATACAAGGGAAATAACGAAACGAACATCAGATCTCAAGCCAATAATGGGAATAAACTAAAGCAAAGCAATGCCTCTTCCCGTCAAAGCGGGGTAATCAAAGTACCCCATCCAACCACCCCATCTCCCCACACCCATACCTTGACCACAAACTCAACATCCACCACCCAACACCACAACCACCATCATGCCCACAAAAACCATCATCATAATCGGCATAACTGGCAATCAAGGCCACTCCATCGCGCAGCGCTTCCTTCGCGACCCAACCTACCATATCCGCGGCATAACCCGGAACCCATCATCCCCGACAGCCCAAGCCCTCTACGCCCAAGGCATTGAGCTCATCCCCGCCGATCTCGACGACCCCCAAACCCTCATCCCCGCATTCAAAGACGCAAACCTTATCTTCAGCGTAACCAACTACTGGGAACCGTTCTTCCGGCCGGACGGTCGCCAAAAGGCCATTGAATTGGGCATTTCATGTCGGAGATACGCATACGAGGTGGAACTCCAACAGGGGAAGAATATTGCCGACGCGGCGGCAACGACCGTTGATTCTCTCGACGAGAACGGGTTTATTGTTTCAACGTTGAGTCATGCGGGACGGTGTAGTGGGGGGAGATTGACCGAGGTGTATCATTTTGATGCTAAGGCGGAGGTGTTTCCGGATTATGTGAGGGAGAAGTATCCCGAGTTGGCGGGGAAGATGTCGTGTGTGCAGACGGGGTATTTTGTGGGGAGTTATCGGTTGGTTCCGGGGGCTTATTTCGCGAAGGTGGGTTATCGAAAACTTTGTGTGCTCTGCAGCTGACTTGTTTTAGAACGTCACGGATGAAGGGAAAGTTGGGTATGAGATGACGTTCACGACGGCACCGGATGCAGTGGTTCCTCATTTGGATGTTCAGGCTGATATGGGGAATTTTGTGTATGCGGTGGCGAAGATGCCCCCCGGGAAGAGTTATATGGCGTGTGGGACGAGGTGTAGTTGGTCGGAGTATATGAGGTTGTGGGGGGAGGTCAATGGGGTTCCTGCCCGATATCGACAGATTACTTTAAAGGAGTTGATGGAGAGGACTCCTGATCGGGAGTTTGGACGGGAGGTGGGGGATATGTTTACTTATTCGACGGATCCGGGATATGATGGTGGTGATGAGGGGTTGTTGATGGCGAGGGATATAGAGAATGTGAGTGTCGTGGGTTATGAGGGGAGTGATGTGGCTGCTGATGTGTGCATAGGCTGGGGTTGAATGTCCGATGACGAGTTTGGAGGAGTGGATGAAGAAGGAGGATTGGTCGTCTGTTTTGGGGAAATGATGGGGTGGGGTAGTTGATACTCATGATGCTATTCGTGGATGATGTTACTATAAGCTTTTTTAAGAGTTGGTGGTCGGTTTGGGGTGGTACTGGATGTTGCCCGATGTTTGAAGAACCCAGTGAGGTATCTCAATGGAGACACGGCGGGAGAAGGAATTAGGGAAGGCATTGAGTTAAACGTCAAGTAAAACGGTGAACATTTTATCTCTTCAACTATGACAACCAAGCGATCAATTATTCAATGTCCAGTGCAAAGCAATATTATTCCCACTTATCCGACCGGCATGGGTGCCACGGGTATCTGACATTCCAAGTGCGACGAAACTCCTCAGCCTTCTTTCCCTCCAACCCCCATGCTGATATCACTTCTTCTCCCAGACGATACTTCCACTCCGTGGTAATGATCAGGTGGCCATGTCCCGTCAGGTCGTCACGTTCAAATCTCAAGCATTCACGGGACACATCGGACTCCGTACAGAATGAGGACTCCAAAAGTCGTAGACGGGGCATCTGGTGCGCCGCTTTACCCATGGCCTGGTAGAGCGTGTCCACCTCGGTACTCTGTATGAGCCCTCGCTGACCGTACCAACGACCAGCAGAATATGGATTCCTCCAGGCGGCCCACATCTGCCGTGCGAGTTCGGCGCATCCTACAACCTTCAATGGGTCATTATGAATCATCCAAGTTCCTATGTAAGCATTAGTCAATGATTGAATGGAAAAGAGGTGCTCAATTTTCTCGGAAGGGCAAAAGAACAGCAAAATTTACCGTCGGCGTTGAGGGGAGGTATATCAAGGACTTTGATTACTTCAAGTTTTGGCCAGTATGGAGTATCGGTATCGTTTTCTCCTGATGGCCAAAAGAGGGCGCTGCTAATCCGGACGTTATGGAGTCGGAGCTCTCGTAGCTGTGTGCTAAATTTGCGCAGTGCGATTGAGTGATTATCCAGCTTATCGGAACCCATTAGGCAGTTGATTGAATTGCCAGTGGGATTGTAGCAGTGCCTTTGGCTGAAGCAGCTGGTATATCTAAATGTTTCCACAGAGCGCGGTACCTGAGCCAGATGCTTCGCGGTATCTACATTTCAGCAGAAGCGAGTTAGTCCAGACTGACAGGCACAGAACGACATTTGGAGGGAAACGAATCAGGCAAAAAAGTACCCTCTCTTAGATCGGATAGAGCTTTGTGAAAAGTGTCTTCCCAGACAAAGTTGATGAATGAGACATCATTCACATTCGGTAGGATATTCACAATCTGGAGGACTGCGGATGGCCAAATGAAAAGTGGCGTTATCTTAGAGATCTGAAGCGATGTGATGCATCGTGGTTTAGGGAACCTTTTGAGGTTCTTCGCAGTCAGATAAAACATCATCGGGTGCCGTCCGGCAACGTAAAGATGTTTCATATCGTATAGGCTGACATTATTACCTGCTTCACGGCCATAGAAGGGTAAAGAAACCGGTTCACATTCAGAAAGGATCAGCTCGAGGCCAGGATTTTGTCTGTCCCAGGAATGCAAAACCTGGAATAAGGGGAGGAGGGAGATACAGAACTGCTGAGTATGACAAGCGACAAGCTTTTTTGCCCGGTCCCAGAAATGATCATGGAATGTCTGTTCAATCTGAGACGTGCTCACTTGGACCTCCCAGAGAATATGTCGAATGTATCCAACTCTGGCATGCCGCGCGGGACTCCCTCTCGTGTATTCGGCGAGCTTGGCCGTGGAGTCAGCTTTTAAGAGGAGGACCCATTCCCAAATAATATGCTCCACAACTACCTGCCACTTCCTTGAAATAGTAGAATATAAGGCAAGGTTGGGGGAATCCCAAGGCCCGGACGCATAAAACGGTTTTCTTTCTGGATCTTGGCTGTACGCTAGATAGGAGGCAATCTTGCAAAGGATTTCATAGGGTAGAAGATCCATTGTTCTGACATGTAGTGAACTGCAGGTGGTCTGTCCTCAGATAATTGACGGGTTCAAATAAGGATCAACCGAAGAGTTGGGGAGGGTTATGTTGTCTCCTAGAGAGGGAGGTCTGCGAAACATTTGTGGAACATACCGTTGAAAGAGGCAGCCTCCGGGCTGGTAGGATTGCAAGTAAGGTGAGACAGAACTTTCTTTGTCATTGCTTATGGTTCATAAACAAAGCATACGCGTAGGATCTAGGAACCAGATGAAGCTACATGTCCGCGTAGCATGTCAATATCGAGTACATACCTTGTATTTAATTCAGCGATATCCCTTTCCAGAGCTGTAAAGAAACTAGGCTCCTGAAAGGATGACATCAGATTCATTCCCATCATCTGACCACCGATGGTGCATATGTTGTACGCCGATGGCCGACGGAGGCCCGACGGGATCCACGGATTCGTTCGGATGCGTCCCTCTCCCCGCACGGAATTGATGCTAATTGTCCAATCCACGGCCTTTAGCCCCTGCATTTGTTGTTGGGCTATGTTAGCCCTGTGACTACGTGCATAGCACGCTGATAATAGTGGTGGGTCTATGCCATGGATGGGATCAACAGAATCCAATCTTACGGCGGAGGGACCCAAGCGGCACGGCTACTAGTAAGTAGTATTATCTTTCTTCCCTTTTATTATCTCCTTCTTCCCTCTTCACCTCCTCCATGTTCAAGCAATATTCCAATCTAGTTCCTATTATCCATCATGTCTCTCCTCCCCAGCGTTCCCTCCACTGATCAAATCCTTCCTCTCATGCAGGACATCATCAACCAACTCACCAATACGCGCAAATCCATCCTACAAACCATCACTCCCACAACCGCCACCTTCACCAACACCCTCATCCCACTGGCAGAGGTGGAAAATGCCGTCCAAGGACAACTGGCCATGATCGACATGTTGCAGTACGGCGCACCGTCGCGCGCCACGCAGGATGCCGTCCACACAGCCCTCGGTCTCTACTCCAACGCGCGTGCGGAGTGGATCGCCGACGCGGATTTCTTTCACCTCCTGCAGGCCGTCCGTGACAAGCAGGAGGATTTCGATGCACTGGATGCGGAATCCCAGCACTTGCTCGAGCGGGAGTTATTAGAATATCGAATGGCGGGACATGGGGTGTTGGGTGGAGAGGAAGTGGAGGAGTTCTTGCGCGAGGGGACAGGAATCGCGGAGGTGGAGAGAAAGTTCCAAGAAAATCTATCGAGGGAGAATGGAGGGGTCTGGCTTACCCGCGACGAGCTGGAAGGGCTTCCTGCGAGTGAGCTGGAGAAGTGGACGTCAGAGGGGGGTCACATTGATGACAGGCTATTCGTGCCCTTTGCCAATGGAGGCACGATCGCGGTTTTGACCCATGCCCGTCATTTGGAGACCCGCAAGAAGATGTTCTTGGCTGACAATCGGAAATTAAAGGAGAACCAGCCTCTGTTCGAAGATATCATCCAGCGACGGGCACGGCAGGCTCATCGATTGCACTATTCCACCCATACGGAGTTTCGGTTGCAGCGACGCATGGTGAAGGACTCGGAATGGCTGCGCGGGTTTCTAACGGAACTCAAAACAACGCTGGGATCTCGGGGTAAAGATGAGATTGCGGTGTTACAGCGACGGAGGCTGGAGGACCTGCGAGAGAAGGGATATGATCCCGATCGTCCGGAGCAGGGGTTTCCGCCATGGGATAAATTGTACTACGCGCGGTTGGTGGAACAGGAGGCTGCTATTGACCAACTCCAGCTATCGCAGTTCTTCCCCCTCGAACAAACCGCCAGAGGAATGTTAGGAATCTTCGCGTCGGTACTAGGCCTCCGGTTCGATCCTGTCAAAGCTGAGAAGGAGGGCCTTTGGCATGAGTCTGTCCGCGTATTCTCGGTCTGGGAGAGTACGCCAAGTGAGCAGTTCATTGGGTATCTCTACTTTGATTTGCTATGGAGGGAGAACAAGTATCGTGGCAACCAGAGCGTGAATCTCCAATGTGTATGCCTCACCCTCCTAATGCGCATGCTCAACCCGACCTGATAGATTGATGTCAGGGATACCTCCGGCCAGATGGCACTCGGCAATACCCGGCCACCAGTCTAATGTGTTCCTTCCCAACTCCGACCCCCTCAAGCTGTGCCTTGCTCAAACACCACCAAGTCGTGACTCTCTTCCATGGTAAGCCAGATTACACCACCTGGAAAGCCCCCTAACATCACACAGAAATGGGCCATGGAATCCACGATCTCCTCGCACAAACAAAGTATGTCCGCTTTCATGGCTACCGACTCCCTCCTGATTTCGGAGAGATGCCGAGCATGATGCTCGAGAACTGGTGCTGGATGAAAGAGGTTCTACAGGGCCTCAGCGGCCACTACACTACCCTGGATCCGAATTACTTGATTGAGTGGCGCAAACAACATCCCGGCGCACCCGATCCGCCAAATAAGATTCCAGAGGACTTGGTCGATCGCCTGATCAAGCACCGTTACCTGAACCGAGGCCTGTATCACCTGTACCAGCTGTATGTCTCCCTAGGTGTGCACGAAGACATGCTAATATCTCTCAATAGTTCAATCTCCATTTTCGACCTAGAAATACACAGTCTCCACACGGAAGCAGAGATTGCCAACCTAAACGTGCAGAAACTCTGGTATGACCTCCGCGAAGAGATCGAAGGCATGGACTTTTCCGACTGCCGAGATGGATATGCCTTTGGCACGTTCAGTCATCTGACGGCAGGCTACGACGTGTGTTACTATGCCTATTTGTGGTATGTTTCTTCACGTTGTGCAATTCATGCCTCTGCTAACATAGCAAAGCTGCACCGCAATGGCCCAGGATGTCTTTATTTCCGTATTCGCTGCCGATCCGTTCCAAAAAGACAAGTGGGAGAAATACCGTCGCGAGATTCTGCAATACGGCGGCAGCCAGCAGGACTTACTCCAGATGCTGGAGAATTTCTTGGGCTGTCCTCCGAATATGGGCGCCCTGGTGGCAGCTTTGGAACGAGCAGAGAGCCAGCATTAGTGCGTCTTTTGGATATGATCTCCCACACATCAAGATAATCTTCCTAGATCACCAAACATCTAACCCATAACAACATCTCACCTGTAAACCTCCCTAAACCATTCACATCAGTATATCCCACCCTTTTGCTAAGCTTGGTATCAAACCGCTGACTCAGCTCACGTCATCCAGTACTAACTACTACTAGTAGTTAACCTCGCAAGCACTACCTAATCAATCCAAAGGATCACCCACCATGTGGATCAGCCAGTCCTAATAAAACTTCCCTGATTGGAGACTTTAATCCCCTCCCAGATCGCAAAAGGTTAGTGTCCCAACGGTCGGTGAAATGGCCCGCAGATCGAGATGCAATGACAGGGACGGGATCATCGGGATGCCGTCGGATCCGAATGGTGGGGGTCAGGATTCATAGGGTGGTGGTGATGCATGAGCTAGTATCTGCTAATGCCTAATCGATCCGCTTGGGGTTGTTTATAAATCGTACATGACCCGCGTCGCGTCCGCCACGGGATGATTTTTCTCTGGGTATGTGTTGGGTTCAAGATGGATTCTCACAGCTCGTTTTGGGGTGCGACGACTTCGAATGCCAAGTTAGTATACCACCACCCCTTGGTTTAGGTCTGAGATTGCTAATTAGTAAAGCTTTTGTGAGGAGGTAGGTGGTATAGATTCAACGTGGGGTATGATTGGGGTTGATATTAATTCTTCTCTTCCGGAAATAGGATTATCTAGTGACGAGATATATTGCCGAGTTCATTAATACTCTGACGAATCTTGTCTATGGTGCGTTGCGATTCTATATTGTGACGGAAGAAACTAACGAAGAGGCAGTGTTCTATGCGATCTATGGCATCAGCTATCTCCGACGAAAATCAAATACCGATGTCTCCCGTGTTCTCCCATATTGGGGGCTGATGGGCGTTGGTATAGCTTCCGCGGCTTTTCATATGAACCTTAAGTATCATACCCAGATGAGTGAGTTTTCTTCCGGTGGGGTTTGGGTTGGGGTGTATTGTTAATGGTTCGAGGTGTAGTGGATGATGTGTCTATGCTTCTTACGACGACACCTGTCCTCCATCGCGTCATGACTGTCAATGCTTCTCGCAGGACATCAGTACTTGTGGGGGTACTCCTTAGCTTGAGTTTGTTAGGCCTCGTTGCCGTCCATGTGATCACGGATGAGTTGATTCTACATTCTGTGGCTTTTGTGGTTAGTGTGACTGTCATCGGGGTCCGTACGATGCAGCTTATTACTACCCGGACGCCAAAGGATTCAGCGGCACGGAGGCAGGTTTGGGGGATGGTGCGGTTTGGTGCTGGTATGATATCACTCTGTTTAGATATAGATGATCCTAACTCGATATAGTTATTTTCGAGCTAGGATTCGCCGTTTGGCTGGCCGATGGGTGGATATGTGGGTTGCTGAGAAGCACACGACATGCAATCGGTCTGCCGTGGGCTTTTCTGCTGGAACTTCATGGATGGTATGTTATTGTTGTGTTATTTTATCCCTTGAAGAAAAGCTAATGGTGTATGACAGGTGGCATATCTTCACTGGAGTCGGCGCGTACATCTTCATCGCGGTGGTGGATCATTTGCTGTGCAGTGAGGACCCTGAAGATATCCAAGGGTCATTCGCCTGGCCTGCACCCTGGGCAGCGCAATCTATGTTTGCAGGAAAGGGGTCCTCAGCAGGCGTAAAATCCGGGTCCAAGTCGGACTGAAGGAGCAGATCATGTGGATGGTTCATGTATGCAAGATCGACCCCACATGGGGAAGCCCGCAGGGAAGAATATTCTTCCAATCGTTTACAGATAGCGACGCTGAATTAGCTTTCGGTAGTTGCAGACCCCACATCTGCACGTATTGCCGAAGCCCCACATTTTAGTTCCAAAGTGTGGGAGCTTTTGCCATCCAGGGACCTAAAAGAATGTCCAGAATTATTCTCTCTAAACACACAACCTCTCAAGACATCATGGCCAACCAATTGCTTAGTGCTCCGCCCTTCAGGGCCGAACATATGGGGTCCTTGCTCCGTCCGGACAACCTGCTTGCTGTTCGTGAGAAGATCCGTGACACAGGCATCTCTGAAGAAGCTGCCGGTTTGCACGCCGTGGAGGAGGAGACTGTCCGTGATGTGGTCAAGTTGCAGCAGGAGCTGGGCTACAAGGCCGTCACCTCCGGAGAGTACAACCGGACTCGTTTCTGGGGACAAATGTGGGATGAGTTCGAGGGTATGATGTCATCGTTTGGATTGTTGCCACTGCTAACAGGTACCAGGAACAATTCGTTTGCAAGACGCCGAGGCTTCGATGTTCAGACTCTACCACCCCGACGTGGTCAGTCTGATCGAAAAAGACCGTAAGGTCATGCCCGGCGACTCGGTGATCGCTGGGTCCAAGCTCTCCTGGAACCCAGAGAAGTCGCTGTCGAACATGCACGAGCTGAAGCTGGTCCAGCAGGCTCTGCCCGAGAGCGAGTGGGGCAACATCAAGCTGACTATGATCACTCCCGCGTGGTTCCACATGCGTTACAAGCAGGGTAAGGCTTATACGCCCGAGGCTTACGCCAACGACACAGAGTACTTCCAAGATGTGACCAAGGTGTATCAGGCCGAGCTGGATGCACTTTACAAGGCTGGGTTGAGAAACGTCCAGTTTGACGACCCCGGCATGGCGTACTTCTGCTCCAAGGAGTTCCGCCAGGGCTGGGAAGACGACAAGGACAACACCGGCACCGTCGAGGATCTGCTGGATGCCTACATCCAGCTGTACAACGACTGCCTGAGCAAGATCCCTGCCGACATGCACACCGGTATTCATTTGTGCCGGGGCAACTTCATCGGTGGTCGACACTTTGCGGAAGGATCGTACGATATCATTGCCAAGGAGCTGTTTGAGAACCTGAATATGAACACCTTCTACCTCGAGTACGACACGGAGCGGGCAGGTGGCTTCGAGCCGCTCAAGTTTCTGCCCAAGAACAAGAACGTCGTTGTTGGTGTCATTAGCACCAAGCTTCGGGAGCTGGAGGACAAGGAAGCCATGAAGGAGCGTATCTACAAGGCCGCTGATTTCGTGAGCGCCGGCAGTGGGGAGACGCGCGAGGAGGCACTGAACCGGATCTGCATCAGTCCTCAGTGCGGATTCAGCACCCACGAAAGTGGATATCCTCTCAGCGTGGAAGATGAGAAGAACAAGCTTGCTTTGACCCGGCAGATTGCAGATGAAATCTGGGGACAACCCTAAGCGAAGGGTTGAGTTGAGATGATTAATTTCTGGCGTTTCAACATGACGGAAATATGATGATGTGAAATGACATGTATTCAACAGACGTACCATATCAGTTACAACCATGATGATGTATATATGAAGTTGTGGAGAGTTTATCCAGAGACAACTGACCTTTTGCTCTGTAGCTCGTTTTACCGTGCCATTAAGTAACCTGCTGTGAATGCCGTGTGTTGCTAATTGGGTGGAAATATTCAAATGGGCGATGAATTCGCCGTTAGGCCAGACGTGCAAGGTCAACACAGCTGAAGTATCGCTGTTTCTGCAGATATGATCTTGAAGAGAGTACCTGCTGGATCTTGAAGGTCTATCGAAGGTAGCTGTCGAAAGTGGTACCAGCCAGAGCAAATATACTTTTGAGACTCGGCGTGTCCCTGAGCTCAACGTAGAGGCTGACAAATCTGGGGCTGTAATGGAGGTATTGGTGGGAAATCCTAGAGACCGAGAGAAAAGGTTACTAGAGGTGGGGACGTCAATCCAAGAACATTTGTTGATGCTAAGAGGCCGAAAGGGGAACTCCGGTCGGCTTCCCGTTCTCGGTCGGCGAAAGAGTCACGCCCACGCGGCCCCTCCACCCGCTAGTCTCAACCACATCCACGGTCACGCTCCGGGTGAAGACCGAAAGGAATTTGGAACGTACCATTCCTCCAATAAGCTTAATTCTATCATTCTGACTTCCCAATACTAGCGAAAAACTTTGGAAGGCCATGTTCTCCGCAGTAGCGGCCCGTTTGGTGCCCAGGAGCAACAACCTGTTCGACATGCAGGGGAAGGTATCGTATCGCGCTCGCTGTCACATTCTGGCCGTGAGACTGATACAACTCAGTATGTCCTCGTGGCAGGCGGCTCCAAAGGACTAGGAAGGGAAATCTGCTTAGCACTGGTGGAAAGAGGTACTTAGCTGGATGTTGTGGCTGACACGATACGCATTGACCGTTTGATAATAGGAGCACATGTGACAGCAATTGCGCGCTCCTATGATGCCTTGGAGAGGATTGCGAGAGACATGGAAGCGGCTAAAGTGCACGAGCAACAGGTCCTAGGTATCCAAAGCTTGGACCTTACAAACAGCGAAGAGGTCAGTGGTACAATAATCAAAATAAAGGTGTGGGCTAAGAATGCCGTCAATAGGTGTCAAAATTCGTCAACGGGTTCGAAAAGCACATATCCGCGCTCTTCTGCACCGCAGGCGGCACAGACGAGGAGGTTGGGTACTTTGCTGATATTTCTGCGACCTCTATCCAAAGCTGCATGGAAAAGAATTATCTCACTTCCGCATACATAACCCACGCTGTCATGAAGGTATGGAAGACCGATCTTGAGCTTGAAGGAGGGCGCAGTCATGCTCAGGAACCCCGTCATATTGTCTTCACTGCCTCTACGGCTGCGTTGGTGGCGGTCCCAGGATACGCCGCGTACTCGCCATCAAAAGCAGCAATTAGAGCCTTGGCCGATACTCTCAGACAGGAAAGTCTCATGTACTCTCCCTCCGGGTCCATACGAATTCATTGTAGCTTTCCAGGGACGATCTATACGGACAACTTCTACAGAGAACAAACCCGCAAGCCGGACCTGTGCAAAGAGCTCGAAGGTACAATGAATGATGAGGGTGGACTAACAGCTCGAGATGTCGCCCAACGAATCCTCGCGGGGCTGGATACCGGGTGCTACTTTATCCCAACTGATTTGCAGACCCGGTTACTCCTGAATAACATGCGAGGACCAAGTCCGCGGGACTCTCCCTTGTTGGACTGGTGCATGGGCTTGATTATCTCGCTGGTCTGGCCACTTATAGGCACGTATTGGGACTGGAAGGTCGCAAGGCATCATCAGCGATCGCAATAGAATGGACTGCCATAAAGCCTTGAATGCTGGATGTTTTCATTTATGCCCTCGGCCCACTGCTGGGTAGCATTGAATTTGCTAATACTTCACTACCTCGTGTATTCTGTTCTATGGAGTTGTTGTGATCTCATGCCTAATTTGAGAAGACTAGTCTTTGACATGAGGTCTGTTCTCTTGTCAAATTTATTTATTCAAATGGGTAGATACGTCTGTTGGTAGGAATCGTATCGACTATGAGATTTTGGTGGCATAGGCATATCAGTGGTGGGAGACAAGTTACTTCTATTGCCAGTGGAGTAAACATGAGCGAATGTCTTGGATATTTTGGGGTTTGGAAATCGCCGCCTGGCCCCACATGTGGGAAGTAACCTCTTTCCCAGACTCAACAATCACAGCAACTCCACCCATCGGACCAAATAGTCGACTGAGCAAGGGTCAGAATATATGACCACTTCGGGACCTTTATTCGTGTCTTCTCCGTACCTTTTGTCAAGAGTCCGAAAGCACGATGATTCCCTCTCTTTTTCCAATCGACAACAGAGCAGGCTCATTCTCATAGCACTGGAACTGATCTCCCCACCCCCCTCCCGGGTTGTTGATAACCTGTTTGGTTCTCTCAGTTAATTTGCAAATACGCATCCTCCTTGATGACCCCAATATCGTTAGTGCGGATGAATCTACCAGCTAAAAAAGTTGCTTTGTTCACCGCAGAATTATCTACGGGACCAGATACTCTTTGCACAAATACACAACTTTCCTATAGCACCTAGTTCGTTGGCCAACACACTAGTGTCTCGCAGGGCATCAGATAACCTTCCAGACCGATTATATGGAACAACGCCCATCTATAGAAGCAACCCATGGGCGTCAATCATGGAAAGCATCGCAATGAGGAGGTCCTCATGACCGAGAGTGATAGGTTTCGGTCCTCCTATGGTGCGACTGGGGAATAGGAGGAGCGTCTTACCCCCGGGGTTAATTTTGCTTGATTGGGATATTGGCACTTCCCTAGCGACATCTGCCTTCTTGTCGATGATGCCTTGTTCCCTTTCGAAGTATAGCTTGACTCCCTCTGGTCCGCAGGTAACCAGAGCCTGCTTCTCCTATACTGACCAGAAGACGTGTACGCAACCAACGGAGTATTCCTAATATTCCTCCCTCCGCACTGCAACTTTCATGGAGCGGTTAGGGCCAGCAGACGGACCAAGAGAGAAAGGCCCCGACGAACTCAAGCTCGTTTGGAAGAAAGAGTGCAATTTTGTATCCTTTGATGGGTCCCTAGTTGGCTAGGTCCTTCTGCACTGTGCTACAGAAGCGCCAAGATTTGTACGATGCGACGGTGGAGGAGCATTTCTTGTACAACGTATGTGACAGTAGAAGGTAGGACCAGTTGCCAAACGCGACCGGAAACATTTAATACTGTGCTGACAAGAACTGCATTAGCCTTTACAGAATTACACGTGTGAGAATAGGCATCCAATGCTATAAATCACAATCGACCCCAGAACACGCCCCCAATTCTACCCGAACAATCAATCAAGATGGAAAAAAGCACCGAGACCATTGTTTCTTATTTACCCGGCTCGACCTTCCCAATTGTCAGTCATGGTCTTCCATTTGAAGAAGCCTGTGCCAAGCATCTCACATCTACTCTCGGTTGCAGCAAGGCATTCGTGGTAGCAAGTGGGTCTCTCAGTCGCCAGACAGATGCCCTGACTCGCCTGGAGAATGCTTTGGGGCCTATGGTAGTTGGAACACGCCAGGGAATGCAGCCACACACGCTGCTGACCGAAGTCCTCGAGCTTGCAGCCCAAGTGAAAGCATGCCGGGCAGACTGCCTAATCGCCGTAGGAGGTGGAACTTTAATTGATGCAGCAAAGATAGTGGTTTTTGTAAGGTGCACTCACTGCAAAATACATCCGCGCATCTAATCCCTAACCAGGCAAATTCCAGGGGAATAACAACTATGGATGCCTTGATATCCGAAACGCAGGAGGGCATACAATTCAAAGGATCCCTTCCTTCCTGGGAACCTAACCGCGAGTCAAACCTACTAAAGATCATATGCATACCAACCACACTCTCCGGCGGGGAATTCAACCTCCCAATCGCCGCAGGTGTTGATCCCACAACTTTTCACAAGTACCTGGTCTATGATCGCACTGCCCCCGGACCGTCCCTAATCATCTGGGACCCAGTCCTAACCACCTCCACACCCCTCCGAACATGGATAGGCACAGGGATCCGAGCCCTCGACCACTGCGTTGAATCCTACGCAGGCGGCTCACGCGCCAATGTCGAAGCACAAGACTGCGCAGTGCGCGCCATCCGATTACTCCTCCCCGCACTCCTACACACCATCGACTCCCCTCACAATCTGGAAGCCCGATTATCGGCACAAGAGGGGAGCATGCTAGCCATTAAAAGCTCATTCTTTTATCACGGTCCAGCCGGCGCAAGCCATGGAATTGGTCATCAACTCGGTGCTCTGGGCGTTAGCCACGGTGAAACCAGCGCGATCATTATGCCCGCTGTAGCCAAGTTCAACAAGCCTGCCGTCCAAGCCCAACAGAAAACCTTACTCAACGAAGCCTTCTGGTCCGAACCTATAATCGCCAAGGTCCTCCTGAACCGGGGTCTAAAGGAAGACACAGCGGACCTTAGTCAGGTGTTGGATCGGATCATCCGAGCGCTGGGTCTACCCCGAAGCTTGGCCGAGGTAGGTATCGGCAGGGAGAAGTTCTTGCAGGTTGCGGAAAGGAGCATGAATGATTGGTGCTGCCAACAGAATCCGATGCCGTTGACGAGTCCTGCGCAAGTTGTGGAAATACTGGAGTTCGTAGAGGTGGGAGCTCAAGGCGATAGTGCGTAGGGTGTCACAGCACATATAATTCCACTGAGTCGTGTCACCGACGCTGACTGTGGCCAGCAAGCACTCTTATGTATTACGCTTTCCAGAATTATCGGTCACCTCAGTTTGAATCTTGAAGTAATCATTTCTCCTCTAGACCGATCGAGTGTCCAATCCGTCCCAGGTGTGAGATTACGGGCACTGGATTAGTGGGTGGCTGGATGATTGGCCAATCTCCACCTCGTACTAGTATGTTTCTGACTGCGGACTCAGGCAAGTTGCAGGGATCAATCGGGTACCAAGCCCAACAACAAACAACATAAACACGCTTGATACGCCGGGAGGAAGACAACCCCTTTCTCTCCCCCTCACTCATACGCCCTCGCTGTATCCACGCCTCTTGGTATCTGTTTAAGTGCGACTAGCGGTATTATTGTTGCATATGCCGATGGCGGGGATCAGTCTATCTTCTGACGTCTCCTCTTGGTACCAAACCCCCCTACTGCTTCTCCTGGCGTGGGTCACTTGGTCCCGCTTTATATGGCCCAACTTCTGTTCCCCGCTGCGACATCTGCCATCACCTAATGGCGGGGTCTGGAGCTTGAATCAACGCCTCCGACTTTATACCGAGCCCCGCGGAAGACCCCAATGTGACTGGTACAGTAGTTATCTCACAACTCCTCGTCCGCTCTGGCTGATGCTGATCAGTAGTGGGATATACAGGGTCAATTCCATTCCGAACAATGGACTCATTCGTTACCGGACGTTGCTAAATTCCGACCGGCTATTGGTGACTTCCCCCGAGGCTTTCGCGGAAGTTCTGACGACCAAGTGCTACGACTTCAAAAAGCCCCGTTGGTTAGTCAACGAGCTCAAACAGGTGCTAGGCGTAGGGCTCTTATTAGCGGAGGGGAACGAGCATCAAACCCAGAGAAAGATACTTGCACCTGCCTTCTCGTTCCGTCACATCAAGAACCTGTATGCGGTGTTTTGGGACAAGTCACGGGAGGTGGTTGCCACGATGACCGATCATCTGTCAAGTGCAGAACAACTCACGGCTCAGAGGGCGAATAGGTCCACCCCGGTCACCACCGGGATTCTTGATATCGCTGAGTGGGCCAGTCGAGCAACGCTAGACATGATTGGCATTGCGGGCATGGGTCGAGACTTTGGTGCAGTTCGCGACCCTAACACGGGCCTGATGCGGGCGTACAGTTTGGTTTTCCATTCCTCCAAAAGAAGCATTTTTCTTGCCATCTTGCGTCTCTTCTTTCCCGGTTGGCTGGTGGATTGGCTGCCGCTTCGACGCAATAAAGATATCCAGGACGCAGCCCGAACGATTCGTGGAGTATGTGCAGAGCTCATCCGTCAGGAATCTGAGCATCTTCGAGATAGTGGCGCCCTTGACAATCGAAACATCCTCAGCGTTGCACTTCAAAACGGGGGCTTCAGCGAAGACCACCTCATTGATCAACTTATGACCTTCTTGGCGGCGGGTCATGAGACAACGGCAACGGCCATCACTTGGGCTATCTACTCGCTCTGCGTGCATCCCGGTGTCCAGACAACACTTCGTCGCGAAATCCGTGAAAGGCTCCCGAGCCCTGATAACTACGCGAGCAACTTCACAAGCCACAATATTGATACCATGGTCCACCTCAATGCTGTGTGTGACGAGGTCCTGCGCTATTTCTCCCCTGTCCCGCTCACAGTTCGCGAGGCGGCGATTGACACCACGATCCTAGCCCAGCCGGTGCCCAAGGGGACGAAGATAATGCTAGTCCCTCGTGCCACAAACCGAGATGCAAACCTATGGGGCCTAGATGCGCGGGAGTTCAATCCCGATCGGTGGATGGCATCTGATGACCGAAGTAATTATGCTACGATGACCTTTCTTCACGGGCCCCGAAGCTGCATCGGACGATCCTTTGCAAAGGCCCAATTTGCCATTCTGCTGGCTGCTTTGGTAGGAAGATTCGAATTTGAATTGAAAGATGAACAGCTTTTAGATGAAAGGAACATGAAAGTCACCCGGTCTGTGACAGCTAGACCGGCGAATGGACTTCTTGTCAAGGTTACTCCCTTGGAGGGCTGGTGATAACCCGGAATATCTAGGTAACCACATTTTAGATCGGAGTACCGCCTAGGACGGTACTTCTTAGCCCACCCCTGGTTGGGCTTCAACTAGTGCTTAAGGATCACCCCTTATGGCACACTTCATCTTTTCTTTATTGGCGGCATGCTATTTGTGGATCATGCCTTGACTCAATCTAGACCTGGGCTTGTTCCTAGCTACCTATCCAGCGTGACCGCGCCAATGACTTGCTAGGACAACTCCACCTCGGACCTAGACTGGCCGAATTTTGGCCGCTGGATCGATCACCCCTCTGGTCGAGCAGCTCGCAGGCGCTACAGATTGAAGGGGACGTACGGAATGCTGCCTTCCTTCGGATAAGCCTCAGTAATAGATCTTGGCTGCGTCCAAGCTCCACACTCTTACATGCGAATAAGCCTTTCAACAGCTCACTGGGCTGGTCCAATCGATGACGCCTTCTCGAAAAAGACGGAAAGATCTCGCCACTAACCAGAAGTCCAATAAGGATCGGCGTCCAACCTGTCCACTGGCAAGGAAGATTGATTCGTACTTTGGTGGCTTATGCTCAAAAGTGCCCCCTGTTCATTATGATTGCACGATGAAACAAGAAACGCGGCCACCGGCCTATTTATGGTCTCATTTTCCATGGTCGCCTGGATCTGCTCCTGGCAAGTTTTAGACCTATGATCATTGGTTCAGAAGCAGGGTGGACTATCAGCGGGGTTAAGCCCCGGTAGGCTCAGTCAAGGCCAGAAGCAATTGTTTAGCATTGCCCGTACGGTTTTGAGGAGGCGCATCCGCTCCCGACAGCACGCTGAGGCACAGTCGCACCAGACCCCAGAGCTAGGAGGCATCTTGCTATTGGATGAAATAAGTTCCAATGTCGACTTGGAGACAGACCGTGCATTGTGGAAAGTTATTGACAGAGAATTTGCTGGATACACCATCATTATGGTCTCACATCGGCTAGATGTAGTCTTGGCCTTTGACCGGGTTCTCTTGTTGGACAGAGGGAGTATTGTCGAGGACGGGAATCCAAGAGATCTGGCTGGGATGGGAAGTAGCAGGTTTCGAGAGTTGTTGGTGGTGGCGCGCAAGGATGAAGCTTGTTAGGACTGTTGTTGTTCTCAGATCTTTGCCGTGGGTGGATGAATCCAGATCATCTTCAGTTGCCTGTGACGACTACGAAATATGAAGACTCAACTACGGCCAGTTTCTCCCGGATACGAACTCCAACTCCATGTTGTGAGGAGCCCTATCACAATGATAAACGTCTCTCCAACCAATAGGAGACTGAGAGAAGACTCGTGTGCATGTTCGAGTAAGCTTTTCCTATAGGCGGGTCGGGTGCGAGGACTCCACATGTTTGTTCCTGGAGGGCGCCTCTTCCTTCTTTTGACTCATCCTTAAACCCAAGCCAGACTTCTCTTTCCGAGGAAGTCAAGGCTCTGATGGATGGCTACCGGGCTAGTTTCTGGACTATGTTTGGGGTGATGGTTTTTTGTACGGGTGTGGGATTCTGGGGGCTCAGGGGGACGGGCAGGGTAGGGTTGAAGAGGGATTAATTAATTTTTCACTGTCTTTGATGGAGAAGGGGGGTTTAGTGAACTATTCGGAGAAATATAAAATGGGATTGTTTTTCATATTTTCAATCCACCCACATCACGCCAAACAAGTACTAACCTAGCCTCTTGAAATCCCACTCATTATTCTTCCCTAGGTAAGGGATAAAGTGTGCTGATTGGGTTCTTCCTGATAGTTGAATTGACTCTGACGGAAACATGGTAGCTCAAGTGAAAGCAAGACTGTGTATATAGTTCTTGACAGCGGGTATCTAGCTAGTTAGGTAAGTATTATACTCCCCTTTTATGATATCTTCGCAATTAGAAAAGAAGAAAAGAGATACAGCAAAGCAAATAAAATAAAAGCAAGTGACCGCCAGATATGCCGACTGCAGCCCACACCATCATAACATGCGTCTGCTACATATTCTCCCATTAGCCTCTTGTTAAACAACCTCCACAAGGAAAAGAAAATCACTCACATAAACCCCATCTCCCACAACCTCTCCGACCTATCAAGCAAATACTCCCCATACGCCTTCTTCGGCACCTTCTTCCCCTTCCCGTTCCCCTTCCCCCGTTCCCACTCTCCATCACTATCCTCAAACGCATACATATTCCCATCATCATCATCGTCATTCTCACCCACCCAAACCTCATACCCCACCTCCCCCCAAACCCCCAACTGTCCCAAAAAGCTCTTGTTAGGCTTAACCTTCTGTCTGGCCAACACAAACCCCAACGCCTCATCCACACTAATCTTGAACTTCCGCATCAAGTACGCAATGATGATCGTCGCGGATCGAGATCGGCCGAAATCACAATGCACGAGGACGCCCCATTCCCCGCTCACATTGGTTTCAGGCTCAGCTGGTCCCGTCACCACCGCTTTCTCATCCACATCCTTGTTGGTATTCGGCAATGTAGTGCAAGCTCGTAGCTCCGGACACGCCATCTCGTCGATAAATTCACAGATCTCAGACATATGACGTAGGAGGTCCTGGACGAGGGAGTCCAGAACGGGGAGACATTTATGGTGAGATGATGGGATGCCGATTTCCAGGAGGAGAGTCGGGTCTTGCACCCAGGGGGAGGTGGTGAGGGAGACGATGGCGGTGATGTTGTGTTCGTGCAGGAGGGTGGGGGTTTGGAGGGCGGGGAGGTTGCCGAGGTAGAGGCCGGGGAGGATGGGGGTGATTCGGGGGAGGCGGGAGGGTTTGGGGGTTGGGTTGAGATTGGTGGTTGTAGTGGTGGTGGTGGTGGGTGTGTTGGTGAGGTTGAGGTTGGGGTTGGGGTTGGTGTTGGTGGTGGTGGTTGGTGAGAAGGTCATGGCTCTGAGGGTTAATTGTGATAGTAGTGGTGGTGATGGTGGAGAGATAGTAGAAGATGAAGGTGAGTGTGTTTGGTGGATGGGAGGGTGAGGTGAGATGTGAGGAAACAGAAAGGAGCCTGGGAAGCATAGAGTGATACGCTGAGTATCACGTGGGTGTGCACGGGTAGTGGTAGGAAAGTGACGGGTCATGATGGGCAGTGAAATGGGGAAGATATCGTGTGAGGGTCGGTGTGGGAGGATGCAGTATACGAGGTGGGTCGGGGTTTGAAGTAGGGAGGAAATTGTAGAAGGATCCTGAATCCGAGTGATGCTTTTATGATGTCAGGTAGATTTTAGGGACAATACATCATTCTAGTCATTTCTGGGACTGGGTAATATCTCTTTTAGTCGAGTTGGAAACTTCCAGAGGTTAGGGATACATATGGTGCTTCATGGAAATAAAGATCTATTCTCTAGAATGCTAGATTAGTCTCATGGACGACATCTGGCATGGTACTTAAATTTACCAACCCAGTATATGTGAACATGTTATTCAGTCATACTCATCACTTCCTTGGCATGCAGGTCATGTCTGGTTAAAACCACTCAAATAACGGATGGCTCGTTCCGTGAGCACTTTAAAGGTCAGATCAGGTGCAGTGAATGCATGGAAGCTCAATTCCAACCCAAATTCTGCAATCAGCCACTGTTGCAGTTCCACACTGATCACACTGTCCAGACCATACGAGGCTATTGACCCTCGCTCGAATTCAATCTCCGCAATATCACGCCCCAGCACATCAGCACATTTCTGCATAATCTGTTCACCAACAGACGCCACCCATGTTTCATAATCCTGCGAGTCTTTGGTAACCTGCGGCCCAGTAATGCCCTTGGCGGAAGGCAATGACACTTGCAAGAGATCCAGGTCTCGTTGCACCCCACGCAGACGAGCATCTCCATGACAAAACATGCGCGTGGCAGACTGGTGCAGACGACAGGGATCAAGCCCCAGGATAATATGGCTGGGACTGCTGGGAGACATGGCAATTTCAAGCCCCTCTAGCATCTCTATCTCGTCAATCCCATAAAACCCCAATTGGAGAAGATAGTCCTCAATACTCTCGTTTTCCGCCACGACCCCGACGTCTAGAAGCATAGACAGCGCTAAAGAGCAGGCCGGTATCCCAAGAGACCGACGATATCTTGCAAAAGCATCCAAGAAGCTGTTGCCGGCATTGTAGTTGGTCTGGCCCGGAGTGCCTACAGTAGCTGAGATCGAGCTGGTCATAATGAAAAAGTCCAAGGGGGTGCTTGAAAGAACAGAGTGAAGGACCTGGGCGATTTTAAGCTTGGCAGTGACGGCAGCGCTGTACTGTGCTGTCGTCATTCCATGCAACATGCCATCCTAGACACCATTAATAAGATAAACGGGGATGATGTGGGTGTGCTTACCTGCAGCACCATTGCAGCATGCACCACGCCGCGGATTTGATGTTTCTTCGTCACGCGAGCGACAATGGCCCTCATATCCGCCTCGTTGCCAGCGTCGGCCTGAAAGACTTGTACCGACGCACCAGTTCTCTCAATCCACTTGACAGTCTCCGCTGCCTTTGGCCGTTTCATACCAGAGCGTGACACGAAGACGAAATGTCGACAGCCTCGCTCGACCATCCAACGAGCAAGACTGCTGCCAATTCCGCCAAGCCCTCCAACCAGCAGGTATACTGCCTCTGAAGAAAGCCAAACGCGGCTAACTGACGATTGAACCTGGTTTTGTTAGACAGGGGACCATGAGAATATAATCTACTTACTTGGATAGTGCTTTCGCCATATCGAAATTGCACCGCCCTACCTTCGTTATCTGAACGGACAAACAGTTCGCTGCTGGACAGAGAAGGCAGTTGGTCAATGCTGTACACCTGTGCACCGGACGGCCAGATGTCCTTGTTCTGCCTGATGAATTCCAGTCCTTCCTGTAACACCTCAACCGCCCCCTCCGGTCTTAGAGCAAGGGGATCATAACCCATAGTTAGGAAAGAAGCACCTCTGGTAAAAGGCGTTGGATCAAGGGTCCCTCCCACCTCTCCATCGCATAAGACAAATCGACCTGCCGTCGATATGCATTTCCATGCCTCCCGAGCAAGAGCCCACAAGGATTCCGAAATAACCAATGACGGTTTGCCCGTACCTTTGACAAGGGCTGTCTTGCAATATACAGATGGGTCTTGAACCACGATAATCGAGACAGAGCCAAGTAGGGAGTCTCGATGAAATCGGGCTCTCTCTTCAGGTGCCTCTACAACAACAGTAAGTTGGACTCCCAGGTCCTGGCAGAGCAGTGCCGCCAATTGCACAAATGGTAGCGGCATGTGCAAAAGCACAATGTGGTCATTCTTCTGAGCTCGTCCCAGCCACTCCATCGAAATAAGGACCTTACATAAGGAGGGAAGGGTGGCGCACAGAAGTGCTGGGCCAAGGTCTTCACAAGCTAAGCACGCATCTCTCCTTGCCCTCACAATGGTGGAGTATCCATTCTGGGTTGCAAAGGTCACTACCCGTGGTGTAGATTCGTTGTCGTTATCCAGAGAGCGACCGACCACAATCACAGGCTGCTCGGTGCGGTGTTGAGTAGCCTGGAACTCGGTCATCTCCACCTGGACACACATCTCATCCGCTTCGAGGCCCCTTTGAACTTCCTCATCGGCTTTAAAAACCAACACCCCGTTGATATACTCGCTCTTCAATGGCGTATTTAACGGCAGCTCAACAGTCTGTCGGTCGCGGGATGTACCCGGGCATGCCCATGAAGTTATTCTGCTAATGTGCAGGACACCATTGTGAAGCCAGAACTCCGTCTCAGAACCCAAAGACCGAGGAGCTGCGACTCCCAGGGCTGCTGTCATAGCCCGCCCAATGTTCGGAGCCGTCTCTTCCCAGTCCACATCTAATGATACAATCTGAGCTGCGGGATGCTCAGATCTGATTCCACGCAGAAATCCCAAACTCAACCCGCCTTCGACAGTGCGGCCTTGGTGAACCCCGAAGGTAACCCAGATAAAAGCATTTCCCTCGGATAGGGCTAATTTCTTGACCACATCAAACTGCGCCTCGGTAAGGTCAGTGAGAATACTTCCATCCACATCGAAGATGGCTATGCGTCCATGAGGCACATTACCAAGATCGCAGAGATCCTCCAAATTCACCGTCTCTATCTGATCGTCTAGCTCCTCCACGAGCTCTCTAAGTAGAAACTGGTCTTTGTTCTCTTTGACCACAATTGTGAATGTTTTCTCCGATTCTCGGCTCTCTCCATTGTTCAACTCTGGAGAGAGCAACAGATTGAAGCCTGAGATAGAGAGCTCTAGCACTGGCTCGAAGAAGCTGCAAGAGCAGTCAAGGCATCTGTGCTCCGGTATGTTCCCATTTCGCAGTATCAACAGACGACCACCGGGTTTTAGCATAGCATGCAGGGCTTGGGTCATCTCTGAGCTCTGTCGGTCTCTGACAATTATAAGATCTTGACTGGTGGGCAGGCTTGATGACCACTCAGCAATATGCGGCGAGACAGGGACTATCGATATGTTATTTTCCCTGGCGACCGGCAATCCCTCTTCCACCTTCCCTGCAGATGTTTCCGCAATTGTCAGGCTACCGACGGGCAACTGAGACGCCACGGCTTCAATAAGGTCACAGTCATCTTCTTCAAAGAGCAAGGCTCTTTGAACTGGCCGCTTGTGATCAATAAGCCTGATTAATTCCACCACGGCGTCTGGAAGTGATTTGTATGGTGTATTTTTCAGAATCTCATCAGTATAGTCGATGTCTGGTTTCCACTCGGTTTGCATGTACTGTTGGCCTGGAATGACTGTTGTCAACTGTTTACTCAAATTCAGTTCCTGCTCCTTGAACCTAACCCCCTTACACTCCAGGATAGGGAGACCACGCGCGGTGAAAAGTTGTATGTTGGAGCGGAAGAAGGGGCTCTGGCACTCGTCCGTCCAAGCGAACGCATCACCCTGTTCTTCTTCCCCAGGAGAGGTAATAGCCATCTCCTCAACTCGTAGCGGGAGTGTGCTGCATGGCATGACATTGTATCGGCCTTTCTCGAATGAGATGATGGCAAGCTGGAGGCAGGTATCGATGGTTCCCGGGTGCAAGATGTACCTGGACTCGCCAGTCATCGTGCCACAATCTGTCTTCAAGGCGACCTTACTCGCGGCTGCAAAGTCCCGGTGATTGGATCTGACCTCTCCCAAGCACTGAAAGGAGCGGCCATAATCAACCCCGACTCGGCCGAATGTCAGATACCACCTGCTAGGCGGAGTGCGGTTGTGGAGAGTCTCGACAATATGATCATTTATTCGCGCATCTCCTTGGGGGGGTCTCTTGTTTGCCGATATATAACCACTGCAATGGGTGGTCCAGTGCTTGTCAAGATGAGATTCGACGGTGAACGAATACCAGCCTGGTTCACTCTGACTCTGAGGCAGCAATCGGGTCACTATCTCAATTCCGCGATCGCTCTCCGGTACCACAAGCCCCTGTTGGAAAGAAACCTGTTTCAAACAGACACCCTTACTGCTAAATTGCATATCGCTAATTTGCCACAAGGCTTCAATAGCCAGGGCAAGGTACGCAGCACCGGGCAGCAAAAGCTCCTTTCCAACCTGCCTATGCGGTTAGATAGACCATAATGATACAGATGCGCTACTTACGCGATGGTCCCTCGACCATGGCACATCCCGAACTCGTAGAATATTTTTCCAAACACAAGTGTCATTGGAGAGGCCGGCAACTCGCCTTCCCAACAGATCATGTCGAGGACTTGATTCTTCACGCTGTTCCAGGCTCACCCTTGGTTCCCGCCAGTATGTTTTTGTATAATTTCACTGGTACGGTGGCAAATCAACCAGCAGTCGAGGCCTTTGCTCGTTGGATAGATCGTCAGTTATGTCCTTCAAGCTGACATTGTATCCGGCGAGGAACAGCCGTCCGGCGGTCCTCAGCAAGTCATTGCAAGAATTAGATCCCCTGACAAAGCTCGGGATGTACTTGATATGCGATGTGAGCTTGTTGCCCGTCGTGATCTGCTTCAGCGGTCCAGCAAGGGCTGGATGAGGTCCAATCTCAACCAAGTAATTCAATCCCTGCAGGTCTTCCATGGTGCACAACTCCGTTACCGCTGCATGGAAGCGAACCCGGCTGGTTAGATTCTCTACCCAGTATCTGGGTTTAAGGTCCGTCTCATGGACCTGAAGTCCCGTTACAGAAGAGACCATTGGGACCTTCGATAGTCGTAGTGGGGTTGCAGATGAATCATTCTCCGGAGTGCCCTCTGTAAGAAGTTGTTCGTAGACTGGACCCATGACATTCATCGCTGGCGAGTGATAAGGCCGGCCTGTTGTCAGCTCTCTCACAAATACCCCTGCAGTAGCAAGCTTGGTTTGGGCCTGCTGAATTGCACTCGCTGGGCCGCTCAATGTCACGCTCTCGGCGGAATTCTCGCATGCAATTACGACATCCGTGTCACGGACATAGAACTCGATCGCCTCGACCCCGAGACCCACAGCAAGCATCGATCCTTGGGGACTCTCTTGTGAAACTGCAAGTCCTCGATAAAAAGCGGTCTTAAAAGCGTCCAAGGCAGATAACAAACCGGCTGCATACGCTGCGGCTATCTCCCCAGATGAGTGTCCGACCACAGCAGATGGGACAATCCCCCATTTCCGTAGCTGGTCGACAATAGCAATCTGAACTGCTGTACATAATGCTTGTGCAACATCGGGCTCGATCAAACGTTCCGAATCGATGTTCCCTAGTAAGGACTCCTCTATGGACCATGCTACTGGGGGGTGCAAATTCTGCAGGAACTTGTCCAGAGACCTAATGCTTGCGGAGAATGTAGGCAAGATGCACATAGCATCCCTTCCCATTCCAAGCCACTGGGCCCCCTGCCCCGTGAAAACAAAGGCAATCTGGGCAGGAGCTTCTGCCAAACCGAACTCGAAGGCCGGCAGGTTGAAATCCCTCGATTCGCTGTCTTGGGCGATGGTGAAGGCTCTGTGTGAAAAGTGCGTCCGATGACAATTGAGGGTGTAGGCCAGGTCTGGAAGGTAAAACCGTTCGGCGATATCCGCGTGAGCCCTAATGTTTCTCTCCAGGGTAGCTCGGTCGTGGGCTGTAAAACATACTAGAACCTCGTTAATGCAAGAACACGTATATCCTGCTGTGGACCTTTCCTGCCCGTGGCCAGAGTGCCCGGCCTCCAATATCAAATGGCCGTTGGTGCCAGCATAGCCGAATGATGATACACCAACCCGCCGAGTCAGTGGGCACTCAGGCCACGGCGTAGTATCCACGTTTATTTTTACATTCCACTCTGTTTCTTTGACTAGAAAATGGTCAGTACGGTTGTTCTCCGGGGTTCGATCACGGGTAACAAACTGGCTGGGTTGAGCAGGTTGAACCCTGCTACCCCTGGCATGACAGCGGACTCCACGACCATAGCTGCTTTGATCACAGCAAAGATACCAGATGCAGCCTCACTATGACCAATATTCGCTTTGACCTTGGAGGATTAATATGGTTCTATGAGTCAATGTAGGAAAGTCTTACTGCTCCCAGCCGCAAAGGCTGCTCGCAGCTCCGTCGATCATTCATTCCTCTAGCAATGGCATGGACTTCAATAGGGTCTCCAACGGGTGTGCCCGTTCCTGCGAGTTCAGTATTCCTCATTACAGCCAGGCCAGATCACTTTACCGTGGCATTCAACATAAAGCGTCTCAGTTGGATCCAGGCCAGCCCGTTCATAAGCAGTCCGAAGTACTCGCTCCTGGCCCTCGAGACTTGGGTGGGTAATACCCTGATCTTTGGCCTTTCCATTTCTAGCCTGAATTAGTGTCTTGTCACACGTTTAGTGCCAGGCTCAGAACTCTCACGTATTGACGGCTGAGCCGCGAATGATTGCTCGAATTGGATTGCCATCACGAACTGCATCGGAGAGTCTGCGCAGGTAAATGGCGCCCGCCCCCTCGCCACGGCCATATCCGTCCGCGGCAGCATCAAACGTGTGGCAAGTGGACGTTGGAGACAGGATCCCCAGCTTGGCGGTATTGAGGTGTTGATCGACTGAAATGATCAGATTCACGCCCGCAGCAACTACACCATCGCATTCTCCGGCGCGCAGTGTCTGGCACGCATGGTGGATCGCAGTGATCGACGATGAACAAGCAGTGTTGATGACGGCGCTGGTTCTTCAGTCACCTACTCACACCTTAGAATCATGTCAGTCCTATCACTCACCTTGGTCCGTGTAAGTCGAAAACATTACAGACTCTCGCACTGATCAGGCCAGGATCGGTCCCGGTTGCGGAATATTCATGACGAAAATCAGGTTCCCGATGAAGCATTTGCTGGTAGTCCGACGTAAAACAGCCCACAAACACCCCGATGTTTTTTCCGGCCACCTCGTCCAGCGTTATACCGGCGTTTTCAAGGCATTCGTATGCAACTTCGAGAATGCGTCGTTGCTGCGGGTCGAGCCACATTGCCTCAATTGGCGACATGTCGAAGAATCTTGGATCGAAGTCATGAGGGCTGCCGTCAAGAAAATAGCCTCCACGGGCATCGAAACTACCCGGTCTGTTCAGATTCTCGTGATAGAACGCGTCGATATTGAACCGACTTTTCGGCACGGATGGGGTTTGAACAGATCTCTTATTGACCATAGCATCCCAAAAGCTTGCGGGGGAGGTGATGGCCCCAGGGAGGCGGCATGCTATTCCATCAGCATGTACCATCTAAGCATGGGTACTGGCTGATATTTACCCATGCCTACAATGGCAATCTGCTCTAGAGCATGGTCCCCGAGGGGAGAATCTGCGGTGCGGTCCATCAGTGCTGAGTAAAGAGTTGACCTTTCAATCAGTTTTCCGGTGCAGCTATGTTAGCAGGATAAATGAGAGGATAGTGCAGGGGTACTGGATTTTGGATTTGGTGTTCCCCGATTACTACCCCATAGCAGACTCGGATCACGACTTCTTGTACTTTCCAGTGAGCTGAGCCGGACAAGTTGATGGTACGCTCTTCTGTCGGAAAACAGGATCTAGTAGAATTCACTCATCCCCTTACTCAGTCCCTTGCGAGGCAGCCCAATCATGGATAATGTAAAATATCAGAGGGTTGCACAACCTTCCGTCTCGGGTCAGAGACTTTCGTCCGCTGTCGTTGTTTAAGGGCCATCACTCTTTGGTTCGTTGAATGCCACCTTCATGGTAGACTAAGCGATGTCATCGGTCACGTCCATCTTAGTGAATAGCGCAAGGCAGCAGGGATTCATGTACTGTAGAGTTTCTCCAGCTGGACTGTAGCACAAGGGATAGACCATGCCGATCTCTAACAATCTCGGGACTCCTCTCAAGGATCAAGATGGCCATGTTATTGAAGGGTTATCGAGCGCAACGATAAATCTAATCTCCCGCCGCTTCTATCCACCAGAAGGAAGGTTTCGAGCTTGTTTTCAAGGCTGGCGATACCTGTCCTGGTGATCGTGTAGTATAACCCCGTAGTTTTAGGAGTATCCCTTGATGACTGTGCTGATCCACCTACTGATGTCAGTCCTGAAGTCGGAGACTTTTTCCGTCACATACCTTGCGTCCCATGATGCACGTCTACTTTTCGGGTGGTTGGCATTGCTGACAGCTGTCTGCCCACATTTTTGTAGTCGTCAGCCAGAGCTGTTCGTAGCAGGATTCATGTCGCTAACCCAACGTCATATCAGAAGCTGCCTCGGCTCATTACTCACAGCGCTATTCCAAGTAAAAAGTAGGATGTCAGCAGCGTTCATTGATTTCATCGTGCAGAGAACTAGGATGCGGAGACAGTTACTAGTATTGTACGTGCGAAGCAAAATGCCATCGACACAGACCCGAAGCAAACATACCTTTGCAGAGGCAAAAACTCTTGATGCTTTCAAGAGGGGGGGGGCAGGTTATGAAACCATGTAGTATGTGAGCTGACTGCTGTCAACTGAGGCCAAAAAATCTGTTGGCAGTGACCATGCTTGTATCCACACAACAAGGTGCATCAAGCCAGTTGAGTAATCAATCGGTGAATGGTTTCTTTGGGTCTTCGATAGAGTGTTTGCTCGTTGTGAAGAATGACCAAGTGATGGAGGTAGCGAAGAAGAGAGATGGCACAAGAGATAACTGAACAAGGGGTCAGGGTCAGGTGATTGGCCTACTGGTCAAGCAGGAAGTATACACAATATCACATAGCTGCAGAGCAAAAGATAAATTCAATATGGCTCTTTTCCTCTTATCAAACCTACGTTCTGTTTAACGTGAGATCCATCGCTAGTAATGTGAAGCTTTCTAGACCTTCCAGCTGCATGCATTACACCTGTCAACTATACAATACTCCGTTCTGGTACCAATTTGTGTACCCCATTCTGTCTCTATACAGCTCGACAACATTATCTTCACTTCTATTTCTGTCGCATTGAAATCACACCAATATTTCAAAAATTGACCACACGAAAGCTTTTCTCCATTAAACCTAACCAAAATCAATCAAACCCCCATTAGAATACAAACTAGAACCCCAATACTCTAATACTCTACCCTCTCCTCTCTTCAAACCAACTAAACCAACCTCCTCAACCCCAACATCATCCCTACTACTACCTCCCACCCCAAAATACTCCAATCGACAAACTTATCCCTACACTGTAAACTACGTACAGTAAACTACGTACCCCTCCATCCAATCCTCTCTGCTTCTATGCACCAACACCCCCACACCCTTCCCATCCCTACCCTACTGGTTCTAGTTTACCCCTCAACTTACCCCATCCAATGTAACCCCAACCCCAAATCCCTGCAAACTAATACCTAGTATCTGCATTCTGCAAGTCTAGTCTAGTTTCCTCCGTATGGGCGTATTTAGCCTAGTATCCACAATCTACACTGAAGTATATTTTCCCGCCCGGGAGCATCTTCAACCGGACGAGCGACAACAACCCCAAATTTTTCAATTGAATCGAATAAAATCCAATCCGGATATAATCCTATCTACTACTTTACTTCTCGGTTATTCCAGATCCCGTGCTTACTCGGTCCAGATCAATCAAATCATTTCTATAGTGCTTACTTGTATCCAATATCCACGTATAAAACCCCCGGCATGAGGGAGGCCTACCCGATCGGTCGGTCGGCATCCATCCATTCACCCGAAATATTCCGGGCCCTTAACTAACCAATCCACTGCAGCAACATACCCCTCGGGCCCGGAGCGGAATACGGAAATGTAATGACTCGGCTCAAACCCGCATACTGTACTTTGTCCGTATACTAGGTATCTAGGTTCAGTATGTCCCTAGTCGGAACCCGCTGAAATACACACGATGCTATTGGACCACAAACCGAGATGAACCTGTCAACTCAACCGAGGAACGGAGGTTTTCGAACAAGAAAATTAAGTTCGCGGGCGACCGCACGCGGTGTCAATGTCGTCATGACTCGGTACCAAAGTTTTGACGGGTCGGATCCCGAGGCATCTAAGGTTTTACAACTGAAAAGGTATCTGAGAACGGCGATGGAGAGAGAACAACCGGCTGCAACAGTGCAGGCAGGGTCGTGGATTCATATATATGTAACCAAACTAGAAAAGTCTAAACCCGAACTAATCCATCTAACCAGCCCAGTGGAGGAGACATCATAGGAATGTATGAGTGGAAGAAAACACAGGTTGCATTGACGCTGCATTGCATTGCATTGCCTAGCATGCAGGTGCATGATTGTCACCAAAAAATAAGGAAAATAAAACAGTCTAAAAGTAAAATCGCAAACAAAATCGGTCGGCTCGCTGTGACTTTTTTGGCCCAGGAGCGACGATGGATATCAGTAGTCCAAACCCGTAAGCCGTAACATGCAAAGAAATAAATGTCTAACATCGATCAAGATGCGAACCAAGATGAAAAATGGGTGGGAAGAGAAGAAATAGTCACGCAGTGATGCGTTTACTCGACAGCGGAGGCACCGTCGCCGTGGAGGACGGGGTTGACCTTGGGGTTCCACTTCAACTTGAAGTCCTGGCCGAGCTCCTTGCGGATGGCGGTCTTGACGGCCTCAAGAACGTGGGGGAAGACACCGAAGTTGGCGGGGTTGCTCTCGTCGTTGTCACCACCCTGGAACACACCGGTGCGCACCAAGCAAGTGTTCCAGCCGTGCATGTTACCACCGCAGATGTCGGAGGCCGGGTTGTCACCAACCATGTAGACGTTCTCGGGCACGCGGGCCTCGTTGTGGAGCTGCTCCATCCAGGCCTTCAGCACCTCGTCGGCGTAAGTGTAAGTGGCGCGCTCGGGCTTGCCGTAGACGACACGCTCCAGATCGACACCGGTGAGGGCCTTGTACTGAGCCTCAATGGAGATACGGAACAGACCCTGGGTCAGACGGGGGGGACCCTTGTGGTCGGTGGGGAAGACCAGGTCACCCTGGGAGAAGTAGACGGGGATGCGGTTGGCAACGGGGTCCTCGGAGCGGGTCAGCATCTTGCCGTCGTCAGCCAGGAGCAGGTCCATGATGAGCTGCATGTCGGTGGCGTAGTCGCGGGAGTCGGCGAAGACCAGGATAGCATCGAACTTGACCTTGGAGAAGTCGCGGGGCTTGGCCTCGAGACGATCCTCCTCGGAGAAGCAGCGCCAGGGAGAGACGGTGGGGTCCCAGGCGAGGACATCCTTGGGGTGGACGACGTTCTTGAAGCCGTAGTTCTCGGCGACCTGACGGATCTTCTGACCCTCACCACCGCACACCAGGACAGTGTCGTAGTACTCCGCCAACGCCTGCATTGGGGTGTGAGACTGGATGAACTGGTCGGTAGAGATGGGGCAGCCGAGGACCTCGGTGAGCTGAGCGCAACGCTCCTCCTCGGTCTTACCACCACCGTTGGTAAGGAGAATGTAAGGGATCTTAACACCGAGCTCGTTGTCGCCGTTCAGGATGGCGAGGGCCTCCTTGGCCTCCTCAATGGCCTCGTTACCGTGGGCCAAGACACCGTCAATGTCGAAGGCAAAAGCCATGTTCTTGGCGGCGGCGGTCTTCTCCTTGTTCATGTCCTGGATTTGGGAGGCCAGGATGTCACGAGAGACATCGGCAGTGACCACGGACGACAGACGAGAGACACGGGGAGATCTGGGGATGGGGAGAGAAGTGCCGAAGGAGTTGCGGGATGCACGACGATCCCGGGAAGAGGGAGCAAAGCTCAGGTTGTGCATGAACTGGGCAGCATCGCTGATGGAGCTGCGAGTAGCAGGGATCTCAACAGTGTTGCCAGCATCGCTGGGGATGGGCAAAGAGCCAGCGGCGCTGCCACGGGCATCCCGGGGGGAACGAGCACCGGGAGCAGGAGCAGCGTCCACGGCAAAGTCGGCGTCTTCAAAGCGAGGCATGATGATAGAACTGAGGTCGTAAAAGGTTCAATTGAGGGAATTGGAAGGTCCAGAAGGTGGAGGGACCGGTATTTAAGGAGGGGGGGGAGGTGATAAGATAGAGATGGATGATATCACTCGGGGAGGAAACGCTGCAAGCAATGTCTCCGAGAAGAGTGGAAGAGGATGGATGAGGATGAGGATGAGGATGGAAGAAAAGAAGAAGAGGCAAACGAGGGCAACGCTGGATAATATATAACAAGCTTTGTTCACAACCGTGGCGGTCTGGTTGAGCGGACGGAGGGACAAGGAGAGAGTGCGTACCACTCGATACCCCCCCGGCGACGACTCGAGGGTTGTTGTCCTGCGTGCAGCCATACGGAGCAGGCTCCACCGAGGGGCGTATCAGCATCCCTAGGAATTATCGTCGTCATTCACCCGCCAGTGATTAGCTGCAAGCCGTGGACCCGTAATCTTTCCACCCCCTGACCGCTGGACCCTGGCTGGCGGTAATTTATGACCGCCCCATACCCCCATACCCCCTTGCCCTTTCCGGCCGCTGGTGTTTCGGTGTCTCTGAGGCATTAAACCGATTCCCACTCTTCACACCACTTGCGCATCGTGGCTGCAGATGGCAGCCTGAATTGCCCACCGCGGCGGGGCGGGAGGCTTGCTGGGGAGTGGCATCACCAGGTTATCAAGGTATTGATTGGCCACAGCTGAAATTTGTTCGCAGGACGAACCACCCAGGACGGATCCTCAGTGGTCGGCACGAGAAGCGGATGCATGGTGAGTGGACAGGAGGGGGCGGCGGGACTGAGCCCGTGGTTTCATTGGCGGTGGGATGCATTCCACCATGGATGAGCCAGAGATCGCTGGAGCCGATGACGATCGAGCGGGCGGCGGTGGGTCAAACGCTCGCGCCGTTTCGAACCAGCGCCCGCAGTGATGTCATGGGTTAGCAGCGGGTTTTTGCACAGTACACAGACAGTACACAGCACTAGTGGACGGTGGATGCCGGATGGAGTCCTCAGGCCCATGGTACTCATGCCGTCATGAGAAGCTCGCTGCTGACACCGTGAGAGCTCAACTCCAGCGGGTACAGCATCAGGATGGTTCTCGATGGTGGTGATGGCGGTGATGGCGGTCCAGAAGGTGGGAGAAGGCAATTGCACACCGAAAAAGGCAAAAAAGAAACGAGCTGCAGATAATTAGGCACAAGCACCACCACCACGACGGAAGCAATAGCATCATACCCCTCTCTTCAACGCAACACCCCTCCACCCCACTTTCCCAGTCACCTCCCACGCCCACCCTCTATTTGTACTCGTCCTCCTTCCCCCCTGCTCTTTTCTCCTCCCAATTATACCCATTTTCCTCTCCAACTTCTGAGATACCCCCCGCAACCATGTCTTCCGGACAGACCTTCACTCTCAGCAACGGCGTCAAGATCCCCGGCGTCGGCTTCGGCACCTTCGCCAGCGAGGGCGCCGTGGGCGAGACATACAAGGCCGTCACCGTCGCCCTGCAGACCGGATACCGTCACCTCGACTGTGCCTGGTACTACCTGAACGAGCAAGAGGTCGGTGACGCCCTCAGGGACTTCCTGAAGGCCAACCCGTCCGTCAAGCGTGAGGACATCTTCATCTGCACCAAGGTCTGGAACCACCTGCACCGCCCCGAGGATGTCAAGTGGTCCCTCAACAACTCCCTCGAGCGGTTCGGACTCGACTACATTGACCTGTTCCTTGTCCACTGGCCCATTGCCGCCGAGAAGGAGACGCAGGAGAAGCCCAAGATTGGCGCCGATGGCAAGGTAATTCGCTCGCTCCCCCCCGCGATCGCCGCAGCTAACCGACTCCCGTAGTACGTGATCCTCAAGGATCTCACTGAGAACCCCGAGCCCACCTGGAGGGCCGTGGAGGAACTCTACAAGGAGGGCAAGGCCCGTGCGATCGGTGTGTCCAACTGGACCATCCCCGATCTGGAGAAGCTCTTCAAGTTCGCCGAGATCAAGCCTCACGTCAACCAGATCGAGATCCACCCCTTCCTGCCCAACACCGAGCTGATCGACTACTGCTTCAAGCACGACATCCTGCCGGCGGCGTACTCGCCTCTGGGCTCCCAGAACCAGGTGCCCACGACCGGTGAGCGCGTCAGCGAGAACCAGACGCTGAACGACGTCGCCAAGAAGGGCGGCAACACCCTGGCCCAGGTGCTGATTGCCTGGGGTCTTCGCCGCGGCTACGTGGTGCTCCCCAAGAGCTCGAACCCTGCTCGTATCGAGTCCAACTTCAAGACCATTGAGCTGTCGGATGAGGATTTCGAGGCGGTCAACAAGGTGGCCGAGGGCCGTCACTTCCGCTTCGTCAACATGAAGGACACATTTGGATACGATGTGTGGCCCGAGGAGACGGCCAAGAACCTGTCGGCTTAGATAGATTTATGCGGGTCATAAATATACATGTCTACGGTGCAGCGGATTAGCTGTTGACATACAATGAGCTACGTGTGGATGAAAAACAAACCCCAAAATAGCTAGCAGTTCAAGTCTAGTTACGAATAAATACATACAAACAAATCTGATACTTTGTACTTGTATGTAACACATACCATCACCCATAATTGTCATCTCATAGCCAATGAATTTCCCAATGAAACCATGCATGCATAGCGAGCCGAATAACGCATGCAAGTGGACGGGACTCGGAGGACTGTCCTCCTGCAATCCGCCATGACGTCATTCCACCTACACAGTAAACAACAAACAAGAAACCACTCACATACCTCCTACACAGTATATTCATATACTCCCTAAATAGAAGCATCTAGATCCCTAATCGCCCATCACCAACCCACCATTTAATCATCATCTTATGCACACCAACATCATAGCCATAAAAATATAGTAGAAGCAGCCACATATCCCACAAGCACCTTGAAAACACCCCTAACCCAATCAAGTTAGGTTACCTATTCGGAAGATATCGGGTGGTTTGGCCCTTCGGTGGGCTAATCCGGGCAAGCCCTAACACCGAGGCGCCGTGTTGGGAAGGAAGGAAGACCTGCCGACGGATGTATTTCGGTGGATACGGCCTTTACCTACTATGGTCACGGTGGTGGGCTTGCCCTAACCTACCTATCTCCTAGGCTAGTAGTAACCTAACCCTACTACTGTACCTAGCCTAGATAGTAATAGTTAGTAATTGGTTGGGTTGGGGGTGGCTTGGAGGTAATACTACTTGGTACTAGTGTGTAGTGTAGTGTATGTAACTAAGTGGGATGTAGGTACATACATCCATAATTCGTAGCTTAGGAGGTAGGATTAGAATAAGTGGTAGAACTAGAAGATTGTGACGTGGAAGGTTCATATTCATTCTTCTTAGGAACTAGTTCCTACGTAGGTACTAGGTAGGTAGGTAGATACTAAATGAGGGATTATTGTTATCGATGCTTCTACGTACTCCACTTGGTGTTGGATACCGGAGTGTATACCGAGTTATTTACTCCTACTACTACCACTTACTTATCTGGGACCATAGCATAACATATCATTCGCTGTACCTACCTTGAGATATCTATTTTCTAGGTAGGAGTTCGGACTCAAACCGGGCTTGGTTGCTTGCTTAATTGGTCGAGGAGATCTCCGTGCCTGGTTGGTGTAAGTACTATGTATTTACTTCCGAGCAATCACAACGTTCAATTACATCCATCCATTAACGGATTCCTATTTTATCTTAAGGTACGGATCCATAAACTACGTAGGTGGCAGGCAGTGCCAATTACTAGACTACTATTATGTGGCCGCCCTATGCGCAATCAATATTTTTGAAGAATAGGTTGGTCCGGTTCTAGAAAAGGGAATCTAATCCCGGGCTGGGTTGAACTTTGTTTGTCTTGATCTGCGGATTAGCGGTGTTGGCTATACCTACCTACTTGCCTGCCTGCCTATCTGCTGTGTAGAGGTGGGTGGTGGTGGTGATGTGGGTGTGGATTGATCTCGTATTGAATTGAAGGTGGGAGGGGTAGGTAGGTGGGTAGGCTGGGTTGGGTTGGGTTGGGTATGTTTGAGATGGAGATAAGAATGAGTGAATAATATTGAATCAGATTTGGGATTATCGAGTACAGTAAATCGTATGGTTATTCTTAACAGTATAGTAATGTATTAGGGATAATACTACAACCAGGATCTCAAGAATTGTAAGTACTATAAACCCTGCAGATGTTTGTGCTTGTGCTTGCAGGAAATACTATACAATTTGAGAGGTGTAAACTGTAAACACAGAGAGTTTAGCTGAGGTGAGGTGAACCTTATCGCGATAAAACATCATGCTTAGTTCAGATAAGAAAAAAATATATTTTCTGCACTGCTTGCTTATCGAGCACGACACTGGGTGGTAAATCACACCTTCACTTTTTCTACAATTGGAAATATAGTAATTAAGAAATGTCGGATTTCCTACAATGTGTATTAAATCCCTCATATTCTATCATGTCTTGGGTTATTCTTAATACCAGTATAGCAGCCAATAAATGCCATGATAAATAATAAGAATCCATGTAGCTCTCATACCCTCTCACTGGCTATAGCCTGAAACAACAACACCTCCCTAGTTACCTAGTAGTCCTAGGTAGTACCTACCAGCTACAAGGATCCTCATCCTATCATATCTCCTTTTTCAGTCCCCTACCTATCCAGCAACCAAGAACCCCAATCCTATTCCGCACCACCAGACCTGAATCACAGTCTCATATCTAGGAATAAACAAACCTGAATATGCAGCGTGCATCATCATGCAGAATCAAAACAGCCAAAGCATGTACACAGGACGCACAGCTTAATAGGGTGATATAACATATGTAATATCCATACAGAGTACTCCATACTGTGCGGTTGCATTCTCAAGGCGGGGGATCGTCCTTGCATGGGGGTCTGTGAGGAGGTGGTTGAGGATGTTATATGCAAGGCTGGAATGTGAAATACATGGTTTGGTCGGGCTAGGCCTTATGGGTATGCTTTATCGCGTATGCTGATTACTGAGTATTTGGGTTAGGTGGAGGAGGTTTGCAAGTATGTGCTACGCAGTAGAACCGATAAGCAATATTAAGATAGTATGTAGCAATCCAGCACATAATCAGACGCCACCTTCCATAACACCATCCATATGTACAAGCTAAACTCCAAAATTCACAAGCTATCACGGGCGCGGGCGCATTTTCCGAGGCACTGGCGTTGACCCAGCGTTGATCTTCAGCAGGTTCGTCTTTGCGCTACTACTGCGCAGTGATGTCTTGATGCTTTCGCCCGCAGCCTTAGATGGTGTTGCGGGCGCCCGTCTTGGCGATTTCGGGGTCAGCTTCTTGCGGTGATCACAGCTTGCAGAGGTGTCGTCGCTGCTGGTGGGTGACGACACACCCACGGTAGCACCCGAGTCGGGTTTGGCTGCTCCGGGCCCCAGCCGGCGCACGCGCCGCGTCCGAGGCGTTGCAGTAGCGGGTGCAGTAGGCGCTGCGGTAGCTGCATCGGCGCCATCCTCCCCACCACTCTTCTGCGCCACTTGCGACCGCGTCGTCCGGCTACTGGCTGCCTTTCTTTTCTCGGGGCTTTGGCCCTTGCTTCCGCCGTTGCCAACGTCATGCCCATCGCCCTTCGCACCATCTTCTTCACCCTCAAACTGCACCAGCCGGTGGTCGTTCCAGGCTACATGCTTCTTCTTGCGTGATCGTCCCGAGTCATCTCCCGACCTATCCTCGGTGCAAGGGGAGCTCTCTTTCTTGGCCTCCGGGGATTTACGTGCTAGCGCCTGCAGAACGAACTTTGGCATCAACGCATTGCCCTTGTTGAGTCGCGTATTCCGCCGTGTCTCGAGCGCTAGCTCCTGCGCCTCGGTGCGTTGCAGGAAGATAAATTCGGTGCCCTTGGCACGGCGCAGAGAGAGGGTGTTGCGCACGGCTGCCGCGGCGGTGATGGTCGTCAGTAGCGAGGAAGCGCGGCTCGGGCGTGGTCGGCTACTCCGGCGAGGGCTAGAAGGTTGCGTGTTTTCCTCGTCCTGTGGCTTGGTCGGCGACAGCTGAGGCTTCTGAGGTGATGGTGAGTTCGCGTCGAGATTCTCCAGCGCACGGCGCGACGGTGGAGTCGGAGACGCGACCGCGACCGCGACCGACACCTCCTGCTCAGTCTTTTCTGCATCCGGAGCGATCATAGCGGCAGCTTTGGCCTCGCGCTTGGCCTTTGCCTTGGACAAAAAGTTGTTTAGCAACTCGGTGTCCTCTCCGTCCAATGAGCTTCGGAGGGCGGACCGGACCAGGGTCGATTCCTGTTCGACCGTCAAATCCGGCACGGGGACGTTTATCGTAGCAGGTGCCTCCTCTTTCACGGTGTCTGTAATCAAGGTGGTGGGCTGTTCGTCGGGTTGATCACCGATCATCGTAGTAACCGCCTGTTCGCCATGGTCATCTTTCGTCGTAGGCACTTCTGCACTCGCATCGGAGAGATCCAAAGCCGGTTGTACGTTGACCTCGTGGGGGTTTATGAGTGCTGGGCTGTCAGTCATCCCACTGAACACTAGCGGCGACTGGCCATGTAGCGTGCGGGGATAGGCTGCGTCGGCCGCCAGTCTGGTGGGGGTTTCCGGCATCCGACTGCAGCATTCGTCCTCATCTGCAGGGTTCTCCGCGAGAGCTTCCTCCAACGTCGACGTGGGCACCTCCGGCACGTTGCTCGCATCATCACCAGACTCTTGTGGCTGAAGACTATCGTATTCCACCGGCTCATCGGAAATGTCGACAAAATCACTGTAAACGAGGGGTAGTTTGCCTGTGACCGTTAGCCCCGATCAATCTCCATAGGGAGATAACTCACGTCGTCGTCCATTAACACCCAACTCCCACTTTGTCTCTAGAAAAGAACGCCCGCGCACCCCATCCTCCAAGTCGTCCGCCTCCAGGGCAAAACATCGGCGCTTGACACCGCGAAATAGGCCGGGGTTCCGGGATGTGTTGATTTCCAAATGCAGGTCGTAGTCGATAGTGTGACGGTCCGCCGCAGTCAACTGCTGCAGAGCCTTCATGCTGTTGAAGGAGGAGCGAAAGCGTTTCCAGACTTTACGCGACTTGCCGCGTGCCCGGAATGCGGTCGACGGCTTGCGCTCCCAGACGCGGGGAGCGGTTTTGGCGGTCTTGACGGGTGTAAATCGGAATCGTGTGTCTTCTTGAGAAAAATTGGTCCGTAGGTGTGGGGGACTGTGTCGAGGGTGGCGTTAGTAAGGTCAGGGTGAGGCATCGATCAGGTAAGAAGGACATGATGGCGGTAAAAAAGGGGTAGCCACGACATGTTGTGGCGTCACGCATCTCACACAGTGCCTCCCAATAGGTAGAGGAAGATACGGAGCTATCGACAGCCAGAACTCCACGAGGGAACTCACCACGCCCGGAATGCGTCTGAAGGACAGACAAAGTCGGCCATCTTCATTATTGAGGCGCGACGGAATGTGGCTGGCGCTGACGTCAAGCAGCCCCGGAAGAGGCACGGAGATCGAGGCCGACTGGGAATAGAGATTGTGTGAAGGATATCGATGTGAAGTACTGATGCCGTGTAAATAGTCAGTTTATCAATAGGATTCAATAACACGGACTCAATGATGGCGAGATGAATGAGCGGCGAGCGGAGTGGATTTGCTGTTGTGGTCCGGCCCCGGCTGGGTCGTTGCCCTGCCAACCAGCCCGGGATCGACGGCATCATCTTGGTGTTGAACACAGGCGGAGTATTAAGTAGGTAGATGGTTGGTGGATCCTTTAGAGCCTGTTACTTTGAGTGCATTAGACCCTGAGAAGTTTTTGGTTGGTCAATCTTCTCATCGCCTTTCGACTATCTGTGATACAAGCCAAATGCATCAATATACCCATGGTAGAATCCTCCACCGCACCGTCCTACTATACTTCTCCCAGTCCTCTCCGTATTTTGCAGCACACATGGCATCATCCCTACGCTCCCGGTGAATCAGTAGGATTGCAAAATAAAGCACGTAGAAGTAGGTGAAGATCAACCCCCAACTGTAGGCTTCCCCCTGGATCACCTCGCGCCCGTCCAGCATCTGGAAACCGTGAGAAACAGCCATACTCCCCGCCGGTAGAATCATATAGCCAGCCACGCCTGTCGGTAAGCTGAAAGGTAATGCCTGCACCCAATCGCCAAAATAATTGATATGGCGAGATAAGCCCCACCACCCGGCCGTGAGCAGTCTGGTTCCCCGCTTGGTCTGGATATACGACAATCCCGCCACACTCGGGTCAGTAGGCTGCGTACGGAAGACGTGCTTCTGATTATTTGCAGCCCGGAAGATGTACAGCCCCAGAGCAAAAACACCGCTCACAGCAGCGATGTTAATCCACCCCAGCTGCAGAGGATAGACGGACAGATACCGGCACTGTGTTGAGTACAGGAAAGGCACCCAAACGAGATCGCCAAATGACAGCATAAAACCCATGCCATCGGTGGTAATATCGATCATGGTCAAAATGCCGGGTTCGTTGTACTGACCGTTCAGAACGTAGAAGGCTTGGAAACAGGTGATGAAGACGATACTGTCGGAGACATAACCGTAGGTGCGATATTGCTTGGCAATAAAGGCTAGATCGAGCAGGATCCAGCCGGTCAACCCGGGATAAACCTCGCACCAGGTCTTGATATCGACCTCTCCGAACATTGGGAGGGTGACCCGAGGATTCAATTCCCGGCCAATGAAGAAGTCATAGATCAAATTTCCTGTATCACCGCCCGCAGCGAGTTCGCGGAGATTCCCGTTGGGGTAATTGGTGTCCACGCTGAAGCTGCGGATGTAGAGATAGGTAGAAAGTACATAAGATATCAATAAATTGGCGGTCAAAATCTGCACATAGTGGTCCGTGATGTATGTCCAGACCGGGAATTCGGCGCCTTGGAGGTATGTACCAACAGCACAGACGGATAAGAGGACGGCACTGGTAAAGAACGCTGTCAGGAAGCCATCAGCGGAATTCAGAGTTGAATAGAAGAGACGCGGGTATAATCACCATTCATACGATACTGAAGGGGACGGCCGTGATGCTCAAGCTTAGTGCCGTGGACTTGTTGCGCAGGGAGAAATTTCCATAGTAATAAATTCAACATATAGTATGCCAGAACTATACCGGTGACTTTCCAGTTGAAGAGGTTCCGGATTCCATCTGCAGGCCACCCAGCCTCGGCTGCCCATTTGTCCCAAGTAAGGGTACGAGGGTTCAAAAGAGAAGGGACCGGACAGCCCGAGACATCATTGCAGTTGAAAGCAAAGAAGTACAGAAGTACCGGCAGGCCAAAGGTGATGGCGGCGGCTCCTAGGCTACAGCAATCAGTCAATGTCAGTGTCAGGACGGAGGATACTTACGGTCCACCAAATTCGTAGCGATGGGCCATAATAGCAAAGCCCCGAGATGACGTCCTTCAGCAGTCTGTCAAAGGCAATTGCTGTGCTTGTTCTGCATTGAAGAGAGAGGATTTAAGTAGGCACCAGGGGTCTACAGTGATTACCATTTCGGGACTAGTGCGTGTCGGGGACAAGCCTGCCGGCGTGATATCATCCTGCGACATCCAGTCTACCCTCTCCTCGGCACAAAAGGCAGAGCAACTCGTTTACAGTCATGGCGGAGTATTGGAAATCAGCGGTAAGATTGCTTGGCTTACTCTCACTTCTGCCCCTTCGTATCACTAACCCCAGCAAGCCCAAAGTTTGGTGCAAACAGTGCAAGATCTTTATCCGCGATACTGCCTTTGAAAAGTCCCAACACGAGGCCACAGCCAAGCATCAAGGCAACCTAAAGCGATTCCTCCGCGACATCCATCGGAACAATGAGCAACAACAGCGTGAAACCCAAAGAGCCAAGAATGAGGTCGAACGCCTGCGACAGACCGTGGCCGGATCTTCGGCGGGCGGGAAAGACGGCGATGCGGCGCCCTGGAAACGGGCTCCCGTACCAGCTCCCCAACCCCAGGAGCGACCTGTCTCCATCGAGGAGCGAAAGCGACAGATGGCACAACTAGCAGAGATGGGTGTTGCCATTCCAGATGAATTCCGCAGGGAGATGGCGTTGGCCGGAGAATGGCAGACGGTGGCGGAGAAAGTCGTTCAACCTCGGGATGATGCAAAGGCCAGCCAATCGTTAGGTGTACGGAAGCGTAAACACGAAGAGCGCGATGAGGAGGAGGAAGAAGCGAAACGGGAAGCCGAAAGATTTGTGAGCAAGGGCTGGGGCTCTCGGACTCTCCAGTACCCAGGCGCGGCAGAAGACACTGATCTCGACGCACTTCTACAGTCAACAAAGGATATCAAGAAGGCCAAGCCTTCGAAAACTGCAGATCCAGATCCGAAACCCGAGGAAGAGCCAGACTCTACTAAGAGTCAGTTCGTGCCGGTCAAGTCAGAGGGGGATGTGGCAGCTCCCGAGGCTGGTGAGCCGTCGCAGATCAAGCAGGAAGAAACCGAGGCCGGGTCCTCGACTCCTGCAGTCAAAGACGAGCCCGAGGAGGCGCCGGCTGCAGGCGTTGTTTTCAAAAAGCGCAAGGCCAAGGTGATGAGGAAGTAATGGCCAATACTTAAATGACAAGCTTTTACGGAGCTACGATGAAACCGTCCTATACCGACGATTCTACATTGTGCATTGTGCTCTGATGCTATACAGTAACGAATCGATACAGGTTGCTGAACACCGCCTTCACTCCTCCTGGGGTTGGTTACTGGAGATGGCTGATAGCGATGCGATTCCGATGCACGGTCCATGAATATTATCACCAGGACATGGCGATAAATGGATGACTGTTGAGCATCTATTGGAAACGTCGGATGGTATCAAAACATGGATATGAAGAAAAGGCCGATCTGGAGTGCATGGACCACCAAGGCCAGTGCGAGGCGATGATTACTCCCTGGGATATCCGCAAGCAGAACGTCGCGATATGTCTGCTTTACAGGGTCATGTCTACAGCCTGGAATAGGAGACTATTCTCAACAGCTTGATGCACGTAGTACTAGTGCTAGACATGGTTGGACACTAGTATATGGGCTGGACAGATGGGAAATAGATGGATGTCAGATGATTGCGGTTGTTGGGTGACAGGACGAAGACTGGTGATAATGACACTATCCACTTTCTGAATTTGTTCATAATAGCGCAATCGCAGCAATGTGTAAACTCGAGTCTAAATCACAGAGAATATCGATGCGACGGGGGTGCTGCTGCGAAGCATCTGTAGGCTGGCTGGCTGGCGGCAGCGTTGCCACTGGTTGGCTTGGGTGGTTTTTTTTCAGCGCTGGGAAATTTGGCGCAAAACTGGCAGCGCTGGCAAAGTCCGGGGAGAGACTTGACTGTCTTCAGCGGGCCCGAAGCTCTCTTCTCTTTCCATTCTCTTTTGCATGCGCAACAACAAATTTATCGCAATCCCCTTGTCCACCCCCACCCCCGATGCGGAGGCAGTCTGGTGCCGAATTGCGTGTTTTGGTGCTATAGTCATTCGGCTCGCTTCTTTTCGCTTATCTGGCCCAGTGCATGGTAAGTAAACGAGAGCTTCTTTCCCATTTGCCTGCCCCGATCTTCTGCCTCCCGAAACGCGCCCGCCTCTTCGCTGCCCCCTCCATTTTGCCCTCCTGCTCGATCGCAGGTTTCATTATTACTTTCGGAATTGAATCAGTCTGGATGGCCTGGGATGGCTCCAACTGGGAACCCCAACTGGGGTCGCGCTGGAGGTGCCACCTGGGCGAGAACTTTCAGACGGTCGCATTCAACATCACCTGGGCTCCGATCCCAGCATCGACATCCGATTGACACATTCGAGGAATGATGCGGTTGCGAGCTGTTCACTTGGAATACTGGTCCCCGATCGATCAAGCCAAGCACCTGAACCTCCTCCGATGCGCGGTCAAATCCTGGAGAACCATCCTCGGCCCACTCCGTCCCCGACCATCGCGACCCCAAAAGACCTCAACCATCCTTCCCCTACCTCCACGGCCGGATAACACTGTTTGCAGCATTGGTGGTTCTGAAAGGGTGCATAGAATATTTGGGCCGTGGTCTGGTCACTAACACGCCCGTCTTCCAGACTAGAGAAAATAGCACCTCGCGGTCGCCGCACCCCTGCAAGTTCTTCCATCCGCAGATTTCTCCGTGACCGCCGGCCAGAGTTTGTCGTCATCGGAACCCATCGTCGGTGTCATTTCACTTCATTGCATCAGGCTGCAGTGAAGTCCCCCCACAATCGAGATGGCGGAAACGATAGAGCCGACCAACACGTCGGGGGAGCCGCCCAACCCGGCTCCTGAGTCGACCGATATACCCTCTGCCGACACCACTGAACCAACGGCGGACACATCGCTTCCGCCAATAGACACGTCGCTCCCTCCAATCGATGCCACGATGCCGGCAATGGACGACCACTTACCTAGCCTAGATCACGCCCTCCCCCCGATAGACGCGACGATACCGTCTTTGCCGCCTATTGACACTTCGCTGCCCCCGCTGGACACCACCTTGCCGGCTACGGACACGAATCTAACGGGTGGGGAGCCCGACTTCTCCTTCGACACCAAATCTTTGAACGACGGTCATGGGTCAGAGGCTACAAATTCGGTGCATGGGACCAGCTACGATTTTACCGAACAGTCGGGCCAGTCTTCGACTCCGGCTCCTACGTACCATTCTCCCGCGAATGGCACCCACCTGCAGTCGGCGCAGCAACAATCGCAAACGCCACAGGGTCAGCCCCAACAGCCACAGCCGCAGTATCATCAACAGTATGCGCAGCACTCGCCCTCCCAGCATGCCCCACAGCAGCACCAGCAACATGCGCAGGGACAGTCCCAGCAGTATCAGCAGCACCAGCAGAGTCCTGATATGTACAACAGCCACCAGGGTCATTCAACATCGATGAACACCCCTTCGATGCAGACGATGGATCCCCACGGACAATCCTCGCAGATCCCACAGGCTCCTATTGGCTCCCCGATGCCCTCCAACATGCCCCCGATGGCCTCGGTGGGCCAGTATATGACCGGATACCCGACCAACGTCGGACAGATGGGGATGAGCACGAATGCGCAGATGCGCTACCAGTTACCTGGAGACCCAAACAAGCTGCTGTCGGGGGGGAGGCATAAAAAAGAGGTGAAGCGACGGACGAAGACGGGGTGTCTCACATGTCGTAAGCGACGAATCAAGGTACGTGCCGGAAACCACCAGGAAAAAAACACCCTTTACTAGGGGTATGGGAGGGGAGATTGGGGGAGGGGAGGAAGCCGTGTGAAGGGAGCGGGGAGAAGAGTCGAGGCGGCGGGCCACAAAAACATGCTGCGGCGTTTCGCTTGCACTCCCGCTTTGTGCAGACCGACCAACCCCACCTGTCGCTTGTTGTTGTTGCGCCCACTCGCCTATCGCTACTCCCCGCCCGTGCATACTCTCTGCCTTTTTTTGTCGCCTCCCTTCGTTGCTTCCCTCGGATCTTTTTATTTACCTCTATTCTCTATTCTCGAGCAAGGAGGCATCTTCTCCCGGTTGAGTCTTGCCACTAACAAATTCACGCAGTGTGACGAAGGCCATCCTGTGTGCCGCAACTGTGTCAAGAGCAAGCGTGAATGCTTAGGCTACGACCCGGTGTTTAAGCAACAGCCTACCCCCTCGGCCATTCAGCCGGCTCCCAATCCTCATCCTTCCCTAGTCGTCAATCCTCAGGATCCCTCGACGTCCTATCCCGCCGCTCCTCCGGGCTACATGCCAGCAGCTTCCCAACCCTTTGCCCCATCCGAATCGCCCGCCCCGCCGAGTGAACAATACAACTACGGCGCCGCCATTGATCCGTCGCTGGACGTGAATAACTCGTCGAACATGGCCAGCATCCAGCATGCCGTGGAGGGGGGGTTGCAGCCAACGGTCAATCCGGCCATGACCAACACCAGTGGCACCCCGTCGGAGCCTACCAACATCAGACGTACGTGTCTTAGGTGATGTCCCGGTGTCCATCCACTAACAGGCTGCAGTCAAACAAGTCCATCTCAGCGAACTCCTCGCGCTCCGCGGCATTCCTCCTCCACCCCCGCACCCGATCACCTCCCTCCCGCCCAACCGTCTGGAAGAAATTCAGGCCGTGTTTTTGGCAACGTATGCCCCCGCCATTGACAAGTTCTTCGAGACTCGCTGGTTCCAGGAGAAAGCTCTGTCACATCTTCTGGCGAACGCACAGCTCATGGCTGAATACTCGGCGTTGATCGATGCGTTCAACGATCCCAACCTGGCCGATCCCAATGTGCTCGCCCGGCTGGAGAGCTTCGAAGCGTCGGTGGTCTGGAGCTCCATGACTCTGTGCCGCCACGTGATGAACGTATCTTCGGGGACTCAACCGGAATACGACCTCCTGGCTGCTGCCAAGCGGTTGGATGTTATTGAGGCTATGATCACTGGTGAATATTTGGACGCCAACCCCTTGGGGCAGTTCCCGACCCGGGAGCCCGCCGCAAACCCTCCTTCTCTGCCCGACCAGCTGATGCAGCGGTCGTTGGATTTCTGGACCGCGATCGGGCACTTCTTGACCCTGCACGACAACGAAGCCAGCTCTGCCAAGGAGATTGACGACACGCTGGCACGCTGCCGCACGCTGCTGGACACATTTGAGAACCGGGATGTGATCTACTCGATTGCAATTGCGCGCCACCTGGGCCAGCGGTGGGCGGACTTTCCCCGCAGCTTTCCACAGCCGATCCCGACGAACGAAAAGGACGCTGGGGCGAAGTTGTATGTGGCGCAGAAGTTCCTGGAGCAGGAGGCTGGCGGGAAAGGCACGACCCAGGTGATCAAGCGCCTTTGCGGCATGGTGGTGCGGTCCTGGATTGTGTCGCGGGAGTGATTCCGCGCGGAGGTGCGCACTGACGATACTATTTGCGACCTGTAATATGAAAAAAGCGATTGGCGACTACCGTTTGATGATGTTTAACTAGACATTTATTTTCTTGCTCATTTGTTAGCTTTACCTGTTTACCCCTGTGGCTCCGATTGGAGGGGCCTTGGTTGGTCCGGGTTTACCGGGCGGGGGGGACGGGAAAGCCGTCGCATCACGACTCCGGAGTTGATTCGCTTCAGGTTTGTCTGCAGCTGGAAGGCAGTTCACGGCGTTACGGCTGCATCGTTCGAAAAGGAGGTGGTTCTTGATCTTGCCTATTCTTTTTTTCTTTTTTTCTTCATGGTTCCGGATGGTGAATGAAAGTTTGCAGAGAATGAATTAATGAACAACAAACCCTGTATATATCCCTCATGGGAGTCTATCATAGTCTAGCGTATGTACAGCTGTCTCCTGCAAGCTCATAGATCTGCCTGCTCGGGCACGGGGCTCTTCAGCTTGCCCGTCTCCAGCGCCAACCGGACATTCTCAATCGCCCACTCTTCCATGGAGGTTTGCGTCTAACAATTAGCATCGCCATCATCACCATCATCACCATCATCATCACTGAAGAGATAATCAGAGCACTCACCTCAACCGTCCAAGTCCCCATATGCGGCACCAGAAGCACCTTAGGATTGCTCACCAACCCAGGATGCACCTTCGGCTCCTCCTCAAAAACATCCAGACCGGCCGAATACACCTTCCCACTATCAAGAGCCTGTACCAGCGCCGCCTCATCCATGACCGCCCCGCGCGCGGTATTGACAATCACCACCCCATCCTTCATCTTCTCGAACTCTGCCGTGCTGATAATATGCCGGGTATGTTTCTATACCCAAACCCATTAGCCACACCCCCTCCACCCCCAAAGAAAGGAAACACTCACATTCAACGGCAAATTCAAACTAACCACATCACTCTGCGCCAACAACTCCTCAAACCCCACATACTTAGCCCCATCGGCCAACTCCTCACTCAATTCCCGTCGATTATGATAAATCACCTTCATCCCGAACGCCTCGGCCTTCTTCTTCAAGTTGCGTCCAATACCACCCATACCTAAGATACCCAGGACTTTTCCCTGGGGATCATGGCCCAGTACAGGGGCGGGCTTGCCTCGCCAGTTACCTTCCCGGAGAGCATGCATCCCGTAGTTGAAGTTTCGGAGTGCTCCCAGGATCAGGAACATGTTGACGTCGGCGGTGGCGTCGTCGACGGCCGTCGGGACGTTGGAGATGCGGATTGGGGGGGACCGGGCGGTACATGCGTGCGGGTCGATTTGGTCGTAGCCGGCTCCTGGGGTTTATTTCTTCTTGTTAATATGATTTCCGCCGTAGGTTATTTTGGGGAGGGGGGGGGGGGGGGGCGTCGCTTGGGAATGGGATGTGGAAGGGTAGAGGAGGTGGGGGGAAGGTACCGCAATGCGCCAAAAACACCAACGACTTAGGCAATACATTGACGAGTTCCTCATCGAATAGACCGGTGATTTTGACGGAGTCGAAGGTGCGGTAGGCGGCTACGACGCCGTCGAATTGGCCCGATTGACATTCTTGGATGAAGTCGGTGCGGTTGGTGGCTGTGGGGCGGATTAGGTCGGCGATGGTGGAAAGGGACGACCAGGTGGTGTGGGCGCTGTTCTTTTGTTAGTATGTATTTGGTGATGAGGGCTTGGGTTTGGTGCTGGGTGTGTGGATGGGGAGGAGGAACGGGGTTTGGGGTGGAGGGGATTGTTGTGATGCGGGGAATGATGATGCTGTGTAACGTGTATGCCGGGTGGGAGGTAGGGGGTAGGTGGACGTACTGGATGATGTCTCCCAGGAGGAGAACCTTGGGTTTGGGGTCGCTGGAGCCCATTGTTTCTTTTGTTATGTTGTTTTGTTTTGAGGGTGGGGAAGAGTGAGGATGATAGTGTCTGGGAGAGTTAGATGGAGGAGAGTCGTGGGGGTGCCAAAGTACCTCGGGGGGTTATATACCGGGTGGGGGAGGGCTGGGTCGGAACCACCACAATGAAGTCAAGTGGGTGGGAACTAACTACGTGAAGATCTGGCCGGAACTGTATACCCGGATAGGAAGCGATGCTGGGTATAAGAACTACAACGAGGGAAGACAGAGACAGAGAGATAGGAAAAGAAAAGGTACCCCCACGGCCCCGCTTCCGATATCGTTGTGATGTTGAAACCCCTCGGCTTCAGCTCCGGTTGGTGCGGGCAATCTATACAGAGGCATCTTACTACTGCATTGGATATAGTTCAACCAAGTGAGTCATACAAATACGTGCGTGACTAGAATAATGAGGAATCTCATCCCTCCACCAACACCCGTGTCCAATCAAACTTTCTCCAGCGCTTCTGGAAGACTGGCACACGCCGATCGCCCCCGCGCTGCCAGCGGCCCTGCCGCTTGATGACATCCGGCGCCACATCCAGCATGCCGCCCAGCACTTCTCGGGCGAAAAGATCTCCTTTCGGCCATCGGTTCTCGTCCTCCACTACATGGCCCAGCCCCCCGTCCAGCTGGAACCACACATGGAAGTACGGCATCTCCTTGGCAATCGATCTCCGGAACGCGCTCCGGCCCATCCCCTGCTTCGACTTGGCTAGTGTGTCGATCAGCTTCCGGTGCTGCGACCACTCTGCGTCCGACGATAGGATCGCCTCCTTGAAGAACGCTGGAGATGTCTCTCCAAGGCTGTATGGCAGCGGCACCACCTCCATCGCCGCGTGCCTCTTCCGATGGGGCTGCGCTGCGTTCTCGTAGAAAATAACGTCGCGGCCCTGGTCGTGGTACATACGCGTCAGACTCTTCATAAAGTTCCGAATCTCCTCCCACTCGTCATCATCGCATTCGAGCAGATTCGTCCGATGCTGGATAGGAACAATCGTGGCACAGCTCTCGTTGAGCTCGGGCTCGGTGGGAAGAGAGAGGTAGACCCGAGTCGCCAAAGACACCACGGGTGCAATAGGAGGCGTGTTCGTGTCCTCATGGTGGCAGAGGGGGCAATTATCGAGGATACGGTTCATCTTCTGCAGCTCGTTGATGGTGATGTTCTTGATGTCGATCTCGGATCGGTGCACCCGCTTCGCTAGCTTGGAGGCATTGTCGTCCATGTATTCCAGGTCATTCTGAGACATGTTAGCATGCATTTGGAGAATCAGCGCAAAAGCTCACCTCAAACTTGGCATCCTTGGCGATTCTCTCTGCCATCCGGCGTCCGTCGCCTCCAAACTGTCCCCGGGTCCGTCGTTCTTCCTGGACCATATCCTCGATAGTCATTTCGTCGTTCTCCTCCACCTTGCCACGCTCACGGCCGCGGCGGTTGTCGACCGCCTTGACCTCGTTGCGGGTGCCAGCCAGCATTCGGTTCTCCATCACGCCGAGCACCACCACATCGGACTCCTTCCGGTTGGACATGGCCGCCGCGGCCGCGTTGTAGCGCTCTTCGAGCTCTGCTGCATCTGGCGCACCCCTGATCTTGGCCTTCATCATCTGTGCCTTCAGTCGGTTGAGTGCCGTCAGATCCAGGTGTTGAGTGGTGTTTTGTGGCGGCACAGTTTCCACCGGCTTGCCTTGACCCTGGGCATCAAGTTCCTTGCTTGGACTGCGAACATGCTCATGGGGATCGCGGTGGACATTCTCCTCAAGCTTCCTCTCCTGAAACAGTTCACCCGTGGGCTTCTCCTTGCCCACGTAGCCTTCGCCGTATCTGTCACGGCGATCCAGTTCGGCTTCTTCCTCTCGTGCATCATCAAACGAGCGTATATCCCCAAAGCGGTTCAACGCAACCTCCTCGACGGACTTTCCGGTCTCCTCTGCCTCCCTGTAGACGGCCTTTAGTCGGGTCATTCTCCACTGCGAACCGGCGTCCCCAAAAGTATAATCGACCTCATGTTGTGCTGGCTCCTCCTCAACTTCTTCAAGAGCTTTGCCATCCTTCAAATCACGTAGATGGGTATTGAGCTCCTTGCTGTGAATTTTGAGCTCAAAGTCCGCTTGGAGCATCTTCGGCTTCGGCTCCTCCTCCAAACGCGTCGTATTGCGTCGCTGAACGTAGTCAATATCTAGACCTGACGGCCCCTCCATCCAGGCATCCCTCTTCAAGCGTGTAGGTTCTTCTTGAACGACTTCCTTCGGAGCAGGCGCTTCCGCTTCCTCGTCTCTGCTGTCGCGGTGTCGACGCTTGTGTGCATGGTCGCGATCATCCCCGTGTTCCGAGTGGCGCGATCGCTTATGACGGTGTCCACTGTCTTCACTGCGTCGTGACTCTCGACGTCGCTCGTGGTCGCGCTCCCTCGACCGGGATGAACGGTGACGGCGGTGGTGTTTCGAGCGCTCTCGGCTGCGGTCGCGGTCGCGGTCCCGATGGCGATGCTTGTCCCTGTCACTCCTCTCGTGTCTGCGTTGTTGATCCTCCGCCAGCGATTTCTCGAAATCTTCAAGCGTCATTGTGATGGTTGAAGCTAGTAACTGGAAGATGGTGAAGGAGTGAGGAAAAGGCTGCGGAAGGAATGACGTCTGGGCGGTCCAGACTCCACCCGAGCCGATCTCCATCCCCGCGACGCATCAATTTTTCGGCCTCCCCGCCATCTTCATCGCTGTTCCCCTCCATCCTGTCAAAGTTGGCTTTGGAAGTTCTCGGCTCCTCGGATCGCATAAATATCACCTTACTGTCCGATAGCTTCCACTCTCCCCAGATCTAACCATGGCGCAAGCACCCGTGGCCGTCGTCTGCGTCGGCATGGCAGGTATGCTGATACTCTTGCTACTGCTTCTATCTGAGGATTGTCTTTGCTAACAACAACGCGCTATAACTAGGTTCTGGAAAGACGACCTTCATGCAGAGAATCAACTCCCATCTCCATTCCAAGAAGACGGTCCCCTACGTACTCAACCTCGACCCCGCCGTCTACTCCGTTCCCTTCGAGAGCAACATTGACATCCGCGACTCGATCAACTACAGAGAGGTCATGAAGCAATACAACCTCGGCCCCAACGGCGGTATCTTGACCTCCCTCAACCTGTTTGCCACGAAAGTCGACCAGATCATCTCCCTGCTGGAGAAGCGCACCGCCCCGAACCCGGAGACCCCCTCCGCCAAGCCCATCGAGCACATCCTCGTCGACACCCCCGGACAGATCGAGGTCTTCGTGTGGAGCGCGTCTGGAAGCATTCTCCTCGAAACCCTGGCCTCCTCGTTCCCTACCGTTATCGCCTATGTCATTGATACCCCCCGTACCAGCTCCACGAGCACCTTCATGAGCAACATGCTCTACGCCTGCAGTATCCTGTACAAGACTAAGCTGCCGATGATCCTCGTCTTCAACAAGACTGATGTACAGGATGCCGAGTTTGCCAAGGAATGGATGTCCGATTTCGATGCGTTCCAGCAGGCGCTACGGGAAGAAGAGGAGTCGGGTGCTTTTGGCACGGAAGGCGGAGCAGGTGGCTTTGGTGCCGGAAGCGGATACATGGGCTCGCTTCTGAACAGCATGAGCTTGATGCTCGAGGAGTTCTACCGCCATCTGAACGTTGTCGGAGTGAGCTCCATGACGGGTGATGGTATTGATGAATTCTTTGCGGCCGTGGAGGAGAAGCGCCAAGAGTTTGAGCGCGACTACAAGCCCGAACTGGAGCGCAAGAAGAAGGAGCGCGAAGAGACCAAGGCGGCGCAACGGGAGCTGGAGCTGGGCAAACTGATGAAGGATATGAGCGTTTCGGGCTCTAGCCGAGGCAAGCGCAAGGACACCGAAGCCGAGACTGTCAGCGAGGCCGAAGAAGAGGAAGATGCTGCACAGAGAGATGATGATGACGACGATTCCGATGATGATGGATACAGTGCTGTTCCCCCAGCTGGTGACAGCGAAGGGCTCACGCAGCGGTATAAGGATGCGCTGGAAGGTCAGAGCGGCACTCCTTCCGATGCGGACAACAGTTTCGCGCGGTATTTGCGCGCGAGCAGCATCAACCAGTGAGGTTGGGCTTAGGATATATGCATTTGATCTACTTCATATCGGTGTTTACGAAGGCGTTGATATCTGGTCCTTATTGATCGATTCATGAATAAATGATTAGAGATTATTAATCACTGATTCAAAGCGACCTTGGTGTTGTTCGTACTGATGCACGGCTTCGAGTTATCAGGTTGTATGAATACCTGAACATGTGCAAATGCCCATCATATTGCATTTTTGGAAAAGCTTCAAGCAATTGAACTGGACTATAGTGTATTAACCCAGGAATTCTCACTCAATTCACTTGACTAGAAATGAACCAGGCACAGTGCCTGGATGTTCTGCAGCTGGATGACTCAGCTGCGAATCTGCCCGGGAATGGATGACATCATTGGGCTGAGCTAGCAATGACCTCACGAGAAATCTCGGCCTTTATAACGACCCCAAGAACCGCCGGTGCTCCTGTCCAGGTACATTGCTCAATTTATTGGCTGCCGGACACTATAATCCCCCAAAAGTTCTCTACTAAGACAACGCACTAGCGAACCAACCAAGAGACATCATACACCATGGATGTAAGCTTCAATCCCTTGCAGCACCACGACAATCAGCTGCACGATTAATGCTAATACTGGAGCTCAACAGGTCTTTTACGCCTACACATACTCGACGGCGGGATGGCTCACTCTCCAGAGCTTCGCCCTCATCGCAGTCCCGGAGATGATGACCACAATGCTAGAGAAGGAAAGCAGGCAGCCTACTGGTAAGCGCATTGGGCTTCTTTGAAAGAACTAAAACTAACGCAGATACCAGACATTGAGACCTACCTCTCCCGCTGCTTCGGCTTTGGTCTTCTCACCATCGCCATATTAACTGTCATGCTGACGGGCTCCATCCCCCTGACCGCCTCTATCACGGATCCCGTCACCACAGACGACTCCGACCCCAAGGCCCCCTATGCCGTACCCACGATGCAGGTGACGACCGTATTCCATTTCATCTCAGCAGGCTATGCCTATGCCTGGTGGGCGGAGAAGGGACAGCTGGCGTTCGGATTTGGAATGCTGGGCTCAGGTGCTCTTGCTTCGCTGGGAATCTGGTGTGCGCTGTTTGCGAGCAGCAATGGGAAGATTAGTCGGAAGACGGGCGCGGATAAGAGGACGACTGGTTTTCCATTTGCTAACAAAGAGGCGGCGAAGAAGCATGGGAAGGGATTGTAAATCTGATGTCGCGCGGACTTGTACTAGAAATGAGGTTCATAGGTAATAGATAGCGGTTCTGGATAGTCATCGACAGTTAAATATACCTATCTCTTTGATACTGAGTGTCATCAATATTTCTGAAGATTGCGGGGAGCCTTAGGCCGCTGTATCACTGTAAGCAGGCCGGGTCACCTGATCCTTTTGCTGATTTTGAATTGTCCTACAATCCAGCTCCATCTTCACAATCTACCCGCCTCCTGAGCGAATTGCCAAATCTCTTTCTTGGTCCACATGCGTGCCTTACATTCTTCCTACAGTATATTGTTTCAGCCGTTCCTAGGCCAGGATATGTCAAGACGACAATGAGCACTAAGGATGCACCGGCAGCCCATTAACGATTCCTTGTATCTCCATAGACGGGGTCCCCGAGATATCACGGGGCCCGTGCAACGAAGCTCAGCCAAGACGCGCTTGCAACCTTGAGCTCCCAACGCCAATCCCCTTCTACCCCCTCTCCTGTGTTAACTCATATTATTGACTGGCCTGAGAGATGATATCCCGGTCAGTGCCGCTCTGGCCGTTGTCACAATGCAACCCTCATCTTCCAAATTGATTTGCATCCGTCAGACAGCCTCCATCCCGCTATCACCAGACATGCCAAGGTAGCTTGACTGACTCCGGTCTGCAGGGGAAAGGCTGGCAGGTGGCATTGGCCGTCAGTGCTGCACGGCACGGAGAGACACTGACAATGATCATCTGGAACCTTACACTCGACCCCATGATGTTGGACGGGTTACCAATGTTACAAATGCAGGGGACCTGCTTCACGTCCCTGCTGCCACGGCCCCAGGACCATTGACTGTTCGACGGTGACCACTGATGTTGCTCTACATATACCTATATTTGTGTACGGCCTCAGGCGGACCGCGCTGGTGTAATTTCCCCGGGCCCGATGAGCTTCGCACTGAATCGACACTAGCCCCTGACCGGCTGGAACCTGGATCTTCTCACCAGCTCAAGTAACAACGCTGGCTTAATCTAATTTGGATGCATCAGGGGATCTGCCGAGGCACATGCTACTCATAGGCTACATCGGTGGCACCATACTTTGATCGTGGCCTTTTAAGTGGTTGAAAGATTTCATCACAAGAGCATCGGATACCAATACATTCTTACGCCGTGGGAAGGGACAGGACTGTTAATACTGCGATGGCATACACAAGTTTATTCGAGGCTATTTTCGTGTCCGAATGCTGTGCAACTCTGGGTAACCAAGCTCCAGCTCATGCGCAAATGCCAGGTTCCTATGGCGCAATTCCAAATGTCGCTCATTTCCCTCCAATCAATGAAATATCCTGGCAGAGATATCCGCCTTGTATAGCAAGAGATATCGCGTGAAGATGCCAAGCATTGGAGGGTCACATTGGCTGTATGAGACAGATGGTTGGCCATCCCCGCCTCTTCAAGGCTCATTGCACGACATCAACATCTCTGAGCTCTGCTGCAGCTGCGGCAAGTCTAAGGTTTGGGAAAGAAGGATAGGTTCGTCAAATAGAAAAGGATTGGAGATCACACATTGGTGACGCCACTAAGAAAGAGGTTCAAGACACTGGTCTAGATAAGAATTTCATTAACGGATCATGGAGTTGCTTGACAGATGGCTGGTCGACCTAACCCCGCTGAAGAGTGCCTGGCGACATTATCCCTGCGCCCGTATCGGCACCCTCTGCATGCGTGGTACTTTCCCTGATGAAGCACAACCAAGTCGTCCGAGGACGCAATGTCACCCTCTGAGTTTTAAACACACTCCAGTGCCTTCTGACCCGTTCCCGCTTGGCCTAAATCAAGAAATGAGTATGACTGGGCTCAGTGAGCCCGGCGACGGGATGCAGGCCTGGGTCCACAAGGATATAAAAGGACCAGCCCATTACACTATCTTGCTCGGATTTTCTGTTTAGATTGATATTCTCATCGCCGTGCGACTATCCAGCCCAGATGGCTTCCTTTAAACGTGCTCTGCTACTGCTCGGTGCCCTTTTGCCTGCTGTCTTTGGTGTTACAGGGCAGGAGCCTCACCAGACTATTGAGACGATCCCCGGAAAATACATTGTCACCTTTAAGCCGGGTCTTGCTGACGCAAGAATCGAATCCCATGCAGAATGGGCAACGGAGCTTCATAGGCGCAGCCTAGCAGGCCGTAGTACATCCGATAACAACCTCCCCGTCGGAATCGAGAGGACGTACAAGATCAACCAATTTGCTGGATATGCAGGCTCTTTCGATGAGGCTACCATCGAGGAGATCCGCAGACACGCCGATGTTTGTTGAGACCTTCTGCTCATGAGAACGGGACTGATTTGTGCGTGCAGGTAGCTTCTGTGGAGGACGACCAGGTCTGGTACCTCGATACTCTGGTCACAGAACGGCGAGCCCCTTGGGGCTTGGGTAGCATCTCCCACCGGGGAGCCTCTAGCACCGATTACATCTATGATGACAGTGCCGGCGAGGGCACCTACGCCTATGTAGTGGATACTGGTATTCTTGCGACGCATGAGGAGTTTGGTGGCCGTGCCAGCCTGGCATACAATGCCGCCGGTGGCCAGCACGTTGACAGCGTCGGACACGGCACGCATGTCGCAGGGACCATCGGCGGCAAAACATATGGCGTTTCCAAGAAAGCCCATATCTTGTCCGTGAAGGTGTTTGTCGGTGAATCAAGCTCGACGTCGGTCATTTTGGATGGGTTCAATTGGGCTGTCAATGATATTGTGGGCAAGAACCGCACCAGCAAGGCTGCTATCAATATGAGTCTTGGTATGTTATGGCCCCATTTATGCACATGTGTGTTAACCGAAATAGGTGGGGGCTATTCCTATGCTTTCAACAACGCCGTCGAGAGCGCGTTTGGTGATGGTGTTCTTTCAGTTGTCGCAGCTGGAAATGAGAATGTGAGCTCTCCCAAACTCGCCACATCCGGAGAATAATCTCCACTGACACACACTGCAGAGAGATGCATCACGGACGAGCCCGGCTTCTGCACCTGATGCTGTCACGGTTGCCGCCATCAACAGAAGCAATGCTCGTGCCTCCTTTTCGAACTACGGTCCCGTGGTTGACCTCTTTGCGCCTGGAGAGAACGTTCTTTCGGCCTGGATTGGGTCCAACTCGGCCACCAACACCATTTCTGGCACATCGATGTCCACCCCCCATGTGACAGGCTTGGTTATTTATCTGATGGGCCTGGAGGAGCTAGCCACTCCTGGGGCCGCGACTGCCCGCCTCAAGGCATTGGCCACGCGGAACGTTGTTACCAATGTCTCCAATAGCCCTAACCTTCTGGCCTACAATGGTAACAGCCGTGCGTCAAAGGATGATGGCGACAACGATGGTGATAACGATGGTGACAACGATGGAGATGATGCCTAGGGGCTATGATAGAGGTCGCGTTACGCTAGAGCTGGGAGAATAGGGTGTTGATTGGCTAGGCTATATCCGAATTTAAGCGATGCCTGAAAGTTTCCTGACCTCCGCCTGTAGACTAAGGTCCAATTCTGGGCCACGCTGCACAGATGTGGTGCACAGATCTAACCTCCTACAGACAGGTTAGGGTTGAAACAAGCGCGCCAATTGGACCCAAGGGTGTCTCGCACATGCGAATGCCATTCCTGTTTACCTCCCGACGTGGTACCGGAACGAACCTAGATGAAGATCACGGAGAACTGTGCAGCACAAACAACCAGCGTTTCTGGGTTGGATCGTGGCATTCTTGTCCACAATACTTGTTGCCACCGACAATAGCCGTGGGTACACTGGATCTAGAGCCAGAAATCGACTGCTTCCCCGGACGGAACAGCCCCGTATTATAATGAACCGGCGTCTGTGCGACTTGGTTACAGACCGATTGCCAGCGGATGGTCTCAGCTGGAGAGTATGTACCCTACCTCGGGGCCTGTGCTTCAGGAAGCTCCGAAAAACACCACCATCCCCTATATAGTCCATCCCCTATCTATCCCCGCATCGTGCCCAGTACCCTATTACTCCCTCCTCGCCATGAAGCCTGCTACCCGAATTACCACGGCCCCCGTGGAGAGCGAGAAGGAGACTCTGCTGACGCTACTTCCACAGTATGGCTTGAAACTGGCCCCTGATGGGCTGCACATCCAGTGGGCGTTGGGGAACTGTCGACACCCTCGGAACTGGAGCTTGAGACGCAAGGTGTACGATACGACGCTGATTATATTCCTGGAGTTCTTCACGTAGGCATCTTCCTGGTATCAGCGTCTGGAGACTGACCATTCCAGTACTGCAATCAGCACTGCCGGGGTAGGTGCCCTGATCCCTTGGATATCCACTTACTGAAGACTTAGTCTACGGCGGCCAACCATGCTGTCCATGAGTTCAACATCCCCAAAGAGCTATCCATCTTTCTCTTCGTCTCCATGTCAGTCCCTCACCCTTTCACTCAACCCATACTGATGTCCCAGATACCTCATCGGCCAAGCCATCGGGGGCGTCGTCTTCCCACCCTACTCGGAGGTTTTTGGACGCAAGAAGCTCTACGTGGCCAGCTCCGCCTTATACAGCCTCTTCTGCATCGTCATCGCATCAGTCCCATCCCTCGTCGGCGTCGTGATCGGCCGACTGTTCTGCGGCTTCCTCTCCGCCATCCCCACCACCGTCGTCGTCGGCAGCATCGAAGATATCTTCAACTCACGCGAACGCGTCTGGGTGATCTGCATCTGGACCATGTTCGCCAATCTGGGCCTCGTCGTCGGGCCCATCCTCAGCACCTTTGTCGTAGCTGACACCAACTGGTACCCCTCCCCTCCCAACCACCACCTCTACCTATCTATCTCACTAACCCCAACCCAGGCGCTGGATGTTCTACCTGGCAGCCATCGTAACCGGCATCCTCACCCTCCTCCTCCTAACCCTGCACGAATCGCGCCCCTCCCTCCTCCTCGCCACCGAAGTAAGCACCCTCCGCAAAGTCACCAAAATCCCCACCCTAGAAGGCCTCAACCCCGACAAAGCTCCCAACCTACGCAGCTTCGTCCGCATCGCCCTCTTCCGCCCTATCCGCCTCCTCTTCACCGAACTCATCATCTTCATCGTCTCCATCATCAGCGCCATCGCCATCGCCCTCGTCTACCTCTTCACCGAAGCCCTGCCCCCCATCTACCAATCCTTCGGCTTCACCCCCAAGCAATCCTGCCTCCCCTTCATCGCCATCGGCCTCGGCCTAACCCTCGGCCTGCTCACCCGCTGTCTCGACCTCCGCATCATCGCCCACCACCGCCACCAAGGCCGTCCGCTCCTCCCCGAAGACAAACTCACCGGGTTCTGGATCGGGGCGCCGATCCTCGCTGCCGCGTTGTGGCTCTTCGCCTGGACGATTCCCCCCGCTGTTACTCATCTCCCTTGGCTGATTTCTATCGTGGCGTTGGTTCTCGCAGGGTATAGCTTAAATGAAATTGATTATGTGTTGGGTGGGTATCTAACGGATAGTTATCTGAGTTATGCGGCGAGTGGACTCGCGGCGTTGAGTTTGGTCCGGGCGTTGTTGTCCGCTGCGTTGCCGTTGATTTCGGCTCCTATGTTGGATAGACTTGGGGCGAATTTCACGGTCTCGGTGTTGGCGGCTGTCGCGACGGTGTTTTGTGCTGTGCCGCCGCTTTTTTCGCGCTTTGGGAGGGAGATTCGGGCGAGGAGTGCGTTTGCCAGGTTTAGTTTGACTATGTATAGGGAGTTTAGTGTTGATGAGGAGGGGTATTAACTTTGTGTTTGTTGGCTTGGGGTGGGTTTTGGGGGGAGACAGATGGATGGATGGGGGTGGTGAGAGGGGAATGGAGGGAGGGAGGGGATAAAAGTTAGGGTTGGTCAAAATTGATTACTACTTATTATTATTACTGATTCAACGTATATAGAGTTGGTAAGAGCATGGTAGTCCAATTGGTACCTGTAGTCCAAATTGACAAAACAGAAAGATTAGTCGTCAAAGAAGATAGCATTGTGTAAAAGGAGAGACTGCGCGTTTATTAAGTGATAGTGTTGAATAAGGATCAGTTAATCGTATTGCTCGGCATGGGTTTTGGAAGAAGACTCGGGTCTTCCTTTTCTCCCTGGCTGGGAGTTGACTAATAGGTTGCGAATGGATCATCCGCACTGCCAGGGAGGATTCCGAAGTACCGGATGTGAACTTCATCATCATCAGACCCCTCTGGCTGAGGCTGGGGACGGGGGGGTATGACTCGGTCTTCGTCTTCGTCCTCGTCTTCAACTGCGGGGGCTAGCGCTTGCACGATAGCATCGGCGACCTTGTGATACCAGCTCGATGTCGGCGGGTCCTGTTCTCTGCACTGATCCACGATAAACCGCCAAGGCAGCATCTGGGAGACGGAACCACGCTTGGACTTTATAACTGTCAAAGAGTCATACACACCCTTTGCTATGGCAGGTCTGTCTCGTGTGAGGTCTCTGACCCTTCCTCCAAGTTCCTGGGCTTTGCCGTCGTCCAAGAAAAGCGAGAAATGCTCTGAAAAAACCTCGCTCAATGCGATCTGTTCCAACAAGCTTAGTGACAATCCGGTCACACCGTCGGTTCCTTGCATTGAGTCCTTCTTTATTTCATCTCGGATTGTGTTTCTGATAAGCTGTCTGATGCCCTCGTTCCCCGCCCGCCAGCCGTTCAGCCATTCCGCAAATTCCGTTGTGTTGACTTGTAAGCCCAGGCGATCGTCCGACGGAAGCGCAGCGGCGGTGAATTCCTCTCCACGGATTATCTGGCTCGCTTGAATGATGCCTTCGAGAGAGCGGGTGCCGTGACTGAATCTACTAACACACAGCAGTGCATTGAGGACAGAATCTGTCACCTTGAATTTATAGCCTGTCGCGGTTTTCGTCAACAATTTATGTTTTTCAAGCAGGGAACGAAGAATTATCGCGCGTCGAATGCTGTATGTTTTGTCGCCACTGTTTCTAGAGCTGAGCATATCCGGGCCCCAAATATCAACTGAGCCACGCAGGCGGCTCGCGAAATCGGGCTTCTTCGCGGCCACAGCTTCCCGGTCACCAAGGGTCGCACAGAAATCATCATATGTTGAAGATGTACCTCCGACAAAGATAAAGATGGCTGACCCTAGAGGTCGAAGATCTCCGTGTTGAAGGTATTGACCATCCTGCATGGGGGCGAGGAAGTATTGGAGCCATCCGAGTGGCTTGCCGGCAAATGAACAGTCAAACTCGTCGAACATGACCACAGGCATTTTGTTCGAGAAGGTTTGATCGCGAACCTTCTGGAAAGCGGCCAACAGGTCGGAGTACTCAATGAACTGGGACAGGTTGAACTTCAACTTCTGCACTCCTTTACCCTGATGCTGAGCCACTGCGTTGATAACCTCTTCAACACCAAACGATTTTCCTGAGCCTGGACGTCCAAAGACACCGATCGATAGAGGTTTGGTCTGCTGCTTTTCCATGTACTCACTAACCAGGTTAGCAATCGCCCGGAACTTTTCCATTTCCTCCCGGTCGACAGTCAACAGCTTCCCAAATTCAGCCGTGGGCACATCAGAGAGTGCGACCTCTGGGCCTTCTGTAACAATGAGTTTAGCTTTCGCAAGACGTGCCTCTGTCGTCTGGTATCTATGAGTTAAAATGCTAAAATCACTCTCTCCTGACGGTATGAGCACAGGCGCTTCTGGTGGGTTGAATTCAGCGAGAGTGATTTCGCTAGACAGCTGCGGGTATTTGAAAGGTTGGCCACCAGTATGCTCTTTGAACCCTTCTGACACCAAAAGACAGGCTTTTTCTAATCCACCTAGTATTGCCTCCTTCATATTACGTGCGATTGGCTCTGGATTGGCAAGCTTGAAGGCGACTGCCGCTGTGAAGGCCGTGGCCGTCCCGGTCATCGGGCCAGACTTATAATGCATGTAGTCGCCCTCCGCAAATTTGGAGTTTATATAGTAAAGTTGCAGGCCATCTGTCGGATTGTTTGCTGCATTGTCGGGCAGATGTGCACTGTATCTGTAAATAACACCGTCGCAGTCGAAACGAACAATGAGATGGGCATTTTCTCGGAGCAGTCTAAGATCCTGAGCAAGTTTGTCATCGTCATGGCAAAAACTTGTCTAGGTCTTCTGCCGTTTTGGCCCAAGACAAATGGCGACTAATCTTGGCTCCCTTCCTCCGAAGATCGTCAGCGTCGATAATTATGACCGTATCGCGGTTGTTGTTGGCCCGGGTTTTGAATGCCTCCATCAATGGAGATTGTCCACGAGGCCCATCGTATGAGGGGTAAGGCATCTTGCAGACCAGGACACCCGTGAACGTTGTGATAGTAGTATTCAGATTTGTGTCTCGAACAGGGCCAACCCTAAGTACATTGCCCTCACCGAAGCTGCCCCCGTTGGGAGCACATGGCTCTTCAAGCATGATAATCATCACATCATCTATATCAGCACCTTCAGGATTGTTCTCCAAAGGTTCTTGAATTCGACTGGGAGGGTTCTTCTCCACATGAAGATGGCGCCGCACTTGGTAGTATTCTTTTTCGACGTCGTTCTCGTCTTTTCTCTTGCTCTTGAATAATTCAATGAATGAGTTTGGCTGCCCCGAACCTGGGTTCATGTCGTCGTCCTCATCCAATCCCAGAAGATTCTTGAGGAAGTAACGCAATAAATGGACTCCACCTCGCATTTCAGAGAGGACGGCATTCCCCGAGCCAGATGCAGTCTTAGGGAATCCGATAACATCTTTCGAATGGTTCCCAATGAGGGTGAATTTCTTTCGGGGCGCGGGCTGCTGTTCCATGTCGGATAGTTTGGATGAGTTGCTTTTATGAATGATATGATTCGAGGTAGTTTGAAGTTCGAGGTCGGTTGCTCTGAAATCAGTCTGTAAAGGGAGCTTATATAGCATAGGAGAGCAAATCGCCTACGTCAATATCTCCGGGAACGGTCATGCGGGACTACCAAATCTAGTCTAGAGCATAGCTGCGTCGATAGACAAAGATTTACCATGTCCACAGCTCTTCTGGCATCCATGGATGAGAGTAAGCCATGAGGCAGACATTTCCGCCTCGAAGTGCATGCTACATCCACATGTCACCGTACCTCACGCATGGAGAACGATGTGTAGAGACCCAAAGCAAAGACAGGGTAAAGTTTCCTGAGCAAGTACGGAGTGGATAATTCGGACCGATCGAGATGCACAGTATTCAAACACAGAACAGTCTTTGCGTATACGACTAGCAATTTCTCCTGTAGTTGCGCATAGAGATGGCGACTTGTCTGGAACACAACTGCAGGTTGCCGTATCCGTGCATATTCGAGATGATATAACCATTTTCATTCATCAGTAGGTAATCCTTTGTTGGGAGAGATATATCCTCGGGAGATCCTTGGGTGATAGTTACTGATCGATGATTCCATGCGAAGCGGTTGATCTAGAAGTGAGGTGGTACCGGCGGGGGACGGCAAATGGACACACGGGACGAATACGTCGACACTGCAAATTGAATGTTCCTGGCTTTGAGAAGTCTAGGCCGTACATAACATAGGCTTCGGTTTGGTGACATCTTTGAATATGCATCTGCATGCAACTGTCACGCTATGTGTGAAGGAGTCATCGAGTTATTCTCACAGCATACAGCTCTGCGTCTGTACCTTTGCTCAAGAGGACGTAGCCTCAATGAGCATCTCGCTGGTAATGCTAGCTTTTCCGCGCCGCTGCTGAAGCGGATCAAGTCGAGGCTCCTAGGACTGATCGACTAAGCCCAAGTTGCATACAATGGAAGCTAAGCAAGTTTTCCAGCCCAACGGTATCCTCAACAGGAGGATTGTGGTCTAGCCATTTTTGCTGTCCATGGTTCAGGCTTATGAGGGTGGATGGTTGGGACACAAAGCCTAAACGTAACACAACGTAGTATGATCCCGTCGAGTCTTAGCTCCCGGTCCCGTTGGAAGCGATGATCATCATTGGCTAACTTTCTGACCACTTCCGGACCCGTATCAAACTGCTGGTCTGGACGAAGCACATTGGATCCAAAGTCTATAACGTAAGTTGTTTTGATTCCGATCGGACTTGCACACATGTTTGTGACGTAAAGTTCTCTTTGCAAAGAGCACCACAGAGGAATCGCTGACTGCCATCCGGTGTTGCATGCGTGGAACCTAACCAAAGCCAGGATTCTCCTGTATGTCGATTCAGGACCCCGGCTGCTACGCTCCTGTGCTTCGGTGTGCATGGGCGGCTCAAGAATCCCATATCTATAGCCCTTGTCATCACTCCGTGCCCGACGTGGTATCCAGATCCGCATCCAACCTCGATGGGTCGTCAGGCTCTGGAAGCAGCAATGGAAGGGCTTTCATACACATCGGACCATGGAGGACGCGAACGTCACTCAGTAGCTCTTATCATATCGCTTAGGAGGACTGCTCGATGTATCAGGGACTCCGGTATGGCCTTTTCCGTCACGATGATTTCCTTCTCGACTACCCTAACTGTAGAACGTCACCACTGCCTCTAATGCCAGAAACATTCCGGGGACGCGAAGGACCAGGAGAGGAAGGTGTTCCGCATGGACCAAATAGCTGTGCGCCAGGCCTGTCATTTTCAATTTTCGTTGCCAATTCGCCAAACAATCCAGCACGTCGAGCGGGCTATACGGCGCAAATTCTGCAGTAATGTATCACCACTCTCCTGCACATGTGTATACATATCGAAGACTGCTGGAGGACATAAGTTCGTAGATATATAGGCTGCCTTCCTAAAATATGCACGGATTGCCTCTTTCGTGCATGGATAAGGCCCTTGAAGAAAATGTATTGTAGCCTTACGAGATCAGCACGAATTATGTTGTCTTGGTGGGTCGACTCGTGCATTCAGAGAGTTGTGATTCCAAATTCTCGCAGCCTCGCCTCGTTGTTTGCGTACCCTACTGGTCAGTGCGTATGAACCGAAAGATATGGACAGACGTAGTAGGAAAAACCTCCCGAGAGCATTGGCAGTATCCAGTGTTTCCGATGAAAGCTCTCAGATCTACCGCTTAGATCTAAGACACGGTTACATTACCCTGTCCATGTTGCTCATGTGTATGCGATACATACCTAAACATGGAACGGGACGCCTGAATTTTGTGGATTAAATTGCACAGCGCTGCATTCTCTGCCAGTACTGGAATTTGTACTGAGTCAGGTCAGTCTCATCCGTCTGTCGAACTAGATTAATGATCTAATCACCTCTGCGGAATAGCCCACAGGGTCGTTTGCGTCGTTGAACAGGACTTGTGGTAGACTTTTGCCTATTAAAATGGTTCCACTCCTGTAGCTGAGATCCTCTGTGAGAGACATCAGACTTAGCCCCTTACTTTCCGGGCTTCACTGTAGATGCTCGTCCAGGCTTCAATCTGTAACAATATCCATACGTAGAAGGATATAGACTGTCAGGATCTAAATGGGTGATTGGGCTGTATAGCACGTCTTGAAGCCAAGTATTTTATGGACCACGAGCGGATTCTGGCAGAAGGGCCTGAGCGAGCACCAGAGAGGGGTAGTGCACCATTTATAGGCTGGTTTCCGTCCTTTGGTATTTGCCTAATTTCCTCTGTGTAACATTGTTTCAGTAGTTAGAAATCTCCTTGGCTGGTCTTCTCGAGACTATTCACGCACTGGGACCTGAGTATATCCGTTCCAGTTAAGAAACGTAGTCAGTGTTAGTCCATGACCTGACAAGCTCGATTTGTAGTGAACAATCATGGCGATGTCGAGTTAAAATTATACTTTGAGTACTCTGTAGCTCCCAGACCATGCTGCTCTTCAGAAGCACGTTGACACTCCGGGGAATGTTTGATCAACTAGGTCCTGGCCTGCGGGAAGCCCCCAGCCCAAGGCATTGCGAAGCGCCTTAGTAAGCAACATGCATTTAAAGAGCTTCGTCAAGCGCATGTAAAGGGCTACTAAAGAGCTCCGCCGAGCGCTACTAAAGGGCTCCGTTGAGCGCTTCTAAAGAGCTTCATCAAGCACATTTAAAGGGCTCTGTTAAACGCTCCTAAAGGGCTCAGTCAAGCATTTAAAAACGCAGTACTTAATTCAGACCTACAGCCTGAATCTACATAAAGACCTGGTTCAGACCTACGGTCTGAATATAGACTGGGAGGCCTTCCCCCCCCCCGACCCCCTCCGAGACCCTTGTTGGGCTGAAGCGGTGAGTACTGGCAATATAGTTTAAATCACGTAAATCAAATAACCAGTCAGGAAGCTGAAATTGAGCAAACTATCAGACTAATGAGAAGTCTTGGAGCTGGAAACTTCCCTAGTAGGACCGAACCTAGTATTGCTCAGCGCTAGCGCGCTTCGCAAACAAAACACGGCGATCACGAAGCCGCTATGCCCAAAGCGGCAACCCACCGCCAACAAATCGCCGCCTCAACCCCCGCCTTTTCGCCCTCCACACTTTTAAAGCAGCGTCATCACTAGCATCCAGTATCAAACATCTAGTCTACCATCATGGACCACCCATCCCTCGCTTCCGAGGCTGATACAGCATTACATACTGCAGCCTCAACCCTCCTCCATCCCTCTCTCACTTCCGTCGCAGAAGACGCGTCGACCCTGGCCGCTCAACACCAGGACCCGCAGCTAGATCCATCTCAGGGTCAAGACATCGACGAAGACTCACTTCATGGGCTACAATGTGCTGTCGAAGGTCTCGACTACTCTCGACCGTCTCAGCATCCCCAGCAACAACATGATCTTAACCATCACCACGACCAACAACCCCATCTCCAATCCCTCGTGAAACGACCCGACCAACACGTCGACATTCGCACCATTATCGACCCCCCAGATCTAGATGCATGGCGAGAGCGACTTTTCAACGTCGACGAGATGATCGTCCTAAGTGAAGAGCAGTGCGTCACCTCTTCAACTCCCCAGCCCCATCCCCAGCCCCAGATACACTCTAACGACCCCAGATTCCTAACATACTTCCCACACATCGACAACGTCTACTCCCACCGCTCCACCCAACACTACAAACGCAAACCCCTAATCTCCCACTACTGGGACTGTCGACTAAAAGGCCGACCCCCCGGAACACCCAAATCCAACGACCCCAACAAAAAGAAACGGAAGCGCACGGCCCGTCAGCGCGATCTCTGTGACGTGAAGATCAAAATCACGGAGTATTTTCCGGGGCATGATGTGATGGGGTCATCGGGGACGGATGCGGGCCTTAGTGTGCTCGGGGTCGGGGTCTCGGGTTCGCTACCGGGAGCCGGCGGCTCAATGCTCCATCCTACGGCGGAGTCTGGTCTCAGGGATCAACAGAACCAGCCGTTTGGGTTACTGACGCCGAGTTTGAATCCGCCGTTGCCGGAGGGTCACCCCGGGGTTAATGGGCAGCGGTTTTTCACCATTCAACGGGTTAATGGGAATGGGGCGAATGGGAAGAATGATGGGGTGAGTGGGGGGCATCGGCATACGTTGGAGGAGAGTGATCGGGTGAAGAAGAATAGTGTGCAGAGGTACTTGTTGAAGGAGGTGAGGGAGAAAAAGAGGTCGCTTTCTGTGAGTTGAGTCTATTGATGGTTCTGGTTCTAGTTCTTGTTGGAGTGTGTGCCTTGACCCTGGCGTTGTGTTACGTCACTCGGCGGGTGTGCCTCTCGCGGACTGCACCGGTTGGGCCTTCCCCGCTTATCTGCAACACCATCACATCATGTTTCTCAGACCCCTCCTGCAGTTGAAAACATTGCCATTTGGTGGCTTGTCCAGCCGCGTTCCCTCCATTGCTAGCACAAGATTGGTTGTATTTCGTTCTGATTGTTTCCGTGCACAGACCAGAGCAATGGCCACGCAGAACGAGACGCAGAAACAATACCACACCAAAGCCACCGGCCTGGCTGCCCGGACTGTCGCGAACCGCTCCCAAGACGATGAGCTGAAACTGTATGGCAGTTGCTTTTGGTACGCCAATTCTAAAGTTTAAATCATTATATACACCGATTCCAAGGCTGATGAACCACTGCCAGCCCGTTTGTACAGCGCGTCTGGATCGCCTTGGAGGTCAAGGGTATCCCTTATCAGTACATTGAGGTCGACCCTTATAAAAAACCCCAGTCCTTGCTGGATGTGAACCCCCGGGGTCTAGTCCCAGCATTGCGGCACGGGGATTGGGGCTCATATGAGAGCTCCGTATTGCTAGAATACGTAAGTGATCCACCACCTATTGAACCAACTTGGTCCTAACATGCTCCTCAGTTAGAAGATCTGAATGTTGGACCACCACTGCTCCCGCCCGGAGACGCCAAGCTGAGGGCGCATTGCCGACTGTGGACAGACTTTGTAAGTCTCTTGTGCCTTGTGTCCCACCTATCACCGCTGATAATTGCAGATCAACCGTCACATTGTTCCCAACTTCTACCGTGTCCTCCAAGAACAAGACACGCAGAAGCAGATAGCCAACGCGCAAGAGCTCCGAGATGCGTTCAACACATTGGTCACAGCCGCAGATGCGCAGGGACCGTTCTTTCTTGGCCCTCGTGTCTCGTTCGTGGATGTCCAGGTAGCCCCTTGGATAATCCGATTGCGCCGCGCCCTGAAGCCCTATCGCGGCTGGCCAGACCCGGAACCTGGCAGTCGCTGGGGTGCCTGGGTAGACGCAATCGAGAACAATGAGCACATCCAGGCCACCACCAGCACCGACGAGCTCTATCTGGATAGCTATGAGCGATATGCCCGTAAGTAGATTTATGAGATATGCGATCACCAAGCTGACGTCCCTAGAAAACCGACCCAACACGTCTCAGGTTGCCAATGCAATCAACTCCGGAAGGGGTCTGCCCTAGTTTGTTGCAGGTCACTGTGATGCCACCTAGCATGCCGAATACAATTCTTGAGCAGCGACCTGAAGTCGCATCCCCATTAACACGCCCGGCTGCAATACGCCAATTCTTGGCGGAGGGATTGTTTTGCTGTGGCGCTTTTCGTAGTCTAGCCCCCTCGGGCACCCCTGTTGCCCATCCTAAATCCGCCTCTCCCACTGCTATCGGGGCCTCGAGGACTGCGGATCGGCTGCTTCGGAGATTGGGAGTCTTCCTCCTTTCGGATACCGCTCTGCTTCTCCTTCCGTGGTCCATAAGTCGAGTTCGGTTTCGGAGATCCAGGATCGTAGAGCTGCTTAGCCTTCCCTGAAGCAGCAGATGAGTCCCGCTTATCCCGATTGTTGTCTCGCCCGTTCCCGCGGCTTCTGCCTTTTCCCCGACCATCGTGCTGCTTAGGAGGGGTAGAACTGCGTGGCGACGACGCGCCCGAAGTGGGGGCGGACGGGCTCCCAAATAGTCTTTCGCGTGCCTCCTCATACTTGCGCTGCTTTTCTTCCAGATTGCGCAGTGCAATAGCCTGTCGCTCCTCGGCAGTAGGTTGAGAAGCCCTGCCTTCTTCGTCGGAGTCGTCATCTTCATTCAACCCCAACCGTCTGATACCAGCACCCGCGGCGTCTACAGCGGATGATGATTGGCGTGTGGCTATCTGGGGGTTCCGACTGAGAACCGTGACGGTAGGTTTGAATTCTTGCTTGAGAGGAACGCTTGACCGCGCCTCTAGGAAGTGGAATGTCTGAGGTGAATCACTATGACAGCGTAACGGTCAGACGATTTTCTGCGACAGTATACCCATGGTTGTAGTGTACATACGCTTCCGCCCACAGTTGGCGATTGAACTCGGCCTGTTGAGCTCTGCGCTGGGCCTTGGAGACTTTGGAGGAGACTTTCTTCTCCTGCGGAGGCGGGGCGGGTTCGGCCGCAAGAGTCTGACAGAAAATATGGTCAGACCGACAATTGTAGAGGTGGCCGCATTATGCAGGTTTGAGGATGTGCATGAGTCGCTCCAATTCAAGGCAGATACATACATCGGCTTGGCTCTCCCAGTCTTGCTCCCACGCGTCGGGGCCACTTGAGGGCTTTGCGCTCATGGCCAGGGATATGGGTGGCTTCTGAAACAGGGTCTAGAACGAACGAACGCAACAAGACTCAAACAGTAGAATCTAATCAAAATACCAAAACAGGCGTCCTATATATTAGCCAAGAGGGCCAGGTGGCACAAGCTAAAGGAGAGAATGACCGAGGGGTAAGAAAGAGGGGGAGAAAAGAGAGAGAAGAGGAGAAGAAAGGCGGAGGAAAATCACGGTTGCCGCCTTTGGGTGCTTAGTTAAGATGCCTGGGCAAACGCCGCACCTCCATCTTATGGTCACTTGCCGACCTCGATCTGCATCCCCCCAACATTCACTCGTCCCCAGTCCCATCGTTTGTTGTTCCTTGTTTGACTTGCATTTGTTTGCTCTGCTTCCCACATCGCCATGGCCACCGGTCTGTATCTCCACCCTCTTTCTCCTCCAGCTCCCCGCCGTCTGCATCGAATTCACCAGCTCCGAACTATCCACCCCGCGATATCTACGTCTTCATAAGCACCCCGAGCTAACGACATCCAGACCTAGACGGGGATTCCCAAATGGCTTCTTCTCCTGAATCCTCTCATGCACTCTCCGAAGACTCCCATCCCGGCACCCGCACCCGCACCCCCACCAACAAGCTCTCCAACACTCGTCCCCCGTTCGGGGGCTCGGAACTCTCCCCGCCCGGCTCACAGACTCAGACCAACACGGTGGGCGGGCAGGGAACGAGCTTTGGTCCGTCGGGGCCTATCGACTCCCCCTTGGCTACGCAGACACAGCAGGCGGATCAGCAAACGGCCCCGGGCGCGTCGTGGATGAATAAGCGCGCGGAGGAGGAATATCAACGCGCCATGGAGTATGTGATTGACCAGGACTTCAACTTGGGTATGCATTTCAAAGGATGATTGTGTGTTGTGCAGTCGCTAATGGGCAATGCTGGTAGATGAGTTCGGGGATCCATTCGATGAGCGTGATGTGGAGGAGCAGCTGTTCTAGATGAATTGAATCTCAGTCTAGACTGGGTTTGGCCGGATGGATCTCATCGCATGGCTACAGCGAGGCTGGAGTCGGAGTTTCGGTGTTGTTTTCCTGTCTAGGGTCAAGCATGAATGAATGAGTTATGAGCATGAGATATGAGGCCCATGTATGTGCACTGTCCTATTGACGCAGTTCATTCTGGAACAAGATGGCGGACAGGTTGAAAAAAAAAGGGGGAGGTATGAAACCACGATCACCCACCACCTCTACCACAATCTCTAAATCCAACCCGGAAGCCATATCAGGGTACGGTCCTCGGGCTTTCCCATCGTGGCCTGGACATGAATGCGACGATTCGCAATTCTACCTAAATAGTCATGCTATTGACCCCACGTATAGGGCTCATTATTTCCTATCCAGGACAAAGCCGAAAAGCAAGTTAGCAGCCGTTCAACTGGTATGTGCACGACTCCACATTATGGAACGCACGCGATTGAGGCGATTTCTGGGTGGCATTAGCGCAAATGGAACCCCCAAAATAGTGTTCTCGGCCCGCTCACAGAACCCCGGCCCGGGCAGTCATCTACTGTTCTGGTACTAGTACGCTTCTTCCGAAAGACCCTGCAGTTTTCTTTGTATACAGTGTGGAGACATCGTATAATCGATCCCGGAAGTCTACATAGGGGTTGTTACCGTGGTCACTAGCTGAAGTTCAAAATGGTAGAAAGAGCTGTATGGAGTTGTCAACAAACAGTCTTGTGTGAAAGTCGCTACTCCGTAGTGATACTGGCATAATTTACTAAGGTCTTTCAATCCCCGTTTGGGATGGTTGGTAACCCTACACAAACAAGCAATCTAGTGATCTAGCATTCAAAACGAGTTCCTCGAAAAGGGGAAAGTGGTATGGTCTAGATGCAAGGAAGCCGGATGCTGTCGGGCTAATAGCGTTCAACTGGATCGACACACAAAACACTAAGAGATTAAGTCAGGACAAGAAAAAGGCTTAAAATAAACCACGAGGCAAGATAACCCGCGCCTGGGGTTAGTCTCATAATCTCAAAATCTCAAAATCTCAACACAAGTTCCCGCCAGAGATTGCTAGACAGCCCTCCGCAAAGAAAGCTAAAGCGCCCCGTAGGTCCCTAGTATCAACCACGTTTCGGAATCGAACCCAAGCAAACTTAATAAACAATAAACATGCACTAATACTTACAGGATCCACCCAGATCAATGTAAATGCCATAGACTGCTATGTATAATGAACACACTTGACTATCCCAATTTATATCCCGCAGACCCAAACGCCATTGCCGTTCCCCCGTAAATGCAACCAATGTGTAACCCCAACATATGAATGTAAACTAGCCCTTATACCGGAGGGACCGGGACTTCGTATTTCAGACCATGGTCTCGTGCCATCCAGTGTAGGTCTCGTAGTCGTAGCTGCCGCATGTAGACTCTTTGCTCCGGGGTGCAATCCAGGTTTCTTTCTGTGCCGTAGAACCCGTTCGTCATGAGGAAGTGGATGGAGTAGCCTGCGATGGTGGCTGCCACGCAGCCGAGGATGACGAAGAAGATGATGGCTTCACGACCGACGCCCATGATGGAGGTTTGGGTGGGTGGTTTGGATGGTTTGTGTTGGAGGTCTATGGGAGTGGGTGGATTAGTCAAAGTATGGAAATATAGACATGGGTGAGACTCACTGTAGAATAGTAATGAATGAATGAAAGTTATCCAAGTTGTTGTTGTAGTAGTCAACACTAATATTCCAAAGATAATCGCATATAGTAAAAGAGCGAAGAAGCCTCAAAGACCGAGCCGAAAGATAGTAGAGAAAAAGAAGGAATGCTTGTCTGATATCCCCTCCATCCTCACGAGAAACAGCAGCATTTATAGTCTTTCCCTAGCCAAAATCCCTTCACCTGTCACTTCCCACGATGGGCTATTCTTGTCCCTTCTACTCGCCGGCCCCAAGATCTAGATATCAGACTATTCCTTTCCCGGACTAGCCTCCAATCCTATGATGTCATTTGCGAGCACACCAATAGGAACGCCCGAGCTCTCAGACACAACGGGTTTAGCGTCGACGGTAGGTTATCTCGGAGGGTTCCAGTCAAGCACTGACAACGAACTGAAACGGATCCAGGCTAATCAGACTATCGGAGAAACGCCTTGTGATTCGTGCTTGAGATCCGGTTGCCATTTTTACTATTGAGGCTCGAGCGATCGGCATTTCGGACTTGGCTGGACTAGATGGCTGTCAGGGGTTGCGCGGTATTGGAGGTCTCGAGATGATTTGCTGGATGGATCAGTGGCATGAGCACCTGGCTTCTTGATCTCAGAAAATTCTATCACAGTCAGGGGGTGTGTGGGCGCTTACCGCATTGAGGTTAAAACAGGAATTCAGTTCTTTTCCAACGACGAAGAGGGTAGGTGACTTTGCTTTCTCGACTCCTAGATAGTTGCGTTGTTTCCATTGTTGGCTGTATTCTAGGATGGAAAGTGTCCGGCGACACACTTTACTTGACTTTACAACTCCAGCATTGTTTACTAGCTTCTTGTCTCTTTCCCACATTCACCATATTGCAACCATTGAGGCCATCGGGCAAGGCAAGTTGTGGGAAATCCATTGTTCTGCCGGCAGAATCAGTCATTGCAAGTAGCCCGGGAAAAGCCTAGCCTTTGCGGTCTACAAGGCGGTATATTGTCCGCATAATCTGCTCGATGGCCGCAATCGCTTGCCGTTGACCTCATCCCGGAGGTGGACCCGCCATCTACTACACACAGGCCTCTTGATGATAGCATAGTCGTCTTCTGGTGCCTCCATGGGCTCAATGAAACAGGTTCTCTTCATTGAAAGTTCCTCTATCAGTAAACAGGTTAATGCTGACCTCACGGTTACTACAGCCGTGAAAATCCAGCGAGGCTTGCGATCGCCAGCCCGAGAAACCGTTACCAAGACTGACTCTCGATGCCTATTCCCTGGTACATCGGTTGTCTCAATGAAACAGTGTCATTTTTCTGAGATATTACAAGACTCAACTCTTATAGTTGCCGTGCGTGTTGGAATTGCATTCATTTCCATCATTTGTACTACATGGTTAGTGGTTACATTACCTTCAACCTTGATATATATAACAAGAGGATACGTGCAGGTTCTAGGGGGCTAACCGTCTGGTCTAAGAATGTTCCTAAATCGCGGGGCAAGCCAGCAACTGTCTTGGTGATTCACTACTAACGCGCTGGAACGTGCCTTGTTTGGTATCAACCTGGAAATCCAAAGCGGACTAACGACCTCTAGTGTAACCATGTCATCTGTTCCATTGTCGCGATCAATATCTTAAACCATCAAGAGGGCCAGTGCTAGTTCGTACAGTATTAGGGTACTGCTGCCCATCAGAAGTCTATGACTGATGTGTGAACAGAGTTCAGTGGGCATCTTCTGTTGGTTTTCATGTCAAGGTTCTCTTATTTGTCCTACGATCCACTTGAAGAACGCCAGCACCAAGCGGTCGAATACACACGGACACTAGAAGCTGTCACATGTTCCTCTTCCTGCAACAATCTGGCCAGGGTATACTCCAACGCTGCTTGTTCGGCTTTAAACCACCCGCTAAACCCGCTCGACACGGAAAGTCCGCCCGCCACCGCAAGATCGATACTCAGCTGGGCTTTCAGGGCAACCTTTGCTACCGCTTAGAAGTCTTCTCATGCCTGTTGAAGTTTCGTGAGTCGTGTACCCCGAGGCCATCAGAGGGATTCTTGGAAAGTGGATATCATCTTCTCCCTTGTCGATTTACACTCCATGTTTGACTGACATACGCTCTATTACAGGCTACTACACTGAAATCTAGGCTGGGCGCAGTATCTGCGGTTACAACTCATAATCGGGGTAATTTTATTTATGCACGAAGGCACTTCAGGTCCGATTATTAGGCATCGACTCTACCAACTCTCGGTAATTCTCAAGGCATGACTTTTACAGAATACACGCAGTTTCCTCTATATTTTCTACTATGTGGCAGAAGTGCGAGTCAACTTCAGCTATTTTGATCCAGCCACTTGTCAAGTTTACCAGGGGTGACTTTGGTCTAACTCAAGGACCATTCCTCACAACATACTGACTTCGAGCTGGTCAGTTCCAATAGCTCTGGTGGTACTTGGCGACAGATAATGAGTTTTGCCGATGATCAGTGAGTCATTTTCAGCAAAGAATTGGTCGCTACTGTCGTTCCGATGCCGGTATCCTTCCCGGATGTTAAGGGGCCGAGTCGAGCACAGAGCACTCATTGAATTCCTCTCCCCGCGCGTCATCGCATCTCTGCGGGTCAACAAAAGGCAAACCATGAGTGATATCTTGTGATTGCCTGTAGTTATTATGTAAATGCCGACGAATATACCGCTGCACTAGATGCAGATGCCGCGGCTAGAAATAGTGGTTTTCTCCTTCTATTCTGTCCTGGTAATTTTGACTTCGCCCCGGATGAAGTTTTAACACCTGGGGGGGGGCACCCCTCTCGTAACATTTAAGACGTTGAGAATGATTATGAAGGGTCCAGTACTCATAGATCCAGCAATATACAGAGTAAAACTGAGTACAGAGGATGTATATCACAAAGGGATCGGTATGTTACAGCATCGCGGCTACCGATCGCGGAGAGCTGCCATATTTGACATGGCACTGCGGCTTGCATGCACGCGGTGACCCGCATTGTGGGAGTCTCGCTTCTACGGCATCCATGTACCCAGAAATCGGCAGTTACTTCTTTGAAAATCTACAGAAACCCTCAAGTATCTTTTCTGAAGCCAGCGATCCATATTATGAGGGCAGATGTGGCCATGGAATATGGAGGGGTGAGAGGGAGGAGCGACAAGCCAAGCCATCCGAGAGACCCTCTTCCCGAACACGTCAAGACCACAACCACTCATCACGACGAGCAGATCTGTCTTCTGGGACACTTGGTCCACGCCATTTGATTGGATTCATCAAACGACTAATGCTGAGCGATACTCTCATCATAACTCACACTTGGGGTCTTCGAAAAGAGTCATTTGGAAATCATCGAGGCATTCTTCGTTCCTGACGGTATTCGGCAACTCTGAGCACAGGCCTTTGTCACCACGAGCTATGAGACTCACGCATCCGCAACTGGGCACGGACATGGACACAATCAACGGCAAGCTCAATCGGCGCTTTCTTTGGATCTATGAGCATAATGTGAACGTTGATATCGAGCCGGCTTGTTGGTAATCTGCTGCAGAAATCTAAGGGTGCAGTTGTGCAGTCCGGATTATGATGTGTGGCCCTGCGAGCCACATGCTTAATGCCGCTGAAACAGTCCTTGGTTCGTTCCGCTTGAAGTTCTATGGTGGTTCAACACCATTCATTTGGCATTAGGTGACCCCACCAGGACAGCATCAGACCTTCCCGATGGACAGTCATTTGAAGGGATGCTTAATATGTATTGAGCAGCTACTGACTGATATATCTAAGAAAAACTCAGGGGATTTCTGGGTAAGGACACTTAACGACATAACTCAACATAGGAAAGTATTTACACGTTGTACTCAAGGAAAAAATAGGAATGTTTCCACACCAACATCCGAACAGGCTTGCTTCAACCTTTCGCAGACGTCTTCATCCAGGTCGCCATTTACTCCTGACCACCCTCAACATAAACGGATCTCACATCCTCCAGTCAAACGGAGGATTATATGCCTCCGCCCCCAGTAACATACTTTCGATTGAGTCCCAGGAGACATACCCATTGTTATCGTTCATATATGGCATCTCCAGTACCGGGTTATTGTGGATTTCATGCGAAGACATCATCGGTTGATTCATTGGGGGATAGTATTGCTCGACGCTTGACTGCATTCCCGCCCCATTGTTATAATAAGGTGGAATTGTCCCGAAGTTTGATGGAGCGGGATCGACAATGGCATTCGCTGTGCTCGGATAAGAGATAAATTCACTCTGGTTGTTGAAAGGTACCTTCGGTGCTGGACCCAGCTTCTCGTGTGCAAGAACGTCAAGATCACAGATGATTCCGATCCAGCGACGCATAGTACCCGGGACCATGGGATTGAGTGAGTGAAGGGTAACAACAGCAGCGCAATCGTGGAGCAGAGAAAGTGCTCCATTATCAGGAGCCTCACATTGCCGAGTTGCTCGATCCCACATGATGCTCACCGTCAGGACCAATGTTGATGAGTATACGAAATAGATATCCCACCAAGTCACGGCATTGAACTTCCCACGTGCATCCAGCTGCAACAACAGCTCGCAGCTTTTGCGGCCAGATTCGCAACAAATCTTGGCTGCCGTCTCGATAATTCTTTGCTTCGGCTCCGCGGACAACATTTCGGATCTGGTACCAAGATATCGCAACAAGGAGTAGCGAGTGAGCAAAGAGACAGTGTAATGATACTGGATATGCAGCAGGAGAACCGGTCTCACGTATTCATTCGGCAGGATGTCGAGTACACTGAGAGACAGGTGCTGTGGTAGCGAATCATGCCATCGGGCTAGATCCCCAAGCAACCCAGACACGGGGGAGAGGAGAGCAGCGAGGCCAGCTTCGCTCGTGGCATTCGGCAGTGCGCGGCATACGCGGCTCAAGATGGATACAAGCTGTGTCGACCAGATTGTGTAATCCGGGGGCCAGTAGGGGGTTCCTACGCCCAGAGTCCTCTCATGGGGCGATGTGGTGGAGCACAGTGTGTCTTCTATAGCGCTAGGCCGGTCATGAGAGGAGACCTGTATCTGCTCAAAGCTGTACAGTGTCCACCAAAGTGATTTCCTGAGCTCCTGAGCTAGCCGCGGGCCCTTGCAGATGGTTTCGTCCCGATGAAGTCCAATGGCAATTGCGATGCGGGCCGCCGCTCCAGTCAGTGTCCAGCATGCATCACGGTGGTTCGTGTTATGCAAATGCAGAGCAGCTAGCATGAATGCCTGGATTGAGTGAATATTGGATGTGAAGATTATGCTGGGTAGGATCAATTCGATGTGAGTCCACCACTTCTGCTGCTGAGTCTCAGCCGTTCCAAGCGGGCTAATTCGTCGACCCAGGATCAATACACATAGAAGACCACACACCCATGGTCGTTCAACTGAATGAGGAGAAACCCGCCATATGTCAAACGTGTGCAGGAAGGAAGCCTCATGCAGGATAGGGAAATCGACATTGACGTAATCGAAATAGGCCCGAATGAGCCCATCAATGACAGTAGTGTCAAGCAAGGGCACTGGGTAGGGGACAGCCCCGACGCCGACACCCATTTGCGAGGGCATTGGAATTTCTCGAATCTCGGTTTCCGTGAGGACTGCATATGCAGATCCCATCAAGTTCTCCTCGGAAGGATTGCGACCGAAGAGTAACATATGACACTTTGGACCTTGGCGATGGCTCCCCAGGAGGGTTCGAAGTTTCATCTGAAAGAAGTAGGAGCTTGCCGGACCGATATACTGCTCCTGGCCCTGCTGATCCTTCACCAGCTCTTCATTCAGATCCACCGAGTCTGGTTGCTTCTCCTGGATTGACTGAGGCTGTGGAGAACGAGACTTGCTGCACCCCATTTCTGGGAGTGAATTGTTCAGCGACCGTTCGATTTCCCGCATGCTGTCGACAGAGGAGAGGTCTGCATCCGGAATGAGCTTCTTCACCAGTCCCTCCAGCGCTTCAATTCGGGAACGCACAAGGTCTACACTGCCATAGATTCTTTGTTTTCGCGGCTTATTGGTGGTACAATCATAGTTATAGCGCTCGCAGTGCCGACAGCGGTCTTCTCCCGGAACCTGATGACATTTTTGTTTCCTCGACTTACACCGATCACAGCTATGCTGCGTGCGTTGTCGAGACTCGAGTGGAACCCGACGACTTATTTTTCTGGTGGCAGCATCCATGTCGGCGAGAGACAAAGAAATCAGCGGGGCTGACCGGAGAGATGCTGAAGAAAACAGAAAAACGAAAGGGGTGGCACACGCTGCCGGTGTTCCGATGGGATCATTATAAAGTCCCGGAGTCGGGCTTTCCCCTCTCGACTTGACCAGGGTGTTTGAGACAATCTAGGCCATTGAGAGCAAGCCTTATGCAACCAACGCTTTAGCGTGCGAGACCGAGCCAGATAGCGCCAACGCGAGATAAGGCCAGCCAGCAGCCAGGCTTACACACGCACAATGCCGCCAGGCCCTCAAATCCCAGCTATGGCAACAAATGGAGTCCATGTACATGGTACAGGGCCCTGAATTTGGCCCTTGAGCGTCGTGATATTCTTGCCTCGTTGGTACTCGTGCAGTCGCGGAAAGGATGCATGCTCCAGAAACAACCCCCCATCCTCACACCTCGGGATTAGCCGGTAAGACTTTTACCTCGGTGCGAAGGAAGGATGGTGGTCAAGAAGGAGATGCAGTCAATGGTGATCAACGAAGTCTGTCATCAGGCGACAGGGAGGTCAATACCAGAGTCAAGACGACCGCTCAGGGCATCCCCCTCGTCCCTCAACCCAGTGACGACCCAGATGACCCCCTGGTGCGTTTTTCCTCCCACATATCACACATATGTGATACTCTGACGGTAAAGTGGTTGCCTACAGAATTGGAGCGCCTTCACGAAACATGCGGCTCTGGTTGTTCTTGCGTTCGAATCGTTTCTGGTCAAGTTCTCGGCCACTCTAATTGTAGCTTCACTGACATCCCTGATTTCGCATTTCACCCTCTAATCGAGAATTCTAGGCGCCCGACGCCCTGGAACTGGCCAACGAATTCGGAGTACACAAGTCGACCGCGACGTACATTGGATCTGCGCCACCCATCTTGAATGCGATCACGTCCTTCTTTTGGATCCCTTTGAGCCATCGAATTGGCCGACGCCCTGTTCTTCTGATTGGGAATCTGATTGCCCTGGCCAGTGCGATTGGAGTGGCTCGATCTCAGACGTACGCACAAGCTCTAAGCTGCCGCATGGTCATGACTTTAGGAGGCAGCGTTGGGCTGTCCATCGCTCCTGCTGCCATTTCCGATATGTTCTTCCTCCACGACAAGGGATCCCGAATGGGTGTGAACAGCATGCTGCTCGTCGTTGGACCATACATAGGCGGAGTCGCTGGGGGCTCGATTGCTTATAGTCAAGCCCTCGGATGGCGGTGGTCCATGTACATCGCAGCCATCCTTTACGCTGTGCAATTCATCGCTCAAGTCTGCTTCGGTAAGCCACCCGTCCCATATTCTCATTTTCGTTACTCTGCTTATTCTATTTGCCCTCTGTAGTCCCGGAAACGACCTACACACGAGACGAAAATGGTACAGCCGTGCCCAATCCCTCGGAACAAAAGCAAAACACTTTCCTCTCCCTTCTAAAATTTCGCATTCCAGCGGTTCCACAGCACGAGACCTGGGCTCAAACCTTCCGTAAGCCTTACAAAATGTTTGCCTATCCTACCGTTGTCCTTCCGTCCTTCTGGTTTTCAGTGGCGAACATGACCGAAGTCGGCAACACAGCGGGTTTCGCCCTTAATTTTGGCAAGGACAGTCGCTGGCAGTTTAATCTAGCCCAGATTGGCTTCTGCTATTTTTCAGGTGTTATTGGGGCCGGCTTAGGGGAAATTTTCGGGGGACCATTGTGCGATATGCTTGCCAAATATTCCATACGTCGTGGCCAAGAATGGAAGCCAGAACGGTTACTCCATCTCGTGTGGACGGGGCTCATCACCATCTCAGTAAGTCTAAATTCAGTGAAAATAAGCCCCGGTTCTTTCTTACTTTTCTTTAGGCCGGTCTGCTCCTGTACGGACTCGAGCTCGAATACGGTAACAGCTGGGCCTCCGCCCTAACTGGAATCGGTCTATTCACCTTCGGACAGGAGCTCCTGGTCACTGTTCTTTTGACCTACATGACGGACTGCTATCCAGACGACGCAGCGGAGGTCGCAATTGTGTTTCAATTCTTTTTCGCCATCCAGACATTCCATGTCCCTTTCTATCTGCCACAGTGGCTCGAAGGACCTGGTGGGCCGAAAGTTCCGTATATCGTGTTCGCGGCGCTTCCTGTGGTCTTGTATCCATTTTGTATCTGGGTATTTACGTGGAAAGGGGAGCAGATCAGGAACAGAGGACCACTGCTCTTTAAGGATGGAGAGCCTCAATCGGAAGCTATCTAAACCGACAGGCAAGAAACAAAACGGAGCGAGAGATCAATCCACCAGTGTTCATCATGGATTGTCGGGTTGCGTTCTTACTTTTATGTCACTGGGATTATGACCAATCCCAAGTTGGCAGCCATTCTTTCATGACACGACTATATCGAGAGAATCGATATGGCGTGTCGGGTTCCAGGACACCTGCTTACTGTGGGCAGCAAAAAACCCTTATTTACATTCTTCTTATACCATATAGTTTTACCTTCTACATATCATCATCTACATAGGGGGTTACCCTTCCCCATTCTATCTACTCCTTATGACATCCAATCACGCCATCCGATCACAAAATGACCAGTTCCAAGTTACAGCAAACAACTTCATTACACCAGTCAATAGCACTATCCTTGCAAAACCTCCAAATCCCCATAATCATCAACAACCAAACGTCCACTCAAGCTTTCCAACCCCAAGAGCCTCAGGCCCCCCAAGCGCACCGTGCATGAGCCAAGAAAACATAACAACCCGAAATCCTCACCTCAGGCTATTAATCCTACCACAACTAATCCAACCTACGAAGTATCCTATGCCCATTTCTATTACTCCTCAAATAGATACCTACATACCAAAACAACCCCAAAAGAGGGTAAAAAAAGAGCACATTAACCCCACGTCCCATCGCCTATACCCACGCCAGTCTACAGCACCTAGGATTCCCACCCCCGAGACTAAACCAAAAGTCCTAATTGAATACGGAGTACTTTTCGACGATGAATTCACTTCCTTGTCGATTTGGATTATTAATTACCTAGTACTAGATAGGTAGATAGCAAGCAGGATTAAATGACCTCCGCGCTTAGAGGCAGGGGGGCGGGTAGGTCCGGATAAGGGGCGTTATACTACATGCAGTTATTATATACAGTGGTGGGGATTTCTTTTGTGAGGGGATGGGGGTGGAAAAGCTGTCCTTTTGTATGGTTTTACTCATGGACGTAAGATTGATGGTTGTTGATGCGGTGGTGGATTAGGTAGGTAAGTAGGTAGGTATGGAAGAATCTACCCAAAAGGCACAAGGGAAGAATGTGATGGGGGGGTTTGGGACTAGTTATATGGGTGGTTGACGAATCATGTTGGGGGGTTGGGAGTTATCTGGGAAGGGGGTATGGAATGGACTGGACAGTAGGTACTGTGTAGACAGGCACGAAAGATACGGGTTCTTGATCTTTGCTTCTTGTATGTTTAGATGTAGGGCTTGGTTGTGGAGTTGGGGTTAGCTTTTATTGTGCTTGCTTTTGAAGTTGGGTGGTGTTTGGTCTATGGAAACGTATGTGGGAGGTTTTATGTACAGGTATCGTTCTTTCGGATATTGTTGAAGTTTCCGCTGGTTTAGTCTTTAGCGGGATTATATGTGATTGATGTAGTCAGTCGAGTGTCTCGGAGGGCAGCTCGAGTTGAAGATATACTATGGTATGTAGACGATTCTGTAATCCTCTCACTCATCAACACCAACCAACCCCAACGAAACCTCCCACAGCATCTTCTCCTTCTCTGGGCTATAAGCATGCGGAGAATACCCCGGCGCCCAGTGTCCCTCACTCGCATCGAACGGCTTGGCGATTTGTACGTCCTCGAGATACCTCCCACCCACACCGTGAAGGGATTTCGAGATAGCTCCCCAGAGTGTCGTGGCTGCGCCTTGCTCGGGGCTTTTGATCTGGGGACCTAGTTTTGGGTCTGAGGTGAGTCCGGTTTTCTCTTCCTCGGACATGTGTTTCAGCAGACCGGTCTGGATACCGCCAGGTTGGACGCTGAATGCGCGGAGGTTCTGAGCTGCATAGCGACGGTCGATTTCGTTGGCGGTCCAGAGCATAGCGCATTTGCTTTGGGCGTAGGCTTTCCACTTCTCGTATTCGTTGTCGAGGTTGATGTTGGAGAAGTTGACTTCTGAGGAGCGGTGGGCGATAGAGGAGAGGAGGATTACTCGGGAGGGGAGTTTGGGAGTGGCGGCGGAGAGGAGGGCAGGGCGGAGGATGAGGAAGAGAAGGAAGAGGCTGAGGTAGTTGGTGCCGAATTGGAGTTCATTGTTGTCTTTTGTGCGGCCTTCGGGGGTGGCCATGATGCCGGCGTTGGCGATGAGGATGTTTAGGGTTTGGGTTTTGGAGAGGAGGTTGGAGGCGCAGGTACGGACGCTGTCTAGGGATGAGAGATCCAGTTCGAGGAGGTGCACGCGTGGGGAGGAGATAGATCGTTGCCGAGGGCTTGGGTGGCTTTGTTGAGGTCGCAGGCTGTTAGATAGAGGGTCGCGCCGGTGGGGAAGAGGGCTTTTGCGGTTTCGACACCAATGCCGGCTGATGCTCCGGTGATTAGGATTGGGAGGCCTGTTAGTTGGCCTTCTAGGCTTTCGTCGTGGATGATCTGCATGGCAGTTGGGCGAGCATCGCCTGGACCTTGGGGTTTTTTATGGACTGCCTCGTAACGGGTGGTCATGGTGGTGGTTAAGGAGTTGGGAGATTGAAGAAGCGTTAAGATATGAAGTTCTGAATGCTTGATCGGGGAGGAGGAATGAAGAGGCCTTGGAGAGCTTTATATATGTTAGAGACTCCATCACATCGTGTCTCAAGCAGACAGAAGATGGCACTCTGATCCGCTCTGCACGGAGATAACCATCTTCAGCCATGTTTATGCCCTCCTTAAATGTCGTCAAGTACAGAGGTAACACTCGCCACAACCTCCCGTCGAGCCTATAGATCTGGACGGAGCCATGGATCGCAGTCAAATAATTGCAAGTGTCAGCAATTAGTGCCCGGTGTGGATCCTGTGATTGGCGCACCAAGGAATAGCATCGTCAATTTTGGTTCGCAAAAGGGGATAAAAGTTAAGCATATTCTGTTCTTCTCCATCTGAACGTTGCCCCTGTGGAAGAGATAAGGTTGCTTGACGCTAATTGCTGACAAGTCCCTGCTTTGTTGACTCAAATTGAGAGATATAGAAGCACAAGCAAACTTTCTTAACTCCGTTTGAGCCACTGGCGGACTCACTTTTGCAACGTATTGGGTACTGTTAACCACGGCCTCAATCTTAGTGAAGCTCAATGTGGTCCACTGTACGAAGACTCATCACTTGATGCTTATGGGGCTAGACACGTAGTTATAGATGAAGGGATAGTTGCTGAGAAGTCAGAGGAAGAAGATTTCTGGTGCGGGAAGATGGAAGAAGAAAAAAGGTGGCAGACTGAGTAGGCACATGACTCGACTCGTTCCGCCAGGTACATCCTTGAGTGAATTAGATCCCAAAGCCATGTATGAGGGGCATTGCTTTCTATTGAGCAGTATCTTCTAATCAGTCATGATCAAACTTCTACCCTGATCCTTGCTTCAACCAAGTCAGACTGAAACCAGAACCCGATATCCTTGGTAGTATCCACCAGCTCTACCTCCCGCTTGACAAAGCCCGATTCCTCAGTCGACTTTTCATCCTTCTCTATAGCACTGTCGAGACCTCCCTCATCCTCACTATCCCAGCCCTCGTCATCTTCCATTTTCTCCTTGCTCACTGGGTCCAGCTCATCAGTCTCCCAAATCAACTTGAACCCATACGGAGGAAGTCCGAAGAGACGAGAAACAATTGCTTTGAGTTGGTATGTGTCGAAGGATCGAGGCACTTCCTTAATCTTCACAGCTTCCTGTGTGCTTCCCGAAGTGCCAGTGTTCTCACCCTGTACAATGCCTGTCTGGGATAGATGGAATACCAATTTCACCAACCGCGCAGCAACAGACCGCGGGTTGACAGCGGCGCCTGGTCCAGACTCGACTCTCCTGATCACAGGCTGGCCGTACAGCTCGCACAGTTCCCGATACCGCGGATGCGCGGCAAGAATGCGTGACTCTGCTGTCTCCGGGAAAGCAGACAGCTCCTTTCCGATAAGAGAGAGGTAGTATAGCTCGCCATTATTTCGGTCCTTGGCAGTGATCTTACCATAGTTGAGGAGCTGTAGAGACGCAATGCGAGAGAGCGTCAACATGTATGCTTCGTCCACTGTCATGGGTTTCTCTGGCACCCCAGTTATGTGAGATGGTCCGATGGGCTGGTCATAAAGTGGGTTCCCGGATATTCGAAGGGTATCTAAACCGGGGAATACGGATGATAGTTGGTTGACAAAATCCCAAGTAGTGATTTTGTTGCGGGAGATATCGAGGGAGTGGAGACTGTGCGAGAATTGAAACTTATCAACCGGAGAGTTGTAAACGGTGGAGATGCTATTTCCGCGAAGAGAAAGATGCTCTAGGCTTGGTAGTGGGGTGAGAGATTTGATACTGGATAAGGAGGTGAGGTCATTGTTTTCCAGAGTGAGGCGTGTGATGCTGTTGGATAGTGGCATCGATAGCATGGAGATTTGATTTGCCGAAGCAGAGAGAGACGTCAGGGCTGGAAATTGATACGTCAAAGCTGATATCTCCTCCCATGTAAGAAACGTTTCGTCAATATGGAGGGCTGTGATTCCCTCGAACTTTAACCCTTCCTCGAGAGGACCAAGTCGGTTTCCACTGTTACCATGTTAGCTTCCCAATCACCCTATTTCGGCTCTACCTACATCAACTTCAGTCTCTTCAATAGCTTCAACCGTTTACATATCCGAGCCACGCCGCTCCAAGACGTCAACAAGTTCTGGCTCAGATCCAGCTCGGTAATTTCTGGACAGGTCTGCTCGATCTCGGCATATGCAGATTCAACCTCTTCGACTTCTGCATCGTGTAGAACACCAACCACTCGTAACCCATCAAGAAGCACGATCTTCAGTTCCTGAAGCCTGGCAAGCTGCTTCCGGATCTTGTCGAAACCAACTTCCTCAACGACCTTGCCACTGATCTCAATAGGCTTGTGCAGAGCATCGTCTGTAGCACTCTCACCCTGCTTCTGTCTAGCCAGGTCTTCATCAAGGGTCTCAGACGCGTACTTCTCGCGCAGCGCCTCAAGAAAACCCCGAGGTTTATCTGCTGGTCGAGACGGACGCACGAATGATCCAGCTGTAGGGTGTTTGCTTTTACCTGCAATATATGAGCCTATAATCCAAGCAACACCACAATCTGAACATTATCTGCAACCGGAAATAGGAATATGCACCTACATGTGAAATACCTCACCCCGCGATGCTCCCCCGAATGCTTCCCCCGAGTCGGATCATCCCATTCGACTCCCAACCACTCCCCAGATGTACCCTCGACTGATCCCACGTAACGAACAGTACACAAATCCCCGGCATAAGACCGCCGCTGACCTACCTGAGCCGATTCCATTTCCCAATATCTTCCTATCGTAAACCATCCAACTACGCTCCGGCCAAGTACAGTTCCCTCCAGCATGTGACGGATTTCCCACCTTCCCGCTCGACCAATCGCAGCCCACCCCTCGCTTACAGCACCCTTCTGCCTCAGGCATACACCCAGCTACCGCAGCGGAGAACTTCCTCGCCGCGATCCAGAACCTGATATCACCTCCATCACCTCTACAACCTCAACCCCGACACCATGGATTACCAGGTACGTCCCCCTCCCCCCCCCCTCCCATCCACCCACTAACCAACCCTCCCAGAACCGCGCCGGTTCCAAATTCGGCGGCGGCGGCGTAGCCTCCCAATCCGCCACAAACGCCGACCGACGCGAACGTCTGCGCAAACTCGCCCTGGAAACCATCGACCTCGAAAAAGACCCCTACTTCTTCAAGAACCACGTCGGCAGTTTCGAATGTCGACTCTGCCTAACCGTCCACCAAAATGACGGCTCCTACCTCGCCCACACGCAAGGCCGCAAGCATCAAACGAACCTGGCTCGTCGCGCCGCCCGCGAACAACGCGAAGGCAAGAACCAAGACCCGTCGTCTATTGCCGGCGCAATGGGCGTACAAGTCAAGAAGCAGACGATCAAGATCGGACGACCAGGGTACAAGATCACGAAGATTCGGGATCCGTTGACGAGACAGCTCGGGATGTTGTTTCAGTTGCAGTATCAGGAGATTACGCCGGGAGTGACGCCCAAGGTGCGGTTTATGTCGGCGTTCGAGCAGAAGGTGGAGGAGCCGCCGGATAAGAATTTTCAGTATTTGGTGGTGGCGGCGGAGCCGTATCAGACGTGTGGGTTTAAGTTGCAGGCCAGGGAGATTGATCGTCGAGAGGGAAGGTATTGGACTTGGTTTGATGAGGATAGTAAGGAGTTTTGGGTTCAGATTATGTTTAAGACGGAGAGGGAGGAGAGGTTTTCCGGGGTGCCGGGGTTGGCGCCGATGGAGTCGAAGGCTTGATTGGTTTTTGGTGGGGATGGAGGGGGTATTGGGAGGGGTGGGGGGAGTGAACTGCGCTTATTGTTGCTATGCTATTGTTGTTGTTATATTGAAGAAGGGATCTGGGCGTTTCACGGTTCTTGTTTACTATGCTGGCAAAATAATGGGGCTATTGTTCTTACATACCATTGTTGTGTGATCTGGGTTAGAGAGGCTTTTTATCAAATACCATGCCCTCTTTTGCGTCTACTGGTACATGCCATATCTACTGTTCTACTGGAGAATGACTCGTTCACCCACGATCCTGAATGCATTGAGGCCAAACTGGCAGCCTGCTAGCTGAAAATTGGACAGATGTCCTGTATCGCGGTTTTCTTCTAATACATGATCTTGATTTTCCACTCATATGTATCCTTCCGGCTAGATACAGTCGGTAACTAGCAATCGTCGTCTCGCGACACGGATGCAATAACAATAAGGTAAATGGAAGTGAATAATGCTAGGTCGTGACCAACGGAGGCGAAATCAAATGCGCTAGATGCTGGATGAAACTGATGCACAAGGTCATACCGAGATCAGAACCTATATGCGCCACTGAAAAGCCATCAATGCAAGCCCGCCCGCTCTCGGACTCTTCAATGACATCTATCTTGGGTTCACAAAAACCTCGGTCGTCGACTTTATCCTCAATTTCCCTGGAAGGCGTTGAACGCTTTGTACGTGTACCCGATGAACGGAAGGCTCATCTCTGCCTCCTGCTCGTCCGGCATGGCGCGAGCCTGAGCACGGTGGATGGCGCTGGTATCCTCCTGAGGAATCTCGTCAATCGGGAAGTACGACACGTCAATGTTCGAGCTCAGTCTCGGTTCGAAAGGCGCGCGGATGTTGCGCAGTTGCTCCCAGACCACACCCCGGAAGAAGGGGTGGTTCTTGATTTGCGTTGCGCCGCCAAATTGGCCACCTTCGCTTCCAACACGGTGCTCCGCATCACACAGGAAACTGATCCAGATTAGCATTGGGAACATGTGTATGAGGCGGGTGAGCTTACCTCCGGATGAGACCTTCAGAATCCCGCGACAGGGTGAGTTCCTCTGGGAAGTAAAGACATTCCCTCCAGTTCACGATCTTACGGTAGGTGTCGGTGGTGTCTTCCGCGCAGAATGGGGGCCAACCCACAAGGCACTCAAACATGATCGCACCAACAGACCACCAATCGCACAGGTAGGTGTACCCTTGGCCATTGAAGATCTCGGGAGCAATGTAGTCGGGGGTACCGACTGTCGAGTACGCCATGGCACGACGGGACTTTCTCCACGTGTTAATTTGTCCACGGTTGGACACAGTCAGGTTGATCGCGTCATTGAAGTAGCCGGAGTTGCGGTTCTTGTCCTTGGAAGTTGAGTTCTTGAGCAGATTCTGGTAGTATGAGTTGTCATGCGTCTTCTTTCCTCCCGTGGAAAGACCAAAATCTGTCAATTTGACGTGACCACCGCGATCCAAAAGAATGTTATCAGGCTTGATATCACTAATGATTGGATCAATTAGCACATGTCATCTTGAGGTGTGCACATTTTGGCACACTCCGGGCGGGTGCCAGTACTTACCGGTGAAGGAAGCCAAGTTTATGAACCGCCTCAATCGCCATCACGATCTCTGCCATATAGAAACGAGTGATGTCCTCGGAGAAAATTTCGTACTTGATCAACATGGTCATCAAGTCACCACCAGGCAAGAACTCCATCAGCAGATACAAATACGCCGAGTCCTGGAAGGAAGCGTGCAGCTTCACCAACCACGGGTTGTCCTTGGAGTCAGCCAGGATATCACGCTCCGCACGAACGTGAGCCAGCTGGTCCTTCTTAAACATCTCCGTCTTGATCAACGACTTCAGCGCATAGATCTTGCCATCGGTCTTCCGTTGTACGAGCTTCACCTCACCAAAAGCACCCTTTCCGATGATCTTGATGGTCTGGAAGTTCTGCGGGGTCTCCTTGGTACGCAGGAATCGGAGGAAGTTCGACTCTTTCTTTGCCAGCACCTCGGCCTCCTTGCACTTGGTCTCCTTGGGGATACTCGGCTCGCGGATCATCTTGTCCAGCTCAGCAGACCTATGGAAAACATCCGAGTCAGCGTACCCGGCCACACACAAATGAGCGAGGAAGATGGGTGGTTACTTACCGCATGTTGCGATCGCGCGCGCGCTCAATATTCTCATTGAAGAACACGCTGACCAACTCCTTGGCCGCCTTACCACGCTTGTGGACATTCTCGGAGTATCGTTCGGGGTACCGCTGGAGTTCTCCAGCTTCGTTCTCGGCGGGGGTGCGAGGGCTACGAGGCATAGGGGGCGCCAGGTGACCCGGCTGTTGCTGCCCGGGGGCGGGGGAACCGGCCGTTCGGGGTCGCTGAGCCGGAGAGGCCGAACGAGCAAAGAAACCCGAGCGAGGAGAGTTCAGATCCTGGTTGGAAAACTGCTGGATCAAGCCGTTGGTACCATCGTTGGCACTGTACCCCATGCGGGATTGGTAGGCGGGCTGAGGGGACTGCAGGTTCTGGCCGTAATGCGGCTGGCCGTACGCCGCCTGAGCTTGGTAAGGATTGGCCATGAAATAACCCCCTTGAGCATAAGCACCGTTCTGGGCGTCCATATAATCCTGGGGACCCTGGTTTTGGTAGATCGGCTGGGGGAAGGCGGAGGGGGTAGTGGGATAGGCGCGGTTGTTGGCCGCCGCCGCATTGAAACCACGATCATTGTACCCGAAATTCAGGTGGAGACGGTTGTTGTTGTTGGGGTCCATGGTGGAAAACTTCCTCCCCGACTACCAAACGAAGGATAGAGATTGCGGGGGGAGTGGGAGGGACTGGGACGAAGGAAGGGAGGCGATAAGAGAAAAGAATTGGATGGGAACGGGGTTTCCAGGGGGAGGGGGAGAAGAGTCCGAAGGAGCGGTGGCCTCAGGAGGCGAAGGGGGCTTCGACAGGCACCTTCAGGGAGCGCTTCTCCGTGTCCCTTAGTTGGTTAGAGAGGGGGGGGGGGGGGGGGGGGAAATGCAGTGGAGAGGCCCAGGCACGGTGGCGGTCGTTTCTGACACAGTTCCAGTCGGGCAAGGAGAACTGCTCTTGAGACCGAGCAGGAGTCCAGCAAGACAGGTCCCGAGTCAGTAATAATAGTCCTGTGTACAGGATCCCGATGCCAGTGCAACAAATAAAGCAGCAACCACAGGGAAACTGACTATCGCGATCAGCAGCACGGGGGAGGGGGAAACCCGATCGATGGTTTCGCCCGCGGCCTGAGGCAGGGCGATGGTCCAGACTCGTACGGCGCCCGGTTGGTGCCACGAATGCCACCTCCCATGTCACTCTGCTTCACAACCATGAATCACTGCTGCTATACACATTGGCACACGTGCTCAATTTGACAGTTTGATGCTTCAAGGTCCACAAGGATGCTACAGAAAGTGGGCAGACATATTTCAACAGGCATACAAAGAACATCTCCCCTACAGGTTATCCCTAATTTACGGGCGCAGGAGATATTACCTAGAGCTACTTGAATCCTCTACTCCATATACCCCATCCTAATAAACCAACATCTACGAACAATCCAACTGTGAGTAATGGCTGGGGTGCATCTGCGAGCCTCCCAACCGGCCTATACTCGGGATCCTGGCCTCGGATAAACCTCGCCCCGACGGAGCTGCGCAGAGCATCCCGAACTTTTTCGGCTGCCATGCATTTCCCTTCACTAACATGCCATGAGGAGTGGCTTTTGCGCCCTGTTGTCTGTTTTACTCTCCTAGGTTGCATTCTATCTATATAACCTGACCTGCTCTGCAACTCTTACCTCCTCACGCTTCTACCATGGCGGAGTCCTCCAATGCCGCCCCGGCCTCAGGCCCGGCCCAGTCCGCGGCCTCGAGCAGCGCTCCCAAGGCTCCCAACCCGGCCTTCAGAATGCTCGGTATAGCCTCTCGTTCTCCCAGTCAATATCTATAAACCTAATAAGCTCAAAGGCATGCCCAATATTCGCATGAAACTCCCCTCCCGCAACTGGATGATCTTCTTCACCGTCACCGGCTCCTTTGCCGCGGCTGTAATCTACGACCGTAAAGAGAAACGCCGTGCGCAACGCAAATGGGGGGATCTTGTTGCCCACCTCTCCAAAGAGACTCTCCCTATCGAGCAAACCCGACGCAAAATCACCGTTTTCCTGTCCGCCCCTCCAGGCGACGGTCTCCGCGTAGCCCGCGACCACTTCAAAGAATACGTCAAGCCGATCCTCGTCGCAGCGGCACTAGACTACCAAGTCATTGAAGGCAGAAGGGAAGGCGATATCCGTGCTGGCTTCGCGGAGCGCATCCGCAAGTTCAGACGCAAGGTAGGCGAACCCAGCACCGTGGTGGAAGAAACCAACAAAGAGGATATTGTCATGGCCGCCAGGACGCAGATTGGCGTGACGGAGGAGCCTGGCCCTAAGGGTGATCTGATCATTGGTCGTCACACATGGAAGGAATATATTCGTGGTCTGCACGAAGGCTGGCTGGGACCTCTGGACCCTCCTCCCCCTCCTCCCACTGAGGAGCCCGCTTCCTCCCCTGAAGTTGCGGAAACGGCCACTCCCACCGAAGGCACACCCGCCACAGAGACATCGTCAGAGAACAAGCCAGAAGGAGACGCGAACGCCCCCGAGAAGGAGAAGAAGGACGAAAAGCCCGCCAAACCCACCGGCCCAACCCCAACCTATTTGTCTCCCACCGACTACTCCTCACAACCTCTCCCCCCAACTCTCCCTCCATCTCTTGAAGGCTCCACCCCCATCGCCTTCCCCCACATTCTGGGCTTCCTGAACACCCCCATCAGACTCTACCGATACCTCAACCAGCGCCACCTCGCCGAGAGCGTTGGCCGCGACGTCGCAGCCATGGTCCTAGCCTCCTACAGCCGCCCTTACACCACCGGCTCCTCCACCTTCGACTCTGACTCCGACGCCCCCGTCGCCACCTCCGACGACACCCTAGGCACGACCTACGAACAACAAAGCATCCTCGAAGACGAAGAAAAGGAATGGCACAAGTCCGTCCACCGCAAGGACGAAGCCAACCCAGACAAGGAGCACGAATGGCTAAACGACATCGTCCTCGACCCCCGCATCGCATCCCGCATGCACCGCTACACAATGTCCCCAGAGGAAGAAGCCCGGGCTCAGCGCATCCTCGAAAACCAGGAATACATCCTTGGCGAGGAGCGACCCGTCCCTGTCCCCTTCTGGAAACACATGTGGATCAAGTACGGATACGGCGAAGACGAAGAAACTCTGAAGAGAAAGCCTATCCTGGGCAACCTCGACGAAGAGTAATCCACTCAGCGGACACAAACCACCATAAATAGAAAAATAGATTTCTCTACATGTGTCGGGTTAAGGTATATAGACAACATTTATGTCTTGCTATTTTCCTCTTCTTCTTTTGGGTGATACGAATCATTGCATGGGAAACGTGTATGTTCTAGTTCTGTCTGTGTCTAGCTATTTGTACTATCATCTCCTTTTCACTGTATATTAGTCGAAATTCAAACATCATCCTGGATGGTCCACGATCCTTTCAATACCTAGAGATAATGGATGATCCTTGTAAGTTCATACAGAAACGGTTGTTTCTATGAAGCGTCGAAATATATTCCTGCCACGCAAGCAACATCAACATAACCTGTCGTTCTCACAAAATACTAGTACTAACATCACTCGATAGTAGTAATAGTATGAACCGAATGGTGTTGGTAATGGCACATGATTTACTCTGATTTAATCTATTTATCATTGAGGTCTAGTGCTCATACTAATGGTCGAGAGCTTTTTTGCCGTGTATGAATTTGGTTCTCCCCAGCCTCACATCCTACCTGGGTTAAGTACCTGTTATATATGTACTGTACGTCCAGGTATCCAGCACAACAACCGACTGTGGTTGTTCGGTTCTAAGGATAAGGAAGAAGATGAATAAGGACAAAAATGGTGTTGTTTCCGCCAATCATGTTACAGGTCAAATAAAGCAAGGTGAGTACCAAGAAGCTGGGTGTCCCTTAGTCGAGGCGGAACAGGGTGGCCTCGGGCCACTTGCTGCTGGCCTTCTCAGCGTAAGCGGTCTTTGCGGCTTGGGTGCTTCCCCACTCGTTCAGCAGCTCCAGGCCTGCAAGGGCAGTCTCGATGGTGATGTCCTTGGAGTCGAGGGTGGAGGTAAGGTCTTGTTCGCACTGAGGCTTGGTGTCGGGCTTCAGGAGCTGGCGGCAGGTGAGGCCGGCTTGTTGGTGAGGGATACTCTCCTTGTGGGTCGAGAGGAAGGTGTCGTTCCACTCCTCGAGGTTTTGGCCCTTGGGGAGCAGGGCCTCGAACTCGGCGTTGACGGCCTCAGCCACTTGAGGCGCGAGTGGCTCGGGGAGGCTATCCAAAGCCTTGCGGAACCGGAGGGTTTGGACATGAAGAGTCGGGTGGGATGCGTCGATGGCCTGGATGGCGGTCAGGCACTTGAGGGCAAGTGCATGCTTACCTGGGGTGGTGGTTAGTTTGGTCAATACTCTACGTCTCGGGGAGAACACACCTCTTCTAAGGTAGACCTCGAATCCAAGACTCTGCGCCTCAATGCTCTTAGGGCTAAGTTCCAGCAGGGGAGTCAGGAACTTGGTCGCATCCTTGAGTGGATCTTGCGTCTGGACAAGCTTGTTGCCGAGCGGGTCAGGGTCTTCCTTCTTCACTTCACCGTCAACACTCTTTGTGCTTGCTGCCTTTCTGGCCTCACGCTTCTCCGCTTCAAGCTTCTCCAGGCGTTGTTGCTCCTTCTTGGCCTTCTTGACAGCCTTCTTGCGCTCGTTGTCGTCATCGACGGTGCCGTTGGGTAGCGGTCCATGGGCAAGGTCGGGCTGGTCGTGAAGGAGCAGGTATGACTTGATAGCAGAGACAGCCATCCGGGTGTAGAACGGGTGCTCACGCAGGCGGTCTTCCCAGCGAACCATGTCCACATACGCACGGATCATACCCTTGCGAAGGGAGAAGCTGTGGAAATCGAACTGATCCTCTTGCCAGGTGTCGAAGATGTTGTACACAGCATGGAATCGCTTCAGCGCAAGGCCAAGCTTCTTCTGACGCAGGTACGCCTCACCATCCTCGGTCAGGTACCAGACACACTGCATCTCGTGGAGATCACCCAAGGCTCCGCCAACAGTTTCATTGCGAGTAAACTTGCTCATGTTGTCGAGACCCTTGTCGTTGTCGTTGTTGCGGAGTTGATACTTGGCGGCCTTTGAGTTGATGTGGCGATCCTTCTCATCCAGCTGCCTAGCCTTCTCCATCTCCTCTGCCGCCTTCTCCAGGTTTCCGTAGTGCTTCCATATCCTGGCCTTGGTCAACTGATACTCAACGGCCTTGGGCGACAGCTCGATGGCCTTGTCAACATTCTCCATGGCCTTGGTCAAGTCGCGGCTGAGGGAATAGTTGTAGTGCTGGGCGAGGAAGTAATAGGAAGAAGAAAGGAATTCAGCGTTGTCGTCATCCGATTGACCTTCGGCGGACCTCGTCGCGACGTAGCCTTCAACCAGCTCCTGCACTGTGTCGCGCTTGGCCGGGTTGCTGTAAAGGGACTTGATGTTGGCGAAGAGAGAGGGAACGCCCTTCTTAAGCATACGCTGCAAGTAGACATCGGCAGCCTGCTTGAAGTCGTCGCCTTCCAAGAAATCCAAGGGGATTCTGCGAGGTGCATCACCACGGGGGTTCTTCTCCACCCACGAATCATAGACGGCTTTCTGGGTTTTGTGGTCATCGCTAGTAATACCCTTCGCCCGGATCAAGGCGTCGTAGTAGAGCGAATTCTCAGGGTTCCGGTCGAGGAGTGCGGTGTACGCTGCCTCCGCTTCGGCCTTGCGGTCCAGTCGCAAAAGGTAGTCTGCCTTCAACTCCATCACAGCAAGCACGTCCGAAATCCGGTGTCCAACCTTTTCAAGGTGTTCCAGCGCCTGTTCCACCTTGCCAGCCTCGGCCATAATTGAGTTCTTGTACAAGACGGCTTCCGAGTGTTCCATATCTGACGTGGGCGGGGGGATCTTCAGCGTCTCCTCGTAAGTCGTCAACACTTTCTCGGCCTCCTCCAGATCTCCGGAGAGGTGGTGTGCAATCGCGAGAGCGGTCCAGTTTTGACGGAATCCGGGACGAGCCTGCAGCATGGTTTTCCTGCTCTGTATGTAGCCTTGGTAATCGCGCATTTGCATTTGAAGCAGCGCAAGGTCACGCTGGATGGGCTGAGACTCCGGCTCGATACGCAGAGCAAAGCGGTAGGCCTTGATTGCCTCTTCGTAGTTCTTTTCGGCTCGATACAGCAATCCGTACACGTGCCAGCAGATGTGCGATTTCATATCGTTCTTCAGAGCTTCTTTGGCGAGCACAAAGGCCTCCTCTTGCTGTCCCATGTTGCTCATGATAAGAGCCTTCATTGCCAGGGTGTCGCCATGGTTCGGGTTCTTCCTGAGGATCTGTTCAGCGGTCTTGATGCCTGTACGAAGTATAGCAGAGTTAGCTTTCCTGCCGGCTTGCGGAGACCTCCAGCGTGTCCAATTTGAATCGCAAACCCACCCTTCTTATGTTGCTTGTTCTCGTAGTGGCGAACCACTTGGCGGAACAAGGACGCATCCTTGGAGTTCAATGGTTGCGGCATGGTGGTTGTGGTGGCCGGTGGTGGTTAGTGGAGGACTTGCCAAGTGACTGTGCGAAGACGGAAGCTCGAGGTGCGCGGGGGAGGAATGACGATGGACGACGATTAGTCGATCAGGCAGCGATAAGCTATGGCCAACACTCCGACAAGATGCACGTCCCAGAGGGTATAAAAATGTAGCCCCTGCCCGATCCTCGGATTCACCAGTTCGGCCGGTTCGATTGGTATGTCTGAAGCGATCACTCAACTCGAAGGTTCTTGCCGACCGCCGCCCTCGAGGGCAGCCCGGCGCCAGTCGAAATTATTATCCGAGCGGCCTGGCTGCATCTGCAACGCCCGTCCCCCCATTGTCGCCGATTTACACTCCTCGATACTCCGACAGATGGTTCGATACGAAAATTGGTTCTTTTGGTACAGTATATGTCTACTCATGAGCTGGGTTTTAGCTATGCCTCCAGTCCGAACTCCAAATTCCAACAAGAAACGCCCTCATATGCACCTATCTTACAACATCATATACATAATCAGCCCATAGGAAGCGAAGTTTGTCACCAGCCAATAGGAGCCAAAAGCAACTACTGCTGGGAACACCCGGATTGAAGGCTGGAGTTCTTAGCCAGAACCCATGCCATAACAACCAGTGTGATGCCGACGATCATCAGATTATTCTGTCGACGGTGGCGCCGTTTCCCGCTGTTTATTCTCACGCCATTTGTTAAGAGCTTCTTGCCAGCCTTCCGACGAACCACTACATCTGTCGGATACTAGACCCCATGTGCGCGCGCGTATGATTTCTTCGACGCTCCGTTGAGTCCGAACGAGATTGGCCAATGACTCCGTTCGTGCCTCCCGAGGCAAGAAACGGGCCGTGTAAGGGTCTAACCGGTCGTCGACAACCCGCTCACGGTCCAGAGCAGATTCCGTCTGTCGGAGTATGAGATCCGGGTCTTCCGGATCGGGGCTCGTAGCCACTCCGGCGCAGTAGTTCAGCACGTCCGATCGAACTTGCCAGGACGGAAATAGCACATTATCCTTGAAGCCCTGGCAAGAAGTGTCGTCGATCTGTCTGCCTTCTCTGGCGTCTATTTGGCGAATGGCTGTTGAAGAAGGATCGAAACCTTGTCGGGCTGGTGCGTACAATGCATTGAGATTCTGCGTGATCGAATCGTCTATGGTTGATCTGGAAAGTCGTAGGAAATCTGTAAGGTAGCTCATATACTGATCAGTCTTGCTTTGTTGCCGTCGTAAACCCGGCAATAGCCATAGCTGAACATACCTCTGAGCAACCTCTCGTTGAAGCAGAATTGTGGGGTTAGACGAGGAGCCGACGTCGACGATTCTTGAGACATTTTCTGATGCTCGATCTCTCCAGAGTCACCGTCTGACCTGGAGGTTTCCTTCCAAAACCACTCCACTTTGGAGGCTGTATGTTACAATGACGTGACAAGCGAGATGTATAGGCTCAGTGGCGGATATATAGAGCCCCAAGTGACAAACGGCGCTGTCCCGACAAATGCACCTCGGAGAACTGGTGTGATATTACAAAAACTCCGAAAGATGGGCGAAGCTAATAAGAAATTAGCAAGCGATGTTTTAAGCAAGCCCCATCAGTGCTAGCAGAGCGTAAGTGGAAGTTCCTATGAGGCTCGGCCCGCGTGCCGTATTTCGCTCTGGGATCCCAGCAGGTTGCCTGAACCGGTTAGCATCCTGGAATCACGGGACTACGTGATTGTCGACGCGTGCCATGACATTCAACATCATCTTCTCCCAGAGCTAGGCGTTTTATAATCCTAATTCATCTGCATCCTTGATCGACCCTGGAGAGTACTTTGTGTGCGCGAAAATTGTCACATCATACCGAATCACCTTCACCTTGGACGTCATGCCCGAGCTAGCGGAAGTGTCGCGCATAGTTCATTTCCTTCGCCAACATCTTGTTGGCAAGGTCCTTTCCAAGGTGTCTGTGCAGAACGATGATATCATCTACGGTAAAGCCGGAACCACCGCCGCCGAGTTCCAAAAAGCAATGGAAGGAAAGAAAGTTGTTGGTGCTGGACAACAGGGCAAGTACTTCTGGATTACTATGTCATCACCGCCTCATGCTGTGATGCATTTTGGCATGGCGGGCTGGCTGAAAATCCGGAATGCCAACACATATTACTATCGGACAGACAAGCCGGAAGATAAGGAGTGGCCACCAAAGTATTGGAAGTTCTTGCTCGAGACCGACGGGGACCCAAAGACAGAGGCTGCTTTTGTTGATTTTCGTCGACTTGGGAGGATACGCCTGGTAGACTGTCCTGCAGACGAGATCCGTAAATACAGTCCACTGAAAGAGAATGGGCCGGATCCAGTCGCGGATAAAGATATTGTGACGAAGGAGTGGCTAGCGAAGAAGCTAAGGAGCAAAAAGGTCCCCGTAAAACCACTTCTCCTCGACCAAGCAAACATAAGCGGAATCGGCAATTGGATGGGGTAGGTCTCATTTTGTCTTCCATGAAGTCTGAAGGATCAAACCTGACCGAAGTCCAGAGACGAAATTCTCTATCACGCCAAGATCCATCCTGAGCAGTACAGCAACACCTTGGATGACGACCAGATCAAGGAGCTCCATTCAGCGCTACATTACGTCTGCTCAACATCTGTGGACCTACTAGCGGACTCTGAAAAGTTCCCGGCCAACTGGTTGTTCAAGCATCGCTGGAGTAAAGGCAAGAAAAATGCCTCATTTGTGCTGCCAAATGGGGAAAAGATTACTTTCCTTACGGTGGGCGGTAGAACCAGCGCAGTGGTTCCGAGCGTTCAGAAGAAGACAGGGCCAGTAGCCAAAGAAATCAAGAATGACGATGTCAGCGATGCACCGAGTAAGCCAAAGCGGAAGCGGGCATCAGTTATCAAGGAAGAGAGCGAGTCCGAAGCCAGCGAAGAGGATGCCAAACCCAAAAAGACGGGATCCAAGAGACAGAACAAGAAGACCATCAAGACTGAAGACGAAGATGAGACGAAGACTAAGCCGGCAGAAGCAGAGCCCTCTACAAGGAGGCGCTCAAACCGGCTTAGGAAATGAGATATATGATCTATCGTGCTCTTTGATATGGACACTGAAATCGTGGTCTCAACAGAGAACCTGCAAGATGAAGCCTGTGACAAATCACTATAGAAATTATCGTCTTTGACATCTTTACCATCTGTCCGGTCAATTCGTTTAGACCTTCAACCCATGCAGTCTTTCTCGGAAGACATCAAAATTGCTATCACCTTGGGCAACTTTGGACATGTCATCCAAGACTGCAAACACAATCTTCTCCCACCATCCTTGAAATTCGCGCTCTTGCAAAACCTCGGACCAGCACTCCGCAACCTCAACATTCGGATTTGCAAATGCGCCACAACCCAGTGCTCCTAGAACAATCCTTCGGTGCTTCTTATACCCTGATATGCGGAGAATGGTCCGCATTTTATCTTTTGTCAATTCCCGATCCGAACTATGCTTAAATCTTGGTGGTCTCGTCGCATCATCCACCTCTGGTTGTTCTAGCGCGGCCACACTGATCACGCTCACAACAGGAAGAAGCTCGGACTTCTGCAAGTCCATCAACCCGTGGCCTTGCGTGAAGCTTTCACGAAATACAATGACCGTTGGAGAGTAGATGGAGTCTCGTTCTCCTATAGGATAGTACCGTCGTTTGAGCGTCAAACTGAGACTGCTTCGATAGCACAGAGCTTCTTCCTGGGCCATAGCCCCATTGAGCCAACCGCCGCCTGGATTTTCTTCATTGGCCATGTTCAAAACACACACATTCTGCGTGCCACTATGCCGGAACTGTCTGGAGGGATTGCTAAGTCTGATTGCGATGTCGAATGTGTCTCCGAACAGGACCTCGACATGAGTGGATAGTTTCGGGCTGAACCTTGGATTCAAGGCTGGGTATCTGGTGCGTGGACAGTATTGCGCCGTTGGAGGTGCCTGAGGCATTACACTCAGTATGCCGGGAAGGAGTGCTTGTGTTTCTTCTGCGGTGGATCTCAATAATGTTCTCCTATCAGTTCTGGTGACGGACCGGGATCGCCTGTTCACGGGTCGAAAATAATCCGATAATAGCTTTGGACTCATTTTATCTAGCCCGCTGTCAATATCCGAATTATCATCGGCGGATTTATATGACTATTTGTCCGTCTGAATTCAATTGCCTCTCACATGACCCATCAATTTAGACTGACTTAGGCAGCAAGGCTGGGAGACGAGGCTAAGTGTTGATCGGCCGCCTAAATCGTATTCGAGGGGCAACACGAAGGCGCGGCAGAACACGAGTGCCTGTCGGGCGGAGTCTGCAGGCGGTGAGCTTATCAGCGCCGATCGCGGGGCAGCCGATAAGTGCTGTAATCAGAAGGGTTCGTCGCCACTGCAGATGACAAAGCATCCATCTTCCTCGTTCATAGTCACAGTTGCATTTCTTCTTCCTCCTGCCTCACACTCACTGCAAACGGGTCTTATCCTTGAATACTGGATCCAATCCGAAGTTTTAACGGCGTTGAATCGGTGAACCCGGCGTCGTAGCACAAGCATCTGAGCCCGCTGCGGAGTGGCGTTTCTGCTATATCTGCTCATCAAGATTGGAGTCTTGGGCCTCCGCCACAATGAGTGCCATCCTGTCGGCGGACGACTTGAATGACTTCATTTCTCCGGGAGTTGCGTGCATTAAGCCCGTGGAAACACTCCCTGCAAAGGATGTTTCGAAAGCAGACGTATGTACATATCCTCTTGTTCATCCCATTCCCCACTTCCTCCAATGAATGGCCGCTGATTTATAATTTGTTAGAATCCGTATGAGGTGACCACAGAAGACAAGGTTGAGCCTGAAAATCTTCCTCCAGCACAGATCTCATTAACGGACTGCCTTGCATGCTCTGGGTGTGTCACTTCCGCCGAAGCCGTGCTCATATCGTTGCAATCGCATGCAGAGGTCCTCAACACCCTGGACGCGCATCCGGAGCTCCCACTAATCCGCGAAGATGGAACATCTCCACAGGGGCTTGGAGCGACCAGCGATGAAGGCCAGGTATTTGTCGCAAGTGTCAGTCCTCAAGTGAGAGCAAGCTTAGCAGCGACTTATGGGATCACCGAAAAGGAGGCAACATACATGATCCATCAGTTCCTCAGTGGTCCCCATGGTTTGAAGGCTGGAGGCAAAAATGGCAGCGGTTTCACATGGGTTGTTGACACTAATATTCTGCGTGAAGCTGTGTTGGCTCTTACATCAAATGAAGTCAGTGAGAGTTTGACATCCGATCCAAATATCTCCGGTGCAAACAGCGCACTTCCGAAGCGGCCTATTCTCTCGTCCGCTTGTCCTGGCTGGATTTGCTATGCTGAGAAGACACATCCTTTCATCCTCCCGCACTTGTCCCGACTTAAGTCTCCCCAGGCATTGGCAGGAACATTCCTCAAGACCGTTTTAAGTAAATCACTCGGCATTTCCGCTTCTCGCATTTGGCATTTGGCCATCATGCCTTGCTTCGACAAAAAGCTCGAGGCCAGTCGCGAAGAGCTCACCGATGCTTCATGGGTGTCTGCCAAGGATGAAAATCATACACCTGTTCGTGATGTTGACTGTGTAATCACTTCACGCGAACTACTCAGTCTGGCATCATCCAGGGGCATTTCTCTTCCTAGTCTACCGTTCAAACCCGTTCCTCAATCCTTCACACCATCGTTCCCAGACAAGACTCTGGATGGTTTCCTGTTTTCCAAAAGTTCCCCGAGACAGACCACTGCCGCAGGTACCTCCGGAGGATACCTCCATCACGTCCTTCAGACCTTCCAAGCCCGGAACCCAGGCAGTGAGATCGTGACTCAACGAGGAAGGAATGCCGATGTAGTTGAGTACGTCCTCATGTCGTCTGAGCGCACGCCTATCCTGAAAGCAGCTCGCTATTACGGTTTCCGGAACATTCAGAACCTTGTCAGGAAGCTCAAACCAGCACGAGCATCGCGACTTCCTGGAGGTAATCGTCGACAGCCGGTCGGTCGGAGTGCTGCGGCTGCTGGTGCTGGCACAGATTACACCTATGTAGAAGTCATGGCATGTCCTGGAGGGTGTACAAATGGAGGAGGTCAGATACGCATTGAGGATGCCCGCGAAGCTAATTCGAGCGTACAGCCGACGGCCTCAAGCGAAGTGCCCGACTCTTCGTCGAAGCCTACACCACATGAGCAACGCGCCTGGCTTGCGCGTGTGGACGAGGCATATTACTCTGCAGAATCTGATTCCGAATACGAGGTTGAAGGCCAGCCGCAGACTCTATCCATCCTGGAGAAGGAAGACAAGATTCATAGTGCCTTGCGTTATTGGTCCGACTTCATGGATATCCCTCTTTCAAAGCTGGCCTATACCACATATCGCGAGGTGGAAAGTGATGTCGGCAAACCCCAGACCGCTGTGAACGATACTACCCGTGTTGCCGAGCTTGCTGGAAAGATCGGCGGTGGTTGGTAGTCCGTTTCTACTTGCTTTTTCAATTTTATGACATATACCCTGTGATATTTTGGATGACATTGCGGACATGCGTGCATTTATCTCATCGGCAGAAAGTCTGGCGGCATCGGATATAGAGAGATACCAAGTCCCTGTTGGTTCACAGCTGGTGTCACAGCTGGTTTGGCATGCTGTAACCGTTTAGATGCGCGATGTTAGATATTAATTGCACAATCAAGCAATTGACGATAACTAATTAAAAATACATGATTCTGCCGACTTGAGCATCAGAATGTACATAAGAGCCAGGCGAAAGCTTATCTACCGCAGTCATACAAGCAGCTTGACAGCATACATCACCTACATGTTCAACACACATAAATAATAGAGAACAACCAACCATAATATCACTCCTCAGCCCAAAACTCCCAATTCCTATTAAGAAAGTCCCCTCACAGAATCATGCATAAACACCCACGCACAACCCACCCGCTTACTAACCCCAACCGCAGAACCAGTTATGCACCCACCCACCCACCTTACCTGCTTACCTATCCCACCCCATCACCCTAACCGCATCCAGCAACCCAAAAAAGTTCCAGAACAAACCAACCCATCACTTTACCTCCCCGACAACACCAACCCAACAATCCACTTACCCACCAACCAACCTACCTCTCCCACTACTCCACCACCAACAACCATGTCTCGCGAACAATACCAAGTCCCCAACATGGGCGCCCAGAACGCCTTCAGTGGCGGTGACGCTGGCGCCGGGTCTCTGGACGGTCCGGTGGTCGCGTACCTGTGCGGCGAATGCAATTCCCGTGTTTCTTTGAAGAGAGGAGATCAGATCCGGTGTAAGGAGTGCGGTCATCGGGTTTTGTATAAGGAGAGGACGAAGAGGTGAGACTTTTTTTTTTCCCTCTTTCCGTTTTTGGTGTTTTCTTTGGAGGGTGTGAGATGTATGCTGACATGGGGTTTGTGTGTGTAGAATGGTTCAGTTCGAGGCGCGGTGAACCGGTTTTTCATTCGATGCGATGCGATAAGATTCGGTGTGGTGTGATGTTATGGGAGGAGAGGGGCTGGGCTTGCGCCTGGTTCTGATTGCGTTTACAATGATGTGCATTTGGTGGCGCTTGGGAGTTTCTTTTCTGTTGCTTGTTTTGTTGGTTGGGTTGGAGGGGTAGGAGGCAGATGGAGGAATGTGCGAGTGGCTTTCTTGTCGAGGACGGATGCAGTTTGCTTTGGAGTCATCACCTTGTCCAGGCAATTAATTCGTATCTGCAAGGATTATACCATGACTTCGTCATAGCCAATGCGCGTTGGCGGTTACAACTACCCTATACTATCTATAAATACCCAAAATTCCTATATTCAAGCCGTGGCTTTTCATTTTGGCGACGGAGTGCTGGAAGAACAAAGAAACATGAGAAGATGAGAATCAAGGATTTATACTTGAAGGTGTAATTAGAGTTTGTTCGTGACTTCAATGAAGTGCTCGAAGGACTTGAGCGCGGCGCCGCTCTCGACGGCCCACCGAGCTCGCCGAACGCCCTCCTTCCAGCGTCCACCACCGGGGCCACGCTCGGTGATGACCTGGCCGTCATCGCCAGGGCCCATGTTGCTAGTGTCCGCTTCGCAGATACCCGACACCGTCAGAAGGGCGCCCACGTTCATAAGCACAAAGCTCAGGATTGGGTCGTCACGAGGCAGCTCATTCCGCAGAATGCTCATAAGCTTAGCTGCGTTGTCCTTGGGCATCTTTCTGCCACCCACATCGGAAAGGGGATGGGTTGGCAGGCCGAAATCGGCCGGCTCCAATTGGAACGTTTCCATCTTGACCAGAGTGCGGGGGACCTCTTCGTCATCACAGGAGCAATCATCATCGTGGGAGTTGTCATAGGCAGGGTTAGGATATTCCGATAATTGCCAGCAGTTTGTCTTTCCTGCGCAGCTGATCTCATCCAAATCCTCTTCACCGCAAACAACAAGCGCCTTCTTGCAGCCATTCTGTCGCAAAGCCTCCACAAACACCGGTCCCAAGCTCTGGTAAGCCACACCAACAACACGCGCCTCGATGGCCCAATCCACTGGGTTGGCGAGCGGTCCCATCAGGTTGAAGATTGTCCGGAGTCCGAGTCCACGACGCACAGGGTCCGCGTACATCATTCCAAAGTGGAAGTTGGGGGCAAAGAGGAAGGAGTAGTTGGTCTCGGCATAGACCTGGCTTAGGTTCTCGGCGGTGATTGCGCCAATCTTCGGGGGAACGGGAGTAATGGCGTTCAGGACGTCGGCGGATCCGGAGAAAGAGGTCTGCGCCCGGTTACCGTGTTTGGCGGTCATGAGAAGAGGGGAAGCGATGATCGAAGAGGTTGTGGAAATGTTGAAGGTAGAATGCGAATCTCCACCGGTACCAACAATATCACACTAGAGGCGCACCAAAACGTCAGGTGTATGGTCCAATTTAGCGCTAGACACAGCTGATATCACTTACCAGACCACCCCTGTAGTTACCCTCCTTCTTGGCCCGCGAACTGATAGCAGCCTTCAAAGTAGGCCGGTCAACCTGGCGAGCGGCATCGCGCATGCGGTGGGAGCACTTGGCGATGACTTCGGCATCACGGTCCAATCCCGTGGAGTGCAAGAGTGTCAGGAGGGCTGCCGTCTGGATATGGGAAATACCGTCTTCGAAAATCAGGGCGAATGCTGAAGCAATCTCAGAAGCTTCAACCCGGCGTTCCGTAGCGGGGTATGCGAGTCTCTTGAGGAGGGGTGAGATGGAGACATGCTGCGGCTTCTGGTCGTGGGTTTGGGCGGACATTTTGCCTTGAGCTGGAACAATTGAGAACAAAACACTGAAAAAGCCCCTATATAATCAATTGAGTCACGGTTTCCTCACAGGGCCCCTCAGGATCAGGAAGTAAGACGGAGGATTCGGGAGTTTGGGTCGCGCCGCTGACCGCAGAACAAAGAGTCATCGTTTGCGCCCGGCAGAATCCTACCGCCCATGGCCTAGGCTAACCCGCTTTGGGACCTCAAGATTTCGTGCCATATTTTCGTCCAGCCGGCAATCCTCCAGACGCTGCTCTTGTCGCCGGTATCGCCAATTCCACGGGCTTGGACTGATCTCGTCCGGCTTCGATCTGCCCGCTGTGCTGCACCATCCTCAATTGCCCTCGCTCCCCGACTCTCCTCTTCTACCTCCACAATGCCGCCTCGCGTACGCCTCTCCAGCGGCCGCATCTCCCAGCCGGTCCGCCGACAGAGGCTCTATCAGCATGAGCTCCCGATTGCTGCCAGATATGCCAGCACCGCAGCCACAGCGACGACCCCGGCCGCATCAATCGAACAAATGACACACTCCCCCGTCCCCATCGCCCAATTCCCTCCCTCGCAGCCTCCTTCGCACCGAAACCCCGAATACCGCCGGTCCCAGCTCCTCCGACAATACACCTCTATCATCCGCACCTCGCCTCTCATGGTCTTCCTGCAGCACGACAACCTCCAATCAATCGAATGGTCCGCCATCCGCCGAGAGCTGAGCAAGGCCATGCAGAAAGTGGACGAGCAGATTGCCTCGGAGGGCCGGACCGCCCCAGCCTTGGCTCCGCACATCAAGATCCAGACCGTCCAGACGCGCATCTTCGAGGTCGCCCTCCGCATTGTGGAATACTTCCGACCCAACCAGGCCGCGCTAGAAAACAGCAAGGTCCCCAGAGCAGTCGACCCCGTCACGCAAACATCTGCCGAAATCTCCCTCGTCGGATCGCGCGACGACCCGTCTCTCTCCCACGACCTTTCCCGCGCTGTCCATAACGCCATCCGGAACACGAAGGGCAGACATGAGCTTACGCAACTCCTTATCGGACCCGTGGCCGTGCTCACCATCCCTCACGTCTCCCCCGAACACCTGAAGGCCGCGTTGCAGGTTCTGGCTCCCAAGTCCGTTGGGCTTCCTACGCCCACGCGAAAGGCCAACCCGGGCTGGCATGAGCTGCCCACTCAGAACGGTTTGAACAAGCTGTCTCTGATTGCTGCTCGTATGGACGGCCAGGTCTTCGACGTCGAGCAGGCCAAGTGGGTCACCAGTATCGAGGGCGGTATGGATGGCTTGCGGTCACAGCTTGTCATGGCCCTGCAGAGCATGGGATCCAGCATTACGAGTACTCTGGAGGGTGCTGGCAAGAGCCTTTACTTTACAATTGAGAGCAGAAAGCAGGATATGGAGGAGAAGGAGAACCCTAAGCCCGAGGGTGAGGACAAGGGTGAGTCTGCTTGAACAGTATAACCTGTTTCGTCTCCCGGGCTTTCCATGTATAATAAAATGCCGTGTATTTCCCCCATTTTTTCCTTTTACCCTTCAAGACCATGATTGTTTTAGCACATGAAGTTTCATTAGAACCGGAGTCATAGTTCTAGGTACAATTATATACTCCTTTCGTCTGTTCTGTCATTGGTAAATCTGCTATTGCAAGTTGCTTTTGTGTAGATACTTAATGTAATCCTTTGTCTTGACTTCGGCTACCGAAAGAAGATACTGCCTCTTGAATAATTGAATCCTTTCATCAGCTCTGTCACAGAGAGAAAACGGGGTAATTATACGCAACAAATCATAGTGTCATTTTGCACGACTCCTGTTCAAACAGCCCTCTAATCGCTGTCACTGTGTTGCTCGTCATCCTGCAACTGTCTCCACAGAAGCCGGGCATTCATACCCACGATGCATCGAACAAGATCCCAATCACCATCTAAGCCCACCCAGTCTGTAACAAGGATACCAGTGGACCAGTCCCCGTCACCTTCTCCGTGCATCCTGCATAGATGCTCCACGGTGGCGGGATTCAGCTTGGCTGCGATCTTCTCGGGCCAAGTTCCCATTTTCCAGAAGTTGCTGGCGCTCAGGAAATTGACATAGAAGGGATGTGCTTGTGTTGCTAGAGGATCTGGAAGCACACCGAACGGGTATTGAGTCCGGCCTGCGCGTTCACATTGCTCCCGCACATACTGGATCTTCTTGTCGATGTTCTTGGTTTCCATGACCTCGTAGAAATCTTGAATGCAGAGCTGTCCGCTGGGACAGGTGGCTTCAGAGCAATTATCCGCCCAACCACTGGCATCGATGCACCACCCCTTTCCGTCATGCATTTCTTTCAGGTCGTCCAGGATGTTGAACCGACGCACGAGAACGACCTTTCCGCGTACTTCACCTAGGGTGGGGATCTTGGGCTCTGTGTACCACCTGCTTTCTGAATGTGCGTAATGGTCGTTGATGATCCTACTCAACTGTTCATCGGTATGGTTTCCTGGGCCTTCGCGTTTGAGGGAGATGATAAGTGTTTCTGAGGGGTTGTTCTCGAGGAACTCGTCAACTTCACGCATCAACTCGCGGAAGTATTTGTTGCCGGTTAAAGAGATGGGGAAGACGCTGTGCACAAGGACAAGTTCATCTTTTTCGGGGTCTTCTGGATATTGAGGCTGCACTCGGATATCGAAGAATCGAACACCGTTCCTGAGCTGTTCCTGAGGGCTGACTGCTTGGCACCGAACAGACGGTGCCGCAACATGGCAGGTTGGGGAGTTGTGCGTGCCTGGAATCGAAAGAGAGGAAAGCAGTGTGTCATCCTTTAGCTCGCCCATCCAGGCATTCAAATTGGCTGAAGAGTATAGAGTGAGGTGGGATGCTGCTGTCACGTAAATTCCGGTCAACTTGAACTTAGGGTCATCGCACAGCGCTTTCATAGTAGCAGTTTCAGTAGTCGGGACTGGGGTCTGAATTTGATGCCGTTCCCCTTCCACCTCGAAGACCCAGCGCATTCGCTCCTTTTTCGAATCAATAAACGGGGGAAGCTCGGTCTGGACCGACTCAAAAGGTGCAACATGGATATCAACATCTTCTTGAACAAAAGGCTGGGTATCATCGGTCAACGCTGCAACTGGCGTATCCGCGCGTGTAACATTGGTCAAAACCCGTGTGAAATTCCTGGCAAAGGTATGGACATCGTCAAAAGATCTCCCAGGCGCATGGAAGCGTTCGATATGCTTCAATGTGATTGGAGTGGACGTAAGATTGCGAATGGTAAGATGTTCGGCCTCCATATTTTCCCCTCGATCGCTTTGTAGCGCGGATGTTGCGTTGTTATGTGGTTGGCGTCGCCGTGGACGGTGGAGTAAACAAGGCATTTAGGACAGATTTCTAGCAGAACCGATCAACTAAACTTTATAATTTAGCAGGCTGGCGAAGGGGAGCTGACCCCAAGGAAAAGGCTGAGGTATCAGGGCTGTCTGGGCGAAATCAAGGCCCGTTATTGGCCTGGGTAAGCTGGGGTGCCTGGTGGTATGGGGATTCTGATAGGGACTGCGCCAATGAAGACCGGCATCCACTGGTGTAGGATCTCCCGCCGAGGCGGTACGCCGGGGCTGGACCGTTTCCAGGGGCACGAATGCGAACCAGATCAAAGCCCGCCCAAGTACATAGGCGAATTGGATCTCACGGAGTTTGCGAGTCAGGATGTCAATGTTTGCTATCTTGGCCCACGCCATCACCGAGGGAGTCGAAGTGGTTGATGATGATCAGCCCTGCGTCGTAAGGCTTCCCGTAATCCCGATCCACCACCCGAAGAACATGCCAAGGGAGGTTCAGCTGACGGTTGGTCTCACCTCCCCCAAACCCCAGGATTAATACAGCCCAGTGCGGCGTCTTGACTGGTTTGGTTGTTGATTATCTAGCAATCACCCTAGAATCCCCATCGAAACTAGGAAACCTTGGGGTGGGTAATCCAGACAGTGGACTGTGTGTTTTGTTTTGTCAAAGCGATGGTCGACCCTTAATAAACTTCCGCTGAGCGCGAACTGTCACGCTTACCCACGATCGGCCATACATCTTTGTAAACTCTTAGAGTCAGCCGCGCCGAGGTTTATTAGGAGTCTGAGATGGAGAGAAAGCAGGCAATTGACTGGTATAGATCGGCCCGCACGTGCCAGGCTTTAATGGCGGAAGTGGAACAACTGGCGGCCCGGAGTGCGGGCGGAGGTGGAAATGCGGAGTAACATCACGTGGCATGATGCTGGGCGTCGGTTACCGTCGGCCGTCGGCGACACCTGGATAACAGGGCATACTTGCCTGCTCCCTATCACCCATCGTGCAGCCGGAATGCTGCCTTCATTTCTCTTCCCCCATATGATCCCAGTCTTTGACATCCTCGAACTGACACCGGATTGACCATGAATATCCTGCGCTCTAGTGGAAGCTTTTCCTGGGCTCTCCGGTCATGTCAGAGGCCAAGGGCCTTCCGGTGCCAGACATTACCTCTTCCTCGTCGCCAATTCCATGCTGCCTTGCCTCTGTGGGGGATTAAGTCTCAGGTACTAAAGGATGTGGGTGAAGGTATGTTGACATTCTACATTGCCCCCATCTCGTTCCTTCGCCCTCATTCCATGCGCTTTTATTGTCGGTTGCTTACCCCCCTTTCACCCCGCAGGGATAACGGAAGTCCAGATTATTCAATGGTACGTTGAGGAGGGGGCATATATTGAGGAGTGGAAGCCTCTCTGTCAATACCAGTCGGATAAAGCAGTAGATGACGTGGGTTCCTTCATTCTTATGATATTATCCTCGAAATCCAGCTAACGGCTATAGATCACCTCGAGGTACGAAGGCGTGGTCAAGAAGCTCCATTTCCAGGCGGATGACACAGTCCCTACCGGGAAGGTAACGAGAATAATTCACGTGTAGAATGCACACGAGGTGGTCTCACTAACTTCTTATCTTGTTTTATAGGCACTCTGCGATATAGAAGTTGAGGCAGGGAAGTATCCGGACGATAGCCCACCACCTGCACCCAAAATCGAGCCGGTACCAGCCACCCCTGCACCCACAGAGTCCAGACCACTGCAGCCTGTCCAAGCTACATCTACTCCGGCGAAAGAAAGCACCAATAATACATACAAGTCGCCGTATGCAACATTGGCTACTCCAGCCGTTCGTGGACTGCTGAAGATACACAGTGTGAACATTGAAGATGTTCGAGGAACAGGCAAAGATGGCCGCGTCCTGAAGGAAGACGTGCAGCGATTTATTGCACAGCGGGACTTGGCACCTGCAGCGCTGTCTACAGTCTCGGAAGTGCAGGATGAGACAGTAGCTAAACTGACGCCAATCCAGTCTCAGATGTTCAAAACCATGACGCGGACCTTGGAAACTCCACAATTCCTTTACACGGATGAGCTTAACATTGACACTGTCACGGTGATAAGGAAGAAGCTAGCCAATGATCCCAAAGACCCCAGGAAAATCAGCTTGCTTTCCTTTGTCATAAAGGCCATGTCTCTCGCTCTGAACGAGTACCCGCTCCTCAATGCAAAGATTGACACAAGTGATTCTGCCAAACCGAGGTTGATCATGCGGTCAAAACACAACATCGGCGTCGCCATGGACACTCCTCAGGGGCTGTTGGTCCCCAACATCAAGGATGTCGGTAGTCGCTCAATCCTAGACATTGCCTCGGAAATCGTGCGCTTGAATGCACGCGCAAAAGAAGGGAAACTTACACCTGCAGATCTCAGCGGTGGCACAATCACTGTTTCCAATATCGGTAATATCGGAGGTACATACGTCTCACCGGTAGTCATACCGAATGAGATGGCGATCCTTGGCATTGGCAAGGCCAGAACAGTACCTGTTTTCGATGATGCAGGCCATATTACGAAAGGCGAGCTGGTGAACTTTAGTTGGAGTGCCGATCATCGAGTGGTGGACGGTGCGACCATGGCCCGGATGGCCAACGTGGTCCGGCAACTCATTGAATCGCCAGAGCAGATGCTTTTGAGCTTGCGATAGCTTATACATAGACATAGCCCGATAATTTCGTCCGTGATGGTTGATAATTAGCTCTGAAGGCTACATACATAGAGGACTGTGAATGAAGCACATGTTTGCACCCAATTTGATGGAAGTTTCCACCATGAAAAATATTGTAGTTGGACTGATTGCATCATGCGATCCAAATCAGGCGGAGGTAGCAGCCTGCAGGAGGTGGTTGCCTGTTGTAGGAGACTGTCGGAGACTGTCTGTTTATGCCGCTCTAGAGGAACGTGATATAAGCCGCACCTTCCACTGCTTTCTCTTGTCTTTCCCATCCTTCTAAAGCATCCCCTTGCGTTCTGTCTGCGCTTTATTTACGCACCGTGTGTTGGGTGGATGTGCTGGAGCCTGGAGAATGGCTTTCAACCGACTTCCAAGCCACATTCACTTGCCTTTCCCACCCTTAACCCCGCATCTCCTCCTATTCAACTACAGCTCCGCTTACTTTTTCCATCTTCTTTCCCTCAAAGTTCTCTCTGCTTGACCACTTTTGAGCCCCTTTCTAACCGCCATGGGTACCCGGGGCCTTTTCTTCATCCGCTGCTGCGGTCGATACTTCGTCTACTATAACCAGCTTGACAGCTACCCTGAGGGCTTAGGCGTTGCTATAGTAAACGAGATACCCCAGGATCCAGAGAAATACCAAGGTAAGTTATTTGCTACCCTGTGTGAGTCTGCGCATTATTCAGTTAACCCCCGGTCAGAATGGTTCCAATTTATGCGGGGGGTCTATGCTCAGCTTGTTAAGCAGCTTGAAACACAGGCTCTTCCTGTCACCATCCAAACAAGCCAGCATGAAGACTCCAGTGTCGCTCTGATTGAACGGTATACAAAGAGCTTCTGGGCTGTCGATGACCGGCTCGAACTGCCCCCTTTACAAGCAGTGCTTCCAGGCTTAGCTGATTTGTGTATTGAGTGGACCTACACACTTGACCTAGACCGGGAAGTTTTAACCATTGATAACTCCCTGCATCTCTCATTGAACAAGATTCCCCATGGGGATGCCTGGATCAAGTACCTTGGCACAGATCATCGGCACCGTCGGGTAGCCGATAGTTGCACGCCCAAAGAGCTAGTTGCTGATCTTATCTGGAAGCCAGAAATAGACAGCGCCTCGAAAGAGAGATACCACCAATTCGATGTCTGTGTGATCGCACTGGAGACCTTCTACAATCAAGATGATATTTCCGTGACACGCGAATCCTTGCTGGATGCTACCTTCTCGCTTATCAATGATCAATATAGAGAACTCCTGGATGGTTACGTGCTGGAATGGGAACCCAGTCACTTCGCGTTCAGGGAGATCGCCTTTGCTGTGTTATCTGTTGCTGCTGGTGAGGTGTCTTTTGAATGCATTCGCAACTTCGACCAAAACCATATAGGGGAAGGCTACTACCTGGATCGTCGCAATGTTTCTCCCAGCCTGACAGCATCTTGCCACCCCGTAACCATCCTTCCACGGTTCTTATACGAGTCTCACCTTCCGGGCGTCCGGCCTGGCTCAGCACCTGAAGGCAGAATGTACTGGCTGAAAAATGTACTTGTGTATCTGGCTTCTGGGCTGGACTCGGTCGAGGTTGAAGAGGCGTCCGTTGCCGAGGTTGTGGAGGCTGGTCTGAAACAGGGACTCGTAGGCTTCTATGCCATGGTATTCTCAATTATAGATGTGGTGTTGCTTCATGTCCAAAAGGGCTCGGATGGCACCATCCATGTTAACAGGTCTCCTTTGATGGCTCTAATTGACTTCGACGACGAAAACTCTCGATATGCAAATGGCCCTCGAACAGGAACAAGGGGCTTTCAAGTGCAGAAGAGGCAGGCAGTGAGTGCCTTTCTTGCAACTTTGCGATTCTTCGATGCAGCTACCCATCATGATCTAAAAGGTACACATTCGACTATCTTCCCCAATGAGGTTCTGGGGGCCATTATGAAGCTCTCTGATACCCAGACCTATCGTGCACTTGGTACAGTGTCAGCATACTCTCGAAGACTCAGTGACCGGGAGCTTCGCTTAAATGATGAATACGCTGTTGTTGGCTTCGACTCCTCCGAAGGAAGCTTCATCTTGGAAGATTTGCAATCAGGGAAGAAGATCCACTCCAAACTGGAAAAGCGCACGTCACAAATGTGGCCTAGCACCGCCAGAAGTAAAGGACTGAACTTGAGTCCCGTAATTGGGATAGAAAGTTCCACCAGGCGGACCGTCTTGGATGACTTGCGCCTGTGCTTCTCAGAGGCGACTTCGAGGTCACTCCCTTACTCGAAGAAGATAGAGATGCCCAAACAGTAAGTTACGATGGTCCTCCAGGTTAGGCAAGCCTAATACTTCACAGGGAGTGTCATTATTTCAGCACCGACTACCATGACTCCGCACCCGAGCGTCTATTTGACATTGAAGATTATATGTATGTCGGGTCACTGGAATGTGGCTGGGGTAAGTATCTCGCCAACATAATTCAGAGCATCGGTGCAGCGCCTAGTAGGATGTACAGCTCCGCCCTAATTCGTGGCGCGAGCTACAGCTGTCTTCTTCCCCCAAAGTTCCGTCAGCTACGCATGGATTATTATCACAACGGATTAAACTGCTTTATCCGCCATGCGCATGATGAAAGTCCTCAAGAGTGGGATGTGATGATGAAGTATGCTTTGCATCATCTTCACTCCCAAAAGAGGCCAAGCAAGACCGACAATGCAGTCTCCGTCCCAGGACATCCCATGATTCTGGCATTTTCCACAAGGATCAGGCTATTCTTCTATGTCTACCAGTGTGCGGAGGCCCCGACTCTCGGAGCCGATGCTCACCCGTATCTGGTTGAGGCGGCTTCGCAATGCACAAATCCCGAGCCTAGTCGTCGGCTTATCCCTCTCATTGCCGGTGGCGAAACCATCGATCTGAAGGAAAAGAAGTGGAAAGATGAATTTGAGAGATGGATCAAGGTCTTCTGCGGTGATATCTAAGACAGGATCCCGTAATCAGCAGCAGGTGGTGGTTATTCCCAGTCCAGATACGCAGAAGATTGACAAGCGCTCGAGTCGGTCAAGGTTCTTGGTTCAAACCTTCCTGGGGCTTTGCACATTGTTTATTTTGTGTATTTGTTTGTTTTCTCCGGTACGTAAGGACGGTCAAGCGAGCAGGATGAGGTTGCCTCAATGACTAGAATGTGAAGCGATGCCTGAGCGTCTTTCTTTTCCTTGCCTTTCATTTCCTTCTCCTTCTCTCGTTCTATGTTGGTATCATGACTCTCCCAAAGAGGTGAGAAGCATACCATGTCATGTCCATCAACAATCTAGTATGTATTCTCTTCGTTTCTATTCGAGCCACCAGGAAACACACCGACTCATAGTATACAACCTACCCATCCTAGGCACGTTCCCGTAGTTTGCTCTAAGAAAACACCAACCGGAGATACATTTATCATACTTAACCACATTCATTCCAAAACATAGTAAACCAATCATAAGCAAAACACAACTATATATCCAAAAGAAAACCAAGGTATCAACCAACCAATCAACCAACCAACCCACAAACTAAAACTCCCTCAACCCAACAAAAAACAAATCTCTATCAAACCAAACCAAACCAAACCAAACCCAAACCAAACCCAAACCTAAAACAAAAACAAAAAACAAAACAAAAACACCCCAACCCCATCAAACCCCAAACCCAAACAACAAAACAAAGCAAATCCAAATTCCTTCAATCATTCAATGATGATACCCCGCCAACACCCCCGCCACCAACCCCAACACCTCCTTCTGCACCTCCCCCTGATCGGCCCTAACATCCACCGTGAGAGCATCCCACTCACCCAACGGCTCCTCCAAATCCTGCAACTGCGACTGCACCATACTACTCTTCATATAATGCGCCTGCCGATTCATCACCCTCTGCAACAACATCTGCTCATCCAGCTTCAAGTATATAAAGTGGATTTGCACAGACGGGGACCCGTACGCCGCGACCCGCATCACGTCCCGGTATTTCTGCTTCAGGGCTGAACAGGCGACCACGACGCCCGACGGGGGGTGGAAGTTGTTGGCTTCGCTGGGGGAGAGCGCGGAGATGGCGGCGTTGCGGAGAGATATGAGCCAGTCCCATCTGTCGGCGTCGGTGAGGGGGATGCCGGAGGACATTTTTTCTTTGTTGGGGAGGGGGTGGAACTGTTTTTTTGATTGGTGTTAGTATATGTGTGTGTGTTGGGTGTAGAGGTGGAGGTGGGGGTGGTTTGGATAGGGTTGTGTAGGTGTGTGGGGGTTGTATGTAGGTATGTATGGGTGGGTGTAGATGAAGGTTGGATGGGGGTAAAGACGTACATCATCACCCTCCAGGAAGGGAACTCCAAGGGCTTGTTGAATGCTCTTTCCTACGGTGCTTTTCCCGCATCCAGCGGGCCCGGTCACGACCCAGATGTGTTGGATTTGCTCGGGCTGGGGAGCACTCGTCTTGGTCCACATGGAGTTGTGGGTGTTGGACAGTGGGCTTTTGTTGACCGGGCCGCGTGTGGTATCTACTACTGCGGCGCCGTTGGTCATGGCGGGTTGGGGCCGTTCACCGGCGGAGAGCATTGTGGATGGTTTGTGAGGTTGAGTTAAAGCGCAGTTGGGATGTATGACGTCCTAGCGAACCGTGGATAAATTGGGTGTTTAACCAGCGGGAAGTAGGGAATGTATGGAGAGCGGATACGGAGGGATGTCTATAGTGCGCAAGGGTCACCCGACGAGGAAGAGGAACTGAGAGAAGAGAATGATACAAGTCGAGGGGAATGGAGTCATCGGCTATATATAAAGGAGAGCGAGGGATTAAATGATTATTGATAGTTCCAGGGCGGCTATAATAAATCTCCTTCAAGTATGAAATCCATGTGGGTCAGCCGGGCACGGCAGTCATTGGCACTTGTTTTTTCTGGTTTTTCTTCAGTTTTTCTAACTCAAATATCAGCATTCAGCCAGGTTCTGCTTGATGGATCAGGCTGGACGGCGGGTCGGAAATTGCCAGAAATGTTCCACTCCAACCGCATCGTCATGGCTGTGTGAATCGGGACCGATTCAACACGGCCGCCACCGAATCAGATGCAATCGCAGCAGTTCCAGGCGCAATAGTAGGGCATGCAAGTGGGGGGGGCTGCGAAACGGCGAGTGGGGGATAAACCGGCCATGAGGCATGAGGAAAGACTCAGGAGTCCGGCGGTCTGGTCATTAGCGGGAGATCCGATCGGTAGCATGTCGTATTGTCGCATACACACCTCCATACCGCTCGTACAAAGTACGCGCGCAATTGGCAACAATCTCACGGACCCCCTTTTACCCTGTCTCTGCCCGGCAGCAGAAACAGGGGAATTCTTCCCGCAGGGTCAGTCTGCCTGGCGAGGCTATCGCAATCTGTGTCACCTCATCAGGCACTCGTCAATTCCAGCATCGCGCCAATGGAGGGCGACGGCGCACTTGTCCGGCCATCCGCCATGATGTCACTGGGTGTTGTGCAACCGGGGATTCGGAATGGTAATTTCGTACGTCTGGCTCCGTCACTGACGGTACCGGGACGGGTAATGGCGAGGACCCCCACGCTATTCTGTTCTGGGTATTGGGTCACCGTCCCCGAAAGGGTCGTTTTCCACGGCGCTTCCCAGGGAATTCCATCCTCGGACCCTAATCACCGTGCAGTCACAGGTAAAAGGAAAGGGAAAGGGACCTGGATCACCCCGGTAGTCCATGCAGATTAGATACAACAACGGATAGGAGTGATGTCTGCTGTGTTCAGGATCGGCTTCGCCAAGCTCAACCCTCCGGTCTCCATCATCCGACTGGCGAACAAAGCATCTCTCCAACCTGCCGATATCTGTTCCCGTGGACGCTGCGGGAAATAGACCTGTCTAGTCTGGGGGTAGCTTTCGCGCCAGCCCAACTTGCCAAAAGACAGGTCAGATCTAAGCCTTCCATCACTGGTATCACTTTCAGTTTAACTCCACTGCCTTTTGTGTGACAGTATGGCCCAACCAAACCAGGGTAAAGATGCAGAATCCCATTTCTCTTGCGAACCAGTCAGAGCTATGCCGTCGTATCTGGCAGCCGATGATTGATTCCGCATGCTCACCGCTGGAGGTGTGGCGTGCAGGCGGGCGGCCGTGGCTCAGTCTGGGGAAACTTTGATTGCAGGCCTGCGAATCGAATACAGGTAAACTCCCCGCCGAACTTCCCTGCTTGGACTCCTTGGAGTGGTCAGGCAGTCTTGCTGCCAGCGCAACGTACAACCAGGCCATATTTGCTTCTCTGTGCTCCGGCTCATTCTCGTAGTGTTTCAGTGACGGTCATCTGCTGCGCAACAGCGATGGCGGACAAAACTGCCTCGTCCGGAAAAGTAAATTCCTCCTTCAGGACCATGTCGACCTTGTGGTGTGAAGTTGTATAGTTGCTGTGACTTGACACATCCTTTGAAACAAGCATGGTAATACCGGCATCGTACGCTGCTAGTAAAGGAATTTACCAGAGCCATCTCATTTTCTAGCAAATTGGAGGCTCAAACAAAAGAGCTTTAATACTGACATCCTCCCCTGATGTCGCAGTCATGGTAGGAGGGAGGATGGTGGTGGATGGCAGATGGTATAGTATATAGTATGGATGGGTGACGGGTGTGCTTACCTAAGCGATGATACGGGCGGTGATCCCACCGCCAGGCAGTCAAGATGCCGTCTAACCAGATGAAGCCGGGCGCGACATGGCCATTGTGTGATATCGCATTCCATAGGCCGCTTTACCGAGTGCACTGCGTTCTTGCCAGCTGATTGACTCTCTTATAACTCCCTCACCCCTTGGAATCTCGCCCACGATGACCTCCCTCTTCTTCTCCACCCCCCTCGACATCGATGTGGTCCTCGAAGACAGCGATGAGCGCCAGACGGTTGACGTCAAGCTCGACAAGGGCCGTCGCGAGAGGGTCCCTCTCTACATGGATGGAGAGTCTGTTAAGGGAGCTGTGACTGTCAGACCCAAGGATGGAAAGCGCCTGGAGCACACCGGCATCAAAGTGCAGTTCATTGGCACAATCGGTATGGCACATTGGCTCGCATGATGGGCATACTGCATCTCCATCTCCATATTCTATCTACCCTGGCGCTTCGAGGCAAATTGCTGACATGGACTTCGCTATCAGAGATGTTCTACGACCGCGGCAACCATTACGAATTCCTCTCGCTGGTACAGGAGCTCGCAGCCCCCGGAGAACTGCAACACCCTCAGACCTTCCCATTCAACTTCAAGAACATTGAAAAGCAATACGAGTCGTACAACGGTATTAACGTCAAGCTACGATACTTTGTCCGCGTGACGGTCTCCAGGCGCATGGCGGATGTGATTCGGGAGAAGGACCTCTGGGTCTACTCCTATCGCATGCCCCCCGAGACCAACAGCCCCATCAAGATGGATGTCGGTATTGAGGACTGCCTGCACATCGAGTTTGAATACTCCAAATCCAAGTACCACCTCAAGGACGTCATTGTTGGACGCATCTACTTCCTCCTCGTGCGGTTGAAGATCAAACACATGGAACTGTCGATTATCCGACGTGAGACCACCGGCTCTGCGCCAAACCAATACAACGAAAGTGAGACGCTGGTGCGGTTTGAGGTATGTTTGCATGCAGTGCGAACCTCTGCATAACGTACAAAGCACTAACTTGCTGCACGCAGATCATGGATGGGTCGCCTTCCCGAGGTAAGTTGGTGGCTCGGACTCGTCTGGTCCCCAGACATCCAACACGTCACACTTGCGGGATTATCGCGACTAGACAGCTCCTGACCTCTTCTAGGTGAAACCATTCCCATCCGTCTGTTCCTCGGAGGATTCGACCTCACCCCGACCTTCCGCGATGTGAACAAGAAGTACTCGACACGTTATTACCTCAGTCTGGTGCTTATCGACGAAGGTACGTTGCTGCATCTATATGAGTTTCGTTTGCGTTTTGGTCTTGTTTTGCGGTTGCCGTCCATAATTACCGCCTGGTGTTTGCGTGGGAGAACCACTTGTCATCCCACGCATGTGAAACCAGGTCTTGGATGCAAGAGTGACTAGCTCGCCGGCCCACCTCCTGGCCTGGCCATACCATCCCACAGCATCCCACGGCATCCCACTTTCCAGGTCATTAGCCGGTCGGCTATTGACCCTTGATCGGGCCGGAAGCTGCAATCTGGCCACAGATGGGTACCCCCATTGCCACCCCCACGCTAAACCTCAAGCGATGACGGTCTCGCGTGGTGGCCCCACCGGCCCCAGTTCCCTCCCGTTTTCACCTTCCGGAAGTTTCGACCGTCATTTACATGTATGGATACTGACCTGACACCAAACCTATCCAGATGCCCGCCGGTATTTCAAGCAATCCGAAATTGTCCTCTACCGTCAAGCTCCCGAAATCGCCATCACGCCCCAGATCGCTCAGCAGCAACAGATCCAGCAGCAGCAGCTCCTTCAACAGCAACAGCAACAGCTGCCCGCGGGTTCCGCGACCGCCGGGCCTGGACGCGGAGGAGACCATCAGCCCCAATTCAGCCAGCAAATCTCAGCCCCTGCGGCTTAGTCCACGAGATTCATCCATCTCACATTGTAGCGAATAGACCGTCATGGGCTGCTGTATCAGGCTTCGTTTGATGTTCTCCATATACCCTTCCGTCGCTGTACTTCTGTACCCAAACCCTGTTTATCATGAAATCTCACCAACATGAAACTCATTACGAATATGTCTATACTTAATCCCACCCATGTACTTTCCTCACAGGCCCGAAAGGACAAAAGGCAGCAAGCACCTCAAAACACAAAAAACCACAATCTAACACTCAGAAACATGCAATTGTAATAACTATACTAGTCATACATACAACAAGGCTTTAAAAAAATCAGACAAACAAAGAAAACAACGCTTGCTATATGAAACCGATCATCTATAAATGCGTCCCACAAGCTAAGCAAAGCTAATCAAAAGATCGAATACCAGACACACATACACACGAAACGGGAAAAATAAAATCCCGTCTATACATTACACATACCCACCACCACCAACCTCATGTAAAACCTTCCCGAGAGCCTGAAGAACCTCGCCGTCATCTTGCTCCTTCCCGGCTACCGGCACGGCCCGCACAACGAGCGGGTAGATCCATGCAAGGTGCTTTTTGTGGTCCTGGTCGGTGTTGCTCGCGGGGGCTGATTCGTTCGGGATTCCGGTGGCGGTCTTGGTTGTCGTTGGGAGCGGAGGGATCGCCGACGGCTCGCTGTGCAGATCTACCATGCCGTGGAGGAGATGTAGGAGGGATTTGCGCGCAGGTGTGGGCTGTGGCATCAGGCCGCGTAGGGGTTGGTCTGCGATGTAGCCTTTTAGGGAGACGGCGCAGCGGAGAATCAGGTATGGGGAGATAGATTGGGCGAGGGTGACGCGAGCGGTGGTTTGTGAGGGGTGTGGTTGGTGTTGTTGTTGGCGTCTTGTGTTGGTGTGGATGCCAATTCGAAGAGCGTGTCAATCACCACGTATGCCATTTTGGTGCGTGATGTTGGTGGGGGTTCGAAGGTTCTTCCGGGTCGGATTTCGTATATGCCGCTCAGAGGCTCGTCTTGGAGGGATTTGGTAGGGATGTCGAATCGTTGGGGAAGGTAGATGAAGGAGGAGTGTAATAGGGCGCTTGAGAATTCGCGGCGGATTGAGTCTGGGATGACGGACGCCCCGAGTGATGGGATGATGAGCGTTTTGAGTCGCTCGAAAGCAGCAATATCAAAGGACTCGTCGGCTAGGATGGTGGCTCGTGGAAGGGGGGCGGTTCGATAGCCCCGGGCAGTGACGATGCCGCTTGCAATGTTGACTGCCTGCTTCCAGAAACGCTGGATTTCCGGCTGATCTGGGTTGTCGTATTGTGTCTCCATGTAAGGAATCGCAACTTGGAGAACGTTCAAAGCCGCTGTGATTGACTGGCGCCAAAGGCTTGGTTCGCGATCCTTTCCTGGCCATTCATATCTTTGGACTATTGGGTGCGCGAGATGCTCAAGAGCTGTCGCTAGTGCTCCATTTGTGAATATGTCTTGCTTGATACCATGATCCGCGATGTACCAGCTGAGGAGATCTATCGCAGATTTGGAAAAGGCAAGATAGGTTGGTTTCTTCGAGTCACTCTCAGGGGACCATCTCGATAATGGTGAATCCGCAAAATCGGCAAGACATGAGAGAATTTCTGGCTGCGAATTGTCTTTCTCGATGCATAGTGTCTTCAAGCAGTCAATAATCATTGTCTGGAGGCGCGATGAGCGGTCAATGTCTGGTGAGTATGGAGGGGATATTGAATTCCATGCAAGAAGACGCAGATGCCCGAGAATGCTTTCAACACGCTCCCCTTCAAGATCAACCTTGTATAACCGATAGATCTGTTGGAATGACTCGAGGTATGCTATGGCCGCATCTTGATTCGGGCGCTCCAAATCTAGTAAATCTTCTTTGTCGGCTGGGTGTCCATCTACCCATAGCAACCAAGTGGAATTCAGAGCCTGTTTGCTTAGCCCAGAGGGCGTCTGTACACGAAGAAGAATGTTCGACAGACTGGAGTATACACCTTCACTGAATTCTAAGAGACGTAAGCCGATCAATTTCCGGAAGTAGCCGAGCAGGCGTTCCCAGGACTGATCAAACAAGTCATCTTGAACAATTGGTTCGAAGAAAGTGGTGATGAGATCGGAAGCCCCCTTTATCATGACGACCGTGGTCTCAACCCACGCCTTAAGTTCATCCGGAGTGCGGCTGCTATTCTTGCCCCGTGTAAGTGTGAGCTCGGTTTCTATTTCTTCCACCATTCGAAACAGCACACGGTTGAGACACAAGCGCCATGCTTTGGGCGACAGTTGCTGGCCGTAGGCATCGAATATTCTTAATAGAGTCTGGATCGCGCAGTTACGAATCTCTGGCCTGCTGTCTGTGGTGAGGTCAACTATTCGTAGAAGAAGCAATAGCCACAGTGCGTTACGCGAGACAGCAGGATCATCCCCCTTAGCTAGGCCTGCAAGCGTATCCTCAGTCACCGAGGAATCAACATGAGTCTCGATGCAAAAATGCTCGATCTGTCCTTGAAGAAAGTCGGACACATTCCAGAAAGACGATGTAGTTGTCAGTGAGATATTGAAATCCTGCTGTTGCAAGGCAAACTTCGAAAAGGAGTCCACAAGATTCAACCGACAGGGTAACGGAAGTAGGGAGATAAAGTCGGAGGCTATAAGCTGCAGAGACTTATATGCCACACGAACGAGTCGAGGCGAGTTGGCTGTCGACGATGGCTGACGCCCTTTTCTAGGTGCATCTGTCCCCTTCGTTTCACCAAAAACGCTTGAGATGAGATCAAAGACGATGGACCACCCCTCAGCGAATGTTTCCGCATATTGTTCAAGGATACCCTTCAAGGTCTCCAAGCTCTGTTCATGAACTTCGGCCACAGGTGCTGAAGGTGACCCTGCTGAGCACGCACCTGCATCATAGAGCAATTGAACTTGAAGCTTGAGTGTCTGAAGATTTCTCATCTGCCGTGCATTCCGTTCGGAGACGTCACTGCTATCCGTCTGCTTCAAGGTCTGAAAAACAACGCCATTCAGTACCTCGTTGGCTCGTAGACGAAGCTTTTGGATGTTCGATCTGTCCGCTGCGCTTGACATCAATCTTCCCGTAAGAAGTTGCCAAGCGTCTTGGTCACTTTCAGCTAGTGACGAAAACCGTTCGAGGTTTGCTCTAGCCAATTCATTTGCTTTCTCGAGAACAAACCTCAATAGCTCATCCTGTGTCCTAGACTTCCCCATAGAGCGCGATACGCGGTGTGTACTTTTGCGCATTAGATTAGAGCGGGACTGAGGCGAAAGGACTGCGTTTGACACATTCTCAGGCGACTCTTGAGTTGGCTCTTCAACTGTCCCGGACAGATCGAGGAGGGCAGTCAAAATCTCTTGAAATGAATCACTAGGGTAGTCGTTGGTACTCTCCAGCATTTTAGCAGAAGCTGTCTGCACGGCCAAGATCTCGGAACCGAGATTAGCCTTGGGCACATCAGAACCAGAACCAGACAGAACTTCCCCAGAGCTACTGGTTGAGGCTTGCGACTTCGTGGAAGCCATTCCTATCAGCAAGTCTGTGTCTTGAAGTGTCCCTAAGATTATTGACCAGGCCGGCTGGTCTAAAGTAGGACCTAGAGCTATGCCCAGATTAAGTAAAGCGCGCAAGCACAGGAGGTTCCGGGTACTGAGGGACACGAATGCGATGTCAGAAGGCGCACTGGAAGTCTCAGCTGGTAATGGGGAACCGGCAAGCGACGCCTGTGAGCTCTTCGACTTCTCATCCGTCGTTGGATTTGATTGAGAAGCAGCTGTGGTAGTCACCGCAGTGGTCGCAGGCCTCGTGCTACTTGCCTCTGCTGGCATGGCTGCCTTCCCGAGCGTTGTCAGAAACGCATCACGCGGCGTAGACAACCTAAGAAGGCCAGCCACATGAGCTAGCTTCTGGAATGACCGGACAAGGTTGTGATAAAAGTCATCGTCGAGAGATGCATAGAGAAATGTTGAGCAGGCAGCGAGTATGGCCGGCCAACAATTCTCAATAATACCAGCACAGCTTTGGATTGCCGGGAGCTGAGGATGTGACTCTAACTGGAGAGGATTGATCGGTATAGATGATTTTTTGGGACTCAACGTTTGAGACCCTTTCGAGGAATTCGTCCTCTGGAGATCCTGTGAGGGCCGGGAAGAGCCACCGTCTGGATGAGGGCTCGCAATACGACTTCGCCTCTTTTGCTTCAAATCGGGTACTGTCAAAGGGAGTATGAATTTTGCGAGGCCTTCAGCAAAACTACTGATGCAGTTGAGTACAAGACTGTAAATATACGTATCAGGAGGGGGAGGAGGATCGGTCTTGTCAAGCAACTCCATATATGGCGTGCGAACCACGCTCCACTGACTGCTGATTCCCGGTACATCAGTGTCGGTTGAGGGAACGGTGGCTCCGATAACACCAGCAACTCCACCAGCCTCGAGCGTAATTTGATCTTCGGTAATAGATCTCGAATGCTCGGCACGGAAAGGCACGGTTGACTGGCTGCTGAGCCCAATCAAAGAAGGCTTTTCGGAAGCCAGGCGAACAAGAGAAGCCATATGGTCTCTGAGGATATTCTTCCTGCGGTCATCTCTGTCGTACAAGGAATACATGAGCCTCACCAGACCTGGCTCGAGATACAAGCCTCGGAAAACTTCCATGCAGAGGACTCGCTTCCAAGGCGAGTTCCCATCAGGCTCAAGTAGATGCGTCAAAAGCCCGAGGGCCATCTCGCACTCCGCAGGTAGGAGAGACATATGGCGCTTGAGAAGTACTAAGAGAATTCGACTGACGCGAACAGTCTGAGAGAAGCCGTGTCTTTCAGACAGATACCTTACAATCATTGGCATAAGTCGAACTCGCAGGACCTGGGTTAGCTCGGCATGGACAACAAAAAGTTTCCCGCTGTTGACCAGTATGCTCTCGATAAGCTCTAGAGTGAATGTTGAAGAGAGAGACTTGATTCGAAGAAAATACAGGGGTTCACCATCGATCAGTCGACAGAGGTCGTCCAGCACCTTTTAAGTAGTTAATCATGGATCCTTATTCAATCCAAAAGGAATCTTACCCGTAAAGCATCGTATGCAAAGTACCCTACGTTTATTGGGTTCCCGTCGACTTTCACAGTAGTCGTCGGCGTCGATTTATTGAAGTTTTCTGGCACCGATGTCAGAGATGGGCCGCATTAATGCGCCGGGATATACGGTCACTGACTGTCTTCAATCGAAACACGCTCGAATGTCGACACGACCAGTTGCTGCAACGTGGCTGCGGCAGTACTAGAAACCGCAAGCATCTTGTTCCCTTGTAGAGTAGCACAAATCTCCAAAGTGCTCACCAAGAGGTCTCCTCCTAGGTCATTGGAATAATGCTGCAGCAAAGAAGGTAACGATTGCAGAATTTTGAGCTGAATATCCAGGCCTTCGCAGCGTTAGTATAAAACATAATGCTTTAGACACTCACTCACTCATGTTCGTGGTCTCCTTCAACCCAGCCAGAACATCTTTCAATCGCTCAGAAGGTAGCGACCGCGAAGCAACTAGCCTTTGCAGGCATACGACCCCGATGCCTGCAAGTTTCGCATGGCGACTGTGGCAGGCAAGAATGAATGGATTCGCGAACTTAGGTTTACGCACTAGGTCTTTGGAGCCTCAGCGTACGTGTTTCTTTAACCGCACATGCATGTGGGCCACAAAAGCTCACCTGCTGAAATCTGCGCTTCGGATGTAGAAGGCAGTGCCTTCAATTCATTAAGGGATTCTTCAGCCGCCTACATTCTAGTCAGTACGGGAGTTCGAGCGTCCATTTAGCAAAACGGATAAACATACATTTCGCAGGTCAGTGTTCCTCCTCTTGGATTCCTGGATCAGGTTCAAGAGCTCTGCCTGCAGAAATTGGGAGGACATTTCTACCGGAGTTCTGGATCAGAACATAGCCGATGCCAGTCGCTATCAATCAAATAGTAACGCTAGGCAGATGTGGCTTCATGTGGTTGGGTCACTGGCTGGAGCAACCGAGTACAAAGCTAGGTACCTGAAGCACGACGATATTAGAACCATATGTTTCATTTAACGGCCTGTGTCAATGTAAGCTTGTACCAGCCTCGGCAATCAATGACCAGCTCAAATAAACAACCCAGAAGCATTGCATCAGGAGTGACCTCTTGAGGAGCGCCAAGGCACCCGCGGAGATAGAGCTGCCACGTGACTTTAGCAGCCGTTATCATCACGTGTGGGGTTTCCTTCAGGAATCCGGCGGGACCAGATACGCAAGCCTCCGATTGCTTGAAGTGGGATAAGGCAGTGCCCCTCCTCCGCCCCGAGGATCGAAACGTCTACGGTCTCCCCCACAACTTTTCTTCCGAGCTATCGTGAAATCCAGTCGAACCGATCCTCTTATCACACAATGGCGGCTAAGGTGCCCCGGAACTTCAGATTGCTGGAGGAGCTCGAGAAGGGTGAAAAGGGCTTGGGAGCAGGTGAGAGTGCCATCCTGCTTACAGACCCAGAATAGCATCTTGCTAACATATTCATTTTTCATTGAACTAGAGTCATGCTCCTACGGACTGGCAGATGGTGAAGATATGATGATGAGCAACTGGAATGGAACTATCCTCGGCCCCCCTCATGTTCGTCCAACGCTGCCTAGCGCAACCCGGGTATACAGTACACCAGCATCACTAACACACTGAGGAATGAGCGCAGAGTGTCCACGAAAACAGAATCTACAGTGTCAACATCCACTGTGGCCCGGACTATCCTGATAACCCTCCCACCATTCAATTTGTTTCCCGTGTCAATCTGCCGTGCGTTGATGCCCGAACTGGCAAGGTAAAGATTCCGCCATGTTCCGATTGTTCCTAAGTGAAGGAGCCCAAGTCCCTAACACCATCCCAGGTTGATCCCACTAAGCTGCCCTGTCTGGCTCAGTGGAAGCGCGAGTACACCATGGAGACCATCCTGGTCGAGCTTAGAAGGTACGTGGTGTTCTAATTTCCAACAATCAGATCCGTGAAACTCATCATCTCCAGATATATGGCCCTTCCCCAGCACAAGAAGCTCCCACAGCCTCCGGAGGGCTCAAACTTCTAAAACAACGGCATTATAAAATGTTCGGGTTTGAGGGAGTATAATGGTTGGTTTTTGAGTCAGATTCATATGCACTTTTCTTCGTTGGCTTATTAGAGCGTGTACAGTCTATGCATAACGGGCGGGCATCGGCGTGGTTTCGTTTGAAGCCTACCTGCAATTCAACCTTTTAGAACGTTGCACAGTATGATCTTCTTGCCCCCCTCATCGCCAGGTTATACTTGCTGAAACAACTTGACCCTTGTTTTTAGTGGGCTACCAGTTGTACTTGTGAGAGTGCCCGAAAGCGCCGATACCGGCTAGATCATGACCAAGAAATAGAAGTATATCCCAAAGCGTATCTTTCCTGTGTGTTCTAGATCAGATAGTAAATAAAGATGACATCAGTTGCGCAGTTGCGCAGTTGCACTCAAATCTGAGCCATCATCTGGTATGGTTGACTCGGTAATGCAGCCTTAAGGCCAAGCCCTGGAATTGTTGAACTCGACTGCAGGCCCAGGATATTGAGAGATCCTACGGAGTAGATACATGCACACACCCCTTTGGGTTGCACGTGACATCATCCGGCGGCATGCCTCCGATAACAGTCCAGAACATTAATTTTAGACCATGTTATATTCTCGGCAATGCACAAATTAGTTGTACCCAAGCAAACGCCTGCTCACCGTTTTGCCAGTAAGTTTGACTATGCCGGGGTTTGTTTCTAGCACAAAGTACGAAAAGCGACTAACAAGCCTTTCTCCTGACAGCTCGAGCACTTTACCGAGCGCTTCTCCGGCAATGCGGCAGATTACCAGAAGGTGCTCCAGATGAGCTCAATTTGTGCAAGCCGTATATACAAAATAGGTTCCATAGGTACAAAGACCTTCAAAGTCCGTCTCAAACAGCGAATTGCCTGAAAGTAGGATACCAGGTGCGTTGAAACTCGACTCCGCAGCAACCCATCCAGAATCTAAACCTTCCGGTTTTCGCAAATACAGGCCCTCGACATATTACACGCCGCATCACAATGCAGTCAAGTCTACGTCAACCGGATCAAAAACATCATAACCAAGCACAAATTGGCAAAGCAACGAAAAGCCGAATGGCAGGCGGCAGTGGCTAAGGCGAGACCGCCAAAAATTGTGGGTAAATTGGAACTGAGGAAGCGAGAGAATGTGAAATTCCAGCAATCGACTGCCAAACGACATCCGGATGCTGAACCCATCCTTTCACGCCCTCGGCCTGTTGTGAGTGGGATACGCCGGATTCCTCAACTTGTCAATGCGCGTGGTATCCCGTTTCTGCGCATCAAGAAGCCACAGCCGAAGTTCCTCAGCGCAGTTATAAATTCGAAACTTGAAAGACGCTGGAAGAGGATGGAGCGTTTGAAGAGACTGGAGACCGAGTTGCCGATAGCTATAGACGAGGATGCGTGGGATGCATTGACTGGTCATGAGGAAGAAGCTACATGGGCTGAAGCGGTCGAGGTTTCTTTGAAGGAGGTGCAAGATGTGATAGCAGAGGGTGATAGGAAGGTCAAGGAAACTGCGGAAGCCATGTGGAATATCGTCCTTGAAGAACGCAAACTGGCCGAAGCAGAGGCGAAGCAACGAGCTGAAGAGGCGAAGCAGCAGCCCGAAGAAGAGGTGAAGCAACAGCCCGAAGAAGAGGTGAAGCAACAGCCTGAAGAAGAGGCGAAGCAGCAGCCCGAAGAAGAGGCGAAGCAACAGCCTGAAGAGACGAAGCAGCAGCCTGAAGAGACGAAGCAGCAGCCCGAACTTAGCAAGCAACAACAGTGAAGGCATGGCTCCATCACCAGATACGAAGAAAGTTGACTAAACTGGGCTCAACCAGAGTATTTTCACTTGATAGCCAGCTATATACCAATCATTGCACATGTAAATTATGATCGAATTATAGAAACCAACTTCTCGTGGCTTGATCCCTGTCAATAAGGGAAATTGATTCTCGCCAGTAATCTCATCTAGAGACACCAAGCTCTTAAGCAGCTATCTTCATTTTCTCTACAGCAGCGGGCATACCATCCTCTTCATCCTCATCAAAGTCTGCCCTTCCAGCAAGACCTCTCTCCCACAACTGCTTGCCCGTAAGCTTCTTCTCTTCTTTGCCCGGAGTCTTCTTGTTGGCCTTCTTCTCCTCCGCCTCTTTCTCTTCGCGCTTCCTCTTCTCTTCCTCCTCCATCTCTTTCATAAACTTGTCCCGCCACTCCAAGAACGTCTCCCGGTTAACAGCGGTACCTTGGAATTTCCGATTCTCTTCCTCCTCCCTCTTCGCAGCCTCCATCTCTTTTTCGGCGTGGACGGCATTTACGCGCTCCGACATGAGAAGCTCGGCACTCTCCTTCAACGCACTGACCAGTGTGAATACCATCGCCATACCCATATTCTCTTCAATGGTCGGTTGCAGAGTCTCGAGAAGCTGATCGCGATCCTCCTGGATATCTAGTCGGGGGTGTTTCGGTGCGTTCGGGGGTGCGGTCAACTCTAGTTCGGGGGCGACATCGGGATAATCTTCCGGGTATGTAACTTGCAGAACCAGGACAGGCTGCTCTGCTTCTTCGACGTCATTTTCGGGTGCTTCCAGAGCAATTGATATCCGGTATGAGGTGTCAGAAATGTCTAAGGCAGGTCTGTCAGCGGGCTTGTCGTCCAAATAAGATCACTGAATGCAGTCGGAATACTTATGGCGACAACACTAACCTGTAATTTCTTCGGGGAAAATCGAGTCGAGCACTTCGCGCTCTTCGATCTGGTCTTCGCGGCCCATAGTGCTTGAATTCTGCCGCCGGCGGGGCTGGAGGGGTATTGTCGGTTCTAGATTCTGGGGACAAAGAGAAAGGCTGAAGATTCAAGTTCCAAACACTTGAATCTAGCTGTATAATGTATCACAGGACAGACCGAGAAAGCGGTCCTTTGCCGTGCGGTCTATATGTTGGAGGGCTCGTGCTTGGGGAAATGAATTCGGTCGTCCGTGGGCAAGTAGAATACCGGCGCCGCGATCCCACATGCAAACGGGACAAACAGATAAGGAAACGCCCAAATTTGTCCCGCCCGAAAAAGGGAATTTCCATGCTCCGCCTTGACGAAATCGAAAGCTCCAAGGTTTTGTACTTGGTATTCTTATTGATCTTTTTCCTTCCTTCTATTCTTTGTTCTTGATTAGCGTTTCAACCTCATCTGCTATATAATTCTGTTACAGTCGATAGACCATGGGAAAGTCAAGACCTCACAACAAGAAGACATCCAAATCTCGCGCAAAGTCCGTTCTGAGCGCCGGCGGCTCGGTTTCGAAACAGAAAATGAACGAAGACCCTACGAAGCTCCTCGAGCAGGCGACGACACAGCTTCAGACCGGGCAACCAGATGCGGCGCTTGAATTGGCTCAGCAAGCCCTCAACAATGCACCGGCCAACTCTCCAACTCAATTAGTGGCTCTGAATACGGTTGGCGAAATCTACGTTGAGCTCGGCAACATCGATGCTGCGAAGAAACACTTTATGCATGCAATCGAGCTTGATCCGAATGGCACGATACCCGAGTCTCAGGGAGGGGGCGCCGAGAAGTTCCTATGGCTTGCTCAATTGAGCGAACTCGGTGGGAAAGACAGCGTTCAGTGGTTCGAGAAGGGTGTGTCGTCTCTCAGACATATTATTCAACAGTTGGAACAGAACCCCGGGCCTGAGGAAGCGGTTCAACTGGTGGAAAAGAAGGGCAAGATGGCAAATGCCCTATGCGGAGTTGCTGAGATCTATATGACCGATCTTTCGTAAGTCACTCTTGGAGCTAAGCTCTGTCGTCTGGAAGGCTGGCTAACAGATCCTAGGTGGGAAGAAGATGCAGAAACCCGTTGCGAGTCCCTCATCACGGAAGCCCTTCTTGTTGCTCCGAATGCGCCCGAAGTCCTACAAACCCTTGCATCGATTCGGATTTCGCAGCTACGTACGGAGCAGGCCCAAGCAGCACTCAGAAGGAGTCTCGAACTTTGGAAAGACCTGCCGCCTGAGGACTTGAATATCCCCGATTTCGCGACAAGAATTAGTCTTTCCCGTCTCCTGATGGAGGTCGGCTTGGAACTTGAAGCTCTGGGAGTGCTGGAACGCCTGATCTTGGAAGACGACCAGAGTGTGGAGGCATGGTATCTTGGAGGATGGTGCCTGCAGCTCCTGGCCATGAAGCAACAAGCACCCGAAGACCCAGAAGAGGTCCAAGACGAGGACAATACCCCGGAGGCTAGGCGGCAGGCATCGCTCGTGGCCAGCCGTGAATGGCTCAAGCAAAGCTTGACGCTGTACGACCTTGTTCAATATGAAGATGAGAGACTCAAGGAGCACGCACTGGAATTGGTCCAAGAGATGAACAAAGAGATAGGCGAGGACATTGATGATGAGGCCGAGGAGGGTGAGGACGAAGATTGGGAGGACGAGGAGATTGAGGTGGAATCCGATAGCGATCACGAAATGGCTGACTCATAAAAGTTGCATGTTCTGTTGTTACGAACTTTCTTTGTCATGATACCAATATAAAAGGGCATATCTTCCAATCTAACCTACACCAGTCCAGGGGCAGTAGCTGCGATAGTCTCTCCATCAGCAGACGGCGCCGGATAAAGTAGAATCCGACCGCTTTCCCCCCGGAGATAACGAAAGCCAAATTTATTCCGGCAATTCGACTTCGCGTGGCAAACAGCTCAATGTGATTGAGGAGTCGTTCTAGGTCGCTGGAAGTGCCCTATCTTCCAATATAGGATGGACCTCGTTTCATCCCCCAGCGGGGAGAGTTCCCCGCTGAAGAACCCGGTGCTCGAGGTGGCCTCCGCGGATGTATCAAAGGCCGGCACCGCAACGGAGAACATAACCGCTCGAAAGGAAGAAGTGTCTCAGTCTGAGTATGAGACCGAGAGCGGCGGCTCAGGCGATGAGTGGGAGACTCAGTCTCTGTACGAAGATGCTATTCAGGTCCTGCGCGACGAGCAGCTTCGTGAGGGTGGTAAGCACTATATGATGTCTTGTCTATGCGCGCACTGACCGCGCCCTGTTCTAGTCCCTGATGCCTGCACTTTGGAGGAGGCCATCGCGTATCGGAAACGACTCCATGAAATTGGAAAGGCAGCCTTCGTCGAAGAAACTCTGGGACAAGATAAAGTGACCGCGAAGAAGCTGTGTACTGCGTTTGGGATCTTGCCACCTGCCTTCCTCGACGGCGCGCCGGACGAGGCCTTCCACCCGTTACTGGCTATTGCGATCTCGCGCGAGTTCTCAAGGCGTCCCAAGCTCCCTCAGTACAATACAATCGATGATGCAGTCAGGTTGCTCAAAGAGTGCAAGAACATTGTGGTTTTGACGGGCGCAGGTGTATGTCAACCAGAATGCCGTGCCCCTTGTCAGAGGCATATGTATGCTGACAGGCGATCAGATTTCCACCAGCCTAGGAATTCCCGATTTCCGGTCAAAGGACACTGGTCTTTACTCACAGTTGGCGCATTTGGGTCTTAGCGATCCACAGGAAGTCTTTGATATCCAGGTGTTCCGCGAAGATCCAAGCATCTTCTTCTCCATCGCAAAGGACATATTACCCACCGAGAAGAAATTCTCGCCAACTCATGCATTTATTCGACTACTGCAAGATAAGGGGAAGCTGTTGACCAACTACACCCAGAATATCGACAACATCGAAGCCAATGCCGGGGTGCTACCCGAGAATATCGTGCAATGCCATGGGTCATTTGCCACGGCTACATGTGTCAAGTGCCATCATAAGGTCATGGGTGATGAAATTTTTGATGAGATTAAGAAGGGGATCATTCCTCAGTGTACCTCTTGCCCCTCAAACTTTGCGGAAGACTCCGGTATTAAAAGAAAGCGTAACAGCAACGGCGTCCACAGAAACCGAAAGGACATGGCTGGGGACAGCTCCGATGACGACTACGAAATACCTACTGCTGGGGTCATGAAGGTTGGTTGAGATCCGTATCCTGCACACGTTCGTTCCCTTTTGCATATGCTGATATCAATCACTTTAGCCCGACATCACCTTCTTTGGGGAAGATCTCCCCGATGAATTCGGCCACCGGCTACTACACCACGACCGTGATCGGGTAGATCTTGTCATTGTCATTGGGACTTCGTTGAAAGTCGCCCCCGTGGCGGAAGTCCCTGGCGTTTTGCCTCGCACTGTTCCTCAGCTCTATATCTCTCGTACTGTAAGTGGTGGCTCACAACTGTTTCTAGTGCTGGACTAATAAGGACTCAGCCCGTATCCCATACGGAGTTTGATATCGATCTGCTTGGCGACTGCGACGTGGTGGTGTCTGAGTTGTGTCGCCGGGCCGGATGGGAATTGAAGCATGAAATGATTCCAGCAGACGAGAAGGTTGACGTGCTTCCAGTGGAGGGTTACGAGTCACGACATGTGTTTAAGGTTGTCGGCGCATAGCGGCGGCGTTTGGTCCAGGTTATCCCTGGCTCTGTCGATGCCAGGAACGGCGTAACTGTAGGTTTATTGAACGGTTTGTGCGGGCTTTTGTTCGGAAATATACATCATGTAAGAGTGACGATCAATCGGATACATATAGCTACTAGGGCATGTATGGATATTGTTTCAATGTATTTATGTTTGACTTGCGTGGCAGCAGCCTGCTTCATATTTGTTAATTGTTATGATTTTCCAATATACCAATATCTCGCGTTGATACCAGCAGAGAGATGAGTGTATGACAGTAGGGGCAGACTGGCGGGTTCCCGATCAACCATCCAATCGACTGGAACAGCAGGAAAATTCATTTCCGTTCCAGCCAACGGCCATTGAGCACCCAGCACTCCCAGAGAACCAGACACTATTCTCCCGAAGCCAATCCAGCTGTGTATCATAACTCCCTCAGTATTAATCTGTCCATAAATCAGTGGCGAGGGAGACCGCAATCAACGATGGAGTATTTGATTCGCTTCGCCCAGGCCCACGAGTCTTTTCGGCAGCCCGAAATCCAGGCGCTGGCTGACCTGGCAGGCGTGGAGGTGGAATTCCTATACTACGATAAGAACGTACGTTATAATCTCCTCCTATTATTTTACATTATTCTTCATGTTTCAATGTAACATGCTGCTTTGTGCGATCCCACCCCGCGAAAAGAACGGGTAATGATGATCCTTAATCCCCTCCCCACACCAATGAATATCCCACTCTTTACAATGCCATAAGCACGTTACTAACTCCCACCACCAGTCCCCATTCTGCATCATCAGACTACCCGATGAAGCAGCCGCTCGCGCGGTAATCAGCCGAAGCATCATAGCCAAGGATATCTTCGAACTCTGGGGCCAAGGCACCAACTTCGAGGAAGTTTACGCCGACGTCCGCAGGCGGACGGAGGATCGCTGGGCCCAGTACCAGGACTCGTCATTCCGATTCGTCATTGACAGTTTCGCAGGAAAGCGCAGCAATGACCAGAAGCGCCAGATCATCCAGTCCTTCTCTTTCCTGGGATTCAAGGGCGCTATTCGGATGAAGAACCCAGATCAGGATTTCTGGGTGTTTGAGGATTACGGACTGGATGTTTCCTCTCCCGGTACTCCTCGGCCCCATGGAGAAGAGCCAGAGGTTATTTACTTTGGACGTTGGATTGCGAATAGCAGTCGGGATGTCGTCAATAAATATGACCTCAAGAAGAGGAAGTATATTAGCACCACTTCGATGGATGCGGAGTTGACGCTCATCACGGCTAATATGGCGCATGCGGCACCGGGGAAGCTCTTCTATGATCCCTTCGTTGGGACGGGGAGCTTCCTGGTGGCGATGTCGCATTTTGGGGCGGAGACGTTTGGGTCGGATATTGATGGGCGGAGTTTTCGGGGTAGGGAGATGATGGAGAGGGGTGGGACGATGGGCGTGTTGTCGAATTTTCAGCAATATGGTATGGTGGGTAGGTTTATGGATGTTTTTACTTCTGATCTTACCAATACGCCTTTGCGCTCGAACCAGTTCCTGGATGGTATTGTTTGCGATCCGCCTTATGGTGTTCGTGAGGGACTCAGAGTTCTTGGGAGACGTGAGGGTTTGAAGAGTGAGGAGGTCATGATTGATGGGAAACCGGCTCACTAGTATGTTTTTGCGGTGATGGTTTGGATTGTTTCTTGGGGTGCTCAGCTAACATGCACCAGCCAACCCGGATACATCGCACCCAAGAAGCCCTACGGCTTCGAGGCCATGCTCAACGATATCCTCAACTTTGCTGTTAGATCACTGGTCACCAACGGACGCATGGCCATGTGGATGCCGACTTCGAATGACGAGATAGAAATCCCCGTTCCGATGCACCCGAACCTGGAGGTCCTGAACGTGTCCGTCCAACCGTTCTACAGCTGTGAGTATCACGAGATTCCCTCATACGGGATAAAGGAATATAACTGACGATAACCAGGGTCCCGGCGACTCATCACTTACCGAAGACTGCCCGAAGGACAAGTCTCGGATGTTTCCAAGGGTCGGCAAATGCATGACGCTGAGGGAGTCTACGCGGATCAACTGAATGCCTTCAGGAGAAAGGTACCTAGCCTCCCTCCAGAAGTCTATCCAAATCTAACAAATATACAGTACTTCACAAAGAACCAGCACGACACAGACTCCAAGTCTGGAAGAGAAAGCTCAGCCTCATGATGAAATGAACTTCTTGAATAGAACCCTCAACAAAAGCAATGAACCATTACTCCACCCAAAAAAGCATCACAACATCTACCCGCCCATAACCATCCACTCCTCAACAACCCACCATCCACACAAACAATCAAAGCTTCCCCTTCGCATTACCCACTCCAAAACCCCCCTCCAAATCAACCCCCTCCTCCCTCTTCACCCGCTGAACCTCCCTCGCCAACTCCCCCCTCAACAACCTAGCAAGAGTCTCCCCCTCCTCATCATCCAAATCCTCCCTCTGCCCCCGCCCAAACATAACATAACTCATATGAGCCTTAACCGACCCCGTCACCGGCCTATCAGGCGGCCTGGGAATAACATGAAAATGAACATGCGGAACCTGCTGCGCGGCCCTAACACCTATCCCGGATTATCAGTAATTAATCACCTTAGGTAGAAGGGCCCGGCACGTAGCACCCCATTCCACATCCAAGACATTACAATAACCATTATAGGTAGGTATCTAGCCCCAGCTTCCACCTACAAAAGAAACAAAAAACACACAAAGAGAGAGAGAGATAGGGATAGAAACATACCATTATTCTGCACCACATTCCAACACCAATCCACCTTCTCCTCCTCCCCGGTCCCAAAAAGCACCCTCATCACGACCCGAGAGATAACAGGGAGCCATTGTCCGATCTAGTTTTCGATACAGAGTATCTATATTAGCCGCATAGTTCTACACCCACCCATTTACACAGCCCAACACAACACAACACAACAAATCCCCTCAATCAACCAACCAACCAATCAATCTAAATAAATAAAAATACCCGAACCAACAATCCAAAAGAATCCAATCAAAACCAACAAAATACGTACCTCCCTCCCCACCCCAACCCCCACATCCCCCAACCTCTCACAATGCACTCTCGGCACAAGCAATACATGACCTCTCGTCAAAGGCATAATATCCAAGAAAGCGAGGACATGAGGCGTAGACAGGATGAGATGTGCTTGTCCTGGGCCCAACCCAACCAGGTTACTACTACTACTACTACCCCCAGTAGTACTAGGTGTAGTAGGCAGCGAAACTATAGTATTTAGATCATTGTTGATGGAATTCTGCAGATGGAGGAATGTCATTGGGGGGAATGGGGGGTATGTTTGTGCGATGGTGCAGAAGGGGCAGGAAGCTGCTGCTGTTGTTGGCATGGTTTGTTACTAGTAGAGAGAAACGGTAGGTGGTGGTGGGTGGTGTTTGTTGTGAAGGGATTACTGTGGTAATGGAAGAAGGTTGAAGTGGTGGCTGAGGTGGATGTCGGGTATTGGTCGTTCCTGCGAGCAACGCAACGGTCGGGAAATATGCGGCGCTCTTGAAAGTTAAAAGAGGGGAATTGATCGTCGCGAGGGGTATCAAAGATAGGAATTCGCGATTTGGTTGCCGTGCAGAAGGGCCAGGAGGCATGGAGATGAAGAACGGTGGTGAGCCTAGGAGCCGAGCCTCGGTTCAACCCCAAAGTGGCCGGACCCTATCTAGGTGGCCATTGCTTCACGCATGAAAATCAGATTCGGACATTGGGATGACGAAGATATTCAAGAGATTTCTGGCAGTTTAAGGCTTAATTAACCATCTTAAACGCACATTACTGACAGCAGCCCTCCCCACCACTCCATCCCAAGTCCCCCGCTAACTCAATGTGAACGACTAATACCAAAAAGAAGCCTTTTATCCCCTTCCCTCACTCCTGGGTTTCCCCCCGATGCATTTGTCGTCAGAGACCAGCTGTATGGCATTTTTTATCCCGTATGCCTTGGACCAATATAGTGTTGTAACAAATAGATCGTCTCGGTCCCTAAGGGGCTGCGTAAAAGGGACCGAGGTGTAGCCCACGCCGAACAAGAAATTTTGAATCCAAAAGTGAAAAGAAGCGAGTAAATTTCCGTCCTTGGAGTTGCCCGATGCCTGGAACACACACAGGGTAAGACGGGAGAAGGTTATGTAAGGTATCAGAGCAAGTGCGAAACAACCCAGGCACTACCAAAAATGAAGAAAATCGCACAACAGCAGAGGAAAAGAACCAGACGTGCGCCGGACACCCCTGGAAGAAACGAAGATGCAAACATCCGCAACCGAAAACAGAAAATGCCGTTCATAAACATATGCAAGAGGTGCCTAATACCATCACGAATGAAATACCATCATATGGAATCAACAAACTCCGATCCTCGGTCGTTCTGCCAGACGCCGATATTAAGTCACCAGGAAGCCGCATCTCACTCATTCTGAGTCTTTAATAAAAGCGTACGGCTCTGACAGCGAGCTGCTGATATACAGGTGGTGGTATTTCTTCGCCCATTGCCGGGTGAGGATGGATGCTGGTCACCATGTCAGTACTCCGTGGCCAAAGTCAATGTTAAAGATGACGTACCCTTCAAGAACTTCTTGCTGGCATACTTCTTGAAAAATGCCTCATGGCAGACAGGGCGGTGAAGATAATCGATCATCAGATGGAAGACAGGGATGATCTCCTCTTCCTCGTATCCGGCGTAGTGGGCCAGGGTAGCATCCTACAAAAGTCAGTGTGATGAAAGAGGCAAACATGGCGCCGGAACTTACCCAGACACCCCGGTCGAGAATGAGGCGAGCCAGGTACATAGCGGCAGCAGCCACATGGCTTTGACGGAAGCCCATAAAACGGTGGTCCAGAAGGCTGATTTCCATGAGGTACTTGCCAAGAGTACGGGTCTGGATATCGTAGTTGTCCGCTTTCGAGATCCGACGGAGGAAGTTCATCGGGTTGGGGTAGCTCATGTTGTACTCAAGGGTAGCAAGAATGTGACGCTCGGCATCCAAGATCTCCCTGTCGGTAAAGGTTTCGTCTGCGACATGGCTAAAGTTGGCAACGTGCGGCGAAAGAACCTCCTCGTATTTGGATGCGATGAACATGGCGGCGACACCAACCAGCTGAAGACGGTCCAAAGCCACCACTTCCGCGGACAGAAAGCGGTCGATGATATTGACCGCAAGGAAGAGTGTCTCGGGAAGGAGACGGAAGCGAGTGTGGACCTCGATGAGCCAGTCGACAAGGATGCCGCGCATTTTCCACTCGAGATCGGGTTGGTGTTCGATGTACTCAGCATTGGGCAAGGTCTCCAGCTCAAGATCTTTCAAATATTCGAAGATGTCGACAACATATTCAGCTGCCATCAAAGGATCGTCAAGGTCTTCGGCGTCCAGGTCGTCAACATAGTCGTCGGCAGGCTTTTGCAGAACCTTGGGGTCAACCGGAACATTAACATCCTCCTTCGAACTGGAGACCTTCTCAGTGACAGTCTTCTTCTCGGTGACCTTCTTCTCGATGTCGACCTTTTTCCGTGGCCGTTCCTCCTCTAGTGCCTTTTCCTGAATGGCCTTTTCGCTGGATGTCCGCTTCGTGCCCGATCCACTGCCAGGGCGCTTTACTTCTGTAGCCGGCTTCTTCGGGTTGCTGTCCTTAGGTCCAAGGGCGGAGCGTGATGAGTTGTTGCGAGTAAGCTTCTGAACCCCACCAGCCTGCAATGTCGCCTTTGACGTCAAGCCAACCTTTGTCGCAGCAGGCTTCTTAGATTCCTTGGTCTCCCCATTCTCCGTCTTGGAAACATTGCTCACATCCCCAAGGGCGGCGCGTCTTCTCTGAGGTCCGGCAGTGGTGGTAGTGGTGGTGGTGGCGGCCTTCTTCGTCTGGAGCGGCTTCTTAGCGGCGGGAGCCGGGGCGTCACCCGCTGACAGGGCAGCGGCCTTGGCCCGTGTCAGGCGCGTCGAGGGCCCGTTCTCATCGTTCTCGTTCATCGTGCCTCTCGTGCGAAGGCTTCGAGCCTGGTGGCCAGTTAGCTACCGCGCGTACTAGATGGAGCTTCAAGCCCATCGAGTTCGCGATCGAGTCATAACATGACGCGTAGTGAGGTCAGCAACTTACAGGTGGCATTATGAGAGGAGGGGAAGAAAGAAGAAGGGATAATCAGAAGGGTAGAAGAGAGAATAAGAGTTGAATGCAAGAGTATGGTTCTGCAGGCAGTTGGAGTCTAGTCAGCATTCCGGAGTGGTTACGGAGTACCCCAGTGGAGCTCAAATACCTGAGGACGGGAAGGTAGATTTGCACGTACCACGCGTGAATATGTGTCCAACCCCAATCAATCAGAGAAAATGCAAGGTTTCTGAAGCCGAATAGTCGGGTACTTGGAAGGGATTCGGCAGGCGTAGCCTCAGAATCGTAGCATATATGACTTTGTTGACGCTATTGACAGGAGCTCCCAAGACTCGAGTCACGTAACTTTTCGCGGCGGGAACGGCCCAAAGGTATGGTTAAATGAAGATGTAGTAGGATGATAGGGTTGTTTATTGGCAATGACGCGAGAATTAAGCCAGAAAACCGGGGTTTTGTCGGGGTGGTGGTCGCCTCCCTGGAGTAGATGATGATGGAGAGGAGTAGGAAAAGGTGGTAAACTTGACAGGGCAAAGGCGATGTTTGGCCCTAGTCTTAGCGTGGAAACTGGCCAGGCTGGGAAAGATGCCCCACAGCAAAACCCAGTTGGATCGCGTGGATTGCGGATTATTAACTGCTGTACAACGTCGTGTATATGCAAAGCCTGTGGACAATAGTCACGGTCCCAGGTATTATTATGGTATGTACGGTGAATGCCAATTGAGGGATATTAGGGAAAAGTGGAGGAGGGAAGGAAGAGTGACAGACGGGAAGAGACGGCAGCCAAAGGGGGGGGAAGAGAGCATTAAAAGAAGCAAGTCTATGGTTCAGTGGTTCTGTATATGTACGTGTATGCGTATGTATGACGGACGTGACTATCCTCGCAGACTTTCTCGGGGAAAGGGCGCTGGGTTGCGGGTGGATTGGGTCGAAGGGGTGCAGGCTGGATGGTAATGGTACAGTCACGTTAGTCCCTCATGGAAGAGGGCGGATCGTCATCCACGGTAGATGCCTGAGATGACCCAGGCAGGAAGACACCTCGAAACGCCCGTCGCGATCGAAACGTGATGTAGCGCGGCCACAATGGCCAAAACAAATGGCCTGTTGCGCGGCAACCGCTCAGGACTTTCCCTTGCACACTTTCCCGTACCCGTCTGGACGTGTTGCCGTGTCGCGCCGGCTCGTCAGCGACTGTGCCACACTTAGTCATACCCGCTGTGGCGGTGCATCAAAGTCATGTGCTCTAACGGCAAGCCACACCTCCAAACCATGCCAGACATTTTCACTCCGGAGAACGAGTGGAAGTGCTACGATCGTCATTGGTGCCCCCAACAACACTCCAATTGAGCAGGGTGTTGCGGTTCGTGGTGTTAGGGACGCCGATTTTGCCCATTCCTTGTTTTGGTCTTTGTTCTTAAGCATGTTTGAGCAGTAGCTTGCTACACTGTGTACTATTTGCGGCATCGGTTTGACATCTCCGATCACGCTTGATTGACCTCAATTCCTCCAGACTTACTCCCTACCTTTCCCCGCCCAACATGCTTCAGCCTCGGATGGCCCTGACGGGCCTTCGGCTTCCTTTCAGATGTCTGTCTTCGGTTATCCCATCCCGAGCTTACTCGACTGTTATCCGCGAACGAGAGAATCCGTCCGCCGATGAGTCTTCGAGTCCGATGTTTGACCCGAGTATCGCCTTTGCTCCTCCCCCTACTCGTGATGATACGGGTATCCTCCTACGTTCCTACACGCCTCGCACCCCCGGTATCAGACATTTGCGCAGACCGGTCAATGACCACCTGTGGAAAGGACGCCCGGTCCAAAAGTTGACGTTCCCCAAACGTGGTCAAAGCAAGGGTGGTCGAAACAACACTGGTAGAGTGACCGTCCGGCATCATGGTGGTGGTCATAAGCGCCGTATACGAATGGTCGATTTTGCGCGTGCCGCCCCCGGCCCGCACCTGGTGGAGCGCATTGAACATGACCCTGGTCGGAGCGCTCACATCGCCCTTGTCCGTAGTCAGGAGACTCAGAAGCTGAGTTATATCTTGGCCGCGGAGGGCATGCGCGCTGGTGATGTTGTTCACAGTTTCATGTCTGGTATCCCGGATGAACTCTGGAAGAGCATGGGAGGTGCTGTAGACCCTGGTGTTCTTGCTGCCAGAACCGCATGGAGAGGAAATTGCTTGCCGTTGAACATGATGCCCGTCGGTACTCTTGTTTTCAACGTTGGTCTGCGCCCGGGCGAGGGAGGCCAGCTCTGCCGTAGCGCTGGTACTTTTGCAACGGTCCTCGCCAAGGGTATCGATATCAAGGCCAAGCGTGAACATAACGACGGCCCCGATGGGGAGGCCGTGGAGAAGAAGCCTCTGACGCAACGCGAGAAGCAAAGAAAGGACCGCATTTCCCAACATGTGACCATCCGTCTACAGAGTGGTGAAATCCGATACATTCACAAGGACTGCTGCGCAACTGTTGGCGTTGCTAGTAACCCCAACCACCAATATCGCCAACTCGGAAAGGCTGGTCGGTCCCGTTGGCTGAACATTCGGCCCACAGTTCGTGGTCTTGCCATGAACGCAGCCGAACATCCTCATGGTGGTGGTCGAGGCAAGTCGAAGGGTAACGTTGACCCGAAGAGTCCTTGGGGTTTGCCGGTATGTATTCAAGCTTCGCTACCGTCTTTGCTTATAAGTTCTCAATGCTAACCCAGTCTGCGTATAGGCGAAATCCGGCTACAAGACTCGTCCCAAGTGGAAGATCAACAAGGCTGTGGTTACCCCAAGAGAGCGCAACCATGGCAAGCGTCGTCGTGGATACCACTGAACAATCGCGATCATGTACATTCTCCCTTGTTCCTTGCTCTTCCTTATGGCAATATTACGGTTTTTCTCAGAATGAATCCATCACCATTCAGGCTAAGAGCTGGGTGAAGCAGAGCACGGATACTCCGAAATCTTTCATATCTCCGCAAGGCGCTTTCAATTTGTGCTTGGCTTCAGATTGTGGGGGACTCATCGCCTTTTCATCTTGTTGTATTATACTTAGTTCTGTCTTGGCTACTATAGAGGGCTCCAGCTGTCTATACTCCAGCCACTCTGCTTCTCATCGCGGTACCCTTCATGTCTCTTTATGCTCCGGCGTTTCTCTTGTACACTACATGGGGTTAGAATACAATCCTTCTACATTAAAGGACTTGTTTTCTGTAAACATAGGATTCTATCATAAGAGGGCTGATCTGCGAAGACATGTGCAGCGCTCATTAACATCGACATAGCATGTGGCGTACGTGGAGCCTCATCGAGTGGATGGAGTCTCGGTCTAGAACTGGCGGAAACTGCCTGAGTTGTGCCGGAAGTAGTGGAGAAAGAACACCGCGCGCCCACCTCCAAAACTTACTACAGTCAAGACTGAAGACTGCCTTTAAATGCTTGGAGAGCTGTGGTGAGCATCTGTTTCTCCAGCTTGCCTTGTAACCGCGACAGACGCTTCACTGGCATGATCTCTGACTAACAAGAGAGGGATTCGTGGTTCCGATCCAGTCGTTGTAGCGTCCTTGGCCTAACCGACATAAGCTCAACAGTGCGCCTAAAATCCCTGTAACTTGACAGTCCGTTTCCTTTGGATGGTGCTTGTCTCTTTCACAAGTCCGATGACCTCCGGATATCCATGATCGGGATACAGCATCTCCAGTGCGGCAACGCTGTGTCTACCTATCCGGCTATATTGGACGACACCTCAGCTTCTCTTCCGTCCCGCGCGCCCGGCCATGGCAGATAGTCTCAACAGTCTAGTACAGCACTTTGGAACCCAAGCTTCTTCGTCTCAGCCACCACGGAATACAGCATATGAAGATACCCCGCCGATTACCGCAGGGCAGAGCGACGCAGATAGCCATTATATTCCCCGCCCCAAGCGCATCGCATGCGTACTGTGCCGAAGGAGGAAGTTAAGATGCGACGGAAAGAGACCCAGTTGCGGGACATGCTCTCGGTTGGGCCATGAATGCATATTCGATGAAGTGCGCAAGAAAAGCGGTCCAAAACGGGGTTATGTGAAGCAGTTAGAAGCACGACTGGGTACGTATGCTGATGCTTGACAGCTTCCATTCCAACCCTGGATTGTGCCACATGAGCGCCAATCTCTCCATCTCCGTTGCTGACATCGGTCTTCGCATGCAGCCCAGGTCGAAACTTTACTTAAGAGTCAGGAAACAAGAATATGGTCAACCCAAGGGAACGGTCTCATCGTCCCAGCGACAAACGATTCACCTGACGCGCCCGGCGCGTTTCCCCAGGATGATGTTTCTATGTCGTCCCCCGAAGGAGCGACCGATCCTGCTCTTTCCGTGCAAGTGTTCCAGCAGACAAGAGCAAGCAGTAGGGCCGAAAATGAAGGGGAGTTGATAAGCCTGGGGCTGGAGGAGCCTCTCCCAACGCGTGAGGTTATTGATGAGCTGTATGTCCTCTATATATTCCACCTTGTTGCCTGTAGCTTAACACTGTGCAGGACCACGATATACTTCGAAAAAGTCTATCCGGGAATGCCCATGATACACCGTGCAAGGTATCTGGCTGCTACAATTCTCGCACCCGGCTCACGGCCTCCTATTTGTCTGCAGTATATGATGTGGTGTCATGCAGCGTCTGTTACCGACAAATATTCCAGTCTGCATAATATCTTCTACCTGCGGGCTCGTAAGTATGCCGAGTTAGACGAATTGAAAGGGTTCGGGGAGTGTGTGGTGACTTTGGCGCATTGTCAAACCTGGCTGCTTATCACCACGTACGAGTTCAAAATGATGCTCTTTCCCCGAGCGTGGCTAAGTGCGGGCCAGGCTGCCAGACTGGCATTGATGATGGGCTTGAATCGCTTAGATGGACAGGGTCTCGATGTTAAAAAAACCCTATTACCTCCCAAGGACTGGACCGAGAAGGAAGAGCGAAGGAGGGTATTTTGGTTGACGTTCTGCGTTGACCGGTACGCAAGCGTTGGCACTGGATGGCCTGTCACGATCGACGAAAGAGATGTCAGTTGCTCCATTCTCTACGCCTCTCTTCGGAGACATCTTTTCCTGACTGAGCTTAATAGATATCCACGAACCTTCCCGCCTCTGAGGAGTCTTTCCTTCAAAACAAGCCGCAACAATCTATAAGTCTTTCAGAAGCCCAGAATGGTGGGGACATTTCTTTGTTGTCTCCATTTGGAGGCGTGGTCGTTCTAGCGTGCATGTTCGGCAGAAATATAACGCATCTCCATCGACCTGACCCCGGGGATAAAGACCATGACCTCACTGGAGGATATTGGCAGCGACACCGGGCCCTTGATAACATCTTGCTTCATTTTGCCCTTGCCATGCCGAGCCATCTCCGACTGACAGTCGCGACAACCGACCCAAACGTGATATTCTGCAACATGGCCATTCACACAGCAACCATCTGCCTGCACCAGGCTGCTATCTTCAAAGCTGAGAAGAACAAAATGCCGGAGCAGATTGCAACGGAGTGCAAGCGAAGATGTATACTAGCTGCCGATCAAATCTCCAACATAATGAAGATGATAAGCCATCTGGACCTGAGCATCGTAAGTCAGCAGAAAAACCTTGGTCATTATGTCGTGCTCATTGAACGCAGATGAACCCTTTCATGGCTTTCTGCATCTACGTGGCTGCACGTGTCTTCATCCAGTATCTCAAGTTTCGCCCCGACGACTCGGCAGCTCGTTCCTCGCTCCAATTCGCCTTGTCTTCCCTGCAAGCCCTGAAAGAAAGAAACCCATTAGCTGAATCGTTCATCGCTCAACTTGATCTTGACATTGGAGGGACAGCCTTTGGCGATATTCGGGATGGCAAGGCGTGTTTCACATCTCGTATACCTAGCGTGAGAACATCCTTCCCCCTTCAAGAGAAGCTACTAACCGATGACTCTTTAGGCTCGTGCAAGTGGTGACCCATCCCCCGATAGTACAAGCCAGCCAAGAGCACCAGCCGATGGATTATCTCCAGACGTATTCCCGAGCATTATAGGGCTTACCCCATCCTCGCTTTCAAGTCGGCAGACCACCACCGAAACGCTATCAGAAACAACTCCCGATCATATCGCAACAACCAGAAATGGCAAACCAACGAACATAAGCCCATCACAAGATCCCACTAACAGCGCCAACAATCTACCTCCCAACTCCATACCTGCACAGCCGACCTCATCATCTTACATGGGATCCAATTACACTCCATCGCAGCAACTCCCTCTTGATCCCCAATTCTTCTCGCCCAGCATATTCGCCCCATTTCAATTCACCAGCCCCTCCTTCCCCAACCAGTCAACCCCGCTTGAGTCTACAGAGCCCGGGATTCAGCTCTCAGATCCTCCTGCGTGGGATACTCCCAACATTGCTGTCTCAGACCTCACCAGCGGGAATATGGATACCCCGGCTAGCGGTTTCGGGGGCCTCAATGACGCTCAATGGACACAGCTCCTCACTTCTGGGGACTGGGAATCGTGGCAGGGGCTAAACCTGCCCCGTTGAGCTTTGCGATCAATATCGAAGTCGCAATGGCCTTGTTAACGATCCTGATGACGTGGTCTATGATTCTGACTGATGACTGATGATGGAGTTTGGGGGTACTATTGGTCCTTTTTGTTCATTCTCCAAAGACATAAACCTAGAGCATATAACAAGGCTACAACAAGGCTACAACAAGGCTACCTATCTATTTACTACATCTTCCCTTTGCCAATGAAACAAACATCCGATAACTACCCAAATCCATCAAAGTGATAATACTATAGGAACACGATTTCTATTCAATGCCCTATGCCATGCTTAACATCCGCCGTAAACATCATAAGCTCAATATACCCTACACACCTCAAAACGCCCTCAAACCAACCAACAAAAAAACACCCCCCTCCCCCCCATCATCATCCTCTATCCACGTCCAACCAATCTACAACCCCCCACCCCCAGCAGCCCCCACAATTTTCAAACCCCCCGGCCCCGACCCATCCGCAGACGTAGAATACGCCAACCAATACCTCGACGGATGCCACGCAACAGCCGGAATCCCCGAATTGACATTCCCACCCGTCGGCACCGTATAAACACTTTCCCCCGTTTCAGCATGGAAAATCTCCAACCCATTACCACCGCAACCTGACTCATCGCACGCACCGCAGATGAATCTCCCATCGAAACTCCAGCTCACGCCGCGTACAGCCCCACCGTTATTACTCGATACTGTGCGTTTGCAGATCCAGTCTGTTGTGTCCCAGAGGGAGATGAGGGCGTCGCTACCGCCCACGGCGAGGTAGCGGCCCGTAGGAGCGAGGGAGATGGAAAGGCAGGCGGATGTGTGGGCGTGGAGGGTGTGGAGGACGTCGAAGGATGGGTAGGAGATGAGTTTGACGGTGCCTTCGCCGGTGGTGGCGAAGAGGTGGAGGTCTGGGGAGGAAGGGGTGGAGACGTGGTGGGAGAAGGTGGTTGCGTTGGTTTGGATGGGTTGGGGGTGTGGTTCTAGGGCTTTGTAGGTTGTTGATGATGGGGTGAGGGTGGGCTTTTGTTGCGTTATGGATGTTGTTGTTGTTGTTCCGTCGGATAGGATGGTTGGGGTGGATGGGGATTCGACGGAGATGGGGATGAGGGTGTCATCCTGGTAGTGGTTGTTAATTGATAGGTTCTACCTTTTTCGTGGGTGGCTGGGTGGGTGGGTTGGTTATTTGTTGATTGCTCACCTTTCTACCGACGACCATGACGCTACCATCAGCAGACCAGGACAGGGTGAATGCCTCGCCTCCAACGTCGAGACGGCTCACGCAGGTCTTCGACCGGACATCCCAGAGACGAACGGTGCCATCTGTCGAGCAGCTGGCTAATTCCGAGTCTCGAACGGGGTTGAATACGACTTTCTCGATGCCGGCTGTATGGCCGCGCAGTTCGGTCGAGTATTTGACCTGCGAGCGCTCGGGGTTCCAGATTCGGAGGGTACGGTCTGCGGAGCCGGTGGCGACGAGCTGGCCGGTGGGATTCCATGCTATTGTGCGAATTCTAGAGTGTGCGATGGGTTGCGTCAGTATGAAGTTCGTTTTGATGCATCGATGGTGGTTTTTGAGATGGGAACGCACGTATGAGAACCTGGTCCGCGAGAAGCAGGGTCATGATAGTTTTGCGTTTTGAGACCCCCGAATGCGTGTGCAAATCGGTCTTTGGGGAGGAGGTTCCGTCGAGGAGGAGCCATTGCAGAGGTGGTCTTTGAGTGATTGTTGCTGCTGCTGACGGGTTCGCGATTGCGGCAGCAGCAGCCTGGACGGATGCCCCGAGGGGCTGCGGTAGGGAGAGTGAAAGGGGGTGTCTCACAAAAAGAGTGAGAGGGTAGCTGTCAGTATGGAAAGTAGTCTCCGGGAACAATTGCAAAGATGCGCTGCTTGACTGCGGGGAGGCTTGAGAGAGCTACTGCGCGCGGTGATCGCTCGATGCCCGCAGAGGCCGTGATGCGCTCGGTGATTGGCTGGAGCTCGGCCGCAAGTTGGGGGGTGAGATGACATAATGCAGGCACAGCATGCATTCGCCAGTTGGCCACATTGCTCTGACTAGCTCAACGGTTTGTAAGGTATTAGGACCAATCTGCTTGATAAACTCATTTAATATCACCTGGAATTATTCAACCGAGGTCAGTCTGCCTGGAGTATCAGTACATTCACCCAGTTCCAGACAATTCGAACTTCCGTACAGTATACGGTCAGGTGACCTGGCAGAACATTCCATGCAGCAATTGTCATGGTTATCAGCCAGTAGTATATGTCCTAACTATACAAAAGCTCATTTGGATCTGCGTACTCGAATCCATAAAACACTACTGGCTAATGAACCTAGTCCTCTACTCATCCTACACTGTGCCTGGCAACCACCGTATAGGGCTGGAAAATTCTCTCCGAGCTCAACCACACTTTTCATCTACCAGCATCTAAGACTGCGCCGGACTGTCTGACTGTCGAATCGACAAAATACCCAGAACCCCTTTCATCGCCTTCCTATAGTCATGCTCGACTTTGAAGATGACGCGTCTAGGCGCGAAAAATGCTACACCACCATAGCTCAACTGCCTGCTTTTATCGATCCAAGGCAGCCACCCACAAAGCGGTCACCTTTCTCGGCCATTCTAGGCCGTCCATACATCCATACGGTAAGACACCCAATTATGTTTGCAATGTTTGATTGCCTCGTATTTCCTCCTGTAGAATCTGGTGGTATTTGTCCGATTTGTCTGTTGGCATTAATCTAACCGTTGCACAGGTTGATGTCATTCTGCCAAACGAGATCTACTCGGATATCCAAGACACTCTGCAGAGCAAACTTCAAAAACTGCGATATGCTAGGGTTTTCATGTCACTATCGTCTCTACTCGAGGGTGACTTTTTCAATACCTATATCAAGATTGGTATTCTTTGCCTTTTCTTTCTTCCATCGCCTGCTATCTAGGATGCTGCGAATGCAGAAGCTGACACAAGCATCGCAGGAAACATTCTCATGATATCAGAGGGCCGCTCCGGCTCAGACAATGTCTTCACACTCAAAGATGGTTTGTGGTTCCCAGACAGACCGTACAACGGACCTTCTTGGCTAACAGTTTTTCAGGTATCTTAAAACTGGAACTTGGCAAGGAAATCTTCGAGCGAACGGGACTCACAGGAAAGCCGATCCGCAGTGGAGGAAGGAAACATGCCAAAGAGCGATACAGTACGTGCTTTCAAAGCCCTTCCAGGAGTCAACGATCGCCATAAGTCATTGCACGCATGCTGACAAAACCCCCAACAGTCGTGGAGATCAACCTTCGACTCCCCTCAATGGTTCACGGAAAGAAGGGCTTCGAGAGAATTGTATGGGCCTTCAAGAACGTTCTGAACCAATCTGTAGCATGGCTTTTCTTCGACCTGGCATCGGGATCGAACGGCGTTGCCGAAGGTACTGGATTCCATTCCAAGGACCATGACTAGTTGACTTCGCATCATGTACTAATACAAAACAGACGACCTCTCCCTAAAGGGCAACCACCCACAAATCATCAACTGTGAGCCTGTCATCACCGAACGCCTCAATACTCTCGTTCCACCCTTCCAGGGGATAAACATCACAGAAGAGACCAGTTCAGCGCAATTAGAAGACCACTGCAACGAGATCTCCGAGTGGCTTGCACTGGTATCTCTCGAATCGCCTCGAGTAACGGCCGCAGATGATGTGGATCCATACCTATGCCGTTACAGTGTCCCAGATTCGGATGATGCGAAGCCATCCAATCTGGTTACTTTGAAGTGGCGTGGTCTTATTCCTTCTCGGTGGATCATGCAGTTGTTTGTCGCATTAATGTATGCTTTAATGGCTTTCCTGTGTGGCTTTAAGAGATTTGCTAACCTGCTTTATTTAGACGGGAAACTGCCCCAAAGGGTAATGATGCGTCCGCCTGGTTTGCGCTTTCCTCCAGTGCGTTGGGAAAGGAGGCTGTGGAGGGGTACGATGGATATACAGTAATGGTGCTTCCGGCGTCTACATCAAAGCAAGAGAAGATGGGAGATGTAGACGGCTCTTCTAAGAGCGGTGGTCGACACTATATCTGTTGGGAGTTCGTTGGTGCTTCGATTCTATAGTGTCCTATATGTCGCTGTTTAACATGTAGTAGGTTTTCGTAGAATTACTTTCACTCCATATACCCCAAAACTAGTATCACTTTTGTGTTCAGATTTGATTGGAATCGCATAAAAGTTTACAGAATATATTGAGTACCAGAAAATATTAAGTTCTTACCCTGTTCAACGTATCATTCATGTTCGTTGGTATCCAAAATCGTACTTCCCAGTGGTTTCCATATATTAGCCCACCCCAGAGTCCATAACCAATACACGCCAAACAATATTGCAAAAGAACAGGCAGAGATAACATAATAATCAAAACATGAAGAATGATTACCCGATAAGGTCATTGACCATGTCTTGCAGTACAGGGCGATTTCCAAGAACTTTACTACCACTCATCAACTTCGCACCCCTTTTAGCGGGTTTTCTCAACCCACTCGGCGATAGTCGAGTCTGAACAGGGCCTAAGGGGTTCCGAGCCATCTTTTTAGACGAAATGGGGTCCTTCGGACTAGGTGTTGATCTGCCTGGACCGGGCTGTGTCGAGATCGTTTCGGATTCAAAAATATGATCCGCCAAGGCATCCTTGGGTAAGTCATAGATCCACCCTCTGCCTTGAACCAGTTTGACGTATTTCCCTAGAAGCTCGTTGCCGTCACGTAGGGTACTCTTGCTTCCGACAACGAGAAGCTTCGTTCGTGCTCTAGTAAAAGCAACATTGACACGTCTCCAGTCACGGAGCAGGTCACCGACATTCTTGTCCGCGTTGCTCCGCACACAACTCAGAATGATGACTTCTTTGTCTCGTCCCTGGAACTTGTCTGCTGTGTGCATTTCAAGCTCCGGCAAGTAGCGACTCAGGTTCTGTTTTAGAAGCGACAATTGACTCCGATAGAGTGTTATAACACCTATGCTGCGCGCTGGAATACCACAGGAGATAAAGGCTTCGACGAGCCGGCTGCAAATAATTGCTTCGGTAGGATTTACAATCCGCGGACCGTTTGCAACGTCTCGTGCTGGTGTAGAAAGCGTGTCCGTGTTGACAAGCCGAGTCTTGGCAGACGGTTGGACCAGGTCTCTGAGCCAGCAGCGACCCTGACTTGTGCCCAAGCAAAGCTGTCGTTGACTTGGCGACGGAGGAAACGCACCGGGATGATACTGCTTAAGACCGCCGATATTTGGGACGGTCAGAGAGCGCGCTGCAACCTCTGGGGTTCCGCATTTCAGGCGGCCAGAGTAGATGAGTGTGTTAGAGAGGAGCATGACATCCTCGCACATTCGATACTGGTGTTCGAGGTTGACGACCGACTCAGGATGCAAATCGGAGAGTAACTTGAAAAGGCTAACATCCAGCCCGCCTTCTTGGGCCTCTTTGTTCTGTACCAGCGGAGGCAGTTGGTAGTGGTCACCGACGAGAATGAATGTTCTGGCCATTCGGATAGGCCCCAGACACACAGGAAGCGTTATCTGAGAAGCCTCATCAACTATACAGTAGTCGAAGATGCGTTGGGTGAATATGCCATGGCTGACTCCGAGGCAGGTTGTCGCTACCACCTGAGAGTCTTCATATGAGGCTTTCAGCTCCTCCATGGTATTTTTAGGCACCGCTGCCAAGTCAGCAAATTGCTGGACATCGGGGTGCACTTTTGCAGGAGCGCCGATTCGCAAGATGCGGAAGTTGTCATCCTTGATTTTTAGTAGGATGTTATCGACCGCTGTGTGGGTGTACGAAGTCAAAAGGACGCTCTTTCCTTGCGCTACCAAAGCACGGATGATATGAGCGATGGTAGTTGTCTTGCCAGTACCGGGCATCCCAAGAACCAAGGCATAGTCCTTAGCACTCATGACCTTGTCAATTGCTTGTCTCTGGTCAACATTTAGGGTTGCCTTATCAGCTTCGGACAGGCTATATCCAGATACGGCAGTTCTGAAAGCAGGTGCTTCCCCTTGAACAATCAACCGCCTCAGCTGTTGGGCTTGGAATAGGTCTCTTTCCATCATGGAAAGCAGGTTCGTCCGGACAATTGCCATGCCGTTACTGAACTCATCCTTGTCCAGACGGTAGACTGGCTCTTCTTCCGACTCAGCTGGCGACGAAGAGACACCGTCCTCGAGTATCTCCATCATGCCCTTAAAAGATTGGTTACATTTGGCATCGAAGCCCTTAGTCCTTGTCCTGGCATTGTGCAGTCGCCTGTCTACTGCGACGGTGATGTGTCTTCGGCTGACTTGGACGACGTATCCGTTTGCAAGCGCAAAATGGCCTTTCTCATCAGAAACCACGATAGGTTCTCCAAGGGTGAGCTGAGACTCGGTAAATGAAAATGATGAGTGCGCCTCTTTTTTGACGAAAGTGTATCGAAAGCGGTTAATCTTGGGTCCGTCCTTTTCCTCATAAGTGGAACGAGGATCTATCACGACATTGCCAAAGCATCGGCCCAGGGCCTCGCGCTCACTGCTAAGCAATGTCCAAAGCTCACGCTTGAACCGAATCATGCTTTTCTCCTCTTTTGTGAGCAAATCATCCCATTTCTTGAAAAAGTCGCGATCATTAGAGGTCAGGTGGTCCATGGCTTTGACAAAATCATCGCCGAGACCGCTGGTCTCGCCATCACCGTCGTCTGCGAGCTTGTGATAGATAAAGCAAGGTGTCTTCGAATAACACTTATTGCAAAATGAGGACTTTTTGGCCATCGGCGGCAGTTCGTTTCTCTGGCGCATATACCCGACTATGCGGTTCCGTTGCTGAATCATCTGGAGGAGCTCATGCCGGATGCCACGAATCCGTAGAATCTTCGTTGTTTCGAGGTAGTATAGCAGTCCGAATGTACACTCCACATCTATACACCAGGTGTCAGCTCCTAGCTAGTGCTGTTTTAGTAACAACACGAGACGCTTACCGTATCGATCAGAAAGCAATAAGGTGTAAAGAGCTGTCTGAGCCCTGTGAGCCTGGTTCGTATCCCTGTTCCCTGTTTTGAGCTCAAGAGGTATGACCAGGTTTTTGTCACTCTCTCCATCATTACAGGCAACTTGCACAGTGGCATCAACATTGCCTTTCAGCCCATACATTGGGGACCAAATGTGCTCTTCGACCTCAAGGAGTTTGTTGATACTTAAACTAAGCTTGGAGCTGCCACGATCTTCAACCAATGATTCTGCCTGTTTTGTGAACAGTCAGTATGGCTGCTTTACTTGAACACTGGTTCAACTCACACTTGGTCTGGCCCTAAGGAAACGCTCTGCCCAGGCCTGCACGCCCGGTATCCTGCTCATCACGTATTCAACGGCCTCCGGGATACTCATGCGGATTAAGTATAGATCTTCCATGCGCTTGATAGTCACGGCCTCAATCATGGACCTTAGCGAGTCCGTGTCCCAATTGTTGACTTTGATAGCTTCCTGGAAGACCTCGTGGAAGATATTTCCAAAGACTTGCGCCTTTCCCAGATCAGATGTGTATTTGATGCGATCTTGGAGAACCGCGCGACGCTGGCAACTAATCGAGTCTGCCACGACAGTTGCAGAGACCAGGTGGTCTGGATGCAGGATCACCATGTTGTTGGAGTCATCCACGATGCAATGTCCTGTCGCATCGAAATCTCCTATTAGGTGGATATAGGACTCCTTGACGCACGGGCTCTCGCACCATGACTCTCGAAGGATGATGCCTCTCCTTTCTTTTGTCCTCTCATCCTGTACAAGAAGCATCTTTCATTAAGGTCAGTCAGCAATTCAATCCTGCCAGGATTTGCGGTGACAGACCTGTTCTGGCTGAACGCGTCCTCTGGGGGTTTTATACGCAGACTCGGCAATATCAACAATAAGGTAGCGCTTGATGGCTTGTCGGCCTTTAATGTTCTATGCATAAGACTTAGCAAGTATGTAACATGTGTACCCACTTAAAAATGACGAACATTGTTTGATCCGACTGCTTCCGAGTGCACCATAGACTGTTCGATAGCCTCCAAGTCTAAGCCATCATCGTCAAATTCATCACCAGAGAGTGACTCTGTACTCATGTTCGTTTGATTGAGCGAACCAGATTTCCCTGCAGGAAGCTTCCCATATCCAGCCACGGGCATCGTTTGCTTGGGGACCAATGGCTCCACAGACATGGGGTTTGCCAGTTTCATACTTGGAGTCTTATCACATTCAGCGAGAAGATCTTCCATACTATCCGAAATGCCATCGAAATCATCGTCAAACTCGTCAGCATCAAAAGTGTCTTCGTTATTGGTCGACCTGTCCACGTCATTTCTTGTATTCATCACATCAGTCTTCTTTGGTTCTTGTGCTGGAAGGCGGATTTCCGTCGGAGCGCTGTTGTTCTCACGGTTTTCGCTCGGAGCTACATTGCCGTGGTGAGGGGAATCGGCATCCACAAAGGGGTCAATGGAAGCTTCTGCAAGATCAAAGAAGTCCTGGTCAAAGTCGTCATCCCCGTAATCAGACGAAGATTCTTCCAAAGGTTTCCTGTCTTGAGGCACAGCATGAATAACCCTAGGTTCTTGCACTTGGCTTGTCTTCCTTGAAGGTGGTGCTGGACCTTTTCTATCTTCTGTCGGAGACGCCGACCTATTACGTCGAACATGGTTGCGCGCTGGAATAGGAGACGAGTCAGAGATGTCTGGCGGTGGCCTGGGCACCTTTTGCAAAGTTTCCTCAATTTTCTTCACAAGAGAACTGATATCGGGGCCCTGGTGGTTCCCTGAGTCGATAACATTACTCCTCGTCCGTGAGAATATGCTGCGTCCTGTTCCGAACTTTTCTCTATCGACCCGTCTCCGCTTGGCTCTCGAGCTAGGCCATTCAGCCATGCAGCTATTCGATCGTCTGAGACCTGAAGAATCCCGACCCGTACGCATCGATGCTGGGGTTTGGGGTGAAGAAGAAAGGAGATTTGTGAGGCGTGGCTGAAGTAGTTCTCCATTGCCGTTGGCAAGAGTTTTGCTCACATAGCTATTCCATAGGTCGGTGGCGAGGTCATTTTGAGGGGTCTTGATAAGTCCCTGATAGTTCTGTAGGTCGAGAGATCCTCTTCGTCTACTTTTCGAAGTCCCTGCCAGGGGAGAACTAGTCGGGGACGAACTGTGGCGGCGCTTCTTGCTCCTTGTTGCAGGGGTCTGGGACATTCCATCCTGATTCGAGCTCACAGGCACATGCTGCCAGATGACATAGTCTTCTGGGGTAAGTTCCTGCATTGGAGCCTGGTTAAAGGCATCCTCTGCATTGCTGATCAGATCTGCCAGAGGGATTCGGTTTCCTGGAGTGTGGGGGCATTCCTTCAGTGTCTTTGATTCCTTTGTCTCGGTTGGGTGTTTCTGATTTCCTGTCTCTGGTCGCTCATTTCCCACCACCCCATTTAACCAAGATGTCTGATTTTCCTTGTTCGCATGGCCAGGTTCTGACCCAGTCTTCTGGGGAGTTTTATTCGGACTCAGTCCATCTCGTTTGCCGTACCGGAAAGCGTTTAGTTTCGACCGAGATTGCGAGGATAGCTTGTATGAGTCGGTGCCTCTATCCATCGTGCTTATAGTTGGTGCTTTTCGGGACTTAGAAGGTAATGGGGCATCTCTAGACGAAAGGCCTAGATGGTCAGCAAGAGCATACCAAGTGGATCCTCAATAATTCCGTTTTCTGCAATCAGTACCTGCAGTTCAAAGATGAATATCAGAGTCTTTCTTGATACGAGTCATAAATGGCAGGTTCAGGAAAGAGGAGTGTTAATCCAAACCATACTTGGTCGGTGCATGCAATGGCAGCTCCGATGCACGATGCGATAAGCCACTCTAATTGGTCTCGAACGCGTCGCGCGTCGAGTGTTCCTGCCTCAGGTGTATGTTTACTAATGCCTGTAACGTCAGGCCAAAAGGCGGCATGGGAATTTTCCTGATTGGGACTAGCGGCAGAATCCACAGCAGTCATCGGCCTTTTGCGGCTTCTGAACATCAACCGCTTGACCGTCACATCACCCCTCCACCTGCCGCTTCTGCCGCTCCAACGAAAGCAGTGATATTTGAAATCACTCAATTGGGTCGACTATCGTTGTCGCTGGTCGAACGGATCCTCAACCTCGGCATAATTTCCCACCGGTCGTTGCCTCGCCATACCCGACAGGAATCCTCACCCGCCACCGCCTGTCCCTTATCATCCAGTTCGAAAACTAGGGGTTTCTGAATTGCAACAGACCCTTCACATACTCACAATGTCTGCTCGTCCGTTGTCGCATTGCCTTCGCGCTCGCTGTGTTCCCCGCCGGGCCCAGAACATCCAGGGTTTCTCGACCCGAAGCAACCTCCGCGGTGACCATTATGACCCTCCCACCGGCTATCTCTTTGGCCTCAAGCCGGGCCAGAAGTACGTGAAGGAAGGCTGGGAGAACCTGTGGTACTATGGATTCATCGGCAGTCTGCTCGTTGCTGGTGTCGCATATGTCTTCAAGCCAGACACCTCGTATGTTCATCCCCGTCTCTGATATGGCAGCTGACTTGGATACACCCTGGCATCATATCTTTCCCGTCCCAATGAATCGGTGGCTGTAGACTGACATAATCTTAGGATACAAACATGGGCACTTGAAGAAGCTCGCCGGCGGCTGGAGGCCGAAGGCATTCTGGAGGACCCTGACAAGGTCCAGCGCCAGTAGAGCGTTTTGGTCCGGAAATTTCTTGTACTTTGTACATAGAGTGGTCGGGCGTGGAAGACAATTTTCGTTTGAGTGGTGTCGGTAGGCACATGACGTCCGATCCTAGACAGGGCTTTTATTTCATTTCACTGTTCGCTTCCATTTTCCTGCGTGTATCTGTCATCCGATATCCTGGATTCCTATCATTGACGTGTTTGACAATGTTCCGAAAACGGGAGGTCTAGATTCTTTTACCTCTAGATGGATACATACGGCATATATTTCGGTCGCCAGCGGTATTGGCACTGGGTTACTCGGTATATTTTCGGTGTTACTCAACAAAAGTCGACATTGATTTCTTCGTATGAATCACTATCTACAAATCTTGTTGGACTACGCTAGGTCAAATCTAAGGACTATACTTCTGGGTATATATCCGTTCTCCTGAGTAGTGGCATCTCCCTCCTAACTTTGGCAAGGAGATCCAAATCAATATCTGCGGCCGCGATCTGCGGCTCCTGATACTCATCTCCAAGTTTCGCCACAACCTCTCCCCATGGATTGATGATCATGGAATGGCCGTAGCTTCTCCTCTTCTCGTTGTGAGGTCCAGCCTGCGCAGCGGCTACTACATAGGACTGTGTCTCGATAGCTCTGGCGCGTAGCAGAGTTTCCCAATGTGCCGTTCCGGTAGGAACCGTGAAAGCTGATGGATAGGTGACGATCTGAGCCTTCTGTCGCCGTAACGCCAGACTTATCTCGGGGAAGCGTAACTGTCGAAGGCCGTGTGTGAGCGGGGCTGCCAAGGCATTTTTCTTTGATTGACCACCTCTAACTTACATCAAAGCAGATAGACAAGCCAACACGCCCGACGGGTGTTTCAAACGGGGGTAACATCTCCATCCCCTTCTCGACGCTCCTTCATATATGGTTAGCTGGAATCGATAATAATGTGTTTCTAAAACATCAACTCACGCGCTCTCCTTCAATACTGGTCCGTCCTTGATTTCCACATCGAACAAATGGATTTTCTGGTAGCGTTGCGTAATATCGCCCTTTTCATCGATCCAAATAAGGGTGTTTTTGATTCTTCCGTTCGCTGCCGGTTCGTGGATTCCTACATTGATATGCAGACTGGCCAGCTTCGCTTCTTTCTGGAGGCCCAGTACAAATTCACTGTCTTGCACAGAGCGTACTAGAGAAGTACTCTCTGTAGGCGAGGAAGCGATATAGTCCGAGGCCTCGGGAAGAAACAATGCCTGATAAGATATCAGTTCAACGCAGGCTGAGAACAAATGCATTAAGCCATATAATGGAGGCAGAATTTATTACTTTAGCACCAGCCGCAGCTGCTTTGCGCACCAACGTTTGACATTGCGCCAAGTTTGCAGCAAGACTTGCAGTCGAGCAGATTTGCCCCACGGCCTGTGAGAAATGTATATTAGGCTCGGGGTACTCCGTAGATATAGGAAAGCTACTTGACGAAATTAAACACTTACTGCGAGAACCATGGCTATAGGTATCCGTTGCTCGAGATTATGCAAACAAGGGTGGGATGTTCACAAGTACTTTGACGTTGATGACGGGATATAGAATGCTTATCACGACTCACGAGAGACCCCGATGCGATTAACTACTTCCCCGTCGGCACTCGGCAGACTTTCCCGATCGGGGGCAAACGTCTGGATCCCGCTTCAGGTCGCGGATCCAGATCTGAGCAAACGTCACGGAGTCCACCAACGGCTTGAAAAACCGACACTTACCGCAAGACTCAACGACCTGCCAAAAGTGCGGTCGCTATCCAGGCAAGATGAAGAGCCTTCGGAGAGACTTCTCCTCTAACCCGCAGGCAGCAAATGTCACCAGCAAAGTCTTCGTGAGATCCACGAAAAGTGGAAAAGTTCAAAAGATCGTTCGCGAACTCTACCTCAGACAGGATATCCCTTGCTCATCCAAGCTTTGCTCGATATGCCCGTCTACTGCGCCAGCGGATGCTAATGGAAACAGTAAGGAACATGAAATGCACATTTATTTAGTTCAGTGGCTAATGCGACAATAGTTTCGCCGTTCGTGCTTTCGGAGCATCCTGCGGGCACCACCGCTTTCCCCCGCGGCCACTACCTCGTCCCTGATACGAATGCATTGCTAAATGGCATGGATCTTTTCGAACATACCGGAGCCTTCTACGATGTCATCATTCTCCAAACCGTCCTCGAGGAGCTGAAGAACCAGTCGCTGCCCCTCTACAACCGTCTGCTCTCTCTGATCAAGACCGACGAAAAGCGTTTCTACCTCTTCTTTAACGAGTTCCGACTGGAGACCCATGTTCGGAGGGGCCCCGATGAGTCGATAAACGACAGAAATGACAGAGCGGTGCGAACGGTGGCGAAGTGGTATACAGAGCATCTCAAGACAACGGCGAGAAAGGGAAAAAAGAATGACATCCCGGCTATTGTTGTCATCACTGATGACAAGGAAAACCTTCGTAAAGCGAAGGATGAGGATGTGACGGCATTGTCATTGTCGGACTATGTATCAGGTCTAGAGGACTCCGACAGGCTGCTTGACATGATCAACGAGTCGAAGGAGGCCAGGGAAGTGAAGGGTGCCCGCGGCGAGCTTTTCTACCCAGAATACTACTCGATGTCAAAGCTCATGACAGGCATAAGGGCCGGAACGTTGCACCAGGGAGTATTCAACGTGTCGCCGTACAACTACTTGGAGGGCTCAGTCAACACCCCGGCATTTGACAAGCCCTTGCTCATTCTGGGTCGCGATAACAGCAACAGAGCTATCTCCGGAGATGTTGTGGTAATTGAAGTACTTCCCAAGGACCAGTGGAAGTCCCCTTCAACCAAACTTGTCGACGAAGAGGCTGTCACGAAGAATGACAACCCCGATGCAGATGATACCGAGGCGGTGGTGACGGAGAGGGAACGGAAGGCATTGCAAGAAGAGGTTAGGAAGGCTCATGGGAAGAGTTCAGAGGGAAGACCGCAACCAACAGCCAAGGTGGTCGGGGTTATGAAACGCAACTGGCGTCAATATGTCGGACATGTCGATGCAGGATCGACAGGCGCTCAGGCTAGCTCCGGTCGCCGCCAGCAGAACGTCTTCGTGCTTCCTATGGACAAACGCGTGCCAAAAATTAGAGTCCGTACCAGACAAGGTGGCGATCTTTTGGGCCAACGAATCCTGGTCACTATCGACGCTTGGGACCGCGATTCCAGGTACCCTACTGGCCATTTTATCCGGTCATTGGGAGAACTCGAGACTAAGGGAGCTGAGACAGAAGCTTTGCTCCTTGAGTACGATGTGCAATACAAGCCATTCCCGAAGGCTGTTCTCGACTGCCTCCCTGCCGAGGGCCATGACTGGAGAGTACCGGCTAGCAAGGAGGATATAGGCTGGAAGGGACGAAGAGATCTTAGAGATCTCCTCATCTGCAGTATCGATCCGCCAGGTTGTCAAGATATCGATGACGCTTTGCACGCACGGCCATTACCGAACGGAAACTTCGAAGTCGGTGTCCACATTGCAGATGTGTCTCACTTTGTCAAGCCAAACAATGCGATGGACCTGGAGGCTAGTCTCCGTGGAACAACAGTCTACCTGGTAGATAAGCGTATCGACATGTTGCCGCACCTGCTCGGTACAGATCTTTGTTCCCTCAAGCCCTACGTGGAGCGCTACGCCTTCTCCGTCCTATGGGAAATGACGCCCAACGCAGAAGTCGTTTCCGCGGACTTCACCAAGTCCGTCATCCGCTCTCGCGAAGCCTTCAGTTACGAGAAGGCCCAGAAGCGCATCGACGACCCTTCACAGAAAGACGAACTCACCGAAAGCATGCGTACTCTGCTCCGCTTCTCCAAGATCCTCCGACAGAAGCGCATGGATGCAGGTGCACTGAATCTCGCCTCGCCAGAAGTCCGGATCGAGGCCGACAATGATGAAGTCGGTGACCCACTCACAGACGTAAAGACGAAAGCCATGCTCGAGACAAACAGTCTCGTCGAGGAATTCATGCTTCACGCCAACATCACAGTCGCTTCCAAGATCTACAGCACCTTTTCCCAAACCGCCATGCTCCGTCGCCACGCCACCCCTCCCCCGCAAAACTTTGAAGAGATTATCAACCAGCTTACCAAGAAGCGGGACATGAGACTCGATGTGTCGAGCTCCCGTGCCCTCGCCGACTCCCTCGACCGTTGTGTGGACGAGAAGAACCCCTTCTTCAACACCCTGGTCCGCATTCTCGCTACACGCTGCATGACCTCCGCCGAGTACTTCTGCGCAGGAGCCCACGCCGAGTCCGAATTCCGTCACTACGGTCTCGCCTCACCCATCTACACGCACTTCACCTCCCCCATCAGACGTTACGCGGATCTGTTGGTCCACCGCCAACTCGCTTCGGCGATCAACTACGAAGGCGAAGATGGCCGCGCTGTCGTTGAAGGAGTCATGACTCGGAACCGGCTTGAGGATATCTGCCGGAACATCAACTACCGTCACCGCAACGCCCAGTTTGCGGGCCGCGCCAGCATCGAATACTACGTCGGACAGGCGCTCAAGGCGCGCGGCGAGAAGATGGCAGCGGATGGCGTGGACGGCGGCATTGAAGAGGAGGGATACGTCATGCGTGTCTTCGAAAACGGTGTCGTGGTATTCGTTCCGCGATTCGGCATCGAAGGTGTCGTTCGCTTGGAGGACTTCGTGCTCCCGGGTGACAGCGCTCTCCGCACTGTCGAAGAACGACGGGAGCTGGTGACGCGCCGACAGAGCGACTTCGACAACGAAGAGTATACTCTGCGCGTGTCAAACAAGGGACAATCCGACTCCGAACACGTTTCGACTGTGGAACTCTTCCAGAAGGTCAACGTCAACGTCAGCTCCGTGAAGGAAGAAGGTGGTCGCGGTGCAGGAAAGAGGAGAGTCAGAATACTGATCTTGGGCAGCGATGCCTAGACTAAAAGTTTCCAAGTAATGAATATTGGGTATGCAACCTCACCACGACTATAAGGCGTCTAGCGGTGCTTATGTAGAATCCATATGTTTATGTTTCTTCTTGAACAACGCAATTTTATTCTAGAATGTCAATCTAGACAGTAATCTTGTGTCTAGTCCAGTCTAGTCTAGTCTAGTCTTTCGTGCTCTGTCCTTCCCATCTTTTTCTTTTGTAGACTAAACCCTCCTCAAAGCCACCATCTCCCTCAATAGATGAACCGGTGACCAGAGCTCACCCTCCTTCGCATCTGGCGCAGGAATCCCAACCGGAGGTTCATACTTCTCACCCCCCTGCGCAGGGACCCCCTCTTTCTTCCCATCAGCAACCATCACACCAGCAGAAGACGGCGCATCTTTCTTCTCAGACCGCACCAATTCCCCAATCTTCCACCCTCGCACAAGCCACAAACACACCGCGCCACCAATATACATAAACCCAGTGAAAATCTGTACTCTTAAATAAGCCGAGCCATTTGAGCCATTATCCCGCAACACAAGAGCAATAGCCTCAGACACGGTCGTGGGGGGCACCAACACGAGCCAAGTAATGCTCAACCCGCTGGGAAGGTCTCGCAAGCCGATAATCTCCGCCAGCACGGGGGTTACCGTTGCCCAGTAGGTACCTGCTACTGTGCCGACGAGGATAGCGAAGAATGAAACCACGCCCATACTGCGGGCGAATGTCCATATCACTAGGCAGAATAAGCCACATAGAAAGGTGAGGAACGTGGCGATGTTGATTCGGCCTAGTTTATCGCTGAACATGCCTACGATGGGTCGTCCTAGGCCTTGACCGAGGTTGAGCAGCGCACTGACGACGCTGCCCTGGTGTGGGGAGAGACCGACGGAGAGGGCGAAGTTGGCAACGCTGAATAGGAGGGCAACATAGCCTAGCATGCTGAAAATGCCCCAGCCTAGGAAAAGGAGGAATTCGGGTCGTTTGAGGAGGGGGAAGGAGAATGCGTGATGGCGGCTTCCGATGTCGTGGTTACGGTCTCTTAGTAGATTGGCGCATACTAGGTTGACGATGCAGGCGATGATTCCTAGGATTCGGAAGGCCCAGCTTAGACCTAGTCTGGGGATTATGGCGCCGACTGCGAGCGAGTAGATTAGGCCTCCTATGCCTGAGCCGGCTGCATTGATGCCCATTGCTAGACTGCGGCGGCGGTGGAACCATTGAGGGGTTATGCCTACGCTCCCGACGAAGAGGAAGCCCATGCCCCATCCGAAGCAGACGCCTTGGCTGAGGAAAATGTGCCAAAGTTCTGTGGCGAAGGAGGAGCCGATTAGGGAGACGGTTTCGAAGAAGACGCCGAGGTTTAGGACTAGACGGGTTCCGGAAACGTGGATGAGAGATGTTGCGAGAGGAGCTACCAGGAGGGCGCAGGAGATGCTGAGACCGCCGGTAAAGGCATAGGCTAAAGCAGAACCGTTGGGGAAAACATTGTGAGATAGGTAGTAGGAGAGGAAGACGCCGTAGCTCTATAGTTCGGGAAATGAAGTCCGTTAGTCTTGAAGCGGAGAAGGGATCCAGAAGAACCCACACTGTTGATTCCCCACGTGTGGGCATTGATCCAGAAGACGCACGCGACACAAACCCAGCCATAACCGCCGTCGGGAAGAATATGTTGTTCGTCTTTGCTTTCTGCGTCTTTGGGAGTCGAATCTTGTTGCTGGTCTAGAGACAGAGGAACTAGGCCTGGAGTTTCATCATAGTCTTCCGAGTGGATGATGTCGATTGGCGTATTATCAGCCATGTTTTGATGCTGAGATGAGATAGGTTAGGAGAATACAACACGCTGCTCTAGACCACAATCGTTGACTTCCAGGTACGGCATCGAGGGCTCTATCGAACATTCACATGAAGCTGCAATGGCAGCCAAGAAAGTCAAGTGCTAGAGCAAAAGAGAACGTTCAGCGGGGTAGAGATCAAAGCACCACATATCGCAGGATTTAAAGCACGACTCCAGGAAAAGGCAAGGTTTAAAAGACGCCGATGTGTCATAGAAGGCCTAAAAGGAAACAAGATCGTCAGGCATACTGAACCAGTCACTGGGTCCTTGGCCACATACAGTTCGGTAATTAGTCCGAGTGCCCCCGGCTCTGCCTGGTCTGTTGATTGGGTTGACTTTCACCCGGGCGTGAGCAAGATGGCGCCCATGGGTCCAGTTAGCGCAACCGTTGTGCCGATTAACCCGGGGCGGAGTCTGGAGAACACGAGGCGGTTCACTCGAGAGCAGGGAATTGATTCCCTGCAGCTTAGATGAGATGTCGATGGGGAAATAAGAAGGTGGAGCGGTAAGCGATAGCTCAATTTTGAGCGTTTGAGTGCTACAAGGCCCGATTCGCAGCATAGGTTCCTCTTAGATATCCAAACCATGTGCATACATCCATGTTGTCCACGTCGTGAGCTTGCTATTATATGAGACGAGGAACCGCGATTTCGGGATTTGACTTGTCACGTATTCCTATACTCAGGCATTGCAATACGTGGTCGAGACTTTTCATCAGGACAGCCGCCTGCACCGGCCTTGCAGAAAACACTCTTCTACGGCGTCGATCATGCTGACCCGGTTCCAGTGAGAGAATTTTTCTACAGACGGTGGCAATGATAACCGGATCATCCGTCCGAATTTTCAGATCCATCGGGTCATCCTCTTCTTCCGCTGAAAGGCTAGAAAGCCTTGTCTCTTCCGTTAGGAGCGAGACGGATGATCATGGTGACATGACGATCTTGTCCACTGTGAGCTATAAGGAAGGCAATGACTACGCAAGGTATTTAGATCCAATACCGGCTGTCAGGTCAATAAAGGACCGGTGTTTGAGCCCGGAGCGGCGAAACTGGAAGTTTATGGAAATGAGTTTGTCGTTCCAAGGCGGGTTGCACAGCAGCAGAGTGCAACGTACACAGGGAACCATGAGGGTCCCAGCTAATTGGCTCATGGTTCCGTTGAGTGGCAGACTCGGCCTTTTCCAGAAGGCTTCTGTGCGAATGATTCATTGCGTGTTGACTCATAAGTCGGCAATCCTGACTATAGGAGTAGCGTCAACCGGTTGCAAGTATCGTCACAATGACTCCCATGAGATGTATCTGACGTGCCTGTTCCAAGGACTAAGAATAACAAATGTGGCATTCCTACTTCAGAGGGTTAACTGCTTCAAGGTCAGAGACAGTCTTTTCCAGCAGTTCCTGCATGAAGTGGTAAGACGTGGTCGAATCGCCGTGATTGACAGTCTGGACATGCGAGCCACTTACCTATACAGTAAGTCGGAGAAATCGAGAGATGGCGACTTGGCATGTCCTGCACGCGTCAGACGTCTCGTGATGATGAGACCTGCCCGACATGGTGCATTCAGTGAAACAACGGTTTGCTGGCTAGACTGTTTGGCAGGATGGTGCTTCGCCAAAAGGGGGATAGTTCGCGGGGAGTCTTGGGCTGTTGGTGTTTGCGCTAGGAATTGGGTACTCCGTGATTATTGATAGATAGGCTAGATAGATAGATACTAGATAGCGCCCAAGGCAGCTGAACAAACAGTAAGACAGCCCCGCGTTGCCTTGAGAACCGGCACCTGGTGTTTGCAGTGTTTGGTCAGGCACGTTGTTGTGCCTCGGCGGGTAATGGTCATAGCTTCTTCTTCCTCCGTCCGACCCCCTGCCTATCACTAAAGCAACTCGCATCCATGAGATTAATATTAAACTAATCACTCACTAACCACTCTCTTCTATGCGCGCTAACTCGCTAACCTTTCTAAGCATAACCCTTCATCGCCTTTAAGCAAGGAAAGCGGATCTAGTTGGGCTGATCCGATCTCTCTAGTTCATTCCATCCCTGGTCCACTCCCCAGCCACCCTTTCGAATCTCATTGGCTCTGTTCGATTATATTAGACACTTACTTCATAGCTCTGCTGCTGAGAGCCAACTCATCATCCTACCCCTTCCTGATACTCCCCTTGGTATGACCCTTTAGGAACAACTTTCATGGCCAGCATGATGTACCGGCCTCCGTTTCAGAAGGCCAAAGACGGCCAGCGGAAATTCTCCCCTCCTGGCCCAACTTACATGTCCAACGATCAGATCGGTATGTGTTTACGCTGCGAAACTGGTTCGGAGAATTGCTGGCCTCTTCTGAGAATGTTGGCCGAGTGACCGTTTGTGGTTGACGTATCAATATTAATATCTGGCCTGACAGCGACCTATCTGAAAGATCTGCGGACAAATCGTCCCACGCGTCCCGGCGGATCAAGGCCGCTCCCTATGAGACCGACAGGGTCATCTTCCGACGCTCGTGAAGATCTCCCTCCGCGGGCGGCATCTGCAATGTCATCGTATGGGCATTCGAGTGTGTACTCAAGCACACCACCAGCCGAGGTCGAGCATCCTCGGGCCACCAGCTCGCTCTCGAACCATAGGCCAACGTCATCCCGGGGCGCGCTGGGCAGCCCCGCCGGGCGCCCGTTAGTCCAAGAACCGAGAACAGTCCCTCTACGGCAGAATGTCTCACCAGCTCGCGCCTTCAGTCGTGTTGTCCCTACCTCTCCCAAAACGGCTTATCGCGAGAGTCCTCAACGACGGATAGAGAAGGAGGAAGCAAAGTCGTTGCGGGATGCGTTACAAGAGATGGACCTACACGATGACATCGAGCTCCACGAAGCTGCTCAAGATGAGGCTACTGAGCTGGTGTGGATGCATCAAAACCCCGGTGTGCCTTATAAGAACCCATATGCACCGTACCATAACCCCGACTTGGATGCGGTCCGGAAAAGTCCAGATAGGAATAGTTACTCTTCACATGGTGAGAGGCTGGGCTCCCCAACTCCACGGCGGGGCAGCCGCCGTCTTGCGTACCAGGGATCAACCGTGAGCTACAACGGTACTAGCGGCTCCCGAGGGTCGGGTGAAAAGACGGCGCATGAACAACAACCTATCTTAGAAGAGGAGATTCCGAGCCCTAAGAAGAATGGAACACTACGGAAAAACCTGAAGGTCAACTTTGCGTTGCCGCGGGAAGAAGACACAACCCAGCATACGAGCACCAGCCATGGGTTGGGTTTGGCGAATGTCGGTAGGGACTCATCTAAGGGTATCTTCAGAAACCCGAACGACCAAATATACGAGGAGCCTCAATTGTCTCCTCGGAAGGACGAGGATACCCGTCCCGATTTCTCAAGGTCAGACTCGTCAGCTTTGAAGAATAAGCCACGAAACGCTCTTCCTCGCGGGTCACGTCCGCTTCCTGGTCGGTTTAGCGGCCTTTCCTTTGTTGACAAGCTGTCTCGCTTTGAAATCCATAAGAATCCCCCAACCCAATCAAGAAACCCCGAGTATAGAATGAACGACCCGCTCTCGCAACCCTCCGCGCCAACCTCCGGGTTAGAGGAGCAGGAGATCTATATGAAAGATGGACTGGAGATCCGCAGCGACGATATTCGAGCAGCTACTAGCAAGAAACTGAGAGATCGGAGCACTCGGCTGCCTATGCCAACTGCCGTGAGTGATCGTGCCGGCCGACCGATCGTGAGTTTCGATCCTTCTTGGAAGCCAACTGAGGCGCAGAATCCGCGTAACCAGGACGGTTTGAAAGGGTGGGACGCAACCCCTATGGCGCCTTCTCCGGAGCCTGCTGCACCGACGATTGAAGTATCTGAGGCGCCATCTATTCCGGTTATCAATTTGCCAGATAACAAGGAGCCTACTATCTCTGAGATGGCCGGTCCATCCCAGAGCCCAGCGACTAGCGCGAAATCATCGTCAAATTCATCGAGAAATAACAACCCCCCCAGCCGATCTCCGAAGAAGCCCACAACAGGACTGCAGAGTCGCTGGTTGTCCACCTACGCCCGCTCCGGTGTTCCCACCGCGACGTGTGAGGCTTGCTCTCTGCCAATTGCAGGTAAGATTGTGACCGCTGCTGGGGCGCGATTCCACCCCGAGTGTTTCGTGTGTCACCAGTGCCAGACTGCCCTGGAGTGTGTTGCATTCTATGAGGAACCCGAGGCAAGTCGTAAGGAGCGGCTCGCGGAAGCTCCTGCCGATGATGAAGAGGCTCATGCGCCGAGGTTCTACTGTCACCTTGACTTCCATGAGTCATTCAGCCCAAGGTGCAAGAGCTGCAAGACCCCAATAGAAGGAGAAGTGGTAGTTGCCTGTGGAGCTGAGTGGCACGTTGGGCACTTCTTCTGTGCCGAATGTGGTGATGTACGGCCTTCCCTTCTAATTTGAGATTGGCGGATGCTAACGGATCTTCTTTTCTAGCCTTTCAATGCGGAAACGCCGTTTGTAGAAAAGGATGGTTTTGCATGGTGCTTGCACTGCCACTCTCGTCGCACAGCTCCTCGGTGTATTGGATGCAAGAAGCCTGTGCTGGACGATGTCGTGATAAGCGCAATTGGGGGGCAGTGGCATGATCAGTGCTTTGTCTGCCACGAATGCGGCGATGGATTCGGCCCCGACGGTCGATACTTCGTTCGCGAAGGCGAGCCTAAAAGAACAGCCAAGGGACGTATCATTGGCGGGCCAGTCCAGCTGGCTGTTTGTGAGAGATGTGAGGGAATCCGGTTGAAGGCGTCGCCATAACGTATTTTTTTTTTCTTTACCGAATGATGAATGTCGGAGTTTGGGGCCTCTGGAGCTGTCTGCCGATGGACGACTGACGTTATGATCGGTATGACGATCGGCGTACGATGGGGTGCAGTGCTTGGTAACGAGCATGGGCTGAGGTTACTTTGGTTTTTCCGCATTGTCTGCGATTTCTATGAATTGTCATCTGCATAGCATCCAGCGGGAGTTTCGCAAGAGCATATGCTTAGGTGTTTCGATAGCGAATGAGTTAACTAAACAATGCATTTTGGTTTGAAGCATCGTTATAATCCTTGAATTAATCGTGCCAGTCGCGGCGGGTTTCGGTCATTGCCTTCGGAGCTTTCGGATGAATACGTAGTTCGGAAGAGGAAGGAGACTTCGCGTTACTCTCCCCTCGCCTCGGCTCGGGGCTTTGACTCGTCTCGTGGCAACCTCCATGTGAGAGAAAACCATAGGCAGATAGACCCTCCCTCGGGGCTGCAAGATGCAAGGAGGCGATGCCTCGAGTCGAGGCACCCACCCCCTGTCAGCTTGCTTGATGCCAACCCCAGCTTTGCGGGGAAATTAAGCTCTGCGGGGATCGCATCCTCATTGCTATCATTGCCTCGCGTCTAATGCTACCACGACTACAGATGCATATGACTTCCCCACTGGGACTGAAGGATATAGCTGCTACCTAGATCAAATGACGTCTCCCCCATGTCGAGCGATGTCTTCCGACGCACCATATCATTCCCCCATTCAAATTCGGCATAGAAGCCGGGTGTCGAGCCGGCATAAATATCCTTCGATGAATCGGTGCTCTGACAATTGCGATGTAAGCCAGTCGGAGCTAGCTATTCCTGCTTTCCATTCGGTTCTCAATAAGATTTTCATGATTTGGTCACTCTAGAAAAGCTCTTCAGCTTCCAATGGCGGGAGACTCTGATTCTCAGATCAAGGGCGATGCCTCGTTCACGGAAGAAATAGAGAATGTGACAATTCCATCCTATTCTTCCAAAGAAGAGAAAGATCTTGTTCGGAAGGTCGACTTGACATTGCTTCCAACAATTTGGATCATGTACCTACTCTCTTACATGGATCGAACCAAGTATGTCTTCTGTCACAGCTGCCACTGCGCTATCCCTACAAACTACCTGCTAATTGGGGTACGTAAGTATCGGCAACGCAAAAATATCAGGAATGCAAACGGATCTGGACCTGACATCGGGTCAATATTCAATTGCCCTTGTTGTCTTCTTCATCGGATATGTCATCTTCGAAGTACCTAGCAAGTAAGTTCCGCATCTACTCCCTGGAAGTGTGCCTAAATGATAACCGTTGGTGAAACGCCGCAGTTTAATCCTAAGCCACTCGCGCCCTTCGTTGTTCCTATCGGGCATCATGGTGGTTTGGGGGACATTGACCTGCTTGATGAGCGTGATAAAAGACTTCAAGCATCTGGTTGTTTTACGCACCTTGATAGGTGAGATGTTCTTTTCAGTATTGCATGAGTATGGATCATGGAAGGGACATCATTCTGATTCCAATAGGCTGTGTCGAAGCAGGATTCGCACCCGGTGTCCTCCTTGTTCTCTCGTCTTGGTATAAACGAACTGAACAGTCGAAGAGGTTTGGCGTTTATATATCTGCCGCAATCTTGTCGGGAGCCTTCGGGGCTCTTTTAGCAGCAGGTATTATTCAAGGTCTGGAAGGAGCGCATGGAATTAGAGGATGGCGGTGGCTGTTCATCGTCGAGGGGTCTGCAACTGTGGGAGTCGCAATAATATGTGCATTCATCCTGCCAGACTTTCCAGCCACCTCGAGACGACTATCGGAGAGAGAGCGTTATATAGCTGTTTCACGGCTTACAACAGACGATGTCACTGCCATGACCGAAGACAGCGTCCAGTTGTCTCACTGGCACGCCGTTATAAAGTCGGCCAGAGATTGGCGAACATGGGGATTTGTGGTCGGGTATATGGTATAGTAGCCGTTTTCCTACTTGCACTGGTCCCAATTCTGACATTGAGTAGGTGATTGTCGGCTCCAGCACACTGTCATACTTTTATCCCACACTTGTGGCAGGTCTTTTCGGCGACTCATCCACTGAAAGGGTAAATTTCCTAACGGTACCCATTTACGCAGTCGCTTTTGTCTGCACCGCAATCACAGCTTACTTCAGCGATAAAGCTCCCCAGTGGAGGGGTCTTGTCATCGCTTGCTGGCTGGCTGCATCACTAGCTTGTTCTGTTGCAGTCTGCCTCGTATATAATTACACTGCGCGATATGTCCTTCTGGTTCTTATGGCCGCCGGGTTGTGGGCAACGAATGGAGGCACGCTTGCCTATGCATCATCCGCCTTTGCAAACATGCATCCACAGGTAAGAGGTGTCAGCCTTGCGCTGGTAAATGCTCTAGGCAATCTGGCTCAAATATACGGATCGGTATGAACAATCTTTAACTACGACAGACAGTTCTAATCAATCAATCGCAGTATCTGTTTCCTTCGTCGGACAGTCCGAAGTATATCATGGGATTCTCGGTTATCTCCGCCATGCTTGCCCTTGGAGTGGTCGTCTTTATTGCGATACATATCTGGTTTCGTCGTACTGACGCCATGGGGCGCGTGTGATGGTACGGAATATCAGCCGGTGACAGCACATTTATTGAAGTCCAGGCATCTGGCACCAATTTTATGAGGTGCACCATAGACCCACCGAGGGGAGGACGCCACTGTATATAGGCTTGCAACTTCAATTGAAAGCAGTGGAACCATATAACTGTGCATTAGCATCCCGGCAAGGTCACACAAGTACCATAAACATCCAGATCTAACTTTTATCTCAAAGCAAGTCTATCAACTCAAGAAATTCCCGCAATCCAGGGCCCTCAAGCCCACTCCGGGTCCTGCTTCCTCCTAAACACAGCCACATACTTGTTTCCGTTATTCCTTGTGACCTTCTTTCCTTCCTCCGTCGCCTCCCTCATCACCTGAACACACTCATCCTTCTCCAACTCCTCCTCAGACACCCGTTCAAACAACTCCTTCACCGTCGGGCCCTCATTCTCCCCCTCCTCAACGACAGTTTCATCCCGGAAATGTCTCAAAATCCAATGATGATACTCCTCCACATCCGTAATCGTATACAACAAACCCCCAGGCCGCAGCGCATACGCATACTCAGCATTCAGCGTCTCCGAGATAATGCGCGCCTTGTGCTTCCTCGCCTTGAAATGCGGATCCGGGAAACAGATAAAGATCTTCGAGAGCTGATGCTTATTGAAAAAGTTCGGGAAGAACTTCATCGTGTTGCTGCGAATCGCAGAGATATTCTGGTAACCTCCGGGGACGAGATCGGTACTGGTATTCGGGTCCGGGGTGGCCGGAGCGTCGGCCGGTGTATCAGCCACAGGGGTGGTAGGGGCAGGGGTCGAGGTAGAAGAGGGAGGTTGCGACTGCGACTGCGATTGTGTTTTCGGTTGCTGTTGCTGTTGTTGCACGCGGAGCGCTTGAATACGAGTGCTTAGATAGTCGAGGACGGCGACACGGATTTCCATCCCTATAGAACCATGTTAGCTCACCATATCTCTCTCCTCCCTCATGCATCCATTCCCTTTTGAACCAGATAAGACACAGGACAATACATACCAACCATCAACGTCTCGGGCAACAACCCCGCCAACCCAACAAGCAACCCACCAAACCCACACCCAATATCCACGACCTCCACATCCTTAAGCAACTTCCTCGTTCCAATTGGATTAGTCTGTGCGGGATCAGGGTTCACAAAAGCCGGGAAATGCGATGCCCAATCCATATGCGCCGGGCTAAGAGGACTGAAAAAAAGAAGAAGTCAGCATAATGCCACACCCTCCCCCACCCCCATCTTAAACCCCCAAACCACCAAACCAACATACTAATTCAACTGATGATCCGAAAACGGATTCGCATGGGCCCGCTGCCGATAGAACTTCTTCTTGGGCAGCTTAATCTTAGCTGATTCATCCGGTGTCGCGACGACCGCTTCGGCAGCTTGTTTGCGATATTCGGCGCGCTTTTGGCGCTTCGCGGGAGGTTGCGACATTATTTGTTGTGAGAGATGTTTGAACTTGGGACAATTGAGGGGAAGAAGCGATGAGGGGTTTTGTTTGGTCTTAGAGGGGTTGCGGTGATTGCGGAGGTGCGGAAATTTCAAGGGCGGAGAGAAATTGGTAGGTAGGTTGGCTGGCGGTGACGTTCGGGTGGGCTAGGCTGGGCTGGGCTTATCGATCACGGCCACCACCAACACGACAAACCACTATCTTTACTATCTACTTATTGAAAGCTGTTTTTAGGGGGGCTATACTTTGGATTAATAACATAACCCAGCGACTCGAGAGATAATACCATCAGGGAGATATACATCAGACACAACGGAAATGACCACCACCACAACAACAACCCCTCCCTTCCAATTCCCCCTCACCTATTCCTTCCCGGCCTTCTTCACCCCGCAACCCAACAGCACCACACGCACATCTCAACTCCAGAAATGGTCCTCCTTGATACAATCCTGGTGTCGGCATCACCGGACATACCGACTCTCGGTGATCGAGGCCATCGAGTCCCCGCTATTTCATAACGCGACGTTGCGGAAACGGATATCGTTGAGCGATGCGCGGGATATTCTGGATTGGATGGCGAGGGGTGAAGAGGAGGGTGGGGGAGGGAAAAGGGCTGAGTGGATTGATGGGGGGAGTAATAATAAGACGGTGGCGTGGATTTGGTGGAGGAGGCCGGAGGAGTGGGCGGGGGTTGTTGCGGATTGGGTATGCATTCTATCTATTTATCATTTCATATGGAATGGATGAGGGGGATAGTGCAGTTGCTAATTGTTGGCTAGGTGGAGAATACGGGCCAGAAGAATGTGGTGCTTACGGTGTATGAGTTGTTGGAGGGGGAGGCTACGATGTCGCAAGGTAGGTGGTCACTTGTTGCGGAGTGTGGTGTGGTGTGGCGTGGTAACTGACTTGAACAGAATGGCATGGGATGGATCCGGATGTGATGCTCAAGTCCCTTAATGTTCTCGTGAAACGAGGAAAAGCACAGGTCTTCGGTGGTGAGGGCCAAGAGGGTGTCAAGTTCTTTTAAGGAGATGGCGCCGCTCTCGATTCATTGATTCATAAATGTCCTTGGGAAACGCTGTGGATGGGCAACTATCTTCATATGAAAGTAAGGGTTATACATACAAAATCTAGGCAATGACCCCGAAAGAGCTATGCGAATATCCGCCGCCAATACAAGCAAATATGTCATCGAGCACTCCTAACACCAATCTGATACCACTACTGCTCCATGTCTTCCGCCATGTCCTCATTCAGCTCATATGCATCTGCTGTATGCGACGTTTGTGACATGGCAATATCAAGGAGCCAGTCCACGCGGACAATCCGCGGCGTTTTGCCTGTGCTCAGTACCATCTGGCGGAACCGCGGCCACAACTTGACGTGGTCTACAGCAGTGCTGCTCAGCAAATATGTCTCCTTCCGGCTGCGATCGTCGTCTCCCGAGCTCTCGTCGCTCTCCTCCCGCTGTGACCGGTACGAAACACGGCCGCGGAATAGGGAGCACTCTCCTCCATTGGCATCCACAATGGATTTGAACGCATCAAACCCGCCACGAATCGTTTCCACACAATAGATCTGGTACCCGCGCAGGAGCTTGTTTTTGTTCTGCTTGGCGTTTGCTTTTGCTGCTTCCAGAGAGAATCCGTATTTCTTCTCGGAGGCTTCGTCTTTCAGGGGAAAATCTGCAGGGTCCAGAAGTTCGTCCCGTTTGAGGCACTGCGTGATAAATTCAATGTTCATAATCACCGGGCCGTATGCGAGCGCATTGACGAACTTGGGGGTTCGTAGGATGGATGGAGCCGCAAGATGGGAGCATCTCCGAGCATCTTGGACAACCAGGACACCAAGATCACGAAGTTGGCGCTATTCATCATTAGACAATTTCTCGGTTAACAGCGTATATATAGGTAAACAAACCTTATCTGAGTCTTCCTTCTTCGCGTTTCCAACCCATTTTTGGTACCCTGTAATTAAGAGGTGCATTGCGACAGGAGGCTTCGACTTCTTCTGCCTCTTTGCTTCCGTCGTATCCTCTTCGTCGCTCTCTTCCCCCGCCTCCATTGACCGTCGCTTCTTGCTATTGTTGAGTGTGACCCGATCCTCATCGGTCTTCCGTCGACCACCATAAATCACACCACCAACACGCTTCTTCTCTTTTTCATACAAGGCAATATCCGGTGCGATCTCATGCAGTCGAGCGGTTGCGGCATCCTTCGACCTACGGCTGCTTGTCGTCGATGGCGTTTCATTTTCCTTGCCTTCAGATGCAAGCCGAGCACGCGGCGTCTGTAATTTCGGGGTTTCGCCAGCCTTCCGCGATTTGCCGACTGGACGCGGTGTCGCACTCTGTGGTGGTGGTACTTCGCTCTCGGATTCTGTCACCTTTGCTGATGGTGGTTGCATGGTATCCGTTGACTTAGCTACGGTATTCTGTTCCTTGGTCTGCATCGCTCGTCGAGGGCTGGCCGTGACTCGGGCTTGCGTCTCAGACGGGAAGAATAGGCTCTCAAGGATCGACCTGTCCAGCCTGGTCTGTCCAACAACTTCGCCTAGATTCGTCCTCTTGGGGAAGTGGGTGTAGCGAGGATCAGATACTGGTTGTAGTTTCCATTTTGCGTAGCTCTCTTCCAGCCACAGGTGGTTGACAACGTGCAACCCCCACTCTTTTGCAGCGGCGCATTTCTCGCTGTTCCCATGGGCAGTCACAAGATGGGTGTTTTCTTGCTTCAGCGTCTTCGTGCACTCTGCGCCCGTTGCAGTAATCAAATTCTCCAGGTAGGCTCTAGCCTCTCCAACATAGTTGGACAGACTGACCTTGAATCCCTTGAAGCCCGGGATCCCAGAGCGCGATACGGGGTAGTGTAGTAATCGCCGTAGGGGAGACGTCCAAGTGTTGTAAGTCATCATGTGGTAAAGCCATGATAGGTTTCCGACGTCCTTGTTCAGCCTCGATGCCGTGCGGTATGCGAACCCTTCTCTATAGCGACAGATCAGGATGTCCGCCTTGGAGACATCTGTTGTGACAGAGCCCCCGCCATTATTGATGATTTCTTCGATCGATCCGAGTAGACGAGGCCCGATGCCAAGGTCCGAGGAGAGCATGACATGCTTGTCTTGAAATACGGTAAGGCTGGGCTGCGTCTCGGGCGATTTGACTGATGAAGGTAGGGTAGCTGGATTTGTCGTGGATGCGCCGATGATGTCACGATTTTCTGAGGAGCGTATGGGCGCATCTGGAGCTGCACGTAAAATTTCCGGGTCTGGAAGGGTATATGGACGCTCATCAATCCTTCTTCCAAGCTTTAGGCAATCGTCAAACCTATAGATCACTCGTTAGACTGAGCCATCCTCAACGAGGACTCGCCTTACCAATGCGGAAGCACTATCTTGATATTCAACTTCTTCGCAACGACCAGTCGAGCCTTATCAGAGTCTGCGGTCAAATCAACCAGATGCGTGACCTGCTGAGAGACCTTGGGGCTGTAAATTCCTCCTTTTGCCAGTACACCTCCGATTATAGCCTCCTTATCGCCACCCGGTATATCACCGCAAGTGATCACCACATCGTTCAGGAACAGTCTCGGGTCCGGACTATATTGCCGCGGGTTGGCCAGCTTTCTCTTTGAAAGACATGCATGCAGCCAATGGGGCTTGACGACCGGTATCAAAGCATCGCTGGCCGCATCGAATGCAGGGAAGTCGACCGTGCAGGACAGAAGGTGGGTGAATTCAGAGAGGGGTGGGAAGGTGGCTGGCGGTTCGTATATGACAGTTTCACCGCCATATTCTTCGACTGTGGATGCAAGCTATAGTTATCAGTATTCATTAGTCAGTTGCAATTATTTAGTCGGAGGAATATTAGCGCAGGTCATACCTGATGTGCCGTATCGGCACTAAGATCTTTGGAGCATATTATACAGACTTTGCACTGACTGAAGAGTTGAAGCTCTTCCTCCTGGTCTGCCATTGTGGGGAGTTTACCTCTCAGTATGAGTCAATATGGTAGGGGTGGTGCGTTTCAAGAGAAGAGGGTGACATTTGCTGATCGATAGTCTACCTCAGAACGAGAAAGCGCCTGTCGGGCTCTTTTGGTTTGCGATGCGACGCGCAGACGCGCGACACCAGATCACGTGCAGATAAGACACATCGCAGATCGTCAATAAGTGATGTCAAATACAGTCGTGCCCAGGTCTAGATCTTGTCATTGTTCATGTGATGGTTCTTTATTTGCATTTGTAGTACTCTATTCTGGTCTGGAAGCTGTATATGTGACCTACAATACATTGTTTCGTTTACTTGCCGTGAATGTAATTTACCCGATTTGTCGGGCCTGACGCGCTTTGAGGAAAGTGACAGATCGAGTGCTACCGCGACGTGTTTATGTAGTAGCCGGTCGAGCTTATTCTGCTCATTGATGGTCCTTATGGTTTGCATGTGCAGACAGAATTAGTAAGGATGACACCCCAAGTGAATTAGGTACCGGGGGGTCGACAGAATGGATGATAAGGCCCCATTGTACCGAGTATGGAGTACAGAATAGGGTGGACTGATTTGACATTCACATGCTGTGTATACATCGTAGGGCTTGGTAGTAGCTCCAGGCCCTCCAGGCCCCCATGTTTATACATGGGTTGCGATACATATCTAGCTCCGTCTTCAAACTACCCTGGCAAGCACATTACAGTGTAATTAGTATCGAATGGGTAATTTGATGTTACACATGTTCCATATAATAATTCGCGAAAGATGGCGTACGAAGAAAGAAAGTAGATACATTTTATAGATAACATCAGACAGTGCATGCAGAGAGAGCACCAAGAAAAAATGCAAAAAGATATGACAAGAGTGGGATTCGAACCCACGCCATCAAACGATGATCAGGAAGCTGTGAAGCTGAATATTAAGGTTGACCTTAACCTGACGCCTTGGACCAACTCGGCCATCTTGCCTAGTGATGTGGAAGAAGCTCGCTACTTTGCCATCATCAAGAATAGCGCAATTTGTAAGGCAAAACCTCCGATGACCGAGCCATACCTGTATTCCTGTACTGTAACTAACGGTATCATTCGGGCCCCACCAGCTTCCACGGGCCGTCATCGAACAGCCTCGGTTCATCGTGAGCCCCGGCAGTTCCAAGCCTCCGAATCTGGGGAATAATGTCACCCCGTTTCCTGTTTTCCATATATACCATTGTTACTCCCCAATACTGCATGGTCTATATATCATTCAATAAAAAACACACGTCATGTCGTTAACATCATCCCCCTGTGGCCCTTTTCGCATTGTTGAGCATATCGTCGAATGCCAACATATTCGGGAGTATCCCGCAGCTACGGCCAACGAGCAGGAAGATGTATTGAATCTGATTGTCAAACAATATATTCCACTCGACAACCCTGATCCTCAACCAGGAGATGTAACAATTCTTGCGGCCCATGCCAATGGGTTTCCCAAGGTTAGAGAACCTCGCTTAAGAAGTGGTGTCGCATTGGGATACATAGTAGCTAACTCATCCACCAGGAGCTCTACGAACCCCTGTGGGAAGAATTATATGCCCGGTCGAAAGCCAATGGGTTCCGACTCAGAAGCATTTGGATGGCAGATGTAGCGCATCAGGGCGAAAGCAGCGTAGTGAACGAGGATCTCTTGGGAAATGACCGTATGTTTTCTCTCCTTGTCGCCACTCGATAACCAATACTGACAAGATGCAAAACAGCAAGCTGGTTTGACCACCCCAGGGACCTCCTTCACCTTATCAATGTCAAACGCAAGGAAATGCCCCGCCCAATCGTGGGAATTGGCCACAGCATGGGCGGCGCACACCTGTAGGTCCTTTCAACCCTCCCACGCAAGAAGATCCTAATGCTCCCCCAGCGCACAGCTATGCTTAATCCATCCACGTCTCATCCACACCCTAGTCCTTCTCGACCCCGTAATCCAACGCGAATCCACCCAACTGGACGGATACGAAATGGCCATCCGACAGAGAGAAAGGATTACTAAAACAACCCAACTATCGACCTACCGACGAGACATATGGCCATCCCGAAAAGCCGCCCTAGAAGCCTTCAATAGAAACCCTTTCTACCAAGCCTGGGACTCCCGCGTCCTCGACCGCTGGATCAAATACGGTCTCCGCGAACTGCCCACGGCCATCTACCAACTAGACGAATCCAAGATAAATGAGGAAAACAACGATCGCCCCGTCACGATTAGAACGACCCTCCATCAAGAAGTCTTCACTTTCTCGCGTCCTAATTACGACGGCCCCCCGGGAAAGAAAGTCCTTGTGAACAAAGTGACCCATCCGGATCTCAATCCCGATCACCTCGGTTCATGGCCATTTTACCGCCCCGAACCGTCGCGAGTCTTCGCCATGCTCCCGCATCTTCGTCCAAGCGTCTGCTATCTCTTCGCCGGTAAATCTGACATGTGTCTTCCTGAAATGATGGCGGATAAAATGGCCGCCACTGGTACGGGGCTTGGGGGCAGTGGTGGGGCTCCTGCTGGCCGGGTGCGCGATGTTTATCTGGCTGAATTTGGTCATCTTCTTGCTCAGGAGGCTCCCATACAATGTGCAGATGCGGCAGGTAAATGGTTGGGTGCTGAAATCGAACGATGGCGAACCGAGGAGAGAGAGTTTCGGGAACAGTGGAGTCAGAAATCGAAGCTCGAGAAGGTGACGATTGATCCTCGTTGGAAGGATCATGTTCCCGCTCCCGAGCGGCCAAAGAAGAGTCCTCCAAAGTCAAAGTTGTGAATGCTCAGTCGCTCGCTTAGGGATCTTGGCCGTGAGTAGATTGCTAGGTGTCTCTGGCAGACGTATAGAACTTGTTTTCTGATCAAGACAAAGAGGTAACTACACATACACATGCCCAATGATACGCGTATATACCTAACAGGATACCCTCAATGAATGATTCTACATTGGTTTCTCTGTTCTCAGTTCTTATCTATAGGCTATATAAGAGATACGTTTCTGAGTGGCTCAGAACTGATATCTATAAGCGATTTTATCGGTCAAACCTGCCGACACGCGAAGGCTCGAAGCTCCGGTCCTCGATGCCCCTCGATCGGGTCTAAGTGATAGTGAAATCAGGGTGTAGCGAGCCAATCTAGTTTGACTTCTTGGCACTGCCATTCTCGGTCTGGCCTAGGGTGCTGGTGCGGAGAATCTCGGGGAAATTCCAGAAATGAGGCCACCACAGATAAAACTCTTCTTGGCGTTTGTTTAAGCAGTGACGGAGCCAGATGCCCCAAACGAGGTAGAGATACGCCCCAATGCCAGTCATCACATGCCTAGTAAGCAAATTAGTATATGGAGAGTACCGGATGCACGATACCTTGGCGAACATACCACCAGCCATGGCCTTCCAAAAGGATACCCCAAGGAAGACCCACTTCCCGGCGCCATCCGCGGATCTTAGAACAGAAGACGTTGTCCAAGCCCCAGATAGCGAACCCGCCCAGAAACACGCTCAAGCCGTAGATAACCATGAACCACATCGTCTTGAGGGTCTTGAGATCCCGCACATTTTCGTAATGTTGGTGCTCTTTGGTCGGGACAGGCAGGCCTTGCTTTTCGTGCGCCAGTCTGTCCTCCTCAGTGGAATGGCGCCAGCGAGGACGAAGCGTCACCTCCATGGTGTACATACTGCGTATGAGGACGATGGCTGTCAAGATGCCGTATGCATTTTGGTGAAACAAGGGATCCTGGAGGTAGTGGTAGTAGAGGGTAATAAAGATCGCCAAGCTGGAAAGGAAGATGCCTAAGAAGATGCGGATGCCAGTCGTCCTGGAGTATGAGAAGGATGCATAGCACATCAAACACGTGGTGTAAATCATGGACAGTTCATCAACAAGCTGCATGGGGTCTATGTGAGAATGTACCCGTCAGCAACACGGACCCTGGTTACCATCCCCCGCCACGGAATATTACTTGCATTTTAACGTCGAGTGAAAGAGGAAGCTGCCCGTTCCGACTAGCAGATAGCCGCAGTATGCCACCTGGAAGATCGAGTCATGACCATTGCGGCGACAGCTCAGGAAGCCCTTGATTCCGAGCGCCATAAACAGCAGGTTTGTCAGGGTATTAACGATCTCTGCGGAATAGATGGTAGCATAGTAGTCCTATCACATTCGCATGGTTAGCAACCGATCATAACACAATCAAAACCGAGAGCGAGGCGGGGCTGAGCACTACATACCTCTTCGCACCAATTCAGTGTCGACGTGACGGGGCTCCAATATCCTTCCCTAGAGGGCGGATACGGAATATGCGGGAGAGAGGACCATAGAGACATGATGAACGGAGACAGTCTTCTCCGCAGGGATGAGGGCGTTGGCGACGTCTCTGGTGGACGACAACGGAGCGACAGAGTTACTGGCCGGCGGGCATAGCAGGAGGCAATTTGAAAGAGGGAGAAAAGTCCCAGAGCGAAAAAGGCAGTTTGTCGACAACTGGAGGAGGAGGTGGCCATGGAACTTACCTTACTCTGCCTTACCGGACCCGTGACGTCGATTAATTACGCTCGATCTGCGACCCCTCCGCCTAGGCCGGTATGCCAATGATTTTACAGGGTCCTGATTGGCCAGACTGGGCTGGACGAACTGCATCGGGAACAATGGGCGGTAAGATTACGGCGCCCTACAGAGTACGTGGGTGCGGGCAAGTGGAATGGCCACTCCTGCCTGCATTCTTCTGCATGCATTGGCCAAGGTGACTCGGCACCTGGTCGGAAGAGGGCCCTGGATTGGATTGTCTGAAGCTGCTAAGCAGTTTAGCGTGGGGAATAGTAGTCAGATTCCCTGTAGTAACAAGATCAGCCCTGTGGTCCATAGAGGTAGGCGCTAGAACTTTACCTATATCCGCCCAACTGAACAAAGACGCCTGAAGACTGCTGTCCGTACCAAGTTTACAAGTTCTACTGCTCCAGTTCCTGTCAGACGCTGCACAGGTACATTAACCTTAACGTGAATCCGTACCTGTACCTATTCTTCGTTGTGGCAGGTCCTTACACCGGACAGGTCGGAAGTCAGACGCGACGAACGGCCGCGACAGTTGTGGCTGGTGATCGGCAGCCAATCCAGATGCTTTCCGCCCGGGCCTGATGACTTCACCAACACCCGTCCGCTTCGGGGAAAACACGACTCCTCCGTCTCATATCTACACCGTCTGTTCGAAATTCTCACCTTCTTTCTAATCTGCTGTGAAATAATTCTCTTATTTACCACCTCCTCTCAACGGATCATATACTATATAAAACTGCGATGTTATCCTGATCACCATCAATGTGACCGCCACCGCTTGTATGCGGTCTGTCTCAAATCTCAAATTCTTCCTCAGCCTCCATCACACAGCGCCCCGAATGAATTGAGCTCCTCACGCGGACCCTTCTAAACCCCTCCTACACCTATCCGAGCCTCCAGCATCAGCTGCAGGACCCGAAGCAATGTCAAACAATGCGGCCTACGCCGTAACGCAGGTGAAAACAACCTCAACCTGTACGTCCATCCACCTATCTATCTATCCTCACCACATAGCAAACCCTAACCATTAGCCAACCAAACAGCCTCCAAAACCACCTTCCACTTCGCCGCAGGCCTCTTTTCAGGCCTCACATCCTCTATTCTCCTACAACCCGCCGACCTGCTCAAAACCCGCCTCCAACAATCCCAAAACGCCTCCCTCTTCCCAACCATCAAGACCATCCTCTCTTCCCCTCACCCCATCCGCAATCTATGGCGCGGCACCCTCCCCTCCGCCCTCCGCACGGGCTTCGGCTCAGCCCTATACTTCACCAGTCTTAACGCCCTCCGAACCGGCCTCGCCCAATCCAACACCCCGGTCCAAATCACCAATAGCTCCTCCTCCGCCCTCCCCAAACTCTCCAACACCGCCAACCTCACCACCGGGGCCGCAGCCCGTGTCGCCGCCGGCTTCGTCATGATGCCCGTGACCGTGCTGAAAGTGCGCTACGAATCGGACTACTACGCCTACCGCAGTCTTGTCAGCGCAGGGCGCGATATCGTCCACACAGAGGGAATCCGGGGCCTGTTCTCCGGGTTCGGGGCTACGGCGGCGCGAGATGCGCCGTACGCGGGTCTATATGTGCTGTTCTACGAGCAATTGAAGAGGCGGTTAGCAGGTCTGGCGAATTCGTCGGCCGATCAGCAGCCGATGAAGTCGTCGTCAATCAATTTCGTCTCTGGGGGGTTGGCGGCTGGGCTGGCTACGGCGATTACGAATCCGTTTGATGCGGTCAAGACTCGGTTGCAGTTGCTGCCGGGACGGTATGGGAATATGGTCCGGGCCGCGAGGTTGATGGTGCAGGAGGATGGAATACGGAGTTTGTTTGGGGGCCTGGGGTTGCGGATCACGAGGAAGGCGCTTAGTTCTGCGCTTGCGTGGACGGTCTATGAGGAGTTGATTCTTCGGGCTGAGGTGCAGTGGGGTAAGGGGGTATAGATGGCATCTATATATTTGCCTCTCTGTTACGGGAGTGATGAGTCAGTGTTTGAGTTTGCTTTGTTATTGTCACGGGCATAGAAATGGGTTCGGATACGGGTTTGCATCGGATCTTCATTATTCATCATTGTATCATATATAAAACTGTTGTTCAATCCCAACTCACGAGAAGAAAAGATCAATCATGACAGCATGGCAAATCACATATCCACATGTTGTATGAGACAAGACAATCGTATCAGTCTTCAGAATAAATAAGAAAAGAACACAGCAGAACAGATATATGCAAAACGAAACCAAATCAAGCAGATCATGGTATCAAACTTCGTATACGATATAATCACGTTGTGGGCTTAAGTGAAGATCCAGGCCTTGGAGGAACTGGGATTCTTCTTGCGGACAAGATACAGTTTGTCCTTCTTTCGGTCATTCACCTTGAGCTCGGTCAGGGTGCTCGAGTGTTGAGTGACGAGCTTGCCCTCACGCAGACGCCGCGTGTGCGCGAAGAGCTCCTCTTGAAAATCTTCTGAGATCCATTGCTTGATAATGATGTAGTTGCCGTCGAGCTGTTGTGAAGGCAGTCAGTATTGACAAATCGTAGCAGGAAATGGTGGGCTAAACTTACATCATCCCAATCCCAGGGCAGACGGTAAGCAATCAAGGTATCGGGGAGGAGATGTTTGCGATGAACCTAGGCCAGTGAGTTAGACTAAAAGTTAGGCCTTGGAGAGGTTAGGAAGACATACCTTGATCCAGGTGGTCCTTTGGGGCTCGGGTTCCTTTTCTTTTTCCTTCTCTTTCTCTTTCTCTTTCTCCTTCTCCTTCTCCTTCTCCGGCTCCTTTGGTTTTTCGGGCTCCGCCTTTTTCTCAGGCTCTTTTGGCTTCTCCGGCTCCTTCTCCTTCTTGATTATCTTCTCGATCTGCTGTTCGTCGTAGCCGAACTCGAGCTTCAATCTCTCCCTGAACTCGTGGTCACGCCTCTTTCTTTCCTCCCGCTCGGCAATCATTCTCCGCTCTTCGTTCAGCTTCCACTCATCAATAGCAGCCTGTTTCATAGCGGCCTCCTTGCGGGCACGATCTTGTTCTTCGAGGATCCTTCTCGCATCTTCGTCGCGGATCTGCTTCCTGATGCGCTCACGCTCCGCATCCTCATCCATCTGTTGTTGGAGCTCTTCGAGTTTCCTCTGACGTATTTTATGCTTGAGCTCCTCTTGCTCCGCAGCATGACGCTGAGCCTCTTCGAACTTGATCAACTTATAGCGATGTTCTGCCTCACGCTGCTCTTCTTCTTGGCGCTGCTTCTTCTCGAATCGCTCCAACCGCCGCAGCCGGTCACTGATCTCTTCCTCATACCAATCATCCTCTTCCCTGTAAAGACGAAGCTCATGATGCCCCCGATGATTATGGTGATGCGGCTGTGGCTGTGGTTGCGGCGCCGACGCCGGCGCTGGCGGTGGTGGCGGCGGCTGCACTTGCTGCAACTGTTGCTGGTGGTGCTGAGAGTGCTCCTTATGCCGAGCGAGCTCACGCTCCAGACGCGCGATCTCCTGCTGCTGACGCTGGAGCTCCAGGTCCTGCCGTACATCATTCTTTTCAAGTAGCCGCTGATCGAGCGCAAGCTCATATTCGCGGGCCTGATGCCGTTGGAGCTGCTGGTGCTGGGCATACTCCTTATGCCGAGCCAGTTCATGCTCCAGATGAGTGATCTCCTGCTGCTGGCGTTGGAGCTCCAGGTCCTGCCGTGAATCGCTCTTTCCAAGAAGATGCTGATCGATCACGAGCTCGTAATCACGAGAATGCGGCCGTGCTGACCCCTCCCGGGAAACGCTACTCGGGCGAGTCCGAGCTCGCCGATGATCGCGCAGCCGGGTCTCATCCTCGGACTCGTAGGGGTCGATATAATTCTGCAGCTGCTTGTGTTCCTGCTTACGGCTTTTGCTGGCGCTCTTGTTGCGGGCATCATTCTTGGCATCGCTCTTAGCATCCGTTTTAGCATCAGCTTTAGCGTCGTATTTGTTCTGGACGTCGACGTAGACGGAGACGGGCTGGTTGCGCTCGCTACTGCGATCGGAGCGACGACGGGCCCCGGTGGATGCCGAGCGATGAATGTGGGAATCATGGATCACGGGGCGAAGATAGTCATTGCTGTAGTTGGGGGCATAGCGTTGGCGGGAGATTGAACGCCGACGAGTCATGATATGTTGGCGAGGGCTCGTCTCGATCATCGAGTAGTCTGACTCGGAGTACTCAGACTCCGAGTCAGTAAGAATATGACGCCTGCCGCCGTAACTGGAGTAAGCCATGGTGCTTCTCTGTCTGGTCTGCCTGATCCCTTCGGTTTGATTTTGGCCAGGCTTTCACTGCCTCTGAGGTGGTGTGTGCGCGATCGAGGGTGGTGGGTATAGGATAAGCGGGGTGTCTCAATGGTCGAGAGCTGTGACGTCGATGGCGGGGGGAGAGGCTGGGCGACGACAGAACCTGTGTTCGACCAGGGCACTCACGCCGTTCAAAGTCCAGATGATTTGGCGATAGAAGTCAAAGTACGAAGTAGGTGGAAAAGAGAAAGAGAAGGAGAAAAGAAAGGAAAAGCTGGAAGGCCAGTGATCAAATAGGAGGAAAAACAAGAAAAGGGCAGTGGCTCCTCGTGCCTCGTAAACGCGGACGCTTCGCTCAGCTGAAGTGGGGGATTGGCACCATTGGGCCGACCTGATCAGCTGCGGGCGGCAACAATCTACTAGTAGGAATCAGGTACTTCCCATCATCTCTCAATCATAGGCAGAAAGCCCTCGAAATACGGTGGACCTTGGCCTTAGATGCAGGAGACACTGAGGCTATAGAATTAGTTTTTGATCGTGGAACGTCAGCGGCTGTTGAAACTAGTGAATCTGTTATCCCATCACTGTTACGGAGCACTGGTGGTATCTTCGCGACGACCTGTGGGAGGTCGGGCGTCTAAGGCGCGACCCATGCCAGTCAATTGCCTAGTCTTGGGTAAGATCCCCTGGTTATCTACATAGAGAGGTAGGACTAGGAAATAGTCGGCTCTCAGCCTCTCTCACCCAGGGAAATCTACGGGCCTAACCGCCGGCGTATCCATGGACCCTGGACTGACACAGCGGGAAAGGGTACCTGACAACCTAACTACTAGTCTGGCTACTGGCTAGTGAGTGGAGGTACTGTACCGTATCTCCCAACCTAAGCCGATTAAGATACCCTGAACAAACTCAGCAGGCATCCAGGATGACCAGGCAGTCACTGACCAAGTCATCACTGGATTCACCAATCAACAACGCACCCGACTCAGGTGACAGATGATGCAATTTCGGGTTGACTTTGTTGTGTACCCTACCAAAAGATAACTAACCATGGTCGAATCCTGAGTCCCACGAATGAATTCACAGCCTTGTGGGCCGAGGCTGGATTGCAGGCTTACAACTCACCGACACCCACTCTTTTCCCTTCAGGTACCTAAGAATAGAGGCTTATACATGTATCGCAATCAGCCACCGCCACCTCTGTCAAGCGCGCCAAATCCAGGAATTCACCTCGCACAAGAAAGATGGTTCTCCTAGGTGCATAAGAATCAAGGATAGAAAAAGAGCAAAATTTCAAGATGAATTACTCCGTAGAGTAATAAGCTTACTTGAGTCTAGCAATTTGACAAATTCCTTGGCCACAGTTAAAAAAGCCCATCGAAGTTATCGTTAGCTGTCACAGCTTGCAAAGCCATTCTGCATCGTATACTCCTTTCCCCACAGCGCCCGCCTCACTCTTCCCCTCCCCCGACCCAATCAATCCATTTTCAAGAATCCAGGGTCAGCAAGAAAAAGTTTCGAACAAGTAATCATCTTCCATTCTGTACTACGCTCGATGGTACAGGATGCTTAAGCAAACAAGAACGCAAGAAATAAACCAAAAAGAAAAAGAAATAAAGTGCTGCTCAAATACAAATTGTAATGGGTCCTTCCGCTCCAACACTGAATAGGCTTCATTAGAGAAAGACCAAAAAGGACCACCAAATCTTAGTCCCCTCACAGTTTCACATCCACCATTGTCTGCCTCTCACCGACCGACAACCAGATGACTTTACCTATCCTTAAGACTTTTGGCCAACTCCCCCTCCTTCTCACGCTTCTGTATATACCAAAAGACCACCGGATAAATCAGATCAAAGCCCATATAAATATAGCAACACCAAAGCATAAAAGGCTGTTCTAGGTAGCCAAAAGCCTCGGGCCAGTATTTCCCGCGAAGATAAAACTCCGGAATTAAGGTCAAGGACCCTGTGAAACGGAAGAACCTACGAATGACAGTTAGCCTCGAGATTAGTGATTCTCCAACAGACACACGCACCATAGATTGAGGGAGAAACCACGCGTGCTCTCCCGAATCAAGAGCTGGCAGAAACATCCAACACTGAGAATTGCCTGGCAGACAATCGCATTCATAAAGCAGGCCTTGATCGCTCCGATCTCCGCAACTATAGAAAGATGGCCCGCCAATGCCAAGAGTGTTCCACCTATGTACAACCAGACCAGGTTGCGCTGTATCATGGGGGATCGGTCCCATTCTTCGGCACCGTACTTGATTGCCGCGTAGATGACACCACAGTTGCTGATGAAAGCGGCTTGGAAGGAGAGAGTTACCAGCCAGTGATCCAGAGAGCATAGGTAGCCGAAAGTCAGTTCCCATGCGATGTTAAGGCATTGGGAAATAAGAGGCATGCTGAAGGATTTGTCTTTGTAGGATCTGTATATCATGCCATAATACACGTAGAGCCAGATTATATTGGTATAGGCATTGCATGCAAAGATGGTGGCGCCCCAGGCTTGGAATTCTGGAGGGGCTGTGGAGAGATCAAATGCGTCCATCGTGTATAGGGAAGTGCGATATGATGGGTAGAACAGGGCATGAGCTTGGAAAGAGTAGAATGATGATTTACTTGAGACAAGGACGGTACGGTCCTGTGACCTTTATATTCATCCCGGTGACAGTCCTGAATCCTTTGATTTGTTGAGATCAGGTGCCTGGGTAACCCTGGCGTTTGCACAGAATGCCATGGCTCCATTGTTTTCATCGCATGTAGTAGAATCCAGTAATATTTTTGGATGATTATAATGCAGTCGAGGGGTATATCTTCTAGCAGAAGTGAAGTCTTAAGTAGATGTTTCATCTTTCAGCCGTAGCCTCGGACACCCATATTCTTCATTACATCGCGTAAATCGATGCAAAACAGACTATGTACTTCCTTTTCTGAGTAAGCTGGGCTTGGTGAGATGTGAGATATCTAATGAATATAAGGTTTGAATGTGGTATCTTTAATCAGACTGTAGCATCCATGTTTAAAGCGCGGGGCCAATATTCTCCAACACCATTCGATATACCTACCATCCAAGTATCCAGGATGATGGTTAAATCAAATTGACAGACTGCAGTAAGGACGCGCCGTTGTGCTTATAAGAGATCGCTACTGTCCTGGATTATTTGAGCCCGATGTTGCCGTCGAAGGAAAGCTCCAATTCTGTGCTATAAGAATGAGCATATCCAGTTCTCGGCAGCTGCCATCCCTAGTACATTAGACACTTGAATTTAACCGTTTCCCACCACGGTCTATGATTTCTACTCTACCTTCAGCGCCTTCTCTCGTTGTTAAAACCGCCAAAAGAAGATCGCGTATGTTATATCCGCAACCCACGCCGTCCCCTACATCCACGCCATCATCTGACTCCCCAGAAACCCCAAAGCCTCGGGCCAGTATTTGATACAGAAACAGAAGGAGATTGCAGCACCCGCAGAGCCCAAATGACGGCAAGCCCTGTCATGAATCCGTTAATCTCAAATCCCTTAGGAGGGTTGCTAGTGAAGCACACAGAGTACGGAGTATTTTGGGCCTGACTACTCCCAGTTGCAGCTCGGTGCGGTCAAATACTAACTCCGCATGATCTGCGCTCTCCAACTCAACGTAACAACAAAAGTCCCATTCTAATACTTATACATAATCTTAGGCACCAGAAAGGCCTAGCATCTAAGAGACGTATAATCTTGTTCAAGCCCTTACATATCGGAAGGGAAACCCACAAATGTAAGCTTCAGTAGGCTTTAGAATTAGACCATACGGAGTGTCACTTCTGAACATGCCAAACTGCAACACACATAGCGGGTGATCTATTGTCCGCATAACGGAGTAGACATCGCCAAGCCCGGGTTGCAGCTCGATGTCGATAGAGAAGACGCGCTCAAGCGAGCATCTCACAGCTAGTGCGGGGATTTCTTCACTTCTAGGGCTTTTCTCAAATAGTGTGACCAGTTCAAAAGTATGATATCTATATACAGAATCATGAAGAGTAAATCAACAGACGGATGTAGGGAGAACTTATAGACATGGCAATAACTCAAAGAGTTAAGAGAATCCGAGCTACGTATATCCCCAAGATCTTTTGTCGTGTATAGCCACTTGCCATGTAATTATTTCAGTACAGTTAGGGTATGCTAAGGGTTGAGCTAGGTAGTTATGTGGCCTTACGATCGTACAAGAGCATAGACTTGGCTGAGAAGCCGGTGAGTAGTTGAATGTTGGCTGCTACAATCTCAGTGTGGCTCGTACAATACCAAGACAGATTAGAGAAATGAAACAAGCAGATAAACAATTTCCCAAATTGTCAACAATGAGAAATACATCATGAATCCCATTGGGCTCTTTCTGAAAGCCCGTAAACTCATTCCATCGTAGTCCCCGGAGACGTCACCTCATGGCCATCATTCACTACAACTACCATCTAGCTCGTTATTGATAGAAAAAAAATCGAGCTAGTGTTCGCAAACCTTGACGACTAGGTATTCCACTCCTACAAGTGTATGTTAGTATCATTTCGGGAACTGGATTCCCAAGAGATAGAATATGCGAGACAAAGAGATGATTGAATGACAGTTACTTACCGCCCAGCAAGCGAAGGGGTAATTTTCCTGGCCACAGTGGATATTATTGGGCTTCTGTACATTTTATATCAGCTTCCTAGTGTCCAAAAAAAGACCCAGACCTGCTATAGTACACTTACCCCCTGCGCAGTCTGCGTGCAATCCGAGTTCATGCGGCAGTCCTCGTCCGAGTGACACTTCAAGCCGAGTCAGTTGTAATCCGCAACCTACCTTTGTTTTTACATTGACAATGTAGGGGAAAGAAGAGACATACCTCAATTCCCGCAGCACATCCATGCCAATGATAAGTCCGTGTATCGAGGCTCCGAGCAGCTGGCGCAGGTGAAGCCAAGGTTCCGGCGCCAATACTTAGAGCTGCAGCGAGGAAGAAAAGAAACTGCATGTTGAAGGCGAGGTGCTTGGGCAGGATTGAAGACAGGTGGTAAGATAATTGACAGTTGTCTCGGATGCCAGAATCTTGGAGTTGTTCCCATCTCTCGAGTCGAGGCGACGTACTTATATTTTCGAAGTTAGGTTAGGCGTTCAGTTTTCCGTATTGCGGATTTCCCCGAGATGCAGACTCAACCAGGTGAACGAGAAACTTGACGAATAGCCCGCGTTAACGACCTCAGCATTACGTAGAACAATGGATAGGACTATTTTTGAGGGACAACATGATCAATAGTCTCGTTATGCAGGATGCAAGGGATTCTTGATGGGGGCCTGTCAGTCCCCCCTCGTATTGTTGCGTCTGGGTGGAGAATCTTGCATTTCTATTTGCCATGTGTACGTGCGTAATTGCACGCATCGGATCTAGACTGCTATTGTCTCTTAGTCTAAACGAGCCGCCCCCAATGATAGTGTCCAATGCAGGGCACAGTTTTGATGACCGCGTTAGAGGCGGTTGCTGCAATAGAGGCGATCGCTGTGGAAATATCTAAAATTAGCCGCACGTCGCACAATATCAACGTCACCACGAGCTGATTCTTGCATAGAACATCCTAGCCTCTGGGCAGATCGTCGTTACGGAGCACGAGATAGTTGATCCTGTCTCAGTTCCTTCCACATCATGAAATCATGTAGAATGCGGACAGCCAGCCATTAATGCTGGCCTTCGAGCAACAACCTTGCCCTCAGCGTCATGTTCTGTATGGTGTGGTCTGGACAAGGTGCACTGAGACAAGTTGTCCCATTTAAGACTAGGCTGGACCGCATCATGGAACTCTTGCATAGAACAGGATCCTTCATTTGCGCCCGCTATATGAAAAAGTGGACCCTTGACGGCTGGAAGATGGCAATGAACGGCGTTGCCCTGACGCTCCAGGTGCCCGCCTGTACCACGGCGGGAAGATATAGCCGCATGGCGTATATACCGTATTCAAGGTCGGTCGGAGTTGCTGCGTGTGTCTTCTCAGCTGTTGAGGGGTAGTCTAGTGGAGAATGGGGTACACTCATTATGTTGAGTAATTGGAAAAGGTTTGAGAGTTGAACACCAAGTGATGCAAGCCAGGGCTGAGTTCCACCACATTTCCACCACGCCTCTGATTTGGAACCGTCTAGGTCTGTCTTTGAAGGGCTTTGCCCATTAACGGGGTTGCTTGGTTGGTCTACCCACTGTAGTAGAGTGATGATGTTGTTTGTCCCCTAGGGACATGAAGTTCAGTCAAAATAGCATGGTGTGTGTATGTTGCCTACGGCGGCTGTCTAACCGGAACGAGAAGAAAACTGACAAAACTAAAAGGATTACTTGGTTTCCGCTGGCCTCGAAACCACCTTGGTAGTGCCTGTGCATTGCCTAGAGTATGGGAGGGTGGTAGTTGTCGCGGAACACGATGGTGGTGGCATCCATTTGGAAAGGGTAGGAAGGAGGTAGCTTGGGGGCTTGAGCGTGGTGTGTTGCAGATGCTAGAGAAAGAGCAGCCAAATAGTGTTGCTTATATGCCACCGTATCATGCATATGATACACAGGCTCGTATTTTCGATTGCAATCTCTCCTGTCATCCACACACTGGCTCGTTGTCTTCACTGTTGGGTGATTAAATGTAACACGAAGAATTGATTTGGGAGACAAGGTGGAAGCTTCAGTGGCTGAGAACGTGACTGAATTATGTCAAGTTCATACCAGTAGACCAAAATGATATACCGCTGACCTTTGGAGAACAGACGGAGAAAGAATGTCCCAACATGTCATAAGACTGGAAACTTTCTTGGTGGTTTGTTACAGTGTTCCTGAGGCACAAGTCAACCTCTTGGAGTATAACCCCCCCCTTCTTTCACTTCTACCTCCTCTACATTCCATGCACATATGCATGCCCAGCATCAACTCCCACACGTAAGTGCAACAGCATCTCATTTTGTATTGGCTTAAATTATTCCTGTGATACTTGGGTAAATTTCGAGCTTCAACCATTCCCAACCAGTCTGCAACTCGCGGGTTTGTGAACTTATGAGGAGTGACGTCTCCTTGTATCATGTACATCAACATTCTTACTCAAGACGTTGATAGTGATGGTATACCTTCTTTTTCTCGAATCGTCCAAGTTTTCAATAGCCTGGAAGAGTGTCGTGCGCGAGGCACGAGCGCTGCCCAAGTTGTACGAGAGTGGCATATAGAGAAAGTTGTAGCACAGAAAGAAATATTCCTGGGTTGAAGGCAAATAAGATAAGACCGAGAAATCGGACGACCAAGTAATTCGATGTGGTCGGTTGTGATATACCTAGTATCTGCAACAAGGACTTAGCCAGGGAGCTGAAGAAACCAGACACCTATGTGCGTACTTGGTAGGCAAGCCTCTCGAGTACACAATATCAAACTTTGCCTATCGACCTGACAGAAGTGTGCTATCATCTAGAATCTTGAAGCTTTCCAGACATAAAGAAAGCTGGAATTATAAGCAAAAGTCCTACATCTCTACCTTTGTCACACTACTATGATACTCCGCAATCGGCCTGTGCTTTTGGTGGGGCTGCGAACCGAGGGATCGGCGTATTGTTGACAACTCGATCATCTACCCCACGGGGAACCCCTGCCCTGGAATGGAATGTAGTACATACTACCTACTTCATATTGCATACCCCTTAACGTAGGAGCAGCCTATTAGTATGATAACGCCTCAGAGTCGAGTAGTCTCTCTTCTTTCTTCTCAATCCCTTGGAATCAACTTCTCATTGCAGGACCATAAAACTCCGGGAATTCGACATGTCACTTTTTGATACTAGTGCTTAGAAGAGGGAAGCGGCACCATATTCCAATAGGAAGAAGTGGATCAGATCCGCTGAGGTCTATTCATCCGTGAATCAAGCTCCCGCAACATTCCTACTATCTTGATTGGTCTACTTTAGGTTCGATCATGATAATCTCCACTTCAGTACAAAGTACTGTCCACCCCCTCAGCAAGTCAATGAATCCCCACACAAGCCCAATAGAAAACTGCAGAATGTGAGGGGTGGATACAAATCGGCAGTACTATTCTATTCTTCGGAGGTGGCATGGTGTCAGCCCGACCATGAGGCTTCTTATCATAAGTAAGATCTCTGATCCCCTCATCTTTTCAGATGATGTAGTAAAACGTCTGTCCTTTGCGCATCACAGCTCTCGGAAAAACAATCTCATATTACTATAATCAAAATGGGAGACACTGGCCACAAGGTTGAGGCTGTCCAGCAGAGCCTGGACCAGCTTATATCTGCTGCAAAAAAGTCCCAGGAGAATCTATCAGTCGAGGATCGTTACAGTCTGATGATCAAGGCAACCCGTCTCGTACAGACCCTCCGGGGTCCCGCAGATGCACTTTTCGCGCACCTCGAGAATGTAGGCCACCTTATCACGTATTGATACAGAAGGTTATGAACTGTTTGCCAGGCTGTCCATATGGGAGCCATCAGAACACTCCTGGAGGCTGGCGTATTCCACGCCATCCCCACCGGAGGCAAGAGTATCTCTGCTGCCGAGATATCGGAAAAGACAGGCGTGGACAAGGAATTGATTGGTACGTTATGAACAACCTATTTGGCCTCCCTTATCGAACCCCCCTAACAAGACCCCGGATAGTCCGGTATATGCGCGCTGTCACCCCAATCGGCCCTTTCCAAGAAACTGGAGAGGAACAATACGCCCACACACCTTTCTCGGAAATCTACCTTGCCCCGCAAATGAGGGCAGTATACAACCTCACGTACTATTAAATAGATCATTACCTCGCGCCAACCATATAGCTAACCACCTGGCCAGAGTTGACGAATATGCCCCTCCCATGTTCCAAAGCCACGAATTCTTTCGCCAAAAGAACTGGAAACATGAAATTAGCCCACGCAGCAACCAATACACATTCGCTCACGACTGCGAAGGCAAAACCATGTTCGAACATGTCGCTCAATTCCCCGATCGCCTCAGCCGCTTGAGTGATGCGATGACGGCTTCGGATTCGAATCTACCCACCGTGGGTATATATCCAATTGCTGAAGAACTAGGTCCCCTCGCGAGCGATGATACAGTAACCCTAGTTGACGTCGGTGGCGGACGAGGCCACGTTATCCGCCAAATTAAGGAAAGCGCACCTGATCTCAAGGGCCGGTTCATTCTTCAAGACGAAGCACACGTAATCCAGAATAATGGGGACGAGAACGAAAAATATGGGATCGAGGCTATGGCTCATGACTTTTTCCAACCTCAGCCGGTTAAGGGTGCGTATTCCCATGACTCTCATCTTCAACACACCTCTATAAACTAACACATTCAACTTAGGAGCCCTGGCTTACTACCTCCGACGTTGTCTCCATGACTGGCCCAACGAACCCGAGGCCCAGAAAATCTTATCCAACCTGGCAGCGGCAATGGACAGAGAAAAGTCTCGCGTGCTGATTACTGAATGCGTTGTTCCGGAAGTGGGAGCGACGATGTTTCATGCCTGGATGGATCAAGCTGTGATGACCATTGGTGGTCGCGAACGGACTGAGAAGGATTGGGCTCATCTCTTGGATATTTCGGGCTTGAGATTGGTCAAGGTGTGGCGTACGCCTGAAATGTCCGTTGGGGTTGTAGAGGCTAGGTTGAAGTGAACATGAAACAATACAGATATTATTTGGGCAAGGATGTGTCTCTGCACAGTTGGTAATATTCTAAGGTAACAACACTTGTTCATGGAGTTTGTTGATCTGTTTTAACTTGACCGGGGAGTGAGATTGTGCTCAGGATGGGGGCTGATTTGGTCAAACATCGTCTTACGATGTCAGCCTAGTAGGAAGGGTCGGAATATTTCCAAACGCCAAAGTCTGACAATGCTTATCATGGCCGAGGGGCGCGGACAATTTTTTAGCCAAAGCCCCCGATCCTTCGTTTGGGGGCCGTTTCATGTTGAGGCTCATCTTCAAAAAGAATTTATCGTGTAATATGTACTTACGCACCCTAGTACTTCAGGTAATGTCAATCAATAGCTAAGTGGCAGTGTATCCCTATGGTAACCTTACAGAGAATTGTGATTTGCAGTTCATATCCAGGACAAATGTCTATAGTTATGGTACATATAGAACCCATGCGCATCTGCGCTCAAGGTCTGCTCAGCAATTTTCGGCTTATCCTCATGAACTGGCAGTAGCAGTTGCTTCACACGCGTATGTAGACAGAAAGGTGGATGTAACTGCAATTGTAGTAGTTGCAGGCGTCGGGTTCACAACCTGGAACCAGTTCGCCGCCACCGGGGTACCCAGACCTGTCACTTCTTCGAAATCTTCAACGTTGAACCCAAGACGCGCAGCATCAGTTGCAGGCAGCAAGCTCTCAAGACAGGCAGGCAGGGAGTAGTCTTTTGGCTGGCTGTACAGCAGCAAGGTATAATCATGCGCTGGTCCTTCCAGCGGTGTCGGGTAGACATATTCTGCGCTTGGGGCGGACGTGTTGCTGATTGTCAGAACACCAGAGGAGTAGACCAAGTCTGGCTGATACCAGTGCAGAGCGGCCATCGTGACGCCATCCTCGTTGATTTTTGGGTCAACCATGATGATGGTATACTCGCCATCTGTCGAGGTAGTATCCTCCAGGTACAGAGTAGGAGCATTGACGGTCCCTAAGGCAAGGGTGTGAGTTCGGGTTTCAAAGGTGTGTAGACGGAAAGAGCATGTAGGCTTACAGTTCTGACTGATTAATGTTCCAGATTCAAGAGTGAGATGGCTCCCATCAACCGAGAAAATGACGCCTACATCCGCTTCGACAGACGGCGTGAAGCCGGAGGGGGTCGATGCAGCCGTGAGGCCGACTGCAAGGAAGGAGGAAGTCAAGATTGAAAGGAACTGCATGATTGTGGTTCAAGAAGTTCTTGTAAAGAGAATATGAATGATGTTTCTGCTTGTTGCTCAACCTTTGGCCATCCAGCTTATTCTTATACTCGCTTCCCGAGTGCTTGCTTCACTGCCTGAGTGATCGGCACTATAGAGAAAGATCGTCATCAATGTATGTTGGCCATAATTCTCCGTCATCGCCAACCTTGTTCCCCATATTATTGATTTGCAGGAATGTTGGGTGGCTCAGACAAGACATGATCTGAAGCTTGTAGACCAGGATCTCGTATTTGGCCGCACTGCCCAAAGCACTCAGAGGATCTAGTGTGGTGGCGGCTCTGAATTGACGGGCATCATTTACGCATGATGACGATTCTATACCGATATGTATTATATGCAGGACCAACAAGTCGAGTAGTTAATGGCGTAGGCATTGGAGGATCAATCGATGAGAAGCAGTGGTGGGCATTGGATCTGGTCCAGGAACACCACGTGGACGCAATCCTTCCGACATTCGCGTGGCAGAGCGATATGCAGTGGGGCGTAGTCCGTATTCGATAAGACACTGGCTTCCCAACATTGACCTTGTGGGGATTTATTAATCGACGTTAAACTAGCGCTTACTATGTGAGTAAGTCTGGTGCCTGCAGTGGTCTTCATTCCTCGCTTTCCAGGTGGGAGGTTCGATCCTTCCCATCCACCAGCTTGTATGTACCGCTCAGAACCTGAGACACGGTATCAAGCCTCGTTCTTGCCGTGCTTGGCGAAAGTCGTGGATTTCCGCAAATAGGGAAAGTACATGGATTTAATATATCGAATGCAGATATCCCGGCTTTTACCCATTTTGAAAATGGCAACAGGTGTTGAAGACCCAGACTCGCATTCTCCGCAACGAATTGGGACCACAAATGTCATTAGCGCAGAAAGTCATATAGAGAAACACAATATCCCCAAATAAGCATTCGTACTGCACGATCTCAAGAGCCAAGGATCTTCGTCAGAATATAGCGCGAATCCCCGTGCACTAGTCTCGGGGGTATTGGGATGAAGCTGAGGTACTGGAATCCTCCGGAAGTTTTCTATATCCAATGACGTGAGAGGTTGAGCCCATTGTCATCGCGTGAGCCGCTTTGCTAGATCCTTGAGGACCGGTGAATAATCACATGCAGCTGAGACAAGGCTGAGACTTACCTCTCATACCGTGAGACCTTGGGATATGAGACACATCAGACTATTCCTAAATGATGAGCCATGAATATCATGTCTATTACCTGATTCTGGACTTGAACTCCATGGAATTCCCAGCTTGTGTCACATTGCATGACGATGATTCTGTGCTACCTAGTGCTTCTAAAGTGGGGACTCTTCGAGGCGACCTGAAGTAAAGGATTCTAGAGCACACATGGTGAACCAATGACTGATCGAGGCGCTATTATAATGTTGGTCAACTGTGGCATGCTAAATGCAACCTAGGACTGGGGGCCTAGGGAGGCCAGTGTCTCATACCTCAGAGAACATGACTGTTAGCCATAGTTACACAGCATATTCATTTCGAAGCCAGGTCATGATCTAGATGGTCCATTGTGATTCAAGATCTCATTCTTGTGAGTAAAGCAGGAAACCCTATATTTCATATGCTATGACTAGTGATACATAGTCAGATACATCTATAGATCACTAAGTCCCGGTCCGGAGAACGCCGAGTGCTCAGCGCATGCAGCAAAACATACCATAGCCACCGGTAGCCGGTCTTTCCGGTACACTTCGAAAGGACCACCAGAATGCAATGCAGCGTCCGGAGACTACCGCCCGGGACCTTCGTCCTGGAGTCCAGTATTCTCCGTGCAGCTATCTGAGGATGCCGTTCCAATCATCCCCTATTTCCAGAAAAGGGGGGTACGCCTAACATAACGGCATCGATTATCAGTATGATTTGCCCTACTTTCATATCCCAGCAGCCAACAAGACAGCCCCTCACGCCTTCCCGCCGGACTTCAGGATCTGCTCCAGATTCTCCCGGCTATTCTTATGCGTCATCTCTAGGTAATGGAGCTTCTTCTCCAAGCCGGTGATCTCTGATTTCAGGTCTCCGCTCTCGCTTGACAAACGCTTATCGATCGTGTTCATGGGCACTCCCACAAACCTGTAAGCACAGTATCCGTTAGCATGACTTCGTGGTTATGTCGCCTTCGTAGGACTCCCAACAGGGATAGGAGAACTGTCGGACACACTCACATCTTTCCTACCCCCTCATACACCCTTGTATCCTTAGGCAAAGTACTGATCTCCTTCGATGTGAGTTCCAACATGCGGATGTCTCTCTGCTTGGTTGTGATCTGCGCCTTGGTAACGCCGATTTGTTGCTGGGAGCTGATCGCTTGGGCTTCGATTTCTCGCAGAAGCTGAGTGTTTAAACTAGGATTAGTGATGGACCGCCGATGGGCTAACTGGGAGAAGGCACCTTTTGCAGAGCTTCGTTTGGGATGGACATCTTGGGCAGGGAGGGGAGTCCCGCTTTGGTATTGAGGGGTAATCTGGGGTTGGTAGATTTGGCGTTGCCGGGGTTAAGGTGAGCGCGTATATAGGGAGGTCACAGTTGGGTCGACTCTGCTATCAGTTAAGACGCCAAGTGGTTCGGGTATCGGAGTGATTGAAAAGGTTGTTTGTTGGTTATGGTACTGATCGAGCTCAACGATGAACTCATCTCATCGGCCGTCCGCTGTTATTGGCTCCGAGGTCCGGGCGGTAGATTATCCGAATTTGGACATCTAAGTAGGGCTTAGGGTTCTATGGCAGAACAACTACTCAGGTACAATGACCGTCTAAATTGATCTGAAATCGGTCATAGGTAGCCATTTAGTAAAATAACTATAATAACAAATCCTAGTACATCATAGAAGCACGCATTTGGTTATACTCAGCCTGGGTGATCGGCTTATACTTGGCCGGGTTTTCCTCACTCATGCATGACGGAATGCATTCAATGACCATATCTGGATCGGGAGACATGAAGTAAGGGATCGAATAGCGCTCACGTGTCATCCGATTCGGCCCCTCAAACCGGTCTGAGAGCTGGGGTAGTCTGACACGGTGGTTGGTTGACCGAAGGCGATCTGTATTATCAGTCAGATATCCCCAGTTGTTTGTCATTTGTGCTAACGAGTCTGCGACAAAGGCAGGACCAACTATTGCTCCACCTTTGTAAAAGATCACCAACGTTCATGACGATGGCATTCTTCAAGGGATTAGCGGGGGCAAATGTTCCTGGTCGAGAAACATCCTCTACTTCCAGTCCGCCACAGTCATCCTGGAAGAGCAATGTTATTGAACTCCAATCTGTATGTGCTGGGCACCGGGATGTTCGTTCTTTCTCCAGATCTTCAGCTGGAACAGGCAGGTAGTGCAGCAACCGGAGCTGGTTGTTGTAGCCCGAATGTTTTTTTGTTAGGTAGTATTCGTCTTCCAAATCAAGACCTGTAGCCAGAGCACGCAAAATCTCACTGCCAACCTTATGACACTCTTCGTAAAACCTGACCATGAAGGCCTGGAACCCAGGAAGTGTTTCTTTAGGTATCCACTGGTTTGGCTGATCGGTATTATTTTCACTGCCAATGTCGCAGATTTCCTGTGCTCAACGTCAATCCAAACCTCAACGACTGGATGACGATATTCTTGGGGGAATGCTTGTGTATCAGCTCACGGAGGTGATGTAAAATCTAACAAACCTTGACATCAGGAACCTCCCTCAGCTTTTCCCGGGACTCTTCATAATCACCGTTGCTCATGACTTGAGTGACCTTTTCCAGACCGGGCCATGAGTAACCTCGATGCACAGCCCAACCCTCAGGGTGAGGAGCCTGCATCTTCTGTTCGTCCGAGAGTTCGAAGAAGCGTCTCATCCAGTCAAATGTTGCAACAAGGGTGGTTTCAGTCAGAGAATGGTTCACAATATACACAAACCCGACTTTTTGGCAAGCCTCAACGAGTTCATGTGCGACTCGTTGACGAGAGGATTCATCCTGGGTGTTGTACCACGATGAAAAGTCCACAACGGGAATCTTCATCTGAGCAGAATCATCAATAGAAGACATACTGGCTTATTTAGCAATGTCGTATAGCTTCGGAGGTAATCATCAGGTAAAAAGGAGGGGTGAGAAAGACTGGTTGCATTAACACCGTCACGGAGCGATAATGCATCAGCTGCATTAATGCTTTTTCACTGATGCGCCTAAGGCTGATGATCACATGCTTTACAATTCTCGAGGTGCGTGGAGGAACCCGACTGGTATCACCTTCTGAAAGAATTGTCTGTTTGTGTAACCAGCCGATAGAGAATGCCTGAGTCTATCTAACTGATAACCAGCTAAAAAGCCCGCTCATTCAGAACTGATCTCGATGTGGAAAGAATGACATCATGTGGTTAGCAGACCCTGAGCGGAGTCTGGAGCAGAATTTATCCACTCGGCGATACCTAGATAGCGATCAGGGACACCGCCGGAATCCCGGGTGATTTCCTGACCGGATGCTGATTTTCAACCAATGCGAGCCAAAAATAGGAGCGACCTGGGCTTCTCGCACGGGCGGCTGGCTATTATTGAGGGGCCACCGGGGACGCTCCGTTGCTGTGGCAGGGGATCGCAGTGGACCCGGCGCTGCCTGAACAACCTAAAGATGAAGCGTCCATCACCCACTCCGCCCGGTGTCCGAACCGGCTTGCTCCAGAGAAGAAATCTCGGAAAGAATCAATACTTAGAGGAGGGGAATTGAGCGACACGTATGTGAGCTATCGGCCGCCCACTGCCCCATTCGTTGAGCTTCTTGCAAGCCAACCTCCCTGATCGACCCCTGCTAACATCTACATCTCTACCGCTTTTAGTAATCTGTTGATCGCCGCCCTCGAGTCGTCACAAAATACCATCGTTCGACACATTGTACGATCGGACTGGTCGCAAATTCACAACTGCGACCATTAATCAAGGGTTATCTCGACCTATATCTTCTGCTATCTTGTTGTATCATATCCGGCGGGCGCGCCATAGCCCTAGCCTTGACAATGAAGCTTTCGGGGTGGATCTCGGCCACATTCTTCGCTTCCATTGTGTTATCGATAGAGACGACGCCGGCTCCATCAGTCGACATTGTGCCATTTTATCCTCCCCGCAATGCAGACGCAGATCGGAGAGCCTTCGAAGTGTTACAATTGTTGAGGAAGCGGAACGATAACTGTCCTTACGGCTATGACTCTTGCTCAAATCTGGGCCACTCGAACATTTGTTGTTCCGATGGTACAACATGCACTCATGACGCCGCTAACAACATTGCTTGCTGTCCGACCGGAGCAAGCTGTACGGGTACACTGTCCGAGACTGGAGCCGTGGTTGGAGGTTCAACTAGCAGCTTCCGATTCCCTCAAACAGCAACAGCTACTCAAACTACAGATGGGACGAGTGTCACTCTCACGGGTTCTACAATTGCCGGGGCTTATCCTTTTGTCGACATACCGACAACATTTGCCAATGCCCGTGTTTGCTCATCATACTATTCCCTGTGTCAGAGCGAGTATACAGGCTGTCTTTCGGAGCTTGGAGGAGGCTACGCGGTGACCGTGGCTGCAGAAGGTGGAGGCGTCACCCGTGCCGGTGGAGGAGCTTCGGCAGCTATATCAACATGCTCCAGTCTGAGTTTGGAGGCCTGTCACGGTCTCAGCATAGGGTACTGCAGCAGCTACAACACCGATGTATACACGAACCGGGGAACGTCCCCAAAACGGAGCTCCAGCCTCGAGGATCTTTTCTTCGGCATGCTCATTGGACTGGCCGGGATGTTTATGTGAAGCTTCGGCGAGCATTGGAATTTATGTGAATATGAGTATATGAGATCTGGACATACGCCTGCTGGCACCCTTCAAGGTCGACGATCATGCGATCTACTGTTTTGGATTTGAAGAATTGCACGCACGATTCTAGATGAAAATGACGGACATACGAACTGATTGATTGATGATATGCGATGGTAAAGAGTCTATGGGGTTACGAATCTGGCACTCTTCTGGCGTTCTGTGTATATAGCAATAGCATCTAGGATAGCAATGAAACAAACTAAACAACTGGCGCCCCTCTTGGAGTTGTTGCAATCACAACCTGCTTTGCATTGATTAATAGATGCAGGCACAGGCGTCGTGCCCGGGCCACACCGCTTCACCACCGCATCATTGTTAGGGCTTATTGTAAAAAGTACACGGAGCAGGAACAGATTATGTTAGCTCAGATAATAGGCCAGGCGGACTCCTACATGCATCTGCAGATGGAGTCATCCACACCAAATCACGGCCCAAATATGGGTTCACTCCGTTGGGCGACACGTAGGAAGTGAAGGTACTCCGCTTGGATACCTGATACGTGCCGACGACGGAGGATTGGAACATGCAGCCAGTACCTGACGGACGGGACTCGGTCAAATCAAGGAATGCGTTGGCTAGACCGACTTATCACGGGATAATAATAATCTGGCGGTGGAACCACCAACACAATAGGCCCAGACTGTCCAGGTTCCGGACTTTCTCCCACGGAGACTATTGGTGCAGCGAGGATGACGCTGTCAGGAACTGAGGGCGGGGAGAGTTGGTGATGGGAGGGGCAGCAACGGCATTATCCTCTGCCACTTCTCTACGATTGGATCATGGCGGGGCAACACAATGCAGAGACCAAAAAAAAGTGGGCATCCCAGCCTCCAGAATTTCCTTTTTTATTTGTGATCTAAGTTTATCTTCATCGCTGATTCACTCGGCGTTGCAGTGATTGGTGGTGGTGGTCGCAGGAAATGCGGTGGTTGGGAAGTCGACTGGACGGAGGCTGGGATCAAGAACAGCGGACGGCCTGCTCGGAGGATGGCACCTTGCTCTTCTCTCTTCGCCCGACCCCCAATACTTTTTTTCCCCTCTTTAGACTCATTCTTGCAATTTCCACTCTGCAAGCTAGATATTTGTGATAGTCTCTCGCATTCCAGATATTGCTTGGCTTCCTCCGGCCCCGTTTGCTGTCTTTCATTCCATACCTCACTTGTCATACAACGAATCCATCGAGTCGGACACCGGGGCAGGACGTTGTCCCTGGCAGCGATCGGAATTCAAATTACTAATTCCAGTCGCATCGTGGGCTGGCCTCGTGGTTGCCAAACATCTAACGTTCTTCCTTCGCCATGCATGCGTCTCGCATACTTCAATCTACCATATCTATACTGGCCCTACTAAGCCAATTTCAACTCTCAACAGCATCGCCATCAGAATCTGAGGAAAGTCTCGACGAGGCTACTCTAGAGAAGCGCTGCTCGAACCCTTGCGGTTATTATAGCCAGCTTTGCTGCAGTGCAAGCGAGACATGCAGCACCAACAGTGATGGCGAAGCCGAGTGTGTCAGCAGCGGCAGCTGGGAGTATTTCACCACCACATATGTCGTGACCGAGACCGAGCGTGCCACCTTCACTTCAACATGGAGCTCCTACATTTCGGCGACATCGACCTCGAGTTGCAATGCTGCATATGGCGAGACGGTCTGCGGTAGCAGCTGTTGCGGTGCTGCATATGTCTGTTCCGACAATCAATGTATCCTGGGAAGTACGTCAATCTGGGCGACTGCGACTGCCACACCACCCGTACGCGGAACCACATTGTCAACTGCCACTCACACAGCCACAACTACCGAGCCTTTTATCGCCCCCGTAAGTACAGGTGGAACGCCGTTGGTTGAGAAAGACTCGAGCGGAGGACTCAGCGGCGGAGCAATCGCGGGCATTGTTATCGGAACAATTGCTGGTGTATTTCTCTTGCTGCTCCTTTGTGCTTGTATGTGTTGCCGTGGAGCACTGGATTCCATTCTCGCTTGTCTGGGGCTCGGTGGTGGTAGGAAGAGGAGAGAGACGACCTATGTCGAAGAGCGTCGTCGTCATCATCATTCTTCCGGCGCTAGGCCCGAGCAGCGTACTTGGTTTGGCAGTCGACCCGCAGCGTCTACAGCAGGTGGTGGTGGTAAACAGAAAAAGTCCGGTATGGGTGCTTTGGCGACTATTGGAATCGTTCTGGGTGCGCTTGCGCTGTGTCTAGGGTTGAAGAGGCGCAGAGACAATCGGGACGAGGATGAGAAGACCGATTACTCGTACCCGAGCAGCTATTACTACTACTCTTCCGACTACTATACCAACGATGGTCAGTACTGCTCCGTGATATTTGTCCTGAATCAATTTTGCTAACAGTATTGTAGGAAGCACGGTAGTGACAGAAGATCGACGGACAAGAGACACTAGACGAACTAGAAGATCTCGGACGCGATCACGAAGATCATGATATGATGAAACCAACTTACGAAAAAGAGATGACTTTCCGAATACGGAGTACAATGAGTCCCTGTTATGTCACTTTTATTTTTCTTTCTGTTTTTCTTTTGATTTGAATGTGCATGAAATGGCGTTGATATGGGGTTATGGGTGACGTGCAATGTACGATGATGAGATATGTCTTCATGTTCTAATGCCTTGGGCGCTTTCTGATTCCCTGCTTTTTTTTTACCTCATTCTTTCTCTAAAGCTTTGCTTTTTATCCCTTCCTATTCCCTTTCAACCCACCTGCAGCCTTTGTATGGAGGGAAACGGAAAGCAAGCGATATGTAAATACGAGACTGAACATAAATTGACCATGAATAATGTTGCACATACCAAAACTATTCGATCGGGAGATTAGTAGCAAACCTTGGATCTTACATCCCTTGTCAGGCGATTAGGAGGGAGCATATCGGATGGGAGATGTTAAGAGCCGAGAACAGGGACCTCCGGCTACACAGCCAGAACTGCAGGTACAGCCCCGAGCACGTCCCCTTAGAGCCGGGACCAGGGATAATTACACGCATTTCCGGTATGAGGTACTGAACCAGAGTTCCTAGCTCTCAACTACTAGATAGCTAGTGCCCGTGCATCCCTGGATTCAAGGCCGACTCTTGATAATCATGCACCTGCCGGAGTGACTCGTGCGCCTTCCAGGTAACTGCAGCTGCAAGGCGGCCATCAACGGTCAGCATGCCAATTCAGGATATGGCATCATTTACATCATAGACTCAGTCAATCTGGCAGTAAGGGAAGGTGGGTGAAGCGACAGTGAGTTGATCCCAGTTACCGACCATCGGGCTCAGTTTATTCCAATTGAAACTGTTGAGGACAGGGTCGGTCCAGAGGGAAGCTCGGCACCTCCCAGACGGCACAAACTGACCGGGCGGAACCTGCGACTCCCCGCCTCCCGTAGACCCAAGCCATCCATCCATCATTTCACGCTCCGTCTGTCCTTCAATCCCGCAGTCAATCCCCCCTCCCCCCCCCCATCGACACCCCCCAGTCTTCGCTATTGTATACAGAACCACATTATCCATGAGGCTGCTCCCGAGTATCCCATCCTGACAATACCTAAACGACATCATAACTCACTCTGCCCTTGTCCGGCCTTTCCCCGATCGCCCAGGGCTGTCAAGTCTTCCCTCCTGAGGATTACGAGTCCCGTTGAGCTCCGATTCTTCGCCGGCCCGCCATGCTCCAAACGCAGACTCAGCACGTCTTCTCTCATCAGCATCAGTATCCGCAGGCTGACCCGTCCTGGTTGCAGCAACAGCAGCACCATCAAAGCCACCCGCACCAGGCTCAGCAACAGCATTCTTCGTTGGTCGCCCAACAGCATGCCCAAGTTCAGGCGGCTGCAGCCGCAGCCGCAGCCGCTCAACAACAACATTATACCCGTATCGCTATGGCTGGAAATGCTGGTGCCGGCAATCCCGCCCAAGGTGCCGGTGCAGGGGCATGGGCGGAGACGGCGCTTTGCCCGGTGCGGTGTCAGTGATGGATGGTGGCATCAGTGATGAGAATCGCAAGGTTTTCATCTGGGTCGCGGAACTCCTCGATCCGAATCGCAGAGAAGCAGCTCTTATGGAGCTCAGCAAGAAGAGAGAGCAAGTTCCGGAACTTGCGCTGGTTATTTGGCATTCTTTCGGTATGGGCTCCCTTTGATCGGATTTTGGTCGGTGGCAACTAACGGGCCGGGTACAAGGCGTCATGACCGCTTTACTACAGGAGATCATCTCCGTATACCCTTTGTTGAACCCTTCGCAATTGACTGCTGCTGCATCAAATCGGGTTTGCAACGCGCTCGCTCTGCTGCAGTGCGTTGCTTCCCACAATGATACTCGCACCTTATTTCTAAATGGTACGCAGTAAGCCCCTAAGACCACCCTACCGTTGAGTTCTGACTGACAACATCCTATCCGAATAGCTCATATTCCTCTTTTCCTCTATCCCTTCCTCAACACGACATCAAAGTCGCGCCCCTTTGAATACCTCCGTCTCACCTCGCTCGGTGTGATCGGAGCGCTGGTCAAGAACGACTCATCCGATGTCATCAACTTCCTCCTCACTACAGAGATCATCCCGCTTTGCCTTCGCATCATGGAGACCGGCTCCGAGCTGAGCAAGACTGTCGCGATCTTCATCGTACAAAAGATTCTCCTAGATGACATCGGCCTCGCATACATTTGCGCGACTTACGAGAGATTCTATGCTGTTGGGACAGTGCTGAGTAACATGGTTACTCAACTCGTGGAGCAACAGACTGTGCGACTGCTCAAGCATGTCGTGCGCTGCTTCCTTCGGTGAGTCATATCTTAATAACATCCCCTGTCTCACGCAAATATACTTTGCTTCCATATCAAATGCTGACTTCCGTAGCCTGAGTGATAACAGTAGGGCGCGAGAGGCGTTGCGCCAGTGTCTCCCCGAGCCTTTACGTGATGCGACGTTCTCCTCGGTACTTCGCGATGATGCCGCCACCAAGCGCTGCCTTGCGCAGCTTCTCATCAACCTTTCGGATAACGTCTCCGATGGCGCACCCGGTGTTGCGATGTAAAAAGTTCAAAAGCATTTGTTTCCCTTTTGGTTTACTTGGTTTATTTGACAACCTTACGACATGCATCGGGCGGGCTCAGGCGAAACACGGATCACAAGGCGCAAACTGTGTGGGATGGCAATGCAATGATGAGATCAAAGAAAAGTTGCAAAAAAAAAAAAAAAAAAAAAAAAGAGAGAAAAGAGAAGACATGGGCGGTATGGGAGCACTGGGCTTGGGGGTTCTGTGTCTTATTATGTTTTAAAAGGTTTTGCTTTTCTGCTCCTCGTTTATTATTCTTCCCTGTCCCTGGCTTACTGTGGCTTGCTCGATTTCCCCCACTTTCTGTTTCTGTGTCGAACACTTCGTTCCCATTTCGGTCATAATGGTATGGCTGTACGGTGGCGTGGATTCGGATGGCGCTATCTGTCTATGTGCATTTTGCTTGTCCTCTATGTTCCCCATTCCCCATCCTTCATCTGAGTGAGATAGACCCTCTTTGAGCGAGATACCAAGATCTAGTTTTATGTTTCGTTGGTTGGTGCTGGTTCTGCCTACTGCTTGTTTCATTTGCCTGACTTGACTACATACGGATGCGAGCTATTCTTATGATAGTCTGTTTATTGCGGGCTCAGCCAATCTGGACCTACACTATTGTTAATAATGAGAGTATCTTGAACCGAAGTGCGAAATCATGTAGAGTGCCATGGTAGAAGGCGAGAAATCGGATTGCATCGAAAGTGAGAGGCTTATCGGCACGGGATCGACCAATCGGCGGGTGGAGGTCACCTGACTGGGGTCTCGACGCGCCGCCCGGCGATTCTGTGAGCTCATCTCTTCTGCCCAGCCCGACACGCCCGCCCTGGCGATTTCCTGTCTTCACTCCGCTGTCGATCACGTCCAATATCCACTTGTTGCGCCATTTAACTGGAACCTCTACGTGCCATATCCTTTTTACATACACGCTCCGATCAATTTTTCCGTCTAGCTCGCCCATCGTATCCGCAGATCCGCCGCTCCGTTGGAATTTCGTCCTGCGCTGCGGCGCCTTTAATGGTCCATATCCGCCTCGATGGTATCGCGAAAGCGCGCCCGCTCCGAGGTGGACGCTGCCCCAGAGCAGCCACCTGAGGAGCCGGGCTTACTTCAACAGCTTCGCAACTGCTGGGAGTTTGCGAACCTGATGCAATATATTGCCATATTTGGGAAACTCATGAAGATTGATGAGGATTTTGGGATTGAGGTGAGCAGGAACAAGTTACATCCCGAGTTGCCTGTGCCCTTGCGCGCGTTTGGTGAATGCTAACCCATTGTTTCGATATGACGTTTATAGGACTTGGAGAATGAGTGTCTTAAGCCTACCTCTTCGGAGAAATTACTGGATATTGGACTCTGTCTTTTAAAATGGGTCTCGTCGCATCGGGGCCTCACGTATGTGCACCGCTGCTCTGGCTATAAAAGTAGCTATGCTAATAGGATATGTTTGATCTTAGCTTCGATAATTTTGATGAATATACGCGACGCCAGTACAATGCGAAAGCACCGCACATTCCCAACCCTTTCGGGTATGAGGAAGTCCCGAATAGGTTCCTCGATTTTGATGTCTTTTTGAAATTGCGCGTCCTGCACCAGCTGTCTATTTGGACATTCTGGAATCCCGATCGCATTCGCGAAAAGATGCCGGAGCAGCGAGAGTTGGATCAAACGCAGTGGGTGGGTTCTATCTGATAATACTCTAGGTCACTGGTATCCCTGCTGACTGTTTGCTAGCGTATCGAGGAAGTAGGCTACGATCGCGAAGGTCGCTACTACTATATACTCGACGACAACAGGCTCTATCGTCGCACCGATCCCCCTATTCCTCCGCCGAAACCGGCTAAGTCGAAGTCAAGGAGAAAGAGTGCCCGCGCCATGAGAGCATCGAAACGGAGAAAGGTTACAGGAGCAGATCCTATCGAAGAATCTGATGAAGAGAGCAATGTTGTTAACGGCGATGCCACAGACCCTTATGAAGCGATGTCGTGGGAATGCATTGCCGTTACACTTTCGGATTACCAACAGTTCCTAGAGTCTATTCGGAAGACTAGGGATCCTGATGAGAAGATCCTGCGAGATAGGATTGACGAACAAGTCATGCCAATTATCGAAAAGGAAGAGGAATCTCAACAACGGCAAAAACAGAAGCGGGAGAAGGAGCTTCTCAACATGCAGATGCTCGCCGGCGCTAAACGATCCAGTCGCCTCGCTGGAAAGGCTGAGAAAGAACGCCAGGAACGTGAGGCTGCTGAAGCAACACGTAAGCGTGAGACAGAACTAGCCGCAGCTCTTAAGGAAGACGAAAGAGTGAAGAAGATTGAGGCGGAAAGACGCTCGCGCATTATGACCCGTGAACAACGTATCAAGGATCGCGAGAGGAAGCGCATTCTACATGAAAACGAGCTCCAGCGCATACAAGAAGAGCAGGAGAAGGTTGCCAGGGGTGAAAGCAGAGCTTCTGAGAGGCATCTTCAAGCAGAAATGGAGAAATATCGTAAGAATCTCGAGGACCTTTCGCAGGAGGACCAGTGGATATTCGACTGCTCGGGCTGTGGTGTGCATGGTCAAAACCTGGTAAGCCGCGATCATAGTTTTGAACGTTTGCGAAAAGTGTGCTGACCCTCGAAAGGACGATGGCTCGCACAGTGTTGCGTGCGAAAATTGCAATGTATGGCAGCACAGCAAATGTCTTGGAATTCGCAAGGACGAAGCAGAACGGGAAGACTTCCACTTTGTGTGCGAAGACTGCAAGCGACGTGAAGAGGAAGCAAAAATGCCCAAAATCCCGCCGTTGAAATTCCGCGTCGGCTCGACCTCGCCATCCTCGACTGCTGTTGAGGGAGACACAAAGATCAAAGGTCCGGACGTGGATCAGCCTCCTACACCGTCAATTAAAGAAGCCCAACACGCTTTCCAAATGCCTTCCATCGGGTCTCCTCAAAAGCAACTCTCCTCACTGCCTTCCACCTCTCAAAATCCCTCCCAAGTCGTTTCGTTCCCCCCTCCATCCCCCGAGCGCCGGCCTCAGTCTGCACACACGACGTCATGTAGCTCCCCTCGGGCTCCATTTTCTCCGTCGAAGGGTGCGAATGGTTTCACCCCGTCATCTAAAGAGCAGCTGCCGAAACTGCCTTCCATGCACCAAGCTATGCATCTACCGCCCCATGGTGGCGACTCTTTCAATAGCTCCTTTCCTGCGCGACGACCTTCATCCTCTCACTCTGTGCGGAGTCCCACTTTACCCTCTCCTATCCAAAACCGCCCATCCATGTCTCCAACTCAGGGCAATCGAGACGTTGGCCCTCTTGCGGGGTTCCCGCCTGTAGCGCCGTCAGATCATTCCGCCCCGTGGACACCGTATGGTCAACAACACACCCCACGACCAAACACAGGCAACCACGCTTCCTTCTCTTCCCTACATAATGGGCGTCCGTCTTTTATGGCCACACCAACTGCCAGTCGGTCTTCGCCTCCACAGAGTTCCCACGGTATACCGTTTTCGGGAATCAGTCCGACCAAACAATCCCCCCGACCTGTGACTTCCGGCAGTGTTACAGGTGCTCCTGTTCTTCCTCCGATCCAAAAGCTCGAGCCAAGTCCTAAGTTGATGGGCCGAAGCTCGCCCGACGCACCGATTCCCCCGCCGGTGAAATGCATGACACCTGAGCAAGAGGAACGCAGGCAGAGAGAGAACGCCCTGCTGCAGGCCCAATTGCACGGAACTAACGGTCAATCATCGGTGATGTCGTCACCATCGCTCAACCGTATACCACCTTTAGGGCCACCTGCGGTTGCTCAACAGCCTGCTCCATCCCCTCAGCCCGGCCCGAAATGAAGGCCTAAATGACAGCCTTCATAAATTCTTAGTGGCTGGGGGCTTGATTAGCTTTTGAATATACCCCTCGCTCGATATTGAACCAGTCCGTCTTTCGGCATTGTCTCCTTGGATTCATTACTGATCACTATTCACCAAGGACCTGTTCAATGTGTTTCGGTGTGTCGACCTTTCAGCACAGAAAAGCTGGTCACCTTCTTTGGAGACACAAAGGCATGTGAGCAGGCTTTGTGTTTCTTGTTTCTTCCCTTTTGTCTCCCGTAGTCATCGAGGCTGGACAGAGCCAACTGTTGATCACTGGTATAATTCATTACTCTTTTTATCTGAAATCATTGCTGCTATTCGATGTGCGCACTAGTCAAGATAATGCGCTAGTTCACATTGTGCTAAAATCCTTGCATGGTTGGTACCGTTGGTCTGTTTTCACTGCCTTACTTGATATACTGAATGGTGGCGTTGCAGGATTCTGAGCTATAGAGGGATGTGGTTGAATACGGACGTGAAGTAGACATGGACTAGATGTAATAAAAGTGAGATGCTTATATTCCTTGAAGCCTCTTTGGTCAATGACCATCAAGAAGTACACCTTTACAGCAGATTGTCATCTAGTCACCTGCAGGTGTTACCGCAAATACTATATCAGAAGCACACAATCAAACATCAACAAGGCCCCCAAGCCCCCCAAGCACCACCTACTGAGAAAATATATATTGCTCCGACCCTTTGCAAATCCGTCCGATTGACAATCTACCCTGAGGCAACCAGCAGGGTACGTGTGCATACATATATATAAGCATGCACCTTAACTGCATCAACAAACAATAGCTATCCGGGTAGCAATCAAATTCAATTTCGTGATGCCCCAAACAGCAGGTGATGCCGACGATACTCGCATAAATCCCTGTCTGTGAAAGCCGACAAGCAGGCAGATATAGTCAAGGCGCACTTAGTGGCACCCCATGCTCGGCTTTATCTCCGTGCATACATATCATATCATCACAGATCTGTCACCTGTCAAGTCTGGGGACAGGGTGCCTATCAATTCCGATCTGGACCAATGTGCAGCTTGGCACATCACACTGCATGCAAGATATATTGCGTTTGGGCGTGTTAAATATCTGCCTACATCATGTGTACTCCTGCAGACGCGACAAGCAGCCAGGGTCTGATTGGGTAGGTTAGGCCGCTTCAACAGCTGGATAGATGGGCGGTTGGGCTTTCAACGGACTTATTCGGCTACGTCTTCCCCTACCTATAAAACAAGCAGTATTGGCTGACTCGTTTGCTATAGGAGTCCATGCACATATTCCCATTTGTTAATAAACTACCTGCTTGGTTGATATTTGATTGATCAATTTGTTGCGAAGCCCATGTGTGCTGACAATACCTACAATATACCCTGGGGGTGAGACAAACACTCGCCCTCAACCTTAGGCATACAAGGATATTGTTGATTACAATGGTAGTACTTTGTCAGCTTAGTGCTGCCTTATCCTGCCTTAGCAAACTGGTTGCCCCTTCCCCTTGAGGGACTCGAGTTCCCCCCAACCCACCTCCTAAATCCTAGCAACGCTCACTACTCGCAACTAGTGAATAGAGAATATGTTGAACCGAGTCTCGACCCTGGCGGAATGACCCGAACACAGAAATTAGCCTAGCCTCCTTTTCGGGGAATGCGGCCTGAAATGATTGATGAATTAATAAGTCACCACATAGTCGACTCGTTAATTCCGCCCGGAGATGAGGGCAGCTTGCCCGACTCCGACCGGATCCGAGTCCGAGTCCGGTGGGGGATCTGGCGAGTGGAGTGCACGGTCTAGACGGTCCTCCGTATCCTACTCCGTGCGGTACACACTAGTCATTAGTACCATGGGTACGGACTGCGTGGACTGAGCCTCAAGCTCACCATACCTACATGCTAGTATACTACTCGCATTTCATTCTCATAGGTGTCGGTGTCTAGCAGGCAGACACAGAACAGATCGACACAGGCATGAAATCAGATAGGTAGGCAGACTTGTAGCGCGACTAACTCACAACAGCCTCAAGCCTCACGCCTCAATAAATCGCTCAAACGCCGATATTTCCGCGGTCAGGCACACACCTCCCATATTTATCCCTTGATATACATCGCCAACAAGCATAACGGTACACCAATTGAAAGATCAGAACAGTATATAAATCCAAAGACCAACCACCAACAACCCACCACTACCGGCGAACAAATTCACGAACACGGATAGATCATCCATCCTCGATACAGTATGTACCCCGGAAGTCTCAAAAATGGAACGCTACACATAAACCACCAGTGCATATTGCGACAGCAAATGTGATCAATTACCCACCTGCATGGAAGGATTCCGGCGCCTTCTGGCACCAAACACTGGAACCCGACTTTTCCCGTCCACTCAAGGCCGGTCATCGGATGCGAGCGAAACCATATTTAGGATTTGCGCGCACCACCACCACCTCGCGCGCCCTGCTGCGCTCCACTGGAACCGTTCCGGACGATCTTCTGGGTCGGAGATAGCATACGCACATACATACAATCATACACACACTAGCTAGACTTGGCTCGGTATAAGGGCGAATACACTCTGACCGGGGAAATACACAAGGTTCGGTGTTGGCTGGGTGGTGGTGTGACTGACGGGAGTTTGTTACCAAGCGGGAGGATTCGTAAGCGGTCCGTCGGTCTCTCGGGTAGTACCTTGCTTGTACCTTTGGTGGTAATTGACTGAGAAGGGGTACTTATTGTCTACCTACCTTTATCGACAGGCTACTTAGCTCTGGGGCGTTGGGCTTCGTATGGGAGGCGTCACGGGTAACTTACTTTACTGTCTGTCCATCTATCTACCAAAGGGGTATCTAAGAGGAGAAGAGATAGGATAGGATAGGACTAGATGTTCGGGTCGGGCGCCCGCGTTGTTGCACACATCTTTTCAAGATATGGGTCTGGGTCTGAGTGTAAGTAGGTATGTGTAGGTTGATCTCGGGCCTTGCTCATGTGGCTCTTCAAAGTTCAAACCACCCCATACCTTATCTCTCGTCTCGTCTTGTCTCGTCTCCATCCGTCCGTTGGTTTCGTTTCCATCCATTCCCTGTTTGCCGAACAAGTCTCACCGACTCGACTCGATTTTCGCAGTAATAAAAATGATAATGATAACGCTACGTGTAAGGCTGAACCATCTACTACTCACATCCCCTTCTATTTGTTAGTTTTCTTAGTTCCTGTTCGTTGGTAATGACAAATTTGGAGTACAGATACTAGGTATATGTGGGATTGCCTGGCAAGGCTGGCGGCTGCGCATTGCGGCGCAGCATTCAAGAGGCTTATTGGACGGGGAATATGTATGACTACACTACGGGGTGATGTCTCAGATGGGGTGAGATATCATTGGAGATGGGTATGCATGGCTGCCAGGTGAGTGAGCTGAGAGATGTTGGTGGTATTGGTTTGATTGGGTTTCTTGAATATAGGTAGGTAAGTGCTATGTATCTAGGTAGGTGCTACGCCGTAGTGGGTAGTTGGGAGGAGAATGGGCCTGGCGGTGGTGGTGGTGGTGGTGGTGGCTCTCGGATCCACCGGCGGTACGGACGGAATAGTACTTAGATAGGTGAGAGGAGAGGAGGCCCTACGGAGTACTCCGTATAATACCTAATTGTGCTGGGGACTGACTACGGGCAAGACTTCTGTACGTAGTACGGAGTAGGAGTAGGAGTAGGTTGGTGGTGGTGGATGCGTTGTATGACGATGCTAACTGCTAAGTAAGTAGGTAGAACGGCCCGGTTCCCCTATTTTAATTTAACTAAGAGACTATTATGTGTTCGTAAGTCATAGCCTCATAGGCGCTTATTCGCGAACCTTCTCCAGATATGGATAGCTTGGGATGGACTCCGTAGTCCGTACATGGTACCTGCTCCACAGGGCTACGGAGAACTTGGTCCCGTGTACCAGTGACTTGTGAATGAGTATGTCAGCTGGTTGGTTGGGGAGAAGGCCGGGAGGCGGCGTGATGCTGCAAGATAGTCGTCGTTAGAAGCGAGAAAGCCAATGACTGGTCGATGTGGTGTGATTGATTTATTACCACTGCTTGGAATCGGAGGTCCCCTTCGAGTACTTGCTCGATGTGCTGCTGGTGGTCGATGGGATTTTTTACCAACGTCAACCAATGGCTTCTTGGTTGAGGGCAGATCCGCCTTCCCAGGGGCTTGCCCGGCTGGGCCCCACTGGTGGTTGCGCGGAGGCTAAGCTACCGTAATTTAGCGGGGTCTGGTGGGCCCGTGGAACGACGTCGTTACTACCTATCTACCTAGTACATACTACATACAGCACTGATACCACACTAGTCTAGAAGCGCTCGGTCTAGACTGGGCCTGAGGTGTCGCTGGACGTTCTCCAAATCGGTTATGCATGCACAAGCGGGTGGTCGGGGTAATCAGCTCCCCCCGTCCAAGTGTCGTCTGGCAGTCCTCTGTTAGTGTAACATGAAACCGCTCATTCAATGTTGCAGATCGTCAATTGCGTCGGGCTTGTCTGATGATGATGTTCTTCCCTGCCTGCCTACTCTGGCTTACTTAAGTTGGCACGGCTTGTCCGTATTGTATCCCCCGTTGGAATATCAACCTTAATTCCTTCGCCTGAATACTTGCATCACCCATTGTGTCATTTCCCCTCTAGTGTCATAGTCGCCGCTGGTATGTTGCAGCGCAACCCAGCATTTGTATTACTTCAAATCTCCTGAGGTGTACACCCGCTAAACGTCCCGTCGTACGGAGCCTACCTGGGAAAACTTACCAATAACGTAGAAGATACGGTGTGTACAAACTGTTGGACTGTGCGGAACAGAGCTGTCATTCCCAAATTCCCAAGAGTGGGGGGTATCAAGGCAGATCCTCTTCCATAAAAATGGTAGAATGGAGTAGCCGGATTCTGGAAATCCTCTCGGTCTGTGCAACCAACCAGACAGTGACCGGATAGTGACGTCGGCCTGACT